AGGACCTAATAATATTTATATATATATCAAGGTTTAATCTTAAGGACTAACAGAGAGCGACAATCAAGGAGTATCTCTCACATAAAGAGACCTAGACGGCTAAAGAGGAAAAGGATACACAGTCAAGTAAGATTAATCCGATTAGCGATTATAAAGAAGAAGAAGATGAATCTATAGAGACACAGCTAGAGGGTCAGGGAAGTAGCGAACGAAGCCTAGGGAAACGACAGAAGAGTATTGCATTAGAACTAGAGGTTATAGAAGACTACGAGGATAGAGATGATAATATAGCTACCCTTCTACTACCTGATATGCACTAACGTATATTAGGCCGTCTTCGAAAACGGTCAAGACTACTAGATAGATACGAGGTTTAAGAGAAGTCCTACCCTAGTTTTCTAACTATAGTCAAAAATATCTATATAGGATAGAAGAGTTTCCGCAGTCTATCTAATATCTATTATCCCGACCCTTAACTACCCTAGTTTTCTGACCGTGGTCAGAAATATAGGCCGTAGGATAGTCTCTAATATATAAGTGTTTCTGATTTTGACCGTGGTTAGAAAACCTGTCACTAAATAGGATTATTCAATATATTCTACCCGCTACCTATAGACTCTCTCTACACTAGGATAGAGTAAGTGAAATACTGAAAGATACCGCTGCAATCTGCATAAATTATGCAAGTCGCGAGTTCCTCCTGTTTGCTTAGTTTGACCACCCGCGGGTTACCCGCGGGTGACCCTCGCGAGGGTCCTACCTACACTAGACCCGACCCGCGGGTCCATAAGCTAGACCCTCGACCCTCAAAACGAGGGTCGGAGGGTCACCCGCCGAGGGTCACCCGCGGGTCGTGCCGAGGCCTAACCCGCTTCCGCTCTGCCTCTGCTTCCTTCTTATTTCTTTTAGCAATAGAACGATTTATATCTCTAATAGAGAGTACCCCTTTTTTGCTAAGCGGCGTTTTAACCTAGCGCTTAGTGATTAGGCGTTGTAGTAGTTATTGAGCTTCCCTAATCTTACAAATAGTATTGTTCGCTAGATTTAGGTTCTCTATAGCAATCTTGTTATAATAAAATAACCGGTTAAGATTACGTTGCTGCCTAGGTGTAAGATCTTCTTATTGATATCTAGCAATCTTCTTTTAATTCTTCTCTAGATCCTATATAGATCTAGGCGGCGATTAGTCGATACTAGAAGAAGATATAGGTAGTAGTAAAGGTGTTGTATAAAGCGTTAAATAAAGCGGTTGTAGATCTAGCGCTATAAGACCTAGGTAATCTTAGATAGGAAGGCTATTAATAACCTTTCTACTATCGACTAGATATATCCTACGATCTTTAAACGATTCACGAATAATTTGCTAGCTAAACGCTCTATTCCGAATATCACTGATTATTTAAAGGAACTCGGATCTTCTAATAGGGCTTCTACCCTAAAACGCGTAGTCGTTATTCGCTAAGCGGAAGTATTGCTTATAGCTTAGAAACGGCTTACCGTCTAGCGGCTAGTAAAGATATATTATATAAAGTAGGAATCCTATTAGTAGGATATTATTCTCTTCGTAAAGGTATAGGAATTCGAATATAAGATACGAACTATAACTATCGAATATTAGGATACGTTTTTTACCTGATTTCGTATAGTCGTATATTGATTCTATAAAGAATCGAAGCTATTAAACTACTATACTATCGGTTATCTAACCGTTTAGCGATATATTAATAGTAAGTCTTAGTAGTAGGTTCTCGGTTTGATTAAACTAGGATTCTATAAAGATCCTATTGCCTTTAAAGATAAACTACGGCTCTAACTGCTACCTGTCGGTAGCGATACACTCGATAGACGTAATATTTTCGCCTTAGTCTAGCTAAGGAAGGTCTACTATCTTCCTACTACTACTACTACTACTACTAGTAGGAAAAGATATAATATTTCTAGACCTTCCTTCGCTAAGTTGAAAGCTAAATTTATCAAAGTTATAGATAAGACGTGCTAGCGTAGTCTTCTTGATCGTTTAGGCTAATAGATCGTACTAGTGCTGTAATACTGCTGGATCTTCTGCTAGTATTCGCTTTGATTCCTTCGTGTACTACTTAGTAGGCCCTAATTAAAGAGGTTTAGGAAGTCTATTAATAAAGCGATAGGCCTACATCTTGCTAACCGACGGCTTCCCGACGCGTTAGCATACACGATTCGCCTACGCTTCTAGTATCCTAGGAGTGATAGGTATATAGCAATCGTTTATATGTTGAATCTAGCGAATTAAGGCTTCTTCTTGATAGGCTTCTAGGGCCTGTTTAGCATTGCGTTTAGCTAAATTAGGCCCTATTCTCTTTTTAACACGGTCATATAGCGTACGCCTAGGAACGCCGAATTCGCGCGCTAAACGTGATATATTCGGCTTCTCTTCGCGTTATGCTGCCAAGCAGGCCTCGGCCATACGAGCTTCGTCGAATTTAGGCATATTTAGATAGTGGTTTTGGGTAGGGAAGCAAAAAATAGGGTAGTAGGAAAAGTGACGGTTTATGTGTGGGTGACGGTTCATACGTGGCGCACCCACAACCCGGAAGGGTTGGGTGGGGCGGTGTAAGGCACTAATAATAGTATTCCGCGCACACTAGTATTCCGCGCACCCCATCCAAAACGCGTATCCCACGCGTCACCTACTATCTTCCACTATACACTATGCCACCAAAACGTTCTGAAAAACGCTCAAAATCACCCGATAGGGAGGGTAGGATCCTATTAGCAATTGCTGCTATTCAAAAGGATCCTACCCTATCTATACGCAAAGCAGCAAGGATTTATAGCGTGCCAGAAAGCACGCTTCGCGACCGTATAAAAGGAGTGCTAAATCAACAGGAAAAACGATCATCTTTGAATAAGCTTACACAAGAAGAAGAAGATTCGCTTTGCTAGTAGATCCTATCACTAGATACGCGTAGAGCTTCCCCTAGGCCTTCAGCTATTGCTAGTATAGCGAATCTTCTACTAGTAGCGCGTAGTGATATCTTCCCTTCTCTTCTACCTCCTACTATAGGTGTTAACTAGGTAACACGCTATATTAAACGTCGATCTGAGCTTTATACCCGATTCTCTAGACGCTACGACTATCAACGTACGCAAAACGAAGATCCTACTAGCCTACGCGCGTAGTTTAGGCTAGTAGAGCGTACGATTTATAAAAACAGGATCCTTCCTAACGATATCTATAACTTTAATAAAATAGGCTTTGCAATAGGCTTAATATCTACTACTAGAATCGTTACACGGAAGGATATATACGGTCGGAAGCCTCTACTACAACCTAGAAATCGGGAGTAGGTAACAGTAATTGAATCTATATCGGCAACCGGCTACTCGCTTCCGCCGTGTATAGTATTTAAAGGGAAGGTTTATATTGCTAGCTAGTTTAATACTTCCTAGCGACTAGCGATTCGAAATATTACCGAACGGTTAGACTACCGATAATATAGGCCTACGCTAGCTAGAAAAGCTCTTTATTCCAGCAACTACTAGTCGTACGTAAGGCAAATATCGCTTGCTAATTTTAGACGGTTATAGAAGCTATCTAACACTACAATTCGACCTAATCTGCTAGCAAAATAACGTTATACTACTCTATATACCGCCGCATTCGTTATATTTTCTACAGCCGCTAGATATAGGATATTTTGCTATCCTAAAGCGCTTATACGGTCGCTTAATCGAGGCCTAAGCTCGCCTAGGATATAACTATATCGACAAGCTCGACTTCCTAGAATCCTATACACTAGCACGCAAGGAAGCCTTCCTACCTAGCACTATACAATCAAGCTTCGCCAGCGCCGGCCTAGTTCCGCTAGATACCGACCGAGTCCTATCGAAGCTTAATATATCGCTTCGAACACCTACACCTCCTACTACTAGTAGGCCTAGTAGTAGGAGTAGCGCTTTCGTGCCTACTACGCTATATACAATTAAGCAGCTTAGCAAGCAAGCTTTAGCTATCAAAGCTCTACTACGCAAGCGCTCGCGATCGCCAGGAAGCCCTACAGAGAGAGCGCTAGATCAATTAATCAAAGGTGCTGAACTAGCGTTTTATAACACTGTTTTACAAGCGGAAGAGATTCGGCAACTATATAGATTCAACGAGAAGAAGCGTCGAAAACGCATACTTTCTACTCGCCAGATATCTATGCAGCAAGGTTCTACGGTCAGCGAATCTATATCTCTAGATTCAACGTTGCCAGCAAGCGTTGAAGCTATTCAAAACGATGATGCAGAGCTTGCTCAGCAGCCTACTGAGGGCGCTAAGCCTACTACTAGGCGTGTATTTCAATGTTCTGGATGTAGGAATATAGGGCATAAGATTACTCGGTGCCCTAGTAAATAGTTGAATTAAATATATGGCGTTTTGGTAGAAAAATAGTGTTTTCAAAAAGTAGTGGTTGGTGGGGTGCGCGGAATACTAGTGTGCGCGGAATACTAGTGAAACACGTTATTACCTTCCTCTTATCGTTTAGGCCTTGAGACACGCTCGATAATCAAGATTGAAAGGAAGTGTTATATAGCTTCTGCAGGTCGTGCATAAGGGCAATCCTCTTTTTCTGGCAGAAACCGTGGCCTCAGCTCCATCATTAGCCCTGATATATCCTCCGTGAAACACATATATTATCGGAAAACAGCGCAGCAGCTTTATGCGAGACGTTTCATACGCTCTGAGCCTTATCATTTTGCCAGTCGGAACAATTTCATGTATCAGTGATTGCATAAAGCAAAGAGATGGAAGTAGGCCCTGAGTTGCTTTAACAATAGGGATTAGGTATAGGAGAGAGCGGGGGAGGGAAGGGAGGTGTTCTAATGCCACCCTACCATCAAACTAATACTTAACTATGATTTCAGACTTCCAATCCAGAGGTAAATTAAAATGCAAATTAATCCACCTATCTTATTGTATACAATTTCAGGGGCTATAGCCAGCGACGACATCAAATCAGCCAAGTCAACTTCATGAGTCAATTGTTGACCACAGGGGTAGCACGCGCAATAACACCATTCCCGCCCGTCAGCCTACCTTCTCCCTCAGTGAAATGTAGGTTAAACCCTACAGAAATAACAGTGTCGCTATCCACAGCTTCAATACCTGGAAACCCAATGCCACTTTTATTCCAAGATTGAATCCAAACATTGTCTAAATTCAAGCGAGCACCCGCGCCTGAAGCACGAATGGAATTGGTCTCGGTTATTTTGATCCTGACATTAGTTGCCTGGACTATGACACCGGGAGCTTGAATATTTATTCCGGTCTCCGACCCCTTATCCCCCTGGAAGTTGTAATTAACGATATGGCCAGTTGTCAGAGGTCCATCAATTTTGATACCCTGGTAGCCGTAGTCATTATCTGCGTTCGTAATCTGAAACTTACTGGTGATGTCTCCTTGAGGTGTATTGTCCCGTTTGCTAAATAGGAATCCAGTGCTGTATCCAAGAGTGAAAATGTTAGAGAACACTGGATTATCATTACGATAGCTTTCAATAGCGTGTGCATTATCGAATATGTATTTTTTGACGGGCGTCGCTCCATTCCAGAAAGGCCAGAAATGAACCTTATCGATCTTCACTCTGTCTCTTGCGTTGTCGATCGAGATACCGGTTTGAAGTGGTTGGCCAAATAAACGGCTTATGCTTAAACGCCCCGCATTTTCTGATACAATCCCAACCGTTGGGTTTCGTAAAAATAAATTTTCTAGGCACACATCGTGCGCAGCAACCAAGATAGTCGCTGGATATGGGTCAGGTTTCCAGGGCTGGTCATCCACAGGTTCTGGTTGTTCGTGGTATATCGCCATATCACGGATAATTGTACCCCACCCAGTAACAAAGATTGGAGTGATATCACGATTAGTGACCATCAGCTTTGAGCCATTCGTGGCAAGTGGGCTGCCCAATGGATTGTCGTTGAATTGTGGTTTTCCAGTGCCTGCCCCAGCTAGAATAACAGAGGTATCAATAGTGAGACCCCGTGTGGCATCCAAGCCTGTATCCGTGCGCTTATCAATGAGATATAGACCTGGTGGAAACCAAACAATTCCACCTCCAGCAGCGGCTGCTGCATTGATGGCGCTTTGGATTGCCGGAGAGTCATTGGCCTTTCCAAGTCCAGTTGCACCGTATTCCTGGACATCGAAATACCCACGCATGATACTGGAAGACATTCTTGCAGGGAAAATTAAATTGGAGGATATGAGGGTTCAAGTTATAATGATGATCAAGAGATTTGTGAGAGGCTTCCCTTCCTCCAAGAGACAGAAAGATAAGAGGAATTTCTCCTAAGAAATCCTAGACCAGGTCTAGAAGAGCTGTTGAGCTTATTCTGATATGAAAGAGAGAGGATATAGGATGATTTTGAGTCGCAAGGACGAGGGTGTGATTTGTAGATCAAGTCTAGATCAAGTCTAGATCAAGTCTAGATCAAGTCTAGATCAAGTCATGATATGCAGTGTCGAGCTTGCGGCATAGACTCCCGGGGAAGGACAACTTTAATTCGAACATGCCAAAGAGACAGGTCACTCATGCTTTCGACGATATGGGCGATCCAAACCTAAATTTGGATGAGGGGTGTCGTCTTCTTTTTTGCCATTCGAGACAACCTCCGCCGTTAGGCTGTGCCACCATTTGTTCATGATGATCTTGCACCGTACCACAGCGTCAGTTACAAGAACAACGAGAAGATGGATTTATGATTCTTTATCTATGCAACTGGCAAAAAGTGCCTGTCAGCTGAAGGGAATTGATCTAGAACATTTTCATCCAATAAACCTTAATGTAATGTTTCCCGCGGGGTAATTTGCCACATGAGAAGCTACCAGATGCTGGACTGGCCGCTTTCATCCCAAATCCAAGCCGCCAAGTGACGCTCACGCCAATTTTCTGGTGTCATATCCGAATTGAGAAGCTTTCTTTTGCATCCAAGCTTGGGCTGTGAAGACTGAGCAGTGTAGCCTGACTTGACACTCAAACCTGGACGCAGTACCACGGTATAGGCCCCTAGAGCGCAACCTGCTATTTGATGGTCCTTATTGTAGTCTTCTCGGACCCGATTCTTGCTCGTTGAGCGAAATTTCAGGTGTGTCTGCTCCAATCTTCCCTTCTCGAACCTTTCTACCTTGACATCCGACCGCTCAAATTTTGTCACCCTCCTCCCCCCTTCCCCAAGATACCATCTCCCAACTGTCTTTATCTCAGCGCGGTTGCCCATGTCAATGTAAGGACTCGGAATTTATGAGACCTATCTAGCCCATTCATATAACAGAGCGACCAAGTTTTGCGAGAGATTTGCGTCAAGAAAAGTTGTTTAAGGTTGATCCATATCCTGGTCGACCCTGCATTTGGTGTAGCCCCCAATTTGCACTATGAGTTGCTGTTCACGGTCGAAAGATCTTAGATTCATTCAGTTAATCGTCATCAAGAGAAATGACGACTGACCTCTTCAATCAGCTGTCGTATGGGAGACTTTGAGGTATGGAGTTTACAGAATACTTATGTGAACTGCGGGTGTTCTTCATGGATATACAATATGCTAATATTTCGCCTGTTGAGCGCGTAATGTTTTTTTATCTTTCAAAAGGGCTTATGGAGAGCTGCAGGTTCCTAGACCTTTCACAATCACGCCACGGGTCATTCTCGTTATTATAAGAGGCAAGGTAACAATGATGTGAGTACTCAGAACAATCACCTGACGTTATGCTGAGCTGGAGGGGCCGCTTTTTAATGGAAAGGCCTTGCCTGGTTGTATTTCCTTGGGTCTATAAATACCTCGTCGTTTCCTCCAGTAGATTATAAATATTAGCAGTACTTTCGAAATTTAAGCATACCTTCATCTTCTTGATCCACTTCCTACCCCTCGATCACCAACATTAAAGCTGACAGCCAACCGAAACTATTATTATTGAGTCGAAACGATAGTGAAGAAAGAACCTAGGGGAAACGATGCCCGCACCGAATATGGCCTGGCCTTAGTCCGCCCAGTACTAATCGACGAGCCCGCACCGGCATCTACGCCGGCCGTTCACCTCAATCTTACGCCTTCCCAACCGCCTCAGATAGAGACACTGCGCACATTGAATGATCCTAGTTACAGAATAAGGCACCCTCATATCAACGGTGAACCCGATCCTGGATCGGCTGGCCACTCCCACGGACACGCACCACCAATACTACAGATTGAAGTTGGCCTCGACAGTTCCATTCCAGAGCTCGCCTCTAGTGAGAGGATTCCCTTCGCAGAGTTGCAGGTTACGAGTCGTCCGCCATTAGATTTTCCTACTGTTCTCGAAGAGGCTGATATTTTGCCTGTTGAGACAAATGTTTTTGGCGAGATGGGCGCGCCACGTCTCCTGATGGCATTGGACGAAGAACGGAGAGAGCGAGCTTTGATCCAGCTGACCAGTGAGATTGCTACCTCCGACAATATTGGATCCATCGACGACTCCGGGTATGTCGTGGCGACCAAGTACGAAATGGATGTAATTGACCATGATTCGGGGGTTGTCACACCTCAACGCGGCGTGGCAGACACAACAGGCGAGGCGACTTACTACACAGCGATCGCCGTGGTCGCTCTAGCGACAGGAAACTAAGTCCAGCAGTCATGGGACATCGCTCACGCTAATGACAACATAATGAAGCTTCCCCGAGTGTTAGAGGACACAAGCTGGAGCAATAAAGATTCTGCAGGCACCCTCCACCCTTTCTGCCATCCCAAACTGTTCGATTATGATAAAAATAACGTGACGATTCAGCAACGGCCCTTGACAAAAGACTCTTTTGGTCCAATTTTGGCGGCGTGCTACTATGCATTCAGCTGTCCCAACAGCTCTACCGCTGTCCGTGGCCAGTGCCAGTCACTGCTGAAGAAGTTAATAGTATACCTAGAAAGTCACTAGTACACATTAAACACCAAATCGTTCGACACGGAGTTCTCGGGGGGCCTATTTGACTCGGCCGGCAAGCCTCAATCCAAGCTGTCCGAGATCGACTTCGTGCTCCTGCCATCCGATCTGGACATGGAGACCCAGAGGGCCACCATCCCACTGCTGGCACCCAATTTAGTTGTGTACTCTCTTGGAATAAAGGCAGAAGGGAATCCTTGCGGATTGTGGGCATGGCTTGCCCGCCAAGATGAGATCGTGGCCAGCCAGCTTCAGACATTCGAGGGTGAGGCGCTTAGCCACTGGAAGACGTACGCGTGGGAGACTGCGTACGATAATTGAATCAGACTCAACGTCAATCCCGACCAGGATAAGAAGGGGCCTCCCTGTTCCCGGTTAGACTACCTCGTATTGTGCGGGCTTACCGAGAAGGGTGCTCCAACATGGGACCTTGTCGCGTTGAACCAGCAGGTGGTTCTGAACGCCCTCGAAATAATGCGTGACGCTATCATCCAAGATGCCGAGAAGTTCTTCGTATTGCTTGGCCGTTTCGAGAGGGTGTACGTGGATGCACTGGATGCGACAGTACGGGAGATTATCAAGATTGAGGGTGAATTAACTCGGGAAATTTGGCGGGAAGGGAAGCAAGCGTCTAAGATATTGCATTCGCTGGAGGGCAAAGCGCTCCAGCAGTGGCGATGGACGGCCAACGAGGTCATCACCGACTTCAGCAAATGGGCAAATACGCTCGAGATAGAGCTAGTCGATGTGGAAAACTTGGTCAAGCTCCAAATCAGGCAGCTCGATGGAGTGTTGCGCATTTGGACCTGGAATAAAGCTAATAAGGCACTTGAGTCCTTTAGAGCCTTCGTTGGAACGCCAACAGTGGGAGATCTCCTTGCAGGTGCAGAGGAGGTGACAAGAGTGTTTCGGGATGCGACGGGCATACTGTCGCAGATTAGATGGCAGAAAGGAGTGAACCAGACCTACACTCAGTGGCGGACTTCAACAATCGAAGCATTGGCAAACGCAGAAGACTGTATTATTCACTCGGTTCGTGATCCAAGTGGGCAGTTGAGGCAATGGCGCTATGGTGAGGACCGCGCGTTGGAGAATTTTGGGCACTGGCTGACCTCAGATGTGACCGGTGTGTCTTCTGGCGCTGTACTTCTTCAGGTTGGTCCATTACCCACCTCAATTTAGACGACAGCTCAGCTAACACCGGCATAGGCAGCGATCCGCGGGGCCGCCGGTAACCTTCAAGTCGCTTTTTACGACGGCGCTGGCAACTTCCTCTTCCGGTCCGACTGGTCCATCTCCTCCCCCTTCGGATCGGTCCACGAAGTCGACTGTATCCTCAACCAGCTTCGCTCCCTCGATATGAGTTTTGAAGAGTGGCACATGGATCATTTGGTCCCACAAAAGTATCTCAAGTGGAAAGTTTCCACACCGGATGGAAACGCCATAGGAAAGGACCTCCTAAGGAGTGTGGAGCGACAATTGGATGGGACGTTTATTTCATGGTCATTTGCGAACGGGGTGGCGACAGTTGAACAGGTTGTGACTGGGATTGGGCAGGTTGTCAAGGATATTGGGGGTGCGGTGGGAGGAATGGTAGATGCAATTGGAGATATGTTTTCTGGGCTGCATTGGTAAGTTGTTTGAAAATGGCAGGTTGAGAAGATATTACATCTAAAAACGAATCGTATAGCTATTCAATTAACCTCGCTATATCATTATCACTTATGCTTCAATATAAGGGCACTCCTATTTACTAGGAGGAGACCTTAGTAGTGATCATGGTGGCTACTGACTATCTGACTAGGCGCACTCAACTATACGACGTCTTCGGTCTACTCTGTAGACCCGAGCCCGTGTAAGGCTTCAGAGATTCGGCAACGGTACGGTTGCGAATTACAGATCGTCAGAGCTAATCAGATAGGTACGTTAGCATAACGTACTATTTTACGTTAACTAGTGAACCAGAGCGCTCTATAGCCAGCCTGGCAAGCGGGCTGGATAATATACGTAGATCAACGAACAGACCAACAAATCACCACACACCACTATCAACGAGGGCTTCTTTAAAAGGAAACAGAAATAGTTTCAGCGAAAGGTGTTCGGAAGTTTTTTTTCTCTCCCAATCGGATATGCGAAGCTACGTATATCCTGTAAAGACTGTGTGCTAGGAAAGATGTCCTCCAATCAAAGATCACCTATCGTCGGTCATTTTCCCACTACACTAGTTAGCAATACGTGATACCAGGGAGTATGGATACATATTTGTTTTTATATATAGTACGTATATCCCTAGTAGATGCATCTGGTTATACTATCATAGGTGTTTAAGAGGTTTGGCGATAAAACCTAGGAGTCAGGCTGCACGCTGGAACTTGGCGGGTAAGCTCCGACAAAATAAGTAATCACTAGGTCGATCTACATCTTTGTACTCCGTAGCGATCCACAAACTAGAAATTGAGTGGCGTACTTGTTGTATTTAGTATTCTTAGTAGCGTGAATACTGTAGTAGGATGTTAAGGGCTAGGAGAATACGAGATCCTGAAGGGTGCTGTCCCTATTTATTAGGCCTTTTTTTCCGTATCGAAATAATACATACAGTATAGCCCAAAGACGAGGCCCACTCCACCAATAATCTGGGATATTGGAAGCCAGAGATACCTTAGATCCCCAATCGTGCTAGTGTGCATACCTCAGACTCGACATGAGAGCCCCCAGACCGTAATACGGTCTTAGCTTTGTAACCGTGCTAGTACTCCCGAGTCATGAAGTCTGTATGGATGGATGGATGGATGGAATCAGATGAATTACCACAGGCACCAAGATCAGAGTGTGATCAATATGTGAGATGGGAAAGTATTTCAACTACAGAGGAGTTGGAAGAAATTGAGCGAAGGTGCCAACGTTTTTGGCAATGGGTAGAGATGATGTATATGGAGAACTAATTTGGTCGTGTGGATCTAACTATGGATGATTAGCTAGCTAATATTGAACACTTGCACTGAATTACCGTTTCGATAAAATGAGAGTATTGAACAAATTTATATGACACGGTTCAAAAACTGCCTAGCACGAGCGGAGAAGCTACTACCTGTAGTAGCTTAACTTAGTACTATAATATCATGGTTTCAAGTCATGTTTGTGAAAGGTCCTAGAAAAAACCGGTATATAGAGTCGACTCATATTTTACGTCTCCCCTCAGATTTCCTCCCAAGACTGAACTCAACAGCCATCTATATAAGATCAATCGTGCTTAACTCTATGATGACTCTGACCGGTCGATAACTTCGAAGGCCATGCTTGTTCCCAGATCTCCACCGAGAGGGTTCTTTGATCTAAAAAGCGAGAGAGAAGCAAGTTTCTTTGTGCCCAATTACGCCTTACGGTTAATTAAGAAGTATGCACCACCGCTGCCATTCAGAGTCCCAAGTAGAGCGTTAGACTCCGCCTCCCCTGCTTTGACTTTCATAGGGTTCCAATAACCTCCAATCGTTTCCCCGTTAGCAACCTCACCAATGACTGATCCAGCGTCCAAATTCGCGAAGCTAAAGCGAATGAAGTATTTCAAGTTGGTTATATCACCGCCAGGTGGGGGCGAGTTAAGGTTAAAGGGGGCGGCGATGAGTGCACGATAGAGAAGTTGGAAGGGAAAATGTGAAAGGAAAAACAGGTTGAAAGGCCAGGGCGAGCTTTTATGCTGGAGCCACAGACGATGGGGCTTACAGAACGACGCATTGGGGTGCTAAAATAGTAAGAAAGGAACAACTAGCCTCATGCAGTAATTCACAGGTCTGCCGTTTATAAAGGAAATTAAACAAGAGCGAGATTGGAACCTTCAAGCTATTCCTCGAATTTGAACAGATGGATGATCAGTCTCCAGCTTTCTGGTATATGCTGTGATGCATCCTAATGTTTGATTTTCAACAATGGAAGATTTTGCTATCCATATTCAATTCATGGCGATTAATTAAGCGGACACAATGATTTTAATAAAGATTTCGATCAAGAAATGGAAATCCACTTGTACATCTGTAATCCAATCAACAAAAGTATGGTATGTAAAGTAGAACACGTCAAGTGCGATAAAATTAAATCAAACTGATCCAGGTTGCTTTCTTGGCTCTATATAGCCATAAATTTTCATTTGTTTCCGTACGCCGCTACTCCTTCATTCATTCCCCGACCCCTGAACAGCTAAACATGCAAAATCAGGTGCTGGGCAAAGGCTTAAAAACTCCTCCAAATAAGGATGATGAAGATACCCGCTAATTTCATACCAATGAACTTGTTCCGAGACTAGAAATTCAGAAACCCAATATCTTATTTTGGGGGAGCTTCAGGGGGCTGCTGTTGTCCAGGAGGGCCATCTGATACCCGAGGCCGCTTCGACTCATTCAATCCATGTGGAGGAGGTACAGCAGAGTTTGTGACAGGTGAGGTGCTCGCATTAGTAACATCATTCAAAGGAGGACGTTTGCCGTTCAAATTCTGTGGTGGAACGCTACCTCCTCTATTCATGACAGCGGCATTTGGTAAGTTTCTCGGGTCAATGTTGGGCCGGGTCAATGGTCGGTAAGATGAAGTCGATGGGCCTCTTGATAGAGGGCTGCCTACCCCACCTGACGGACCCCCTGGAGCTCCGACTCGACGCTGCAAGTCAGTTGCAGGGTTAACATAGTCACGAGAGCTGTTGTTGGCTGGTGGAGCACCAGAGAGCATAGGTTTGGAAATTGGAACACTCTTAGAATGGTCCACACCAGCAGTTTTGCGGATGGAGGGACTTTCCGCGTGGGGATCAAATTGAGTTCCTGGAGCTGGTACAGCGTTGGGGTTATCCCGAACAAGATCGACTGCTCTTGCGGAGTAAAATCCCACTGACTGGGATCCCGCTGGTGGTTGATTCGGGTCTTGGTTATGCGAGAAACCAGGTTCCCTTTTTATCTGTGGCTGGGCATTGGAGTTGTGCATTTGTTGACCAGGGTCCGTCGGTCGAGCACGCGGCATACTCTGTGGGGCAGGTGCGGGCATTGATTGCCTCGTGCCGGACATAGCTGGTGGATTTGCTCTGGCATTTGGCGGTAATGACTGTCTTGCAGCAGCAGCATTGGCAGGGTTCCATCTCTCCGGTTTGGAAGGTGTTACAACAGAAGAGTCAAATCTACCAGGCGGTGCTCTCTGGGGAGCCGGACGGTTCATAGGAGTTGGAGGCTGATGCTGCTGGTGTTCAGACTCTATTGATATTTCGTCCGGGTTTCCTGTGGTGGTAACAACAAAATCTGCTTCGTCAAAAAGGTCGCTGCCAAATTCACCATCTCCATCAAAGGCAGCGATGTTTTCAGACACATTATTTTTCACAGGCTCGGCTGGACGCGGCCGAGGGGGTAAGTCATCATCTTCAGCTATGCGTTTTGGAGCAATGGTTTCTTTCTTGATTGGTGCGAAATCGGGGTGGCGATGGAGCTCATCAACATCCCACCTGGCCTTGGAATAATTAGTAGGCTGTGCTACATGACTCTGACTTCTTCGGTAACTACTTACCGGTGTAGATTTGACTTTGGTGACCTTGGATAGATAATCTTTGTCGTAGACGCAATTTCCGAGGACGTTACCGAAATTTCTCAATGTACGTTTTAGAGCATCTGTGGTTCCTTCTTTCTTAGATTTCTCGAAAGCCGCGGCCTTGCCCTTGCAGTTCTCAATATGGCCGTAACCAATGTCCTAATGGATATATCAGTCAATGTTTTCGAGATATACTGATTAGGGAAAAGCATCCAGACCTCATGGAAAGACCCATCTCGGAGAGTCACCCTCACAATAACCGATAGCCCCAAGCTGATCTTTCCAGTGTTTTGATTTTCCTCAATCTGGTCAACAGGTATTAGTCTGATTTTTTTGTCGCCAGAGATTTCAAAGGCGACATACAAAATCTATGTCAATTTTTTGAATCGAGCTGGACCAGCCATTGAAACCAAAGACCTCATTCGCCAGATTGATGCACTTGTCCGCGGAGAGATAGTGAACCTTTGACCCCGCAGCGCCAGGTCGCGAGGAAATGTATTCGGGGCCAAGTTTCTTGTCGAGGCGGGCCTGTAATGTGGCAATTTCCATTGCAGTATACTCATTGATGCGGCGTTCGGGTTCCTCAAAGGGGTTCGCAGTGACAGGGCCTGGGGCGTTGGGCATCCCGATAGAGGCGGGTCCGCCACGATGCTGGTCCCCAACACTGTGAAACGCCATCAGTTAGTGATTCCATGGAGAATATATATTTAATTAGCAGTCTCATCCTCACGCTGGCATTCTGAGAGGGTGCTGTGATTCTGGTTGATCGTTAGGCAGAGAGCATCTCGGCGTGTCAAGCGCGTCTCGGTCATCGCGCGATGACTCGCGCGATCACGTGTAGATAAGTGCCTGATAAATCGGTCCGCAATTCAAACAAACTACCTATGTCCGAAGTAGAGCCTTTGTAGTAGTTGCTCAGGAAGTTTTTACAAAGAAGAATTTTATTGGATTTCCATAATGGGAGGGAGTTACAATTATTCATTGGATATCATTCCAGCAAAGATATACTCGCTTATGGGTGTGCCTTATATGCCGTACCGACAACGTATCGAGGATATCATATCGTTTGTCTCTCTCATTTTTCACTTTTTCACGAAGGCGTACCCAAAGGTCTTCAATGAAGCCAGCGGTTTACCAAATTAGTTAATACCAAGGCTCGCACTAGGTACGAGGCCCAGTTCCTTCAAAGTCTCCCCGAATGACTCGGCATCAAACACCTTTCTTGGGAAGTTTTGGATGAAGCTCTGTACTTCGACGCCATCCTCTTGCTTCAGAGTCGCGGCCACTTCAAACAAGGTCGTAGTGACAGGAAGCGTCTTCATAATGTTGCCTTTGGGAGTCTGGAAACGCAAACGCGTCTCGGTATAAGCAGACGCAGGCTTAGACGCTACGGGTCCAGAAGTGGTCGGCGCTGCTGCTGGCGTGGGCTCGGGCGGAGCGGCCACTCCAGCGCGGTCAGCTCGTTCACGCTCTGCCTTTCGACGTCGCTCCTCCTTATCTGCTTCAATCTTAGCCTTGATGCGCTTGCGTGCGTCGATTTCATCTTGCTTCTCTTTCTTCTTCTGGGCTGCCTCTTTCAACATTTGCTTCCGCTGTAGCTCCTCCTTTGCGTCCTGGCTCTCCTTGGTGCTCTTGCGACGAATTTCCTAAAAATGTTAAAAAGCCCGGGGTGAGTGCCCATTCATATCTCGTACTTTCTTGTTTATAAGCTAGCATACCTCGTTTCGCTTCTGGTCGACCTTGTCCTGCTCGGACTGCACTGCTCGCTTTGCTGCCAGTCTCTCTCTAAGCTCTGCTAGTCGCTCCTTCTTCTGCTCTTCATTCAAGGGTGCGATTTCCTCGGTGGACTCTGAGAAGTCCACGTGCTGCGATTTGGAAGCGTGGAACTCGGCCTGCGCCTGGCTTCGGAACTTCTTCCCACAGTCGTTGCAGACCAAGCTGCGAGCCTCCTCGCCGGGCTTCAAAGCCGGTGGATCTTCATCCTCTCCCTGTTGTAATTGTGCTGCCTGAATTTCCTCCAGCGATTTATCTTGATTTTCCTCGAGCCATTCTAGCGCCCCCTGCACTGTACTGGTCGTTAGAGCGAAAGACGGAGGAGAAAGCTGGTCAAAGAATAGCTTACGGCCACCTGTCTTTGAAACTGCTAGTTGTGCTCTTTCCTTGTCGAAGCCCATCTCAATGAGCTGGTCGAGATCAGAAGCCATGGTTTGTGAAGTGCGGGAAACAGGGTGAACAGAATTCGATCGAAGAGGAGAGTATAGCACCAATAAGCAGGTAAGATTGGTCCGATGTAGAAATGAAATATCAGGAGGAAAGTCCACCAAAAGAGTGTGGGGCTCGAAGCAAAGATGTGACTGATGATTGAAGTGGACAAAAGAGGTTCTGGGTGACGTATCGTTGAAGGCGGCGGGCGGCGAGCGCCAAGTGCGGACCCGCTCGCGATCAAAGATCGAAGCTCGGTGCTGGTCAAAGCAGTCTGGGTAACTTCCGGGTCTTCTACACCTTCTAGACAGTTCAAGAATTTTCGCTTATATGTTCTGACTACTTGGAAACATGGTTGTGTTTTTGAACACCCAGGAGGAGGGGTTGGTAAAGTCATTTTTATAACTACCTCAGGTCATACAAAGCATGCCATATATAATTGGAAAATCTTGGTAATCATATGCAGAGAACCAGATCCAGAAATCTGGTCGTATTCAGATTTTCATTTTACGCCAGGTACAGAAAACAGTACTCCTTGGCCTTGCAGAAGCAGAGTCTCCTCTCGCTGCTTAGGTCATAACGTACAGCCCATGTGAATTGGTATAAGGCCCCAAGAAGAGAACAGAGGAGTAAAATAGTATAACCCTAGATTTCATTTCATGCAGTGTCTATTTACAAGGTTAATGATTATATGGCAGTATTGACAGGGATGGTTTCAGCCGCAACAACATGTAACGATATCTGTGAATATGAAACCATTCGTGGCACAGCTGGGGTGATTATGATCGTTCTAGTAGTCCGTCCACGTCAATCCGGAGAACCCCACAGTGGACAGCATCACATGCGGTGGTAATATATGGATATTCCTCGGAACAGCCATCACTTATGACCGCCGAGGCAGCACATCCAAGGCACTAAAAAATACCACCTTCTTCAACTCCAAGATACTCAACAAGCAAGATCGCAAAATCGCTTTGCTGAACACAGTGACATCACCTGACTGCTTACTCAGCACATACACGAAGTGGACTCGGACAACAATAACGAACTCCTGAGGCGCCAAATCCCTTGACCAAGATAACCTCCCCTCACTTGCCCCATCCACAATCGCAGGCCGGTCCAGATAGTTCTGGGTCCACAGACTCTGCATCTATCTTCATTTTCCCCTTCAGGCCTTTCTCTACGCCCTCACGATCGCCATGTCTGTTGAGATCGATCCCCCGGAGTTAGGCTTCAAGCGTGAGTTCCACCAAACGACACATAGCCCAGAAATGAAGGCAAAGACTGACCTTGAGTATCTGTAGGGCCTTTCAACCAAGAAGTTTGTCAGATCTTGCATCTGCGCAATACCAACCAGGAGCCTGTGGTTTTCAAGGTATGCGAACGTTCCCCAGACGCATTTGTCAGACGCCGACTGACGTGATGGTTTCTTGTGTGTTAGGTTAAAACCACCGCCCCGAAGCAGTATGTCTAATCACCACATTCCCAGTGTCTCAATTTTCTCACCGGCTGACTGGGTCTTAGTTACTGTGTCCGTCCTAACTCCGGCCGGATTGAACCCGGCAAAACCGTCGATGTCCAAGGTTCGCGACCCGCTCTCGATAAGAATCGATACACTCGCAACCACCGACTTCAGCTAACTGGGTTTGCACAGTCCTACTCCAGGCCATGAAAGAGGAGCCAGCTGCGGATGCGAAGTGCAAAGACAAGTTCTTGGTCCAGTCCGTCGCAGTCACTCGTGACATGGAATTCGCAAATGTCACATCCATTGTATGTTGCCTTCCCTGCTCGCGACGCCAAGCTCTCTGCTAAATACTTTTTTGGTTTGATAAAGTTTGAAAAAGCCTCGAAATCCTCCGTGGTCGAACGCAAGATTCGTGTCAACTGGCTGCCATCTGATGCGTTCCTGGGCTCGGAACAGGCTAAGATGAATGACTCGGTGGTATGTTCTATTGCGCTTCTCATGCTTAGTGCAGTGACTGACTATCTCGGTATAGGTGGTGGAAGATGAGCCTCCGGCATACACCTCTCCTGGTGGAAACTTTGAAACCCCTGCTCCTGGTGTCGTGAAGAAGAGTGCCGACCAAACATCCCCGATTCCTGCTCCCGATTTCGAGAAGCCTGTCAAGCCCGAGACTCCCCAGACCACCGAGGCTACCTCGTTCACGAATACAAGGGCCACAGCGGCCAATGCAATTCCTTCTAGTGATGATGTCAAGGCTCAGCTTGCCGAGGCAAATGCGCACATTCAACGCCTGAAAGACAGACTCGCGGACCAGGGATTGCGACAGCGCAAGACTGGTGGTGATGCGAAGGCAGCTCCAGCAACCATGCAGCAGACGCACACCCAGACCGAGTCCGGGGTATCTGTTCAGGTCGTTGCTGGGCTATGTTTGATCAGCTTCCTGATCGCCTACTTCTTCTTTTAGTCTCGTTTCGTGGACCATGTCGGACTGGTCTCATCTTGTTTACGCCTCCGATCACGTTTCGACGCCTCTTGCCCTTTATCCCAATTTTCATCTACCTACCTTCTGTGTCTCTTGAGGAGCCTCCCGTCTTTTGTTTTCCGCATCAGCATTCTTCTTGTGTCTCTTTTCTTTCCTTCCTCTGGTATCCATATTTCTTTATTCCACCCAGCCCTGCGTGAGCCCTCAATTGGCTTGAACCTTTTTCTCCCCTTTCACTCTTCTTTACCTTTCCTGTCTTGTCTAATATCATGTTACGATGAACGGACTAAGCGTCTCAATTTCCTTTTGTCATAAATGATCGATAGCCTCCGCAGGATAATCAATACCCTTGCCGATAGCTTCTTAGATATCTTACGCTCTTTGTCTTCTATGTTTTAGAGCTACGCCTAGATTCTTGGAATGGACTTCTTTGGTTCTAATTTCCAGCTTTGGGAAAAGGGAGCATGGCTAGCTGAGAACCCTGCCAAAAACCTAAGAGCTTACATAGAACGTTAACCAGGCTATAATCCTTGGATGCTAGGAAGTTTTTAATCATGCAGTCTAGAAAGCTCGAAAAAATACCATTTTGATTTGTATCATTACTAGCCCGTAGTATGTACTCCATGTAGTTGTAACACCAGCCGAAATCAAATCCGAGATAGTCAGTGCATCTAGCATTGGATCTCGCTCTCCTTCCACCCGTCACCCTCCTCGCCGTCCGGACCTGCCGACGCAGCTGAGATGCCCTCTCCCCCACGCCCAGTGGACGTCTTAGACTTAGTGCTGCCACCACCAACAACACGTCCGCCCTGGGCACGCTTCACACGGCACCACGGGCCAACATTCTTGTCCAGGATGAATGTCCAAATCACCCAAACCCAGCTGCGATGGCAGGGTAGGGGCTCGTAGAATTCTTTCGCCACCGAGTGCAGCTGGTGCAGTCTGGTCCAGGGGATGGCCGGGAAGTCATGGTGCTCATTGTGCAAACCCACATTGTACGTCAGGATGTTGAGAGGCCCGTAGTAGGAGTATGTCTCCGGCGGGGCTAGGGAGCTCAGCGGGTGGGAAGCGTCGACCTTGGTGCCGGGCTTCTGCTTCAGCTCCAGAAGGGACTCTGTGCCGCCGGTCTTCACATTCGAGAAGAAATAATGCTCGGCGATGAAGTGTCCCGCACAGGGGTGTAGAGATCCCGCGAGGAAGGAGCTGGCAATGAGGTAGTAGAACGGCTGAAAAGACCCGGTGAATCGAGTAAGGGCATAATCAAAGCTCAGTTGCACGAAGAGGTTGAGCAGGTGGATTGAGGTGAACGGTGGGCTATAGATGAACATAGGGCGCACCGCGTAGAAGAGGATCTGGAAGGTGCAGAAGAATGTCTTGCCCAAAAGGGAGTTGAGAAAGAAAGCTTCAAGTGCGGTAGGAAGATCGGTGTCGAGACCAGTCACGCCGAGGGATTTATGGTGTGTCAGGTGGTATGGCTGGAACGAAATTATATGTTAAAACCGAATTGAATCCCATGCAAAACCCTGGCTCCGGTTTGGCAACCGGCTAAGTGGCAATGACTGTGAGCAGCCTTGGGTTGACAGCAGACTTACTCGGAAAGCAGCACTATAGGGCAGACCGATAGGGAGGTTCGCGAAGATAGCCAGCAGACGATTGGCCATTGGCGAACGGAATGCCAAATTGTGAGAGATCTCGTGGATGGCGAGGAAGAGGTTCTGGTTTGAGGTGGCCCCAACCACGTATGCGGTAGCCAGAAATCGCCAGTCAAGGATGGAGGTATTGCGAAGGAGGTATGCGCAAGAGAGCTGGATGGATACGACAAGAAGAACGACCCATTTTGTAAGAGGTTCTGGTCCGCAGAGTTTGGTAACCTGAAGCCAGAAGCCATAATCGTTAGCAGCTAAATCCAGGAACCGCGGGACGGTTTGTCAGGAACAGTTGGATCTCGCCCGGTACTGGTCGGGGCTCCGAAACAGGGGTAATAGAAACGCATTCGACGTTGACGAGAAATTCGTACCTCTGGATGGGCCTTGATAATCGCCTGGCGCCTTGAACGGTGCGGTTCCTCTGTGTATGTCCAAAAGAAGTGGTCTTCGACCGAGGAGGTCTCTGGCGGCGTGATTCTGGCGGAGGTGGGCTCGGTGGTCCCAGTGGTCGCTGAGGATGAGGCCTTGGCCGCGGACACCCGCAGATGAGGCGAGGCGGTTTCAACAACCGAAGGCATGTTTGGAGAGAGCAATGCAGATACGTGTCGACATGAAGAACAAGAGCGGCCTGGAAAAGGCGGAAGCCTCCTCGCTCCACGTGGGGCGACGCGGCAGACTTGGATGGTCCGATATGGCTTGGCAGTGATCTACACGCCGGATGACCGGACGACTGAGATGTCGACCATTACAGATGAGGTGCCACGATTCTACTTCTTTTGGATCTAGATATAGTCGTTTTGAAAATTCGATTCGTATTTTGTTTCTAAATTGTTGGCTATGATAAGACTAATAGTCGTCTCCGCGGCTAATAACTTCCTTGACGGTAGGACGGAGCACAATAGTCTAGGATTGCGTCAGTGGATATGAATGATATACTGATATACCAGAGAAAAAGGACACGTACATGTTCATACTGTGCAGTATAGGAGCCCTTAATGTCGCAGAGAGGCGGGTAGTCCTGGACAATTCCTGAGGAGACCAGGTTGTTCAACTAGATGGATATCAGTTAACTCTGCTCTTGATAACGACCACACAGCAAAAGCAAACTTACCCCAAGGAGATATTTCTCCTGGCCTAGTCGGTCTAGGTACCGACGGCAAAAAGGCAGAGTGCCAAAATTCTTGTTAATCACGCTGAGCAGATTCTTGGCGGAAGAGAGACGCAAGGGGACATTGGGGGCATCAGCTGCCAGAGCGTAATGGGAACATTCCATCTGGAATCAGTGAGTAAGTATGTATGGGGGCCAAATTGATGAAAGTAATGGGAGACTTACGTCTTCGCGAACATAACCCTTGCCAGTACTGCCGAAAGTCTCGATGGCAAATACTTCACCCTCCTCCATCTTAGTCTGGTCACTGCTCTTGACGATAGGCACGCTCTTTCCACCGTGGATAACGTGCTGTTCAATGTTGTGACCGTTGAGGTTTCGAATACATTTGACTGGGTACATGGTACCGTTGAGTTCAATTTCATAGCTCTCCATGGCTTCCTGGATGGCAGCGCCAATGTCGCTCATGCGCACATCAATACCAGCTTCCTATGAATCAATTAGCCCACTTTATTATGATGAATAAGGGTGTCGAAGTCAAACAAACCCGAATACCAGTGTTTGTCGCATCCTTAACTGCTTCCAGAAGCGGATCATACACTGGATCAAAGGTCATGGTAAAGGCACTGTCCACGATGCGACCATTGAGCTGAGCACCGAAATCCACCTTCATCACATCTCCCTGGTTCAAAACCATCTTGTTGCCGGCATTAGGTGTGTAGTGCGCGGCGCAGTGGTTGATACTCAGTCCGCAAGGGAATCCCATACCGCCCTTGAGGTTGTCACCCTCTTCGAGACCTTGGTGGCCAGTCAAGGCTCGGACGGAGTCTTCAATACCTTCCGCAATCTCGGTCAGAGTCTGGCCGGGTCTGATGTTTTTCTGCGCATACTGGCGAACTTGGCGGTGGACCTCAGCGCCCTGGCGATATTCTTGTAGGAAGTCGTTGTTCATGCGATCGAGGTAACGTTTCTCTTCGTTGGTGGTGCGGTAGGCATTGTCGTTCTTGTATTCGACGATCTCGCCCTCGGGGTATTGTCCATTGGGGAAGAGGTTAGATACGGGGACACGCGGCGGAGAGCTCTGGACCTTGGCGCCGCCCTTCTTCTTCTTCTTGGACTTGCGCTTCTTCTTCTTCTTGGCAGCTAATATGCGGCAATAATGGTCAGTATGGGTTGTCGCGAGCGAGTGCAGTCGCGAAGCAGGCAGTATGAACTAAAATCCAAGAATCAAGAACCAGAATACATACCTCCGGCTGCGCCAGCATCCGGGGCGCCTTCTCCTTCTTCTTGGTCGTCCTCAGAATCATCCTCCGCCTCGCCAGCAGCAGCCTGTCCAGCTGCGGGGGCATCGGCCTGGGCGCCGTTTGGACCATTCACTAGGAGGGAGTTGGTGAGCGACAGGAACGTCCAGACGAGAATAAATTGAAACTTACGGTCCAACTGCTGCAGCTTCTCGGTCGCCTGAGCTGCCATCGTGGAATTTCACGGGGGTTAATAATGTGGATGTGGAAAAGAGGGGAGGCGACTCGGAAGTCGGGGAAGGATTTTCGCTGCGATAAGATACCGACCGCGCTTAATGACGGAGTGGCTTAAGTATCTGCTTGGCAGGGCCAACATCCTACCACTGTCGGCAATTTTTATACTCCCTGTTTCATTCGGGTACGACATCCTCAATTTGTTGTTTAATTGCTCTTACACAATTCCGCCTGAGTTTTTGATGATCATTCCGACGGCGCTTGGCAATCATCCATTCGACATATTATCTTTTCTAAATCAAATCCAAGTTGTAACGCACAGAAGATCACGAAATGGTGTAGCACCTATAGGGGTGATTAATCAAAAACATTCCGCCTTTAACATCTGTAGTGGCATTTCCAATCAGCGACATGAAGGGGGAAGATGAGGACCTTGACTGCTTATTCTACCTTTCTCTCTTATCTACTTGCACACTTGCATTCCAAGATATTCAGATATGATTTGGCATCATACAGGTTTTGAGTGTTTTTAATATACTATATATCATTACATATCGATCTTTCAGGGCCGGATTGGGAGCATACAGTTTGATAGTAGGGCTACGTGGTTTGATCCTTTAGAAACTTGGATGAAGCTGGATCATTAGAAGCTTGTATAGTGGTTATGTTTCGCATACTATGTCCTACATTCTACATGTTTCTTGGTTATTAGTTAGAGAGAATTCTGGTTAAAACATCGATTTCAACTTTGTGGTTAGCGTGGATCCAACTGGATTTCACTAGCCTTTTCAGGGGTGTCTAGTTTAAAAAGGGATCACAAAATCTCAAATTTCAAACTGAATAAAAAAAACTCCAAGGATCAAAGGAGTTGTACTTACATAAATTACTCCATAAAATCAGAGTCTGCTAAAGAGAGAGAATATGAGAAAAATCTCAGTGAACCAAAAACACTACCAGAAGGCAACCAATAAGTATTGCTCTATGCAATTCGATTTATGTCGAAGCGCATTTGCAAGATGCCATGTGGCAGGACGCTCCAGGTTTCAATCCGACTGATGACATGTGTGCCGCGGGGATAAGCGCCCAGGACTATGTAGGCCACGACCTTACCTAGCCGAGTACCAAGGATCTCTTCGTATTCCTGGCTACCCATGAGCCAAAGCTGAGAGCGATTGGCTGGCCAATTGCTGTTGATGACGTTGCGAATGAGATCCCCAGTCTGGACGTTAACCGCGTTGTCAATGAAAACAGACCGCAGGGTGTTCCGCTCGTAGTCTCTCGCATACACAGCAAGAGAAATCTCAGAGATATATGGATCCCGGCCGGGATTTTCGCGCGCAGCCAGCGGCCGGTGGGCACTTTCAATAATGATGAAACCGGGCGCTGTGATTCCAATCCATTGTGCGTTGTCAAAGTGGAGGGTAAAGGACATGGCATGAGTGGGTGTGATGGGCATCGCCACATCAAACACGAGAGAAGGAGCCAGGGCTATTTGCATTGGTCCGGCGTAGTCAGAACACAACGGCACAATCTGCGAGAAAGTTAATGTCGCTTGTTGGATGCGGCAACCAATCGCGGTAGGATCGTTGATCCATCGAACAAGGTCTTGTCCTCGCTCTTGGTAGCGCTCGCGGGCAACGATGGGGTCCCGACCGAGTTCGATGCGGTTCATCTCTAGAGCCTCTCGAGAACTACTAGAGCTACTACTTGCCGTTCGCGCAGGGCGGTGGAAACAGCTCAATCTACACCCCATTTTACGATACGATACGACAAATGTGTGAGCTACTTTGGCTATGACAGGACCGAAGGAAATTGGGACGAACGAATAATTATCGCTCTGGGAAATCCTTGGCGACCAAGAATAGAATGGCTATGGATCGGAAGGCTTTATTTATATAATTTTTTTGGCCTAGTGAATTGGACCCAAGCTCTAGTAGCAGATGAGATAACAAAAGTCTTGTTTTAGACAAAGGGGGCATTTTGAATCAGACAACAACAACAAAGGCCGACAAAGGAAAATCATTTAGGAAGACGAATTTGGGATGACTCCTTAGGAATCTGCTGGAGACCTGACTTAGAGGTTTGTCAACTAAGTTGAGTTTTGGTGCTATCAGTGAAAATGCAAAGGATGGCGATTTATAAAAAGACAAGCCCATATTGCGTTGACTACATACAAACTGAACATCTTACCGCCGAAGATATATTGAAGTATTTATTCAAACCCGGGGCAGATCTTTCAGACATCTGCACCAGGTGAACCTCTCAGGAGTTTCTTTTAGAGATTTCTACTTCATCCATGATGCTTTTACTTCTCATTGATAGTAGTGTATCTGACCCGAAGCCTGTGCGTTTTTTCCAGAAAAAATATCTCAGCCAAAGTATGCATAAGGGGAGATTATGGAGCCCGGTTGGGGTTTCGTATTTATCTTCTGCGATCATACTTCTGAGAATTGACAACTTCGCGGCATTCTGGATCAATTTCAATGCCACATACCGGATAAACACGATGATCCAGGCACAGATCGATAGTTCAACACATAAGAGTAAAGAACATTACTCTTTGCTATTCTGGATAATACCAATGCCTGATTTTACCCACATCCACCGTTACCAGAATCGACAACCTGACAGGCAGACAAGAGACTGTTAGAGGGGACGGTGGGCATCAACTGTATCGTGAAGCCTTCATAGTAGGTTCAATGAATTAATTTTCGAAATTTGGATAGTCGCATTAGATGTGCCGCATGAATTGGATCATTCCGCTTCAACTCTCAGAGATTGCACGCTCTACTTACTGTAGAAGTAGGGGCGGTCGTTATCTAATCTGATCATCAATCAGCATGGCGACTTCCAGTAATGAAGGAGCCCACGATATGCCAGCCTCTCACAGCTCAAAGAATATATAGAACCGTGATCCGCAAAAAACAATGATAACTTACAATTAGTTTTATTCAAATAAATTTGCTATCTTAATCCCGTGAGGAGTGTCCATAATCCCCAAACCCTCCTATGACGCCACTCCGATCTGCCGGGACCTCGTCTCCTAGCACTCCACATTTCCCACAGCTCCTCTTCCTCTTCGCTTCGCTCTTCCTTAATGTGACCAGCCAAACGCACAGGCAATGCAATCCCCCCGGACAGCAACCTTTTTCTTCTGCCAAGCACCACATACAACTAGCCTGGTCTCGCACCCACTCCATGTGCGTGGCAATCGCTACTTCTCGACTCCCTGTCAGCATCGCATAACGTACACGCGACCTCATCCCCCTCACCCCCGACGCAACCCCCACCATGCCAGACAACCCTCAATCTTCTACTTTGCCTATTCAACTAGCCCCCATTCCTCCCACGAGAAAAACCACTATGAAACCCTTGACCTGCCTGTAACCGCGACCGCCGCCGAGATCAAGAAGTACGTCGACATTCGCCGAAGACCCACTCTGGCCTCTTCCCAACGCAGCGAAACTCCCCCTCTCTAACAAAAGGTCATGTACCAGGCAATTCTACGCCCTCTCCCTCCGCCACCACCCAGACCGCAACCGCGATGACCCCACCGCCAGCCAGCGCTTCTCCCGAATCTCCGCCGCATACAACGTCCTCGGCAACGCGCAGAAGCGGGCCTCCTATGACCGCGACCATGGCTTCCACCATGCACATGCCCGCGCCCCAGGCCAACACCCCATGGGCAGCCACAGCAGCTACAGCGCAAACCTTCACCACAAAGGCGGCAGCTACGCCGGGTCGCGGCCGGCCAGCGGGCTAAGCAAGCGCCGGGGCACATTCCACGGACCGCCGCCGAGTTTCTACGCGCAGGGCGGGTACGGGACGACAGGGCGGACGGGGGATGGGTTCAGCGCAGGCAAGGCCGGAGCCCGGGCTGAGGGGAGTGCTGGGGCTGGATCTGGTTCTCAAGGAGCAAGGGAGGGGGCGGACCCGGAGGATTATACGGGGTTCATTGAGCGCAATCCGCTGGGGCATTTCAATGCGCGGGGGCATTTCCAGACGCAGCGGGCGGAGGATGCGCGGCGGCGAGAACGGCTGTCGAAGGCGCGGAAGGCGGCGAGGAAGGAAGAGTCGCCTATGGGGGGCGGGGAATTTGGCATTGTGCGCTTCATTGTTGTTTGTGGGATCCTTGTGGCGGCCGGTGGCATGACTGGGCTTTTTGCCTGGCCTTCGTCATCGGTAGACGGTGCAAAAGCTGGGAAGAAACGAAAGGATGCGGTAGCTGGATCTTGAGATGCTGGCAGTATGGAGCTGACATTTGCATGCATACTCTTCTCTATGCGCGCTGTACAATACAATTTTCTTAGACCGGGCCCAGCTAGCTAGTCCAAGTTCGGGTACGACAAATGGGATGTAATGAAACTCCATCAACAAAGGGAAATAGTTTAGATTTGATATACAAAGCGAAGCCATCGTCTAGGACTACGACCCACGCAAGATTATCTTAGAACTGACAGTAAATCAATCACCGTAGATTACATCATTCTGAAGTCGGATGAACAATGCAGCCACGGAGAACGACGCGAACATCCCCGAGAATCTTCAGAAGTCTCTCGAGTACCAGCCTACTAGTGGAAATGAAAGACGCTTAAGCCTCGAAGGTGAAGCTGGCGCCAACCTTGTGGGCAGCCTGGTTCAGGTTCTGGGTATCGAACGAAGCACCCAGGCCGAGAGTGACACCGGGGCGGAGCAGGACGTTGTAGGCCAGAGCGGCGACACCACGGTCGTTGATCTTGGCCTACAGAGAGTAAAAAAGGTCAATGTTAGCTTTCTAGGCTTGATTTGATACGGGCCAGTAGAGCCTAGGGAGAATAGAGGTGGGGAGAAAACGCACCTTGGCGAAAGAAGAGGGGTCCAGGCGGTACTTGCTGGCGACCTCGAGGCCGACGGCATTGCCGGAGTTGGAGTCCCAGGAAGCCTTAGCACCGGCCTCGACCTGAGCGTTGACGCGGTGGTAGTAAGAGGCGGAGAAGAGGGACAGGTTGTTGCTGGCGGTGATGGCAGCAGAGTACTGGGGCACGGAGTAACCGACGGCAGCAGAGTACTTGGTGATGGCAGCCTTGTTGACATCGTAGCCACCCTCAGCACCGACGAGGAAGCCCTCGTGGCCGAGGACAGCGTCGAGGTTGGCAGTGGGGCCGTTGAGGAGGTCGAAGAAGGCACGAGCATGCAGGTTGGGCTGCTTGAAGTACAGGTTGAGCTTGGCACCCTTGGACTGCTTGGCAGGCTGGTACTGGGTCAGGATCTCAGCCTTGAGGCCTTTGGCGATGTTGTTGTCCAGCTCAAGCTTGGTGTCGAGGGCATTGGCAGTGGTCCAAGCCTGGGTCAGGGTGAGGCCTGGGCAGGGACGAATAATTAGCTTGATTGTGTGCTTGACTGTGTTGGTCAAAACAAAAAAGTTCACCCAGCGAGATGCGAAGTGGCCGCACGACAGAAAGAACGTCATCGGCCGACCCTCGCGCACGCCGGGATCGGGTGGTTTGCATCGCATGGGGCCCTTACCGGTGGGCGCATCAACGTATTTGGCCTCGAGCTATATGAAAACGAGATACATTAGCTTCCGAGCCCTTTCCACCGACGCGACGTGGAATGAGGGGGAGCCTCGGGGAAAACTCACCTGGCCAGCAATGGAACCCTCGTGGGCGGACTTGCCCTTGACAGTGAAGGTGACACCGTTGGGGGCCTTGGACTTGACCTCAAGGTTGGCTATAGGATTGTTAGCCGAAGGAGCTTTGATAGTTAGCGGAGGAGTTAGGAGCAAAACGAACCCGGGCTGGCGTGGTAGAAGTCCTTGTTCAGGAGCTATCGGAGGCCATCAGCTATCGGAATTCCAGGAGCGGGCAAAATCTGCTTCAAGGAACAGCACATACGTCGTTGGCCGCCTTGGCGATGTCGGAGAAAGCAGCAGGAGCAGACATGGTGAATGTGTAGAGACTGAGAGAGTCGGGGATGAGGTGAAGAAAGAAGGAGAAGGAGTGCGATGATGTTGGGGGAGGTGGGAAGGGGCTCCAGCCACGGGCCGCTGGGCGCCCGGTGATTGGTCGCTGTTCGGTTGCCGGGAAAGCCCGCCGGCAAAGCCATTAGGTAAGCCCGGCTGATGATGCGGTCTACCCTAAAAAGGTGCTAAAATGTGCCGAAAACTTGCGAATGCTAGTGGGCTTCTAGAAGCCATGACAAGGATTTACTTCATATGAAAAGAGGATTAATTGAACGATGAATCCATTCAGGCAATTCTGCAGAGCAACTCTAATTGTGCAGTCCTGACTCAATGGTGATAGTATGTTTTTAATCGATCTCGGACACCGGCTGGGTATATGCACTCTTGCATTCTTCCAATCATAACTCTTTATCTATGCCTAGCAGGGGGGAACTGATCTAAGAAAACAAAGTCCATTTTGATACTCCGTCATTCGCGCCGCCTTATTTGTTGTATATTTTAGTAATTTACTCGGCAGAATCATACTTCGCGTTGTGGGTGGCAATAGCACTGTGGAAAACATTAGTTTGTTTTTTCAATGATGAACCGACGCCTCGCACAAAAAAAAAAAAAAAAAAAAAAGACTCACCGGCCACTGGGATCGGTCTGCTTGGACCAGGTAGGGGTCCAGCGCTCAACGGTCCCAGCACAGTGGGGAGGGAAGTGCTCGTCGAACATAACACGGTACCAGTAACTAAAAGGATAAGTCAATATCAGCCTCTACGAGGTTCCACTTAAGTTGAACAGATTGTAAAACATACGCCTCCTTGGTATCCGGGATATCGGTGCCCCATTCAGGCTTGGGGTTCTTCATCATCTCATCAGTGACTTGGCTCTCAGCGTGGTCCTTCAGGCCGTCAATCCAGCTGTAGCCGACACCATCGCTAAACTGCTCCTTCTGACGCCAGAGGATCTTGTCAGGAAGGTAGGGGGGAAACATCAGGCTCGTCGGAGGTGTCAAAGGCCTTGCGCAGGATGTACTTCTCAATGCGGTCCTTGGTGATCATCTTATCCGCGGGATCCACGCCCATGGAGGTCTCAAGGAACTCCTTGTCGAGGAAAGGCACACGGGCCTCCAGACCCCAGGCCAGCGTCGACTTGTTAGCACGCAGACAATCAGCCAAGTGCAGGTTCTTCACACGGCGGACGGTCTCAGTGTGGAACTCCTCCCGGTTGGGGGCAGCGTGGAAGTAAAGGTAGCCACCGAAGATCTCGTCGCTACCCTCACCACTCAGAACCATCTTGACACCCATAGCCTTGATCTTACGGGACAGCAGGTACATCGGTGTTGAGGCACGGATGGTGGTCACATCGTAGGTCTCAAGGTGGTAGATGACGTCGGAGAGTGCGTTCAGGCCGTCCTCAACGGTGAAAGTAAAAGCATGGTGCTTGGTGCCCAGGAACTTGGCCACCTCGAGCGCAGCCGCGGTATCGGGGGCGCCAGGAAGACCGATAGAGAACGAGTGGAGCTGCTGGAAAGTGGTCACAGTCGAAAGCTCGTTCTCATCATCAATGCCGACCAGGTCGGAGGACGCGGCCTCAGTCTTTGCGGCCGCACGGGCAGCTTCTTGCATACGCAGAGTCTCGCGCTGAGCGATAGAGGCCACCAGACTGGAGTCCAACCCGCCAGACAACAGAACACCATAGGGCACCTCGGCCATCAGACGCTTGCGGACAGACTTCTCCAGAGTGTGGCGGAGCACCTTATAATCGACGGGGGTGGAGGGAACGTTAGTGGGATCCCACCACTTGGGCTGGAAGTAGCGGGTCATTTTGTCGGTCTTGGAGTCGTAGATGTGTCCTGGAGGGAAGGCAACGATCTCGTCACAGATGGGGTGCAGAGACTTGAGCTCAGAAGCGAAGTAAACAGCGCCGGGAGTCTGCGAGGAGCGACCCAGATAGAAACTGATGATGCCAATGGGGTCACGGGCAGCGATGACACGATCCTCCTTCTTATCCCAAAGGACAAAGGAGAACATACCATCGAGGTGCTTAGGCGCATCGAGGCCGTGCTCGATATACTGACATCGTGAGGAATAATCAGCCATTGCCATGATCTGAGAAGATCAAATTTGCGGGTTGCCATACCAATGGAAGGATCACCTCACAATCTGAGTGAGTCTTAAAGTTGTACTTGGTCTTCAAACCCTTCCGCAGGATACGGTGGTTGTAGATCTCACCGTTGACGGCGAGGGCGAGGGAGGAGTCATCGTTAACGAGGGGCTGGGCACCGGAGTCTAATTAGAGAAGTATGGCTTTAGCGATTTGTACTGAGGCATGATTGCAGTTGTCTTCAGAAAGGGACACATACCGACACCGACGATGCACAGACGCTCATGTGCCAGGACTAGGAGACAATGCTGTTAGTTTGCAACCACGACGACTCTGCATGGGCCATTGAACATACTAGTCTGGTCGCCAATGAAGCTTCCACCTGTCAAGAAGTATGATGTTAACGCCTGATCTCTCAATGGCATATGCTACGAGTCCAAACGGTTGTGACTCACTCCAATCGGGACCACGGTGGCGCACACTGCGATTGACAGGAATATTAGCGGAAATGTCACAATTAGGTACAGGAACTGTACTAATAGGCAGATACTTACGCCTTGGCCATGCGCAAAGCCGTGGGCTTGAACTTTTGCACATCGGGGTGACTGTCGCGGGACAATTAGCCTTGACTCAACCAGTGCCGGTTGTGGCCCCGTTCCGGGGCAAGGTACAGCGGGGTGGGAGGAGGGGGGGGGGAGCAGGTCTGGATTGAGGCACGCACTGATGACACGCGAAGATTCCACACATGATGGGCAGAGATCGCTCAGCGGGATAGTCAACAGGATTTCAATTGGCAACTGGAGAGGTGTTGAAGGAGGAAGAAAGATTGACTAAGCGCGGTTCCGGGGGAGGAACCAGAGAGGCGATTTTTTTCATTTCCCCTTGGCGGGGCGAGGGGCGATGTCGGCTCGGATCAGGGAGTCTTTGAGTCACCGATAAGATAACACCCACCCACTGGTGAGCCCGCGATTACTCTACACATTCCACGCCAGTTTGAGAACTCGATTGTGAAGCAATACTTAATCGTTCATGTGTTGTGCAAGATGCAAGGTTCTCTGTCTGCAAGACCAGTAGCTAATCTGTAAAACGCCTTCCATTGGGTAGTCTAACGCCGCGCTCGTGATCGGTTCCTTCGAACAGAGATGCAGTCCCGTCGCCGAGGAAAATATCATGCACTCCGAATTTGCAACCGATTCCCTGACCAAAAGCTGAAATGATTAAAACGAACATGCAAAGGGAGAGTTGATGAATTTAAATAGGTGGATTTTCCTTGACGACTTGACGGACCCGCCGCTCATAGGCGGGCTTATCCTTCTTAAACAGATTGTAGGCGTCGGCCTGGGCGGGTGAATCGGGGTTCGGATCATCCAAGAGGTCTTGAATACCAAGAAGAATCTGTTTAATGGTGATGGCTGGACGCCAGTCTTCTTCCTCGTTCAGAATTGACAGGCAGACAGTGCCAGACGGATACACATTGGGGTGGAAAAGAGGAGGATTGAATTTGCCTGCCCGAAATAATCATTTTGTTAGCCGCTTGAAACGCTGTGTGAAATCAGGTATGGGAGGGAAAAGAATAGAGAGATAGAGAGAGAGCGCGCGAAAAGAGGGATAATAGGAATGGCGAGTCTTGAAACATACACTTGGGGGGCTTGGTAGGATATTCTGGAAGCGCAAAGCTCATCGCGTTAGTATGTGGGCCGTCAACCGCGTGGAATGCGCAAAATTACTGACCATCTGGAAAAATCACATCCAGTTTGAAAACGCCGCCGTCCCAGAGAGTATCTTTTTTGCCAGGCACTGCACACTCCCAGTTCTTCAAGTCAAAAGTGCCCTGCGCAGTACGCTTAGGCTTTGCGACAAAGCCGAACGGATGGTCTCGGCGCCATTGTTTCCTATCCAACCAGAAACATTAGCACAATACTTGAGGAATCCTTGACCACTGCCATTGAAATTCGACGAGGGTCTATCACCTACCGCTCTTCTTGCAGGCGATTGAGGCAGAGTGTCATTTTGGGTCACGAGTGACTGAGGAGGGTTCGAAAGGGCAGGTTGCGGAGGAGGGATGCTGAGCTGATTGCGGTAGTCAGGTCGTCCAGGTTGGGGTGATCAAATTAGAGAAAGCGATGAAGAGAAGATGAAGGAGGATAGAGCTGGTGTTAAAGAAGCAGCTTTGCTCAGAAGCTCCAGGAAATGGACTGAGTGAGAAGTCCCCGCCAAAGGGGCTTAGTAAGCCAGTTGTATGCAGCGGGCATGCATGCATGGTGTTTGATTTTCAAGCGGATGCTGTTTGCTGACACTTCAGCTTCACGGTAGGATTTTATTTAGCCGTTTCAACGAAGAATTGAACCCTCTCTCTCAACTTTGACCCAAAGCCATTCGGATGCCCAAATGCACCGAACAAAAGGTGGGCTATCTTAAGTCAGCGAAAATGAGGAGCGATAAAGAGCCAAAACCAAGAATACTTGTTTTCGTATCAGATCAAAGACTGGGGCGCCAATTGGAGTTTTCAGTTCAAGAAGGAAGGCAATTATTTTATTCATTTGTTTCTTTTATATAAAGACATCTAATTCGAAGCCCGAATCTTGCATTGAATCTTGGTCACAGCATGTTTTCCCTTTCTAGTACCTAGATTTTACGGGTTGACATTGAAGCCCTCCTGAAACCAATTGAAACCAAGCCAAGATGTGCCATAGCATCCTCTAGGTCCATCTCCTCTGCGGGCACTTGAATCTATTGAACCCCTCCTTGGTAATATGTGATGATGTTATTATGATAAGAGATAGCTGTTTCCCTCTGACGGAGCTTTGCATGTTCCCCGTCTGTAGGATATGTAGCCATTGCAGGCATGAACGACAGCAGTATGGCAGGATAGATCATAAATGTGAGAAAACTGAGCCTGCTCGTCTTGCGTCCCCGGCCGGAGGGAATCGTCCCAAATTGCATGTTGGGAGGTCAATAGAGAAGACCCGACCCCGAAATCACCAATTAGGTATATCGATGGCAGGATCACGAAGTGCTTGCCTCTATCGACCTAGGAAACAGCACTCCCGCCTGCCAGTACCTGTGAACTGTATCCGGAGAGGGCTATAGATAAAAAAGGAAGCAGAAAGCAGATAAGAGGGTTAGTGATTGTTGACTATGTTGTTGGTTGAGATTTTGAACCCGAAATCTCGATATTCATTCCATTCGCACATTGCTACCAAAAGAGTAATTTAGGTTGAGGGATATCATTAGGTATCATGCCATATCAGAATTTGTCATCAGTACATTAGTCCACGTAAATGCCTTTCTCAAACTTTTCACGGTCGAAGAATCGAGCAACTATGGCATTGCCGTTGAAAATGCGACCTTCGAGAGCATTCACTGCCTGTACCAAACGTCCCATTAGATAAAGTTCTCTAAGGTATCGAAATCGAACTCACCCGCAAAGCAGATAGTGGACTGGTAAATTTCACAAAAACAGGGATTGGAGTGCCGGCATCGCGAGAAATGTAGACTCGTTCCACGGTCCCATACTGGGTTCATCAGAAATCTGGATAAACAGGACAAGGCAAAATGTCATGGAACATACCTTTTCAGAACATTCCTCTCCGATTTCCTGCATTAGGCCACCGCCCTCGCCAAGCTCCAGCTCTGCATCGAGATCCATTCCATCTAGCATTCCCTGAAGGATAATGACTTCGCTCATAGCTCCAAACTTGCCGGTCTCCTCCCCTTTTTTCTTGCTGCCAATGATTTTTCCGAGCCCTGCTGGGGTCACAAATCCTCCGCCTTCAGAATCGGGACGTTTTTTCCGTTTTTCAACTTTTACCTGCAGCGGATTAACAATACCTGAACCTGTAGCACCGAGTCCAGATCCTTTCGTCCATCCATATTTGGAGAGAAGCCGCTCCGCAAAGCCCTTTTGTCCTGGGCGGAGGGAGCGAGGTGCATCTTCATTGACCTCATTTTCCGCAGCTTGCTCATTCGCGAGAACCTCCTCCAATTCAGCCTCTGATGCTGGGATATCCTCGGGTGGTGGTGGGAGCTCGTAACGAACAGGTGCTCGGGATATGGTAGCAGAGCTAGGTTGGAAACTATTGATAGAACGCGGAGGATGAGAGGCAGGAACATTTCCGAATGAATGTGAGGTTTTAGGTTGCTGCATTTGTGGCAAGTATGCTTCTTCGCTGGTGGCATCATCTGGGGGGGAGCTGGAACTTCCTCAGGCGGAGGTGGAGGGGGCTGCTGACTATAGTCGGACATTACTGTATCGTTGTGAGGCTGTTGGCTCATGCGAGCACGGCGGGCAAAGGCATCTTCTCCGGATGCTTCATCGGGGATGTTTGCTGCGGCCGGAGGGGGCACTTCGTTAAAATTAGGCGGTGGCGCAAAGCTAGCGGGAGGTGCGAATTGGCCTGTCACTTGCTTTTAGTACCAATGACTTATTCAAAGCCCCATGAAGAGTGACCGGGTGAACATACGGTTTATCGGTCGGTCAGAGTCATCGCTGTCTGAGTCTCTAGTTGGCGATCGTCTCATTCGATGCGCATATAGCCGATCTTTCCATTCGCGGACTTCGCATATCTTCTCATCACTATTTCGATATTCTTCGTAGTTATTTGGTCGAGAAGGATCGTAGATGTCGTCCCAGTTCTGCATCACTGCCTGCTCTTCACGGTTCTTCTTGCGCTTCTTCCTTCCACCGCGCTGGCGCTTCTCACCCATATAGTACCCAAAATCATCATCCTCGGTAGCGGCCCAGTCAGCTAGTGTGGTTTTCACCGGTGCTGCAGAAGAGACCGAGGCTGGTCCGGTATTAGGAAGCGGTGCTGTTTTGGCCAGTGCAGGTTTGGGTTTAGGTTTCTGGGTTGAGAGCTGGGGCCGCTTGGTGGGTTGAAATCGAAGAGAAGCTGTCCGGTGGAGATAAGGTGAGCTAAAGATGCCTCAGTTCAATCATCAAAGAAATTCACAAGTACCAGCATTGAGCTGCTGCTTTTTGGCAGCGGACTCGTCGGGCAGCGCGTCGGTCTCGGAGCTTTGTTTGAAGGCGATGGGTGCCCGGGAGATGGTCCCCGGGGATGACTCCGCGGAAGGATCAAGTAAATTTGCATATAACGACATCATTCCCCCGCCTTTAGACGGGGTTGATTCGGAGGCCATAGTCACTGGTCGAAGTGGTTTCGCAAGAACTGGTAAGCAGCAAGTGATGGACGATAAAGCGATAGCGCCTGTCCCTATGGCTCACCGCCATATTCACCGCCATCCATCCCGGCCCTACATCCCAAACTACTACACTTCAAACTGCTAGGGATTCCTTGGCGGGAGAGCAGGAAAGGGGAAAGTAAACCACCGTGTACCAGTAGGACAGCTCTCACATCATCCACTTAAGTGTCATAGCAATACACCATCTGCTGCATTGGATCAAGCAGCTGGCAGGGTAGAAACAAGAAGCGGGAGACGCAGAGACAATCTATGTCTTCTCAAAGCAGCTTATAAGAAGTATGTCGACCTTGTGATGCCTCAAGTCTACCTAAATGTTCTATTTGATTTTGAAAAAAAAAGCATTCGCGACACTTGAGGGAGAAGCAGCTTCATTAAATATGTCTCACAACGTAAGAGGTAAGAGACTAGTTTGAGTGGTTATTGAGGCTGGCATATATATCTATTGTACAATTAGATTATGCTCGAGCAAATATTATGAAGACAAAATTCACCACCCCCCCCACCCCCCCCCCCCATATCAGAGTTCAAAACCGGATAGTCTAGCAGACCCAGCCTCCATCCACGTTGTAAACAGCACCAGTAACAAACGACGACGCATCACTTAGCAGAAAAGAAATTACATTGGCCACTTGAATTGGTTCCGCCCGCATCTTTTGCGTCGTGAGCTGCAAGCCACACTTTACATGTTCCGGATCCTCGCCGGCAGAAATTGGTGTATTCACGGATCCTAGAAGAAAGTTAGTCAGCGAGGAGCCAACTTTTAATGACGACCGAGGTGAATGGACTTACCGGGGGAAACACAGTTCACTCGGATATGCTGGTTTTCTTTTGTGGCTGTTCTGGTTAAATCAATGACTGCCGCTTACTTGAGCAATAAGGTGAGTTTCCGGGTGCTCCAAATTGTCCAAATGAACTTGCTGCAGAGACCTTCACATGAGCTCTGACCCGACATTTCAAGTGAGAGATTTGAAATGCTCACAATACTTCCACCTGCAGTCATTGCCCTCAATTGTGCTCTGAGACAAAGAAAGACGCCACGCGTATTGACAGAAAAGTTGAAATCCATGCATCTTCCGTCAGCTCGGTGATTGGCTTAGCCGGAGAAATAACACCAGTCATGTTCACTGCACCATCTAGCTTTCCAAACTTTTGTACGGTCATTTCAATCCATTCATCCACTGATTTGCTGGAGCGTACGTCGACAACTGAAATCATGTGCCTTTCTGGGTAATCCAGGGTCACTGCCTGTTGAAGTTCCTCTTCATTAATGTCGGCTAGCGAAACAGAACCGCCCTGGAGCGCAACGAGTCTTGCGGTTGCCAGGCCCATACCAGACGCGGCACCGGTAACAGCAATCTATGGGGAAATCAGCTTCGACCTTCAGACTCTAGGGGTTTATTTCTCTACCACTTTTTCTTCCAAAGAGGACATATCGTGAATTTTCTTCTGAGGAGAGATCTGAAGGGATCTACGGAGAAATCTACTCATGGAACCAAGGAGCCATTTAAAGGACACCGAGGTAATATTGTGATCATATTACTTAACTTCCCGATCGCAGAACATTCTGTCAATATAGTAGGATACGGTATCGACTAGGAAAGCTAGGATCCAATTGAATGAGATGCTCAATATAGTGATGTATTGAGTGACTGAACTATCTAAGTGTGTAGGCGGGGGGATGTTGAATATCCCCTACCTCGCTGTCTAGCGTGTTACGGCGCTGGGTTCCGAGTATATCCGGGATACTATACAAAACATGTAGCAAATCGAGTATCCCTGTAACAATCTGACGCACATGGGGATATGTGGGTCTCGCCTGTATTATGCAGTCTTCCTTCTTGACACATTCTTATCAAAGGAAATACTGGGTCTTGTAAGTCCGAATTCGGTGGTGAAAATGGCAACACTTTCCGTCTTCTCAAGCCGGGGAATAGCTGCCGACATGTGACGGTAAGTCCAAACGCTTTCAGGCTCCTTGAACTAGGAAATTCTAACGGGGCTGGAAGCAAGATTGCCATTAAATACCAGAGGCACTAGTCGAGTAAGGAAAATCTAATGCGGCATCGACATCATCATGGTTTAGAAATTCCCACTATTCCTTCGTCACAACGCCGGAAGATGTCATCGGGGAAATACGTATGCGGGACCCTCTGTGGAAAGTGCCTCCCACTTCCGAGACTCCGAAGAGTCGTTTAGGTCATTTCGATCTATAAAACTCTATTGCTAGATTGACCATGTAGCAAAACGCCCTATTCAGAGAACATTCTCACTTAAAATAATGTCAGAAAACTGCTTTTAGGAACAATGATCGTTTCTGTTTTGTCTGGAACGATTGAGTCAAGTTACTTGACTCCCTTCGTGACATGATACCCATTGTTGGAAACGCTGCTGACGCTGCTGCTGAACATCCGATAAGGCTGTATCAAATCTTTCCTGTTGGGCAGGGTTCCAGGAAAGGGTTATTCCCCAAGTCCTCGGTTAGGCTTCCTTCCCGAGCCCATCGTGTGATCCGTTACCGAAACCCAGACTGGGGAGATAAGAAGTAGAGAGACATGGGGTCCCCGCGATTGAAACCCACGGGGATAGCGTTCTTTTCAATGAGTAGAAAGCTGTGGGGAAAAAAAGAAAACTTAACTTTCTTATTATATCTTTCCTGTCATCTCTGCCCTATATAAAAGAACCATGATTTCAATGGCACATATGGCTCGGTTATGGGCATCATTGAGTCTCTTCGAACGATGCCTCGAAGCCATGGACGTGTGCCGATAATTCAAATCTAATTTAGTTTGTCATTCGAATATTTTCTTAGCCTATCTTGTAAGATGACTATGCGAATGTGTTCCTAACAAATATTACTTGTACTTCCATTTTTCGTTATTGATTGACTTCTTCCTTTCTCACATCGGAGTCAATCTAACGGCTCGTTTTCTACATTTTACTCGAATCATTATAGTTGTTAAAGGTCTGTACAGTAATAAGAGAAAACCTAGAAATAGTAGATATCTTGATTTACCTCGTTACTAATAAGACACTCTGATAGCTCCTAGCGAGAATATGCTTAGCCTGATTTATAGTCTCAATGGACTTACTTTACGTATTCAAGTATTTTGATCCGGTGGCTAAAGGTATAGACACTGTAAGCGCAGACGCGAATTTAATATAAGTATTGTAGTGAGAGATAGCGGTTGAAGGATGATTCAACATTAATGTACATAAGACAACCCCGCTTACAGAGGGCAGATAATCAGATATCTTCTCTTCTTTATATTCCAATATCTCCTCCCTAGCACTCCTACTGCCCTCTAGAGGCTAGACCTGGTCCACAGATAGGTGCAGTCTTACCCTAGCGTATGTAGTGACTAACGTACAGGGGTAGCGTTAGCCGGAGTAATAGGAGTAGGAATTTGAGCCCTCACTGACATTTATAATTAGAAGCTTTGTATTTTCGCGAGTTGGTAGCGAAGAATACTCTATCAATAGGGGTTTCCACAATCTAAGATATACCTTCTACGACATGCAAACTACCTCCTATGTTCTAACGTCTAAAGCAAGCTACCCGATTTATACAGATTGAATTTTATTTGGGCCCTGGGCACCGACCTCAGACAGCCCGGATTCTGCTTTAAGTTTTGGTGGTTGACCGTTCCAGTCAACTCTGAGAGGAGGAAATACTGCAGCCACATGGCCTTATCGATCAATTTGTAACGATAAGGCCGACAGCATATATCTCTATCCCTATATTGGAAGCTGTAACAGGAATATAAATATTGGTTGATTGATTGATATGGCGTTTCCAGTAGGTCACGGGCTAATTTTGGTCACTCAAGGAGATGCTCATATTTTAGTCTTTAGATCATTAGCAAGAGAGCGTTCGCAATGCCCCAAGTCGGGTCTCACAAAAGGGCTGGTGGCCGATATAAAGTGACGTGGAGGTTGTCGGATTACGCGTCCTGCACGAATCGGTCCATACTAGGCAACTTACCCCTATATTAGCTATCCAAAGTATGTGGTCAGTTAATCTATCCTCAGAACTCACACGAGAGAGTTCCATTGAAAGAGACCGTCTTCTATTTTTCGATGCTACCTGAACTCGATCTATTTTGTGGTGGCCTTTCCCAGCGGAAACAATACTGCCCCTTTGACAAGGCTGTACGCCTTGTCCGTGGGCCTGTTACATAAAGCGGCTCTCCGTTATCGGTTTCACCTAGTTCAAAAGGCACACTGTAATCAGGTGGATTTGGCAGGTCTGGCCAAGTAAGCTGATTAGGTGCATTGGAATATTTTTCAATACTCCCTTTCCGCATCTCTAGCCATTCACTCAAAAACTCGCGGAATATCGATATATCCGAGTCTAGCTCGCGTTTGCACACCCAATCAGAGCTCAGCAGCTCATCGACATTTCGATCCCAGTAGGGGATGCTTGAGAAATGGGTATCGTTTGTGATAAGCTCGTATAATGTATATACGACGCTAGATACATCATCTCGACCCTCGATTAGGGATGCTGTTCCGTAGACGGCCCAATTGAAGTCAAAAAGAAGAATCTTAGTAGTATCCGGATCGATAAGTAGATTTCGAGGCGCAATATCTTGATGCATTACACCGAGTTCAAGATTAAGGAAATCCACAACCTGGGTCAACTGCTTCAACCACTCAAATTGTAAAGGAATCTCAGGGTGATCGGCGAGAGTTCCACTTGGAATATATTTTGTAGTAAACCCAAGAACACGAGACTCTATATCTTCGAGAACAATACGATCAAGTGGCATAATATTCGGATGTGGTGGTAGATGAGCAAGGAGATTTAGCTCATTCCAGGCCATTAGTAGTCTCCGGGGCTTTCCAAAAGGTTCAAATTTAAAAGCAACCCTTTGATCATTATATAATGAGAGATCCACACCAGCTCCGAGACGATCTAGTTCTTGAAGTTCAGAGAACTTGATCGTAGGATAATCAGCGATACGGCAATTATCGAGCGAGGCAAGTAATGAAAATGGAAGATACGCAATAAATTGAGTATCGTCATCCTCCGGGTCCGTTGAGAGTGCAGTAAGGAGCCCGTCGTCGTCGACGGTAATAGCGCGGACCGTAGGTGATAGATAATCAGCAAATTGCGATAAGACCTGGTGTTCAATATCCCCATCAGAGGGGAAAACATTACTAGTGCCTTTGACTTTAATCAATCGTAGTTGATCCCAATCCCAGACGTTGCAATGGGCTTCGACTCCAGGGATCTCGCCGGAGCCAAAGTAGATTTGCTCTGCGGTGAAAAATCTGCCTTCAGGATTGATCATAGCAAATAAATGACAGGAAATGAGGTATTGAAAGGCGTAGGTCAAAGAAGTTTTGCCTTGGTTGTTGGAGTGAGTAACTCATGGTCATAAATCTCCTTCTGGGGTTCCACCAATCTTTTATAGTTTTCTGGCCGCACTTCTGGGTGCTGGCAGTGAGGGGCTCTGGTCATGTGGATGTGGAAAAAATGGCAGAATTGCCCATCTTTTGTGGCTGTGTAGAATCCACTAAGATGACGCAATCTGCCAAAACCATCTATTAAAGTGAATTATTTATTTGCTTTAGTTGTTTGGATTTAAAAGAGCACAAGCGATTCGAAATTTCCATTTCAAGTAGATTGTGCGAATTGAGGTATGCTACGGGACTCCGTGGGGGCCATGCTGGACCGTCTCTTGATAGATTTCCGTTAATGTTGGTGAAGCGCTTAACAAAGCTGTCATTAGAATTCTTCGCCCAACCAACGGGATCCCAACAATAGGGCGATGAATCCCACCCCCATTCATCTCCTATCTCGCTGAGTAGCGTCTTACGGCGCTAAGTTCCGATTATATCCAGCATACTATACAAAACATATAAGGAATCGAGTATTCCTGTAATGGTAGGACGCACAGAGGCATAAGTGGGTCCTCGATGTATTCAATAGCCTCTCCTTCTCAACAATTCCCTATCATAGTCTACCTATTCGGCTTAATGGACCCGGTCGTATGGAGAGTTTCCGTGTCGGCTTTGACATTTCAAAATTCCAATGTTAGTGAAGCGCTTATTCCTGATATCATTAGACGCTTGACACAAGTGAGTATCAGGACTGTGCTATATTTTCAATGTTGGTAAAGCGCTTATTCCTGACATCTAATATACGTTACGCAAGCGAAACATCTGGGGAAATCTAATACATGCAATGAACCAGACAGCTCATAAGTAAATTTGGCAAGGCAGACATGAATAGAAGGGTCGTCTACCTAACCAAAACAATTACTACATTCTACCAGGGGACACAGAACGGAACGTCTGACCAGGAAACAAAGGCTGCTCACAATAGGGTATCGACAGCGTGCCGTTCAATCAATTCAAAACATATAGATACAAAATGATTAAATTGATCAAATTTCTAACTGCCGTTAGTAAACTTTCCGCTATAGTGATATCCGCATGAGAGAGCAAAAAAATGGCGCTGTTGGGGGTTCTCGTATATCTGGAAATTATTATAGAACTAGCCAATGCCAGCTATCTGTTGTTTTCAGACTGCTAGGTGGCTATTGAGCTCGAGATGTGTGGGATTTAATTGAAAGATCGCCCCTATTTCATAATATATGATATGATGAGGATAACCAACATGATAACTTCTTAAATTATTGGACTTGAAGAATAAATGGAGACATACTCAACACAATATCCAAATATAGATCAATTTCTTTTCGTATAATGTGAAAGTAAATGCTTCCAATAGATTACTATAAGTATCAAAGTAGCCTTCAAGATATTCTCAATATCAACTTCAACAAGAGACATTCTTCCATCGGTGTTTGGGAACATATTTCTTCTCCGCTATCAACGAATTATATTATACTTCCTTTCTAAATAACTACTATCACAACCTTGAACAATGGCATCTAACGCTAATGGAGCTGGAAACCCGCAAGGAATTTTGCCTAACGGCATCTCAGGGCATGTCCATGCGAATCAGATACGTGACCGCCGAAACCCCAACAACTGCTCCTGTGGTGTATATCTTTATTATTCATCAGTTTGTGGACATGTGTATCAGAGATATGAATTCAAATGTGGCTCCAAGACCACACCTTCGGGTAAGGCGGGCTTCTGCCAGAGCCCAGCACCCAACCATAATGTCGCAATGCGAGTACGTGTGAGATGCACGAACCCGGCCTGTCATTGAGATTCAGGTATGTTATATTATTAGTCAGGTATAACATCTGGCTGCGTTCTCGAAATAAGTATTCTTGACTGACTAGTCAGAAGTGATGAGCTGATTATTGAGAGAGAGAGAGGTTGTCATTGGGTGATCAGCGTTGTAGGTGTGGATGAGCATAGGATGGGGAGGTATTCGGAAACTTTCCGGGTCCGATTCGTCTGAATGACGTTGTTAACTATCAAAAACTATATAGTAGTTTTAGTCACGTCGTTCTCCATCATACAATTTGTTCGAATAGACAAGAAATACTATATCATAATGAACTGAATCTTTCTAGGATCCCATTATGGATGTTATCTACATTAGTAGGGCAGATATATATGGTTAATACTATTTGATTAACCCGTTAGGGCTTGGACCTTGGAGCTTAGAGTGATCAGGGCTTTTGGCAGGCGCTTTATTATGCCAATGAACAGGTACCGAGCAGCTATAAGCTACCTATATATTTAGACATATTTAGGGCTCTAGGTTGCTGTACCTACAGTTCCCTGAGAGGCAGGCGAAGCCCTAGATCTACTAGATCGTCTATCAGGGGCCGGGAAAAAAATTTAGTCTGGATAAATCGCTCTATTAGAATAATATCTATTAGTTCTATCGTATCTAACGTTACAAGCCTTGGTGGAATAAATTTAGCTGTTATGGCATAACTACATCCGTGATACTATCCGGATTACCTTCGGACCCGAAACTTGTACATGATTTAATAAGGGAGAAGGTATACTTTATCGTTCTTATTCATCATGGATTGTATCATAAATCATAATAAAGAGATATCCCCAATTTTCCAACTGAATTTAAAGAGATTTTAAGATTCAGTCATTGAATTGTATACAATATCCTTCTTTAATACGGATTCATTATCGATTCTATTTTGATGATCATTGTTTTGTTACCTCATCAACAGGTCGCTACCTTGCAAGTAATACTAAATTAACCCTTTAATTAGATATAAGGATAAAGACTGCGATAAATATACTTCACGCTAGAAATAACAGCCGAGGAAATTCAAAATTTTCGTCCGGCCTCACATTGGTACTTACTATGCTATATGTATGAGATAATGAATACGATATTTTATTCATTTCTAGGGAAGAGCATATTGAATTACATTGGTTTGGTTTGAAGCTCAGCTAGCTGGCTCAATCTGGGCCCTCTTGTGACTTAATCTCTATCAACATTTCAGACACGACCACATGGGCAGGCTTGTACTGCTGACCTAAATCCTGGCTTTGAACTGTTAAGTGCGACGTTAGGTTGGGAGACGCATGTAAGTACTTTCAGACTAGTACTCCCTACCCCCTCTATGCCTATCCAGGAGACCGTAGAGCTAGTAGGTAAGGGCTCCCAGGAGCATACAGTTTAATTGATTGGTTGATTGGCTGATCAACCCTTAGGCTCCATCGAGGCGCAACGTATATCAGTAAATGCACTAAATGAGACGTCAAGTTCAATTCCATGGGCTCACGAAAAAATTCCGATACTAGCGATATCACGAGTTCGTGCGCTTGTTAGGATTAGAAGACGTCTTTTCTATAAAGGGTCCCGTATAGGGCACCTCCATGAAAGTGCCACTTTATATATAGTCTTATCCCGCACGGTGTATCATATTTTCTAAATAATATATAAGCGATTCGTATATATCTAATGTAGCATCAGAACCCTAAAGACAGAATCGCCGTAGGATTCGGTCTATTCTTCCATATATGAGTTACTTTAGTTTCCTATCTAAATTATTATGAATTCCTTATGTAGATAATAGTCCACAACACGAACAAGTAGTACCCTTACATTATTTCTATCCGACCTCCCTAGATAGGAGATAATATATATCAATTAAAATAGATGGCAAAACTCAAGTGTTTTAGAGATGTTTAATGGATACTTGATATTCTGAATCGCCTATCCCTAGTGTTAGAATACTACTTGCAGGGTATTGGCCTGTTGGTCAGGTAAGAAAGGAATGAATATCAATATTGGATCGTCATGCAATCAAGGAATAATAATAGTGGTGTATTATTCAATAACTGAATCTTGATTCGGTTTGCAAGAAAGAGGATTCTTGTATTATATTAGTGTCAATGTAATTATCATGACATTCAATAAGTAGATAAAGATAGGTGAGATCTTATCGCGTCATGTTTACACCTTATATCTAGCGCGTTCGATATTCATCTACGTTATGTATACGATTCGTATCCGAAGTTGACCTGAATAGCACCAAGCATCATAGATTTGGTTGTTCCATAACAACTAGGAGGTAAATCGAGAGGAAAGATACCGCTAATATAGCGAGGACCTATATATTCCGCTATACGTCCCAATATTATAGGGACACTCGGCTCTCTGTTTGTTGTGTATAGTATAAAACAGAACTTGCGACGACACAATAGAAAGCTCTCATCTTCATATATGGGCCAATAGTCTATATAGGAGGGGTAAAAGACAGTGTCAAGAGGAAAGGTCACCCAATAATGCATGGATCCATGTATTCCTATGCGCGTTCACAAGTTACAAAGATCTCCGATGCCGTAAATGTTGTCGACATGCTAGGATAGTGTATAGGCTTGTAGAGGAGGGATCTAATAGAACGCAAATCTCAATGTGATGACGTCTAAATATCTAGGATTGTTGGTAGGGACTGTTGAATATCCTCTTTCTCGCTGACTAGCGTGCCATTACAACGCTAATTCTGAGTTTACCTAGGACAAGATGGCCCATATCTTAAGATGTTTTAGTAGAGCCTCAACATCTCAGCCTGCAGCTCCCTCTCATTTTATTTGAAAGCTGTGTGAAATCATGGCTAATCAGAAAGCTTGATGAATCATAGCATCCTTCTTATCAGTTCCATGGGCCTCTGGAGAGGATCAACTGGCCATATATGACAGTTTTATGTAGAACCATTCCTATATTTTTTCCATATATTATATTTAATATCTCATTGTTGCTTTTTGTCGTTTAAGAGTATTCGATATCTTTGATTGGGAAATTTCCTTATTGTAAGAGAGAAATGATCACTACTAGAATCTCCTCAGGTCTTTCTCTCCCATTGATCAGGTTTCTCTTCTATAAAATCGATCTAATTGATAATCGGATTCCCATCGCTGTTAGAAAAAAACAAAATGCTTTTATTCCATGCCAGGGCTTTATGATTCCTTATCGTGATAATCCAGGGGCAGTTCAATAAAGAGAGGTTAATGTCATTCATTCAATAGTCATCAGCAACCTAAGTTTTTGCTTCTTTCAAATAATTCATTAAGTGTCATAGACAGGCATGATCTCCTAGCTATCCCAGTCCAAGAGGCTTTGTATATCCAATCAGAAATTTCAGTACTCGTCGTATCTTCCATCGACTGGTTTCCTAACTAGTTCCCTCACTTTGACGGGTGTGTTCGGAGAGTCATATGGCATGTTTGACGACTGATCTGATTCGGAAACATGTGGCTGCTGGGAGACAGAATCGTACTTCCTGCGCTTGCGAATGAAGAAGCTAAATTCAAAACGCTGGTTAGCTAAAATGCCCGATGCTGATTGGAGAGGGTTGTACTGACATGGATGCTACAATAATGGCTGCGAGGAAGGGAACTCCAAGTCCTACGCAAAGGCCGATGATAACCTTGTTACTTGTACCATCCGTAGTACCATTGAGAATGCTGCTTCCTCCAGTGGCCGAGCTTGCATCATAGGACTTCGGTGATCCTGATGTTGAGGACATCCTTTTCACATCATCTCCAAATGCAATGGGACTAGTGACTGAGGCAAAGATGCTTGCTGGCATTGTTGCGGTAGCACCTGATGTTACAGTGACCGTTGATGTAACGGTAGTTGTGTAAGATGTAGTGTTCTGGTAACGAACGGGACAATAGATCGCGCCTGAAGTGATACAATTGACAATTGTATAGGACTCATCCGACGTCACAGTTGTTGTGACTACGCCCTTGTTAGAATCCTCTCGTTCGTTCAAATATGCGCGAGCGGTGATCTCAGAGGATGCAGTTGATGTAGTCGATGCCGACTTTGTCTTTGCACAGGTACTGGTAAGAGTTGTATACCAGACAGGGACAGTTGTGATAGGCGCCGGGCCCCAAGCATATGTATCGACCGCGACCGTGGCACCAGCCGCTGCTCCAACAGCAAGCGTATATTCCACCGCTGCCTCCCATTCACAGTCACCACTATCGGCGTCTTCTTTATGATTTACTTCTGTCACAAAGTCGGCAACATAGGCAAAGATCTCAGCCACAACGCCAGCACTGAATTTCGGCAGGAAATCTTCATCAACAGAGATATCCGCTCCCACGCTCGCTTTCAGACTCAGCACCGCCTGAAGAGAACCCCCTTCGCCTGTAAGGGTAACAGGTAATATTTCATAAGAGCCACCGGGCCTAGAAAGATCACGTTTTTGTCAGCGATAAGGATTTGTTTCACTTATCATAAGTGAGCAACTTACATTGTAATACTCGACAAGTCAGTTTTAAACATTTCCAAATCAAAGGCCAATCCGTCATCGAGCTTTATATGAATGCCACTCCCAATGTCGATCTCGGCTTCTGCAATCAGGATCAAGTCCACACTGAACAAGACTCCAAGGTCAACCCCTGGAACAGAAATTCCTACTGGGCTCTCGGAGGTGTATATATTCAACGTATAGGCTGCCCCTGTCGCAAGCTGGATATCGAGATCCAGATACATCTCCAGGTCATCGAACTCCAAGTGTACTTTCGCATCAGAAATTTCAGCGTTGTTCAAGCTGACGTCGACATCTAGGGTTGGCCAGGCCGTAAGATCATTTTCGAGCTCGTCAATGTTTAGACTGGTAATGTCTGTGAAAATCTCTTTCACATGGGCCTCTAGTTGGTCAGTCATATTGCTGACAGCACCAGAGACCTTGTCCTTGGCAGTATCGACTGCTTGAGTGAAGTTGGTGCTCCCAGTTAGTGTCAGACTGCCAGTGACCGAGCCATTGACGTAACAAGTAGAACAGATAATACTGATAGTCGGGTCATAGTTCGTAGAGCTGCAAAATTACATGTAAGCAATATGTCTTCAAACAAAGACCACAGGGATAGAGTAAGAATGGACCGACCTGTCGCCATATTCAGCATCGTTTCCTCCTAGAGTAAACAAAGTGGCTCCATCCCAGGATTTTGCAAGAGATGTCCGATTCATAGTGTAAACTTCATCTTGGGATCTGGCGACATGGAAAGCTCGCCCCAATGCACTCAGAGTATCTGCATCTGTCATTCCAGGCCCATTCCTAGTCCTCAGTGCACTGTTCACATTGTTCATGGGTAACAGAGCTCCGGCAGAGCCCAGTGTGGGCAGGCAGCCCAGGAGGATGGGTAAAATAGAGGTGAGCATCTTGATACACAGCTCAAAATTTTACGTATCATCTGGGATGGCCGATATGGCTCTTTAAGACTCTGAAGGCTTGTGGTAGTGTTGGGGATTTATGTTCAAAATACTATGCTTGAGACGACTGCGGCTCTCTTCCAGGGACTAAAAATTGATTCGATATCCACTGACCCTCGTTCGGCCCCATTTTCTTGGCCGTAGGGGCTTAGAGGGGGGGGGGGGGTGGTTGGGCTCGACAAAAGGCGCGTTAGCGCCAACAAAATGAGCATGAACCATGCATCTCTCAATCTAGGTCGTCCGCTTATTGGTGAGCAGTTTCCGTGTTGGATAAGAGGCGGTTTTGCTAAATTAGTATCCCGACAGGGATTCAGTCATGTGCTTCTTGCGGCCATGGCCATTTATGACAGGTGAACAAATGTCGATTAACGGCATGCCGGTGCCATATCGAAAGATAACCTGTGTATCCATCTATATTCAAATACTTCCTGCTCAGTTCTCCCCATTTTTCTCAAAGTGGGTGAGAAGCTTAATTTGGTAGGAAGTGACAATGGGGCAAGCAGAAAGCAGACAACAAAAGATCGGAGGAGGACCAAAAGAGGCAGTGGGGCGATGCATCGTCTAAGGTACATGCTGCATGAGCTCGGAGTGTCTAATGCACGAACTAATCACTGCCCAAAGTCATGTCAGGTAAAGATTTCCCCCGAACCTATCTAGCGGCAGTTTTGGCCCCATTCTGGCAGTTGAGGCCCGAGCGGAGTTTCATTTTCGAGAAAGGCCATCCGCTTCTCTTTGAAGTTACGACGGGCAAAGTTGACTTTCACATATAAGGATTCCCAACCAAAAGAGCACTCTGAAGAAAACAAAATTTAAAAGGTAAATCAGTCCGGCCGGTGCAGCCCGAAGGGCTGACCGTGGCAGAGAATTTTGACTGCGGTCCATTGCATAAGTGTGCGGGGGTCGTGCAGCTCACACGTTTGACCGCACAGCGAGGCGGCTGGGCATGACTCAATATCCGCATAGCTGTCACTTATATTACCAGGACCTTTGTCCTGGATTCTCAAAATAGCAGGTCGATCGGGTCGGGGCGGGGTGGCAGTCATTAACCTAAGCTGCCGTTCGAGATTTCCTCCACTTTGGACCCCACGAGAAAGCATGCACGATTTGGTACGCCCTCGGCTGCCTCGAGCTTGAGCCCCAGTCTGTGTGCGCCTTGCGTGTATTCTTCATTGTATGGATCCAGATGTGACATGTGTTCCAGCATATATACCGGATAATGTCTAGCAATTCTTGGCTTTCCCTTTCCATTCTAGTGATCACCCCGTCGCCGCTTTTACTCCCTAAATAGAATTGAGCACGCCCCTGACCGGCCAGAGCTGATCAGTGATCATTATGTAATCAAGCTAATCACTCACTGAGCCTGATCGAAGCACCCTGATTTGCTCAGTGAGCCTGCTCTGAGCACCATGATCTGATCACTGACCCTGACCTGATTCATCGTAGGGTTGTTTATTAAGCTTCGCAATTCACGTGGCCTGAGTAAGCGGGCTCATTAAAACGCGACACGCTAGCTTGACCGCTGTACAAGAATTAGCTTCGTGAAGTTGCCACTAAATAGCGATCTTTCCCTTTACAAACGGAATATACCTGATTAATTTCGTTTTAATGAACAGTTGAATCTATTGAGATTTGACGCTCCTAGGAGCATTCTCCGTTCTCCCAACGCATACCCAATTTGGGAGAACTATCTAGGCAGATGTGTAAATAGGTAAACTACGTAAATCATTTCATTCTCATTGGATATCGAGTAGGTTAACCCGTCAGCGATCATCTCCAACTTGACCAAAACTGTTTCAATGTCTTTGTCTTCACCCCTTTCTGGCAAGATTGAGTGGAAGTAAACCCAAAAAATTAATATTTTCTAGACCGAATTTGCTCCTGGGAGCATCAGCACGGGGCCTCATCAGTATATGCCGGCCCTTTAGATTTAATGACATAGTTTTTTTTGGATGGATGACTCTTCTAAGCTCTTAGGAGCTTATCATAGAAGCAACTATTTCGAGCACACTAGAAAGTGTTAAACATTGACCTCGACAATAATTCCCTTTGCGACCATATACCAAACTTGCTCGTATGCCACTTGAAAGAGGTTCGCTACGGACACATCTAACAAGCACGTCTTTTTGATCGATTCAGAAATCCACCCACAACAACGATTCTGTCATATAATATTGCAACACGAGGCTATTCCCAACTTTATGCCTCAGGTGTCAGTTCGACACCTTATCGGTCAGGCTTCGAAATGACAGCCCCACTTCTCCCCAACATAGATGCATGACCTACAAGACCCTGAGGGTTCGGTGCCCTTCCATTAGGGATTCGTGAACCCCTCTTTCCTGTAGCCTTTGCTTGCCTCTGTTACATGCGGGCCACGTCAGACCACATGTTATAATGTGATCTATCGCCTTTGCCTTGGTCATATGGGAAGGTGTTGAAGTCTGTACATAAATTGAGGATTATGGAGAGATCCATGATAGTAAGAAACAGTGTTTTGCTTTCCTTACTTGACGTTTATCTTCCTACCTAGTCGACAGGCTTTCTACCCTGTATAAGTAGTTATTCTCTAACAGATTTCTATGGGAATGATTCTTCAGAAGCGGAAGCGTCCTGCTGAACAGAAAGCATACGAGGTTCGGCAAAAAAGGCAAAAAGGTGAGCTATATACCGAGAACCCGCAGTGGCCCTCATACAACTCCTCTAATTTAAGGATTAGCTATTATCTGCCCAAGGTGCGATAGTATCGTTGCCGTCTGAATTGTTATGTATGATCTGCGACTACTTGGATATCGAATTTCTTACAAGCTTTTTCCGCGTGTCGCGTAGCTTCCAGATGCTGGTGCAACCAATGATATTCATAGAGTTTCACTCGGGTCTATACGATCAGCGAAACCTTTGGAAACGGCTAGAATCTCTAGCAAATGCATTAACGAGTCATTTAACTCTTGGACCAAAGATGTTTCATATCCCTGTGAAACTCCATACGCTTAGGCATGTGGAGAAACTCGACAACTCCTTCGTCCAATTCTTTCAAAGGCTACGAATCTTCGCTCTTTGTCTCTTCCGATTCATATTGCTACTACAGATCTTCTCGATAGCCGTAATTTTGGCTACCTCGGGATGGACTTGAAGATCAAAGCTGCATATGATTGGATTTTGGGCCTTGACGAGATAACACTCGCCCGGTCTCCCGTTCAGTACGATCAGCTGTACACCTACCACTGGCTAGACGAATTACGACTCCAACGCATGGATATTACATAGTTCGTGTGCATTAGACTATCGGTCTGCCATTCGACTTCTGCGACGACTCCGAAGTCTTGAGGTGGTTGTGTTCTACAAGGTCGAGCTACGGGGCTGTGCTTCCTTCAGTTGCGAGTCAAAAGTGGCGGGAATCATCAAGGCATTGGCTTCTTCCAAGAGTCACCTTAGGAAACTGGCTTTACACATCACTGGATTTCGCGATTCTTCGACTGGAATCAGTAAAATCTTGTCTTTTGATTCCCTCTTGGGCGTTCAAGATCTCGAGATTTACGAACATGATCTAGCCGCCAACGCTGTATTCCCCCCCTCCTTGACCAAACTAGCGCTCGTTGACTGGGAAGAACAGCCAAGCTTTCCTTTCACAAAATATTTAGCCCAGAAAAGCCTCCCTATACACCTTGAATCTATCACCAGCTATAGTAGAGCCCCGGACATATTGCGCCAAGCGCTGGAAGAGACTTGGAGCTCTTACGAGGTCGAGATTCACTATCGCAGATTCGATGATTGCCCGCCGACAGGCCCTTTTCGCGTACACTCGGATTCGAAATTGGCTTCCATAAGAATTACACATACTTGTGTTCTGGAACCCTCTGCCAAGACAGATCATCCAATTACAGCAAAGAAAACCAAAGGTAAGGCTCCATGTTATCGCTCAAAAGGGTATAGCCGCCTCTAGTATCGGACTAGTCTTAGGGTCCGAGATAGTTTTTCTGTGTACAATATGGAAGCCAATTTCGAATGCGAGTGTATCATCCAAGCACCTTCATTCAGAATGTCGAAAGTACGTCTGAATTCCAAGTTTTCTGCTTGGCAGCTCTAAGTCTAACTTAAACCCTCACAAGATCCAGAAGGGCAAGGAGTCAATCGCTGCCTCGACTACCTGGCGGTGAGAGACCCGCACGACGTCAAGACGACCATCCACCAAACCAGGTGGGCCGCCCTTAAGGAGTCCTATGAATGGATTCTGTGTCATCCCCAGTTCCTGTGTTGGCGCGACAGCAACGATAGCCAGATCCTTTGGATCAAAGGCGACCCCGGTAAAGGCAAGACGATGCTACTCTGCGGCATTATCGACGAGCTTCGCCCGACCACGAAACTGGCCGATCCCCAAGCCAAGACCTTCCTTTCTTTCTTTTTCTGCCAAGCCACTGTTTCCAAGCTGAGTAACGCTTATGCTGTCCTGCGTGGTTTGATCTATAGGTCTCCTGCCATGTAAATTTGAAGTCACAGGATTTTCGTCTTCGCTATTGACTAAAGGCATAAGTATTGCGCCATGCAATGGTGAGACAACAGTATGAAAATCTAGCTTCATTTCCCAGCAGTGGGTTTCTTGTAAGTGCTTAAGCCGGAGAACAATGAAAAAACGGTGGCTATTCCAGCCAAAACAGTGGCTAAGATGAACACAGTCTGTATCCCAGACAAATATGCCCCCAAATTTATTTCCAGAATCTGAGTATCAAATCCTCGCAGTTTGAGAGATTCCAGCAGATTGCTATGAAAATGAGGAATTTTTTCATGATGGTCGAGATATGCGGACATTTTGTTATAGAGAAGTGACTGGGCCAACTGCAGAAATAAAGCACCACCCAGAAGCTGGAAGAAAAGAGTCATCGCTGTCACTGACGATATTTTCGATGGCTCGACGATGCTTTGGTTGAGGATGATGGGCATTTGACAAGAGAGCCCTATCCCAACACCGGCAAGGAGTTGTAAACCGATAGTAAAAGCTAACGAGGTGTCTTTTTTTAAAGTGCAAAGTAGCCCGTGGGCAATCACAGCCGCTACACTTCCCAGGAACATTGGAGGCAATGAATAACCAAATGTCGATAGATAAAAACCGGAAAGTGCAGCAAAAAAGCCACATCCCACCACCAAAGGGAGAGTTCGTATCCCGGAGGCTATACCGGAGAGGCCTTGCACTGCTTGGAAATATAATGGCAGATAATATAAGACAACGAAGAAAGAAGCGGCAAGGAAGAAGATGAACCCGCAGTTTCCAAAGATGCGCCTTTGAAAAAAAAGACTGCGCGGGATCATAGCGTCGTCTCCCATATGCCACTCCCAGGCGCAGAAGATGAGACCAATGATAACGAACCCAGCAAGCGTTCCCACCACATCACGGTGACTCCAGGGCTTGACAGCACCCCCCATTCCATTGCGAGAAGGTAGCATATCATCGTGCTCGTGAGAAGCATGACCCCTGTCAAATCAACTTGCTTAAAGATTGAGATCCATGTCGCCGGCTCCGGCTTTGGTCCAACCGGAGGAGTAAAAAGAAATAGGATGGCCGCTAATGCAAGACCACCAATAGGCAAATTGATCCAGAAACACCATCGCCAAGTGGTCTCCGTCGTGAAAACACCTCCAAGCAACGGGCCCACAAAACTGGCAAAAGCATAACTCATTCCAAATATAGCGGTGAGGGATCCTCGTATCCTCGGTGCTGCGCTCACTGCAAGGATGGTATATGCGCCAGATGCGACACCAGCTGCGCCGACTCCAGCAATTGCGCGACCGACAATAAGCATGATTGGCCAATTTGCAAGGGCACATATGAGAGATCCTGCTTCGAAAACCGCCATGGAGATAATGAAACAAATTTTCAACGGAAAGAAGCGGTAGATCTTGCCCCATGAAGCTTGTGTTGCCCCGTCGGTCAAGAAGAAAGCCGAGCCATACCATCCTTGGCTGTCAATGGAGTGGAACTCTTTCGTGATACTAGGAATTGCGGTGGAAATGATGGTCATATCGAGGGCAACCAGAAACAAGGCCAGACCTAAGGCTAGAACCAGGATACCCAAGGACCATCCAGTCATGTATCCATCATCTGCGGCTACATCAACGGGACTTCTTGGCTGATCCGAATCTGACCCTACTCCTGACACATTTTCGGGCAGGGGTTTTGATTCTTCCATCTTGTTGCGGGTCGCGTAGCCAAATGAAGGGGCATGGATATCAGGAACATGTTGACAGATCACGGCTATGCTGTGCAGTTTTCATAATATATTTGTCGTCCCAGTTGACATTCCAAAAGGGTGGCACCTGGGATTCCGTGTTGAAGTTCCTTTCGCAATTCTATGACTGCAACAAGAATGCTGGACCATCAATACAACTGATTTACAATCTGTCTCGATGAAAATATTAATGACCCTGTTATTCAGGCTACATAAGACACAGTCCTTTCAAAATTGCCGTGATTGGTTGGCTTCAAAAGACTGAGAAGCCCAAATGGTCTAAGTTTTAACCCCAAGGGAAATGTCTATGCCAGTTTTGGTATTTTGCGACCAGTGGCACAGCGATGAGAACGACAATCATTACAGAACCCATGAATGGGCGCCTTGCAGAAGATTCGCTCAAGCTTATGAAACAAACGATCAAAGCAAAAGCAACGAGCAACCAATTCGTGTTTTCCGATAATTCTTTGACTTCCATGACTAGATAGATGACCAAAGTGTCAATTTTCTACAGTTTTGGCTGGGAAGCTTGGTTCTGGATTCCGTCAACTTCATGAACACCTCTCTTCACCTTATCAGCTAGCTCGAGAGACAATAAGCTGAAGGCGTGATAAACTTTTTCTCGGATCTCAGGGCAGGTCTGTGCAATAGACCCAATCAGTCTCTCTACTAACCGATCTTGAAACTCCTGGCCTCGGAAAGAAGGGAGAACCTCATAGTACTCCCGAGCGAACCTGTAGTCATCCTCGTTAGACTGGGACCATGCTGCGGAGCTAGTTTCGGCGAGCCACTCGACGAACTCAGGACCAAGTGCGGACTGGGGTCCTAAAGCCGAGGGAGTGCGAGCCCGCGGAGTGGGCTGCTGGGTAATCGGCAGGCGATACCGTTGTGCATCGGGATACGCAAACATCCGGGCCTGCAAGATGGGATCTTCCGAGGCCTCAATACCCGGCACCAAGTTGGATGGTGAGAACGCTCGCTGCTCGACCTCGCGGAAATAGTCGGTCACATTACGGTTCAGGGTCAATCTTCCAAATTCCCGAGGCTCCAGCAATTTCACTCCCGTTGGATATGTCCCCAGATTCCAATGTTTCGTGACGTCGAGGATATTGAAGCCCAGATTGGGCGCGTCCTTTGGATCCACCAGCTGAACTTTCGCGATCCATGATGGATTCTCGCCTCTCTCGATTGCTTCGAAAAGGTCTTTGCTAGCAGCGTCGGGATCGCTAGAGTCAATATTGGCAATTGAACCATTCTCAAAATTGGGACCACGCTCGGATGCCAGAAAAAAATGGGCGTATTTAAACGAGCCATCGGCCATGACCCATTTGAATGCATGGCCGGAGTAGCTACTCATTGTGCGCCAGGTGAACATCCGGCCGAAGTCACTGAATTGGAGCAGCGTCATATGGAGGGATTCATGATTCTCCGAAACGAATTTCCAGAGCATGTTGGGGTTGGGTCGGTTCGTCTGGGGGTCCCGTCGCTGAGCGTGAATCATTTCGGGGAATTTGGCAGGATCGCGGATGAAGAAAAAAGGAAAGTTCAGGAACACCCAGTCCCATTCTCCGTCTTTGGTGAAAAACTTGGTGGCCATGCCTTTGAGATCCTGAACACTGTCTGAGGAGCCACGTTCCAGACCGGTCGTTGAGAAACGAGTCATGACTTCAGTCTTTTTGCCGACGCCGAGCAACGATTCAATGTTGCAGATATCGGAGATATCGTGAGTCACCTAGTGGGATTATCGTCAGGTCGATTGGGGGGATAGTTGAATTGCACAGAAAAGAAGCAAGCCTACCTCGAACTCTCCGTACGCCCCAGCTCCTAATGCGTGGACCGCTCGCTCGGGGATCTTCTCCCGGTTAAAATGGGACAATGCCTCTAGAGTGTAGATATCTTGAGGACCGACGCTGGAAATTTTCGAGGGAGCCATTCCCATCACGGGGCATTTTTCCGCATTCGAACTCATCTTGTGTTTTTTCTATTTGACAAAATTTGAGGGGAGGGGGTATAGAGACTGCACTTCAAGTCTAACAATTTAAGGTTGAGGATCAGCCGAGCTTAATCCCCGGGAGCAATGATGCCTAATAAATGTCATAATAAAATTCACGTGTTTCAGAACTTCGTTTTTGCATTTTCGGCTAAGTAAGGGGGAGGAGGACAACCTACTTCAGCTCTCACCGTCTGCTACAACGATCTGACATGAATGCAAGGGATTCGCTAGCTACATCTCCATAATCCGGTGTTAATGCAAGGGGTATACTAAATTTCCATCGTATTCATCTTCTATTCTGAATGTGAGTGTATCCGCAGCTAAGGTGCCATGCAACGTGCCATTGATAATACCTCAGCACTGTGCATTCATAAGCAGAAAGAGCCCTTGACGACCAAATTACCAGGCTCATGGGATACCAGCTCCAATATTGATGTTCGCTCCGAATACAGGACGGGAGTCTTCGCTCAATAGCCAAACGATAGTACGCGAAACATCCTCCGGCTCAATCACGATATAGCCTTCCTTGACATACTCTTCCTCCACCTCATGTGCGCTTTTTCCGGGAGCAAACTTAGGTAGCATTGGGGTTCTCGTAATTCCTTGTTTTCAAAAGACGAAATCAGTTCCTGACATGCGTAGAGATCGGAGCACAGGCTCACCGGGCGAAACGGTGTTGACACGAATTCCAAAGGGGATTACATCTTGAGCCACACACGTCGTCAGATAAGCACAAGCCCCCTTGGATGTTCCATAGGCAAAGACATCCGGCATATGTACCATCGATGCAATGCTCGAGACGTTCACGATGCTCCGATCTCCTAGCATTGGCTTCATGGCTTTAATCTCGGCTTTTATTGCAAAAAATACACCGTCAAGATTGACCTGGAAGATTCGTTTCCATTCTGTCTCATCTTCTTCAAGAAGAGTCGGGGACTGGCGTGTTCCAGCCCCCTGGGCAAGGCCAGCAATATTAGCAGCGCCATCGAGTCGTCCAAACTGAGCCGTGATAGTCCCGATCCACTCATTCAAGGAAGATGAAGACGTCACATCTACAACGGTGCAGTGAATTTCTGTCTGGGGATATGTAGCTTGGATGGATTCTCTGACTTTGACCAGGCTCTGGTGAGAGATATCTCCAATACATACGGCTTTGGCTCCTCTTTCCGCTAGAAGTCGACAGGTTGCGGCGCCAATCCCAGATGCACCGCCTGTGACAGCGAATACTTTGGATGAAACCGAGGCCATTGATTAGGTAGAGCAAGATATTGAAATAGTTTAGCGATATTGAATACGTCTGATAGTGGATTTTAAGAACCTACTTATAATTCACACTCAAACCAGCCAATACTACACCGCACTGAAATCCCATGGTTAATTCCGCGCACTGTTTTTTTTTCTTTTCACACCGTATGCTAGGTTTCATGCGTCTATACATCTATATGACGCTTCATCCTATTTTGGATCTGATTGTTAGGGTCATAGTCACAGGCACACAATTGACAATTTTTCCCGCTGATTCATAGTTGTAGTTGATAGAAAGCAACATCGCAACCCTCATCCGACCACTCATTGACGGAATTGAGTCCTGCTGCTTTGAACAAATCCTGTCGTTCGTCCGCGCCATACTTGTAACTACAGCCGAATCGGATCTTTTCATGCTTTTCAACAATGATCCCGTCCAATGGGGCGCCTAGACTCACGTTATAGCCTTTCGTGATCAAAGAGGCCTCATGCCTCCCGAGAACATAATTCCATTCACTCAAAAAATTCCAGTCTCCAACGTTGAAAACCGGCTTTGACTCCTTGCCTTGAGCGAACAGAGTATTTCCATAGTCAAGAGATACTAAGGCAAAGGGACAAACGCCTTCCGCTGTATATGCACGCAGCACCTTGGTCGGGACTTTGCAGCTGTCCAGGCTCAATAATATAGAGCTTTGGCTCGGATTAGCGGTCAAGGCACCATCAGCTATTCCTTGCAGAAACTTGGCAGCATTAGAGCGGGAGAAATTGCCAACAGTCAGCCCGAACAACAGTAGAGTGTGTGGCAGGTCCTGAACTCCTGATGTTTCCTTGAGCCAGTGCACTCCATCTTCGAATGTCCCATGCAATGCACCAAATCGGACAAAATTGAACTTTTCGGCGGGAATAGCTTCTAGCGTTGACTGAAGTCCTGAAAAGCTTAGATCCAGGGCATAGTACGTTATGTACTTCTCAGCGGCCTCTAATGCTTCTAGCAATGGCAGGACTTTTTCTAGGCTTCTGGGATCTATTTCAGTATTATATTCGATTGACTCAGGATGAAATACTTTGTTTTGTACTCACGCGCTCCCAAGATCAACCACTACGCTGTTTGGGGCAATCGACGCGGCCATCTCGCTCACTCGAGTGCGAAGAATTCGCAATTCTTCATGGCGAGGGTAGAAGTCTGACGCGGTGGAGTGTTGAATCCAGTGTCGAATTCCCTCATCACTATAGAAGAGCAGCGCCGGAAGAGTCTTGGGTGTCTGTGACAGTCCAGATTTGACTTGATCAGCTATAGAATCTTCAAATTTGCTCCGACGAATGTCAAGAATGCGTGGCTGAAGAATGGTCATCGTTTCGTGGGTCTCTTTTCCCCGAGCTATGAACGTCTATAGAAATGGATGAGGCTACCTCGACCTGACGATTTATGTTCCTTTTTCAACCCTTGAGTCTCGGCGATCAACTTTCAAGGTTCATTGCCGTATTTTTTTACTGCTCATACGCTGTTGCTGGTATGCAAGACGCACTGCATGAGCAGGTTTGCGTAGCACATCAATCAGCCAGCTCACGAATACATTCCTCGTTCTACACATTCCCTCCGAATCCCACTCCTCACTTGCCACTCCTTGTCTGCTGAAGAATAATCCACTAGGGTCCCACACACGTTTCACCTGGGATAGCCTCGCATATGTCTCACCCCAGTAAACTTCCTGGAACTCTTTCTCATTTGGGTCTCCCACGTTGCGATATGAAACCCGAAAGCGCGGGTCGATTGCGTACAGCAAAGGCATATAGATATTGGTCAGATCATGCTGGGCAGCCGCGCGTCCCTCAATGGATGGTTCAACTGTTCGCACAAAATTGATCAACTGGGCGGAGTCTCTCCATCCAGGATGCATGGATGTGTTGACCGAATTTTTATTCTGCACGATTCTTCCCCCGAGATTGCTAGTAAATAATAGGTCTCCGGGGACCATAGGAACTCGTGCCAAGGCATGGCCCACATGCTTTGGGCCATCAGAGGCGTTAAATAGCTGGTTAGAAATCACAACCGATGACCCAAGTATGCCGAAGTCGTTGTCGGTGTGGATATCGGGCACTTGTCGGTAGTTGTTGCTGAGACGGGGCAACGCGATCGAGCTGTACGTGGCGTTATTTTCAATCAGCCTCAGCTCGTTGTACAATGGCCACATGCGCTGGTCGACACTTTCGCTTTCGGTTCGGTTAAGGAAGAACAATTTTAGACTGGCCTGAAAGGCCTGATCAGGCAAGGCCTCCACTACTAGCTGGCCACCAATCATTTCCCTGTTGAGAATCTGCAGAGCCGTGAACAAGCAAGCGAGTATCTCAGGCGATGTGCTTTTCGCGTGTGATGATTGGACACGGAGCTCAGCAACGACAGCAGGGATATCCGGGAATACCCGGACTGTAGCCGCTGTAACCACGCCAAATGTCCCTCCACCCCCTCCGCGCAAGGCCCAAAACAGATCCTGGTTTTGGTTGGAGTTCGCAATAATCAATCTGCCCTGTGGAGGCGTTAGGTATGCTCGTTCCGTATCATGAGTTCGGCTGGTGGGACTTACGTCTGCGGTGACCACTTCAAACTCCAAGACATTGTCGACTGCCAACCCGTATTGGAGGCTCAAAAAGTCAGACACTCCTCCTCCTTGTAAAAAGCCTCCAGCCACACCAACTGTAGGGCAGTCGCCGCCGACCACGGTATATCCCTTCTCAGCAGCTCGGGCATAGAGCTCTCCCACCTGTACACCAGCGCCAATGCTCACTGCGGGTCCGAACGTCTCATGAGATCCATTCGGCCGGAAATCCTGATAAAAGCTAGTCTTTTGCAGACGGTGGGTATGAATCTGCAAGGAGTTGGCTGCACTGGATCGTCCAGCCAAGTCATGGCCTGTGTTGCGAATCGTGAGGCGTAGATCATGTTTCTTGGCAAAGAGTACAGCTTCCTGGATATGCTGAACTGAATCCACCAGAGCTGAATAAAGAGGAATGCGACCTTGGTGACATGAGGTGTGATTTGACATTTGCGTTCCGATGGGGCATGTCTCTACTTCGGATGGGCCAGCCTCCCATACCCAATCCTGCAATGCACCTGAATAAAGCCATTAGATGATGGAGAACTTGGATTGATATCTTCAGATACAGCGTAAACAGACGCTTACCCGGCTGAGATGCCCTCCACCCACTGTCTTTTGATAAGCGGATAACTTCTTGACACCCATTTTGGTCGAACATAGGCGCATGGCACACAGACCCAATGGGCAGCAAGTGAACCAAGTTGAATTCAATTGATTTATTCAGTGAACTCCATTCTTCCTCATTCGGCCAGCAGTGTTCCCATGGCCGACATCGACACAGGGACAATGGTTCCAATTGTGTGTAAGCCAGCCAGCTGAAAATAATCCCAAGTACGGCGTTTCCCCAAAAAGCCAAAGAACATCGTGTCCAATGCTTTGTGTCCAAAGCTCAAACGAAAGAGGATAGGTATCAAAAACAGAAAAAGGAGAAGGAAAAAACAAAAAAAAATAAGACTTCCGAGATCGAGCTGGGCTCAGCTTTTGGGACATTCCAAGTTTTTGATGATCGGATATATATACCAATATACAATGCCCTTGGGTCAATTATGGTCCAGGTCCTCCAGGGCTGTCTTGCTACTTGTCCATACTAGACATCTGGAGGCTTGCAGCTCAAACAGTAAGGGGCAGATATGTACATTATTTAAACATACCTATGTGAACTCCCCTGTCCCTATCCATATTCGTGATACATACATGAAATTGCAAGAGAGCCACGTACTATCCGATGAAGCAAATGGCATTCCGACCGCGGAGAGTTCGGGGGTTAAAAGAAGCATACCTCAAGTGGCCCATCATGGCCAGTCACAACGTAGTATCTCGCATCCAATATGAGCCATTGGAATGCACCATCAGGATGTATTATTTAATTACGGATTATGTTCTAAATTAAATCGGTTTCAAGGACTCTTGAAGAAACACCCCAAACACGGAAAGCCATAACCCCAGTATTTTCTACTCTTTTTTTCAGTACAAACACGCAGACAAATAATCATCATGGGCTCAATCGAACCTCCGAGTACAAATGCATCCCGTTCATGGGTCTACAAGACCATCACCGAACTTGGTGATTTCACCAACCATGATGAGAAGCTTTGGTGGCATAGTATCGCACCTATGTTCGCTGAAATGCTGAACGTTGCGGGATATGACCTTCATTCTCAATACAGAATACTCTGGGTCTGTCAAAAACACGTCATTCCCTTCCTTGGTGTTTACCCAACCCCAACCAACAAGCGATGGCTCAGCATATTGACTCGATACGGCACACCTTTTGAATTGAGCCTTAATTGCACCAACTCGATAGTGCGATACACATACGAGCCTATCAACGCCACTACAGGTACTTTGAAAGATCCGTTTAATACCCATGCAATCTGGGATGCACTGGATCGAATGGTTCCATTACAGAGTGGCATCGATTTGACCTTCCTTCGACACTTCAAGAATGATCTTACAGTCAATGACCAGGATGCGCAGTATTTGCTGGAAAACAACCTTGTGGAAGGCCATATTCGCACCCAGAACAAGCTAGCCCTGGATCTCAAAGGTGGAAAATTCATGATGAAGTTGTACATTTATCCCAGTCTCAAATCCTTGGCAACTGGGAAATCGATCCAAAACCTCATGTTCGACTCTGTCCATCGTCTCTGTCATGAGCATCCTACTCTTGCGGCCCCTCTTGCAACACTGGAGGAGTACGTTGTTTCTCGTGTGAAAACCGGCACTGCGTCTCCGAGACTTCTGTCTTGTGACCTTTGCAATCCATATCAATCCCGTATCAAGATCTACATCCTAGAACGGAACGTATCCCTGGCCGCAATGGAGGATATGTGGACTATGGGTGGGCGCCGGAACGATGAAGCATCACTCGCTGGGGCGGACATGCTCCGCGAGCTGTGGGGTCTTCTTCGTATGCCAGATGGCCTACGCAAATACCCAGAGCCTTTCCTTGATCTTGGAACTATTCCGGATGAGCAACTCCCCCTCATGGCTAACTATACTCTCCATCATGATGAGTCTATTCCAGAGCCTCAGGTGTATTTCACAACTTTTGGTATGAACGATGGCCGAGTGACTGACGGGCTCGTCTCGTTCTTCCAGCGCCACGGCTATACCCACATGGCGCAGGCATACAAAGAAAGCCTCAGGGCATACTAGTGAGTCTGCATGTCCCTTGTCGATTACCTTATCTGTGGATTAGTCTGACACCCCTCAGCCCACATTCAGATCATGATACCATCAACTATCTCCATGCGTATATTTCATTCTCGTACCGAAAAGGCTCACCCTATCTGAGCGTTTATCTCCAGACTTTTGAGACAGGAGACTGGCCAATCTGTAAGTGGAAGTTTTTTTGTCTTCGCCACATTTCATTATGTTCATCTTCCTTTTGTTTAGGCAACTTCGGTATTCCAATATCAAAGCCTCAATCTAAAGATCTGGGCTGCCAGCACCCTGTCTCTTTTAAGGTACCTTTAAAGGGGCGCAGGGCTAGCATGACCGGTGAGTAGAAAATGTGTAAGAGCGATCAATACCTCTAGCGCACATACCCCAAAATAGTAGAACAGAGCAGGAATCACTAACCTCGACACAGAAATTACTGTCTAATAGCCCTCTAGTGGAGGGGTGAAGAAGTGGGAGAGATTTTTCCCCAAGCATATGTCAAGAAATTGGACTAAACACATGGCTATTACTTTACAAGGTCTTAATTCCGGTGTGGGCTCTGTATCAATTCAGCACTGTTATTTATGCACAGTTCAACTCTGGCCGTGGCTTAGTAGGAAAGCTATCCAAGGAACTAGGGGATTTTCTTGCCTTCTTCGGCGTTCTTTCTACTGAGTAGTCATTTCGAGAACCACAATCACCGCGGTTTTTTTCCACCCTCCAATTATTGACCTACTATGACTATGAATTGCTTGCTATCCTTCCTTGATTTCTCATTCCTCGTCCTCGCATTCTCCGATTCCCAATTTATATAGCAAATATTGAGCCTTGATTGGAATAATTTATCCAAATCTTACTTCCTCTTCCCCTTTTCACCTTGAAGTTTTCTTGGGTCGAGTTTCTATAAAATTCCAAACGCAGTAAAGAATATTTATTCATAGTGATTTTGAGTTTCTTTATTCATCTCAAAAGTTAAAGCAATTTTAGCAATCACATGGTCCGGCGTCTTCGCTTTATTCTTCAGTCTCGTTCTCTCTGCCTTAGTAATGCGATAGCCACCGTTTATCAATCTCATCCTCGGATAGCGGTTGTTCTGACTTCAGACCCAACTGCTTCCCAAGATCATTCATATGCAATGACCACAATTCAATTCCCTGGCATTTCACAGATCGCCACCCAATCATTTTCTGCGCCTGAGGAGTCATGCTCTCAACAACATTTCGTGGCAGGAATGCTGACGCCTCAACTGGAGTGAAATATCCGGATTGTGTCACAATAGGGAGAGCACGACGATTGAAGTTCTCAGAACGATTTTGACCCGCTCCATGCAGGACCTTGCCGCCGAATAGAACAGCGTCTCCGGCATCCATTTCAACGGGAATAGACTCTTCAATCGAAGGCTGGTAATCATAATCGTCCCATTTTTCGCTGCCCGGAATCACGCGGGTTGCTCCATTTTCGTCCGTGAATGGGGTCAGGGCGATCAGGAAATTGAACATGGCTTCTGGGCATTCTCTGCCCATAGCAGTGCAAATTGGGATTCCGTCGTGTTCCCTATGAAGCTTCTGTCCAGCGTACCCGGGACTAGTCTCCAGTACAGCAGACGTAGCTAGCCAGTAGTCGCCTCCGGTCTCTTTCCCGAAGACCGTTTCCGAGATACCGTGGATGATTGGGTGATTCAGGACATCTTCTCTGTAGGTTTTGCTGATAAGGGCCATGTGGCCTTGTCGCTTCATGTTGACCCAATATTTCTCCTGGTAGGTACCACGGCTTTTGTGAATTTTAGTAATATGCGGATCAACATCTCGGTTGATATTCATGACTTGCTCAGGCGAAAGAAACTTCTGCACGATCACGCATCCATGTTCTTGCAAGACTTTTTGGATTGCCTCGAGCCCTGCACTAACTGGAACGCAATGAATTGATGGTTTCATGTTTTTGAGATTGGTCATGATATCCGATTTGATGCTCGATCGCGCCCTCGGGGGAGTCTAGGACTGCGTAGTTCAAGTAAGAGAGATGGAGAGCTCGTACGTGGATGAACACAGATCTGGGCTTAGCCAAAATTCTGACAAAACTTTCTCTTTATCAAGATAACCTGACAAGGACTTGGCCAGAAACTCTTACCTGAATTTTGCCAGAAGCAACTTACGTACCATAAGGTCTGGAACGCCTCACCTGGGTTAGGAATATTAAATGGAGATCAAAAACAAGGAATCCCCATATTCGCTGAAATCTATCTGCTGCCCTTGCTTTACGTTACATCGCAACTCAGAGTTGTTCTCTAAACAGCTGCGTCTCACATGCGCGCATACCTTTCCATGTACTCAATTCCGCTCTCATGGGTAATTTGTAACGAGATTGTGCCGTCGATCCATTCCTGAGCCTGCGACAGACCCACCTATCTGGTATATCCCAATGGGGGGGGGGTGAAAGAAAACATTTCTCGCTGTGCTTTATGTTGACATCACACCGCCACAAGTAGATCGTTCTCGGGGTGTAGCCTAAGTTGAAGTATTCCTTCAGTATATAGATACACTCGAATTCGAAATTGGCTTCCATATTATACACAGAGAAAGTATCTCGGAATCTCGGACCCTAGGACTGGGCCAATACTAGAGGCGGCTACACCTTTTTGAGCGTTAATGTGGAGTCTGGCCTTTGGTTTGCTTTGCTGTGAAACGCAAGTATGTGTATTTCTCATGGAAGCTAATTTCGAATCCGTGTGTAGTGAAAAAGAGAAAGGTGATGGAAGATTTTGTTTAAATTGATAATATTCAGATCTCACGGAGGTTTAGATCATTCTCTATAGAATATTACCGACGTTGATGTGAACGGCCTTAGTCTGGTAATAAGCCCGCAATCCTTCTCCGCCCAGCTCCCTCCCGATCCCACTTTGTTTCATCCCACCGAAGGGGACCCGCACATCACCGTCGTTGCTGCTATTGATCCAGATGGTTCCAGCTGCTATGTCTCCAGCAACACGGTGTGCTCGCTGAATGTCCTTAGTGAATATCGATGCACCAAGCCCATAGACTGTGTTATTTGCCAAGGCAACAGCTTCTTCTTCCCCACGGAAGCTCTTCAGCACAAGAACAGGGCCAAAAATCTCTTCCTTCCAAATGCGCATGTCTTCTTTGACGTCGATGAAGACGGTAGGTAAAATATACAGCCCCTGTCCAGGAACTGCGGTTCCTCCTGTCGCCACGGTAGCACCCTCTGACTTTCCACTCTCGATATACTCGAGCACTTTGTCAAACTGCAGCTTACTATTCTGGGCTCCTTGAGAAGTCCCTTCATGGAAAGGATCTCCTACCTTGATAATCGCGATGGATTGCTTCAACAACTCCATGAAGCGAGGCATTATTTTGTCATGCACAAGGACTCTGGATGTTGCGGTACAAATCTGCCCTTGATTGTACATTGCACCAAAACAAGCCCATTTAGCGGCTTGTTCAAGATCTGCATCATCAAAAACGATTAGTGGGGACTTTCCGCCAGTTTCAAGAAGAATAGGCTTCAAGGTCCCAGCAGCTAGACGCATGACCTCTTTACCCGTTGCAGTCGAGCCTGTAAACGCAACCATATCCACGTCCAGGTGGGTCACGATACTAGAACCAGTCACCCCGCCCAGACCGTTGAGAATATTGACCACACCGGGTGGAAAGCCAGCCTTTTGAATAAGAGTTGCCAGGAAGAGAATACTCAATGGTGTTTGCTCCGCAGCTTTCATGACGATGGTATTTCCACAGGCAAGAGCAGGTGCCAATTTCATTGCTGCCATGGCCAATGGAAAATTCCAGGGGATGATTTGGCCCACGACACCAACTGGCTGGCGAATAGTATACGCCAGACTTTGACCCGTGCCTGAAAGGACCGTTGTTTCGCCGTGTATCTTATCCGCCCAGCCCGCATAGTAGCGAAATATTTTAATGACTTCTTCCAAGTCATCATTCAAAGCTGCTTTGAATGGCTTCCCTTTAAAATCGCATGTGATTATAATATTCCTGGAATGTTTTGGGAGGGGTGGGGGTAAGAAACCATACCATTGTCCCAAGACTCAATAGCTGCCAAAGTCTTCTTATCCCCATCAATTAAGTTGGCAAGCTCAGTCATCAGGCTTCCTCGCTGCGACGAGGGTAATGACTTCCATGAGGGATCACTGAGCGCTGCACGAGCTGCCTTCACAGCAATATCAACGTCATCTGCGCCGGCTGCGAAAACAGATATAATACGCTGTTGGTCTCTACATTATAGCACTCATTAGCTTTAGTTCTTTGGTGCTTGATGATTTCTGCTCACACTGGGTTGATGCTGTCAATTGTAGCTCCGGATTTAGAGGGAACAAAGGTGTTGTTGATAAAGAGACCTTTTGGCTGAGTGTATCTGACACCATTTGGTGCAACCAAATCAACAAACACGTCAGCCATGTTGATCTAACTCTCGCAAAAGGCAAGACAACAAATCAACCTCTTTCTCGAATTGAAAAAAAGGACCTGATGATTAACCATATACCCTGGGGAGGTTTTCCACTTTCGAGCCTGTAAAACACGCGCAATGTCCAGTTAATTTCTTTGATTAGTAATAACAAGGGATGCAAATGTGAAAGCCCGATACTAAGATCCGGGTTGCGGTGAGTAAGCGCAAATTAGTCCCTTGCGTGGCTAGAATAGCCTAGCCAAGTCTTAAGACCTAACCGGATGATACAGCACAGTATCAAATCCAAGTGAAAAAAATTATGCAAAGCTGACATTTCTAGTTTCCAGTTCGAGCTTTGAATATGCACAGGAATGTACATACCAGATATACGGAATTCAATTCAAATGTAATAGTGAGTCGCCTGAATATGGTAACTATTAGGGAATTTCAGAGCGTGTTATTCCCTCGCCCCGAGAGATATGGTTTCGCTAAATTGTAAGGCCAGACAGAAATACGAGGCGCCGGACTATTTGTTGAGAAATGAAGGCACATTCCGGTCTAAATGACAAGACAAAGGTAAGGAATACACTCCATTTGTTTAGTGGGTGATAGGGAAGGGGTAAAATTTCATCTCCATGAAGCTTCAAAGTACCATGTCGACTGCCATCTGCCAAGTATGCGAACTAAGCTAATGTAGCACTGGAATTCGTCACATTTCTTCAATATTACAAGACGTCTAATCCTGGCCAAGCTCAGATACGAGCATGGCCAGTTTCATCGCCTGGAATCTGCCCATTACAGGAGCAGAAAGATCATCAACTCATCACCGAAGTATTTGCCAAACCGTTGCGAGACCCCTCCTCTCCAATGCCTAATTCGTCGCAATTGGATGCCCCTAAACGACTTACAAATCGCCATGATTTAGTCACCTGAAACACATACACCATGCTCTTGCCTAGCCGCAGGAGCCAAGCTGATTCTGATGAAACTCCCCCAGTCAGCAGAGCACTGTTGTCCTGCGAAAGGTCACATTTACTGCCCAAAGGCTTGCCAGCTTTGCATTCGACTTGAAAAAATCAGCAGGTGTATGCCTCTGGGTTTTTCAAACCCTTTTGTTCCTGCGCTGTTCTTCCCTGCAACTCTGGAGCCCGCGACGGTATTGAATTCGGTTGTATCTGTATCCCTCTGTCGCGGGATGGAGGTGCAATACACCAAAATACGTGACTCGGCCAAAAAGCGTGTACACGCTAAAAAGCGCCTGTAATATGGTATTATCTATTCTGACACTTTCTCAGTCTCAGTCCCGTGATGGAATCCTCGAAGTATTAGAAACACCGGAATAGGGATTCGATAGCTCACCTACTTACAAGGGCTAAGATCTAAATTTATATCCCTCCTAGTTCTACTCTACAGTTCGTCCGCGGTTACCGGCCCAAGGGGAAATCGTTTAAGGATTATCGGATCTACCGCTCTGTATATAAATATCTCCTGCTTCCCCGACAAGTAAGCGCAGGTCTTCTTTAACATAGATACAACTATGCTTGTTAAAGGTAATGGTGGCTAACTTATTCTCTATGTCAACCTATTTTCTATGTTAACCACTTGAGTTATTAGTTGTAGCTTCAGCTGCATTAGCCTCTGATTCCACACAGAGCCCAGCCGGACACCAGGGGCCTTCTCAATAATCTATCCGGCCTCGACTAAATTGTTCGCTACAAAAAAAAAAGCTAAAAGAAGAGATCAATTCAAACCGTTGCAGTACTGTTATAGACTCTGTAGAGATGATAATTATGCTTGACTCAGAATGAAGATGATCCACAAGAGGTCAAAGAGAATCATGTTGATGGCCTTGAGTGATACAGTGATCTACATAGGCTTTTAAATCACAAACGGTGGCCAATATTCAAGAGCATATCGAAACTTGGGAGGGTAATTGTCCAGAAGACGTTGATTCACCAGCGGTAGAGATACTTGTCAAACCTGCATTAGAAGAGTCGCAACCACTACCCACAGTGAAGTCATGGTCTAGTGTACGGGTGAAAGTATCGCCTTGCTGGTTGAGAAAAGTTGCAGCGTGATTGCAATCGACTGAGCTTAGCTGAAAGATTCCATCCCCACCTTGGTGCTCTATATCTTTGTCGATACTCAGAGGTCCAAGATTTCTGGGTCAATAACTTCAAATCCGGGAGTTGTCGGCAGTGAGCTAGATTGAGAATTTGCCGTGTTTGCCGTGGATGAATGAGTTGCCACGGAGCCGCATCTGGCACCTGATAAGTAACTTTCGCTATTGCTCGAGCAATAATTCTCTTGGGGCGATTCTATGATAAAGCATGTGGCGGCCAGGATCGGGACAAATATGTCACTTGAAATCAAGGAATTATCTCCTTGGCGCCGGTGTGGATAGCGATAAAATCGTAGCTTCTTTGCACCGTTTTCTTCGAACTTCACGGCAATATTGCCGTCGGCTGCTTTTCTCTTTCTCGATGGCTTTGGATTTCTCCAAATGGTATCATTGAGCCCGTGCACGTCATGCAGGTAATGCCTGAGTTCGCGTTGATTCTCGAATGCTTGAGAGCATCCGCAAATCGACGCCTTTGGTGGCCACGAGATTTCCTGCATATGTTGATTTTCGATATGCTCTCGTAGATTATCGCTACGCGTCCAATACTGTAAACGATCTTTGGCTAGCTTTTGATGGTCCCACAAACAGAAAGGGCAGTAAGCGGGGCGAATCACTGTGTTGCGGTACTTGACAACTTCGCAGTGCTGGTTCTCCTATGATTGGAGATGTGCAGTATATTGCTCCTGCTAATCTTGCAATACAAACCACTTTAGGCACTCGTAGCAATAGCGCAGCGACGATTCGGGAACTTGAAGTAAGAGTCCTCTCTCACGTCGAACGCAATCGTGAATATAGGCGCTTCTCTTACTTTTCGCAAGACTGTAGAGGTTTTTATTAGGATCCTTCTTCATTATTGAGTTATCACAACTCACTTTTCAATCTTTATTTAGCAGCCCTTTGCTAGACACAGACCCTTAATTAGCTCTTTATTAGGAAGATAGATCATATCTTCTTTGCGAGAGCAAAGAATACGGAGGTCTTCTATAAAGGAAAGTTTCCCTTCAAAGGTCAGCTCATCTGTATAGGACATAGATGCTGCAATTCGTGCAAGCTCTAGCATAATCAAGTATTACGCACGTATACAAGTATTGTTTATTTCTTGTGCCGGCTCCCCCTTTCCGCGATTTAGGATTTTTTCATCTCGCTTTGTTTATACCTATAAAGCTCGGTATTCCTTCAGCTTAGCTCGATGCTATCGAGCAAGTACTGCTTTATATTTCTGCTTTGTGACTCGAACGGCTGGCTTCTTAATTATTACATGTTTTAGCAATTTCGATAACCCTATTCATCTCTACTATTTCAGGTAGCCCTAGAACACTCTCTTTTATGTGAGCAGGCAATTTAAGAGGGAGCCCTAGCTGACAAAGCTAGCCGTATCCCTGGAGGAACTTAATGTGTTTTATTACTCTCTCCTTATCGAGCACAGCTGAGACTGTATCAACGGAGGAACAATAGGCTTAGTAGTGTTCTAGAAACGTTTTCGGGTCTCGTTGTGCTAGAATTTGAGAAACTAGCGCCGATCTATACCGTTCTGCGTTAAGGCATCAGGAACTATGACACCTTTCAGGAGGGTTGATGTCTCCACAACTTACTTTCAACTTCTTAGGCTAGATCGCGTCTAATATAATATATAGTTAGGTGCTTACTATATCCAGCCGTATTAAAGAATATATAAAGATAACTGTAGAAATCCTTGTTTGTGAGAGGGGTATCTTATAGCCCTCGAGCTGTCACATTTCGAAAAACGGGCTTCTTCAAGTAACTCTCTTTCCATCGTAATAGTATTTCTCTATTAGATAGATCAAAATTTGCTAAGTCTGACCTGACCGGCTTTCGATTGCGAAAAGAGCGCTATGTCCTAGCGTAAGTCCAAGAAGGAGGTCGCTAGACGCAAATAGTAGTCAGCCTCATTTTTGATACGGTGGGCAGAAATGCTGTTTTTTCTAAACGGGAACATTCGGCTTACAGGCATCAGCGCGCTAGTTATCACAGAATAGATGGCCCATTAGGCCATACCAATTTCGGAATAGCTAAAGCCATACTAGGAAACAAACGCTGATTGGATGTGGAGCATCAAGGGATGACTAGGTATCGAATCATCACTGGGCAATACTCAGTGATCCCTGAGCAGCCCTGATTGGTCACTGAGCGATCAGGTTGCCTGAGTCATGCCTCACCTGACTGGGGTGAGCCGATCACTGAGCCTGACCCCGTGCTGACATCTACTCACTGAGCCTGAGCCTGAGCGCCCTCATAAAAGCGGCGTCAGCCGAGACAGGAAAGCCTCACCTGGCAGACATTATCCAGTCTATATAGCTGCATATAGTTATGCCAAGGACCCTGCAAAAATTCCATAATAGGAAGGCCGACTTCGTCGAATGTGGCTGTGAGCTCAGCCAACAGGTGCTCAAACTCTTCCAGGAGAAGATGCTCTTCGTCCAGAATTTCGTCGATCTCAGCCTGTTCTATGCAATCGAGTGTCTCCTTGGCCAACTTGGTGCTTTTGCGACAGCAGACGTGTTTCAGATCCAGTGCATCGAAAGTCATCAGTCAAATGATGGCTCGGTCGGTTTCCGCGTCTCTTGGAGTTCGGCGCGCATGAGAAAATTGAGATGGCCTGGGAATCTATTCTCGCCTCTGCTCATGAAGTATTTTTGGGGGTATTGAAGGGTATGGCGCAGTGCCACGGAAAATGGCGTGCAGCCCTCGGGGGAGCAAGCGCAAACACATTCATCTCGATGTGTTGTCTGATAGATGAAGTCCAAAAACTGTAGCGGGTCATTCTTGGTACCCTGGACGTTGAAGGATGCATAGGTCGCAAAATGGGATAAAAAATAGTACAACGACTCCGGATATAGCAACTCGGCTTCATGGATCCCTAAAAAGTGAAGGGCTGTGGAGTGTGTTCCGGGTAAGACGACCTTGCAAGGATCTGCGCCTTTGCAAATGAGCCAGGATCCCCTTGGATGGGGATCCTGGTCATCGAAGAATATTGAGGTTTCACCATCAGGGGGGTTCGACCTGACGAGTCAATGAGATCAACATTTTTGAACCCTGCTTCAAAGAACAGGTCAAGCGTTGCGATCTTCATCCAATGGTGATGGTAAATGGAGCTCGAAGGGTCCTGGATTTGCAGCGCCGGGTCGACACGTGCTCCTCGAGCAACCAGGGCGTTATGAATTCTGGATGCAGTTGTATCCGGAATTGCATCATCCTCAACGTCAAGCTCGAGAAGTTCCTTTGGAGACAGATTTGCTTGTGCAAGTTTCAATAATCGTCTGCGCCGAGAAGCGAGCTCGGAGATAAGGAGTGTGCTTATTTTGCCCTCATCTGAAAGATGTTCGGATTCTTGTATATCATCAAACGTCAATTTGCAGCCCGATTGGAGCAAGACTTTTGTAGACTGATGATGAGAACCACGGATTGCCAGCTTGAGAGGGGAACTTCCTTGATATCTATCCATATCAGACCCTGCATCAAGCAATAGTTGGATTCCTCTCGCCCAACCAACCGCGAGCTGCAGTAATGTAGTTTGCCCAATCGTGTCATTTGCGACCGTTGGACATAACCGAAGCTCACGTACCAAATCTTCTTCTGATTCTAAGATCACAGCTTTCGCAATGTCTGGCATATTGACAGCTAAAACAGAAAGTTAGATTGCCGCCGTTCGCTTCATGCTGAGGGCTTATTTGTATGTTTCTTTTTTGAAAATTTACCTTCTTCGTTCTCGTCAAGGACACGGCACATGTTCGCTTTGCTGAATGCTGAGTAAAACGTCCCACTAATGGTCAAATAACCGCCACGTTGTATCAAAAGGGAAAGAAGTTGTCTTTCTTCATATCCAAAATTTGCTGTGCCAATAAAGCTATCCAACCCGGTTCGTATTAATGTATGCGACGTGTCAAGCACTGCACCGTTATGGATCAAGAACATAAATAGCCTTGAGAATCCCGTACACGCATCTAGATGCCATTTTGTACATGCTGGTATGCGTCACAGGCAGCCTTGAACGCAGGTCAGCCCTCTGGGAGATTTATTGGAATGTGAATGAAGAAAGACATGGACATACATCCAAGAGGGATCTACCTTCTTGAGTCAAATCAGACGGCGTCACCATCTTCTCCACAAAGAGGTATTTCAAAAGATTTATTGTATTGTCCACAAATTGGGCAGGAGGTTGAGACTTTGCCATTAGAGGATATAGGCCCAACGAGCGAAATCCAGGGCTATTGGGAGAAATAGGAACTCGTAAGGTGATACTTGGAGCAATGGAGAATCCCCAAGCACCTCGGCTTAATGAAAATGACGCGGTGATCGTAAGATTCAGAAGACGGCTGTGCAAAGTAAATTTCTTCGCAGCCTTCTCTGAGCGGCGAGTCGGTATAAGATCTCGCTGCGTATTGCACCAGGATTGAAGCAATTCGGGCGGTGGAGGAGAAGACTTTCTGGGAAGCTCTTGTAGCTCCAGGTGCTGTCAAGATATTAATAAGTTAGAATCCAAAGACGCGTTTAAGGCCATCGGCCATTTTGGACACAATTGACTAAATACCATAGCTTGAACTTCGCGCAGCAGTTTCGCTTGCATTAGAATTAAGGATGGAATCAGGCGCACATTCTGCGCCGAAAACCTATAGAAAATGATCAATACTGAATGCGGGGGAATTAGCAAAAGAGCCAACCAAGCTTACACATGAAGAGTAGTATGCAAGTTGATTTGCATCGCATCCAAATCATTGGCCAACCCTCGTAATGCCTCTTTACGAAAAGGATACGCGGCTCTTTTTCCATGAGCACGAACCTTTTCGCTTAGCGTTTCTGGGACAATGGCAGGTCTGCATTTTTCGATGGATGTTTTGACTCGCTCAATACCCTCGCGGAGAGTCTCAGTGTTCTCTCGCAAATTATTTGCGATTTGCGGGTCCGTGAGCTCAGTCTCTTGGATAAGTTGACGAAGTGCTTCCAAGGGAGATTCCAGTCCTTCGACCTTGCTAGCTATATCTTGGATCTCCTGGTGGGCTCCCCGCCAAGACCTACAATAGGCCACGATCTCTTCCCGTACCTGCAGTGCGAAGGATATTACGCCTAGAGCGGTGCCTGCAATCGAAAGAGGGTCTGCCATTTTGCGCCTATTGTGTGGAAGGGGATCGAACTGGAGGTGAGGGGCTGCCGCTCATGAAGCCCGTATTTTTATTGCGCTAGTTGCCTGGGCAAGCTCGGTCACTTGAATAGCCTTCTTTATTGTTGATTTCGCGATATATCTACTCTTAATTGTGAATCGTGGAGTCTAAGGCATAAATGAGCAGCACCATGCCTTGTAAATCCAGCATAGGCCACAGCCTGCAAGCTCTTATTTTCCATGAATAGCGTTGAAGTCTACCAACATCCGATGCTAACCGAGTAACTAGCCGAATGAACGCTTCCATTAAGACACTTGTAAAGCCCAACCAAGTCCCGAAATCCAATCAAAATGAAACCTCCCTCTGTAGCTGCCTTTTTTTGAATTACAGCTCCTTGCGCACGGCAGACTTGAACTAAATTTCGCACAATAGTCAGTAAAACATGTCAGGCAGATATACTCCTGTTGTGCCGACGATTGGTGGCGCAGCACGTACCGGAATGATCTGGGCCTTTTCGAGATCCCACACACCGCTATGGGAATAGATGTCGTTCTCCAGGATCTTGCGCACCTCGGCCTCGCTCTCGGCCACGGCAAGCATCATACTGCCCTTGAAGGCGGGGGTCTCGCCCTCAGCGGGGTGAGACTCGAGCATGGCACCTGGTAAAGCCTATGTATTAGTAATGGACTAGAATTTCGGTTGTGCGACGTCACACATGAATCTGTATTCATAGGATGCCGTGTTGTACAACCGGAAGAGGGGGCTCGGTCTGATGTCCGGGGGGGGGGGGGGGTGAAAGAAGCCAAGGAGGCAAGGAGCCACATACCACCAGCGACGATAGAGCCCGAGGCGACGAGGGGCTTGACGCCCTCCAGATGGGAACTAGAAGAAGACCGTGAGCCAACCTATCTCCATGATTTACCCGCGGGGCATCCTTACGGGCGAACTTCGAGACGCTTGGCCTGCGCGCCGGGCTTATCCGGCAGGATGCAGAGGAACTCCTTCTTGGCGGGGGCAGAAGACATGGTACGAAGTTGGGATGAGGGGTGTCGAGAGGAATTGAGAAAGTCACAAGAAGGTTTTTGGCAAGCAGAGAGGAGGGGAGAAGATAGAAATAATCTGGTCACTGGGGCGCGGAGGAAAGGTTGCCGAGCGTGGGGGAAAGCGGGGACTCGTGGCCGTAACAAAACGCGTGAGCAAGCCGACGGCATTGAGGCGAATGGTGCTGTCGAAATGGGAGTGGTTGGTAATTAGAATGGGCTTTGGAGATTCGACAGTAGGACAATGGGGACAATGGGCCAATGAAGGGCGGTGGAATGGGTTTGGAGGTGGGCCAGAGAGGGGAGAGCTGTCCCTGAGTCTCTGCGATCACGGAGTTAAGGATCTCAGGATTTAGGCTATTGCCTCGTGCACCCCCAACAACCTAATTTCTAGCCTCAAAGCGGGTCACGGGCACTAACACAGCAGACAACCCCAGGCGGAGAGAGCGGATGCACGGAAAAATTACTCTGGCAGTACTATACGATGCAGAAATCATTTATTATATATACATGCACCTCAGAACAGTCACTCGGAGGAGCTTGCTCCGTTACTCGATAATCCCAAGGACATCCCCCGCGCCGATCAGAAATGATCGGGCGAGGTATCGATCAACTTCTCCAAGAGACTGCGCAATGCCACTCAATCCTCCGCTAAAACTTCCACAGAAAGACCGGTCGACGCCAGTTCAATAGGGGCAGATATAAGAGAGAGAAACAATTTGGTCGGAGCCCAACACGGGATCGAAACAAGACTTTGATAGGAACATAAAGGAAACATGAAAAGGAAAGCACATGACAGTAATGGTCCGGTTCTCGGCCCCTAATTGAAGTTTGCAAGAAGAAAAGAGGATGGACATGGAGGATCAACCCATCTCCACATTGCCTTCTCCCGGAAATCGGGGAAGAAATGCACCACCGGCGAACTCTATAGACCCTGTAGTCCTGCCAAACAACATTTTCCCCCAAAGCGCCAAGGTAACAAATACAGACACACCCTAGAAACGCGGTACGAAGATGGATTATGGAAAATCATTAGGCTTCCGTCGCGACGCATCCCTCCAAGGAAGAAAGAAAAAAAAAAGAAAGTGGACAAGTTGATCACAGTAGAATCGGAAAGAGTCGGGCACCATGTCGAGGCATGACCACTGCGGTGGTAGGAGGCCGAGGAGCTCTGTAGGCTCGAAGAGAGAAATGGAGGGTGATCGAAGACGGGTGAGGATTTCAAGCTCAGCTTGAACCCTCGAGAGGCGTGCTTATCGGCTATTAAGATACAGGTAACTGCATTTTAATATGCCTTGCGGTCTCCGAGATTGCCGGGCTTCTCGTCCGTGTCGATGTGCCAGACCACATAGTTGGGCAGTCCCACAACCTGATAGCCCGCTCGCTTGGCCATGCGAGCAAAGCCTTCGGTCTCGGCTTGGTTCTCGAAAGCATAAGCCGGGAAGTTGACGCCTGCCGATACGATTAGCGTCACATTCCAGATCTCTCGGGTAGAATAGAAAAGTTTCAACATACCAGTGCGGTGAACATCGGCCTTGACGAGGATATTGACGCCTCCAATACCGTCAAGCTCGACCTCCTCATCCTTGTTCTTTCTCCAGTCACCCATGCTGACCAGGTATGTGCGACCAGTATCGTACTCCTTGTAGCCCTCAGCCAAAACGACATCTGGTTCGAGGGTTTCGCGGAGCCGGCGGCCCTTGTCAGATTCGATCCAGGAATTGTAGTCGACTATATTCACATTCTGTGGTCAGCAAATGAGGAAAAAATAAAACGCTTCTTGACCACGTCATCACAGGAATTGACTCACAGCGACCCTCAATGTCACGGCCATCCCGGTAGCGGTGGAACCAAATGTCTGGAAAGTTTTCGTTAGCCTCGTTCTTCGTATATTAATAAATGGGATATCGGAGGAATCATACTCGGCACGAGGATATCCTTATCGTGGGCCATGAAGTCTTCCAAGATGCGCTCCGGACAATCAGTGATGTCCACATCACGCCAGTACACCCAGGAGTGGTCGGGCTTCAGAGCTGAGTACAGGAGGTAGTTGCGGGCACGACCGATAGCCTTGCGACGAGGACCCTGAGCAGCAAATGAGTGTCGCTCTTCGACAGTCATGGGGGTGTCAGCGCCGAAATCCTTCTTGACAACGGTCGCGCTGCGGAATCGGATTTTTTCATCGGCGTGGTTCTGGATACGATCAAGTTCCGAAGCCAGATTGGCCAAAGTGTCATCCTTGGAATCGCCCACCAGGAAGGCCAAATCGATCAGCTCGTGCGGGTAGGTCAGTTTATACAGGAGGTCGAAGTATTTCTCGAGGTAGGGAGCGGCGTCGCGCAGGGGGGTCAGGATCAGGACACGTTCGCGGTTGGAAACGGCCTGGGTGGAGGACCGGATGGGGTTCAGATCGACTTCGGTGATGGAGGTGCTGTTGACTTCGTAGGGTTCGTGATGGTTGAAGAGGACGGGGGTCTGGGAGTGAGCATTCCACTCATTCATCTCGTTCAGGCTCATCTCCATGGGGGATTTGGCAGAGCCGTAGCAGTAGAAACTAGTCGAGATGTCAGTCCAGCACACAGAGGACAAGCTTCCGACCCTGACACATACTTTTGCATCTCCGATGCGGAGCTGCTGACGCCGCGCCATAACAGAATAATCAGGCCCGTCACGGCCACGGAGACCAAGAAGCGAGTCCGCGTCAGGAGAACCAGAACCGCTCGCCACGGCGGTAACCGGGCCCTGGCGGACTTCCAGTTGACTCCACCCTTGGGAATCAACATGATGTATGCGAGGAAAAGAGGTGGAGGGAGGAGGGGGGGGTAAGAGATATGACCGGTGGAACGAGTGGGTGTTGGCGATTTGGTGGTAGACTTCAGGAGCCTAGCAGACGAGGATCCCGGGGTTGTTGGGGGATCACTGGGCACGCCCGTCGAAAGCCCCTTGTCGACCAAACGAATGAGGCCTGAGAGGACGCGCGGAGAGCCACAAGATCGATTCACCGATGAGATGGGGTGGAAGGTGAAACGAAGGGCAAAGATAGGGAGGAGGGAAAAGAGGAGGACGGGATCGTCGGGGGAAAGTCAACCTGCCAAGCGGGAACGGGTTCAGATCCGCCCTAAGACAGAGACACCACCCGCCATTATGTTCCTTAGGTTATGGTTCTTGTGATTTTGTCATTATTATCGCCTCTCACTATCGAGGATTCTATCATCTAGTGCTTGAATATAGCTGTCTCGTCCTCCTCCCTGGATTCTCGTGGGCGGCGAGTCCGATCGAGATTTTTGACAGCCAAGGCCAGACCCTTTTTATTTATAGCACAAAACGGACGAGGAGGACCTGGCGGAGATGCTTCTTCTCTGCACTCGCTCGAGTATACGGACCACCATGGAACTATAGAGACCCAGAGGCCAAAGAAGCCTTCATAGTAACAACAAATGCCCCATCTTCAAAATAAAGTTGCTATTTTCCCGGTCTTTGTTTTTTTAGGGGAAACAAAATTCCTAAGGTTATTGCGTGTCACCGACGCACCCAGTCGTCAACCAGTGCCGGGTGTGGCGTCAAGGCTTGCTTACTGGTCTTCGGTCTTCAGGTCCCTCGAAGCTGACACTGTGTCTTTAATCAATGTAACGGGCGCTTCGACGATCCAACAGGGGCCGCTCGAGATTAACAATGACCAATTCGAGAAGAGAGCCCTGAAATGCGGCAAACGATGCGATTTCATTGCCTCGAGGCGTCGACCATCACGTCCATCATATACTTCCATATCCCCCTTCCAATAACCCCAACGAAAGAAAAATCAAAAATCAAAAAATAACATCAGACATGGTTACTTATCTCAGGGTCTCCCTTCTTAGCGATCAAATGAACAGTATGATCTGCGCGCGGGCCCCCCTTTAGCTTATGAGACTAGGATGAGAAACCGGGCCAAAAATCTAGCCCCCAGGTAGCGATCGTCACCATAGCATCCAGGGCACACACTGGTCAAAAAAGACGACATTCAACTTGTCCGAAACCAATGCTTCCTCTCCATTTATCAAGAGGAATTCTTCTTGGAATTGAGTAGCCTGCTCGAGGCACGTCGCCCGGTCATCCTCTCGTCCTTGTTCCCCAAAGATTCGCGAGAGCCGATAATTGGCGCGTGCAAGATGGCCAATTCCCTCAAGTTTCGGAAGTTTGGCAGCAAACTGGATGCATTCGGTAAGGAGTTGGCTAGGAACAGAAAAAAGAGGAAATAATCAGTACAGATTGTAGCAGTTTGCATGCGATGCTGACGAGTTGGCCTACCTTGCTAGCCCGGCATCACTGGAGGCACCGAGCACCGCCAACTGGTAGAGCGAGTCGCAGACCTTGAGACGACCGTCCACACTGCCCTTCCGCAGATTCAAAGCTCTGTCTGCGAAGCGCAGTGCTTTGTCGCGATTCCCTTGGACGCTTTGAACTCGGCTTAGGAGCATTAGATCGCCAGATAGCCGCGGGTTCGTGGTTTCCAAGAGTGCTTCGTCCGTAAAGTTCGTTGAATAGCAGCAGCGCCGCAGCATTTTCTCGGCCTCATCTATCCTTCCAGCCCGGAGCAGCAGACTCGCCATGTTGCCACACGAGTTCCCAATTTTCTCGCCGAGGTGCTTCTCCCGGATCTCGATCGATTGCCTGAGACATATCTCTGCCTCGTCAAATTCCCGCAACTCCGTCCACGCAATGCCCAGATTGACGCTGTTTCCGGCCAGAGAGATATGGTCCTGAGGGAGGGTTGCTGTGCGCAAGTTGTACGCCTCTTTGAAAGCCTGCAGTGCGGCTTTCGGGCGGCAGATCGCAAGGTTCGTTATCCCCCAGAGGTCCAATGCACTTGTACGCGCAAGCGTTTCTGCGGGGAGCATTTCGAGAGCTGTCTTGATGTAGCGTAGAGCGGCACTATATCGTTCTTGTCTATAGAGATAGCTTCTTTGGATTAGCATTTGTTCTCTTTCGCACTCGTCCATCTGTAAAGCACGTACCCCGAACAACGTAGTAGAAGTTGCGCTAGCGGCGTATGGAAGCGCTGAACGATATCAAACTCTTGGTTCAGTTCTAGAAGGTTGTCAACGTGTGGCAAGATCCGCTCACATGCCTCCCAGCTGTCGGCTTGGGTATGTCTTGGAGCAATCGGCGACCCTGTGAGGCTCGCTGATACAATAGCCACGACGAGAGAAAAATTATTTGCTTGTTTATCATGGTCCATTCGTCGAATGGCGGCTCGCTGGATAAGTCGATGCATCGAGAGTCTGCTCGAGAGACTGGACTTCTCTATCAACGAGAGCCCCAGCAACCTCCCCTGCGCAGCGAGGAAGCTATACTCCGGTCAGCCACGGGGCTTTGTTCACGCAAATTCTGCGGGCAAAATACTTACCTTACTTTCTCGTACATGAAATCCATATCTGAGCAACGTACACGGAGTGCAGCATCTTGAAGGAACTTTTCTGATATGCCATTGGGGCTGAGAAACGCCAGGATCGTAAGAAGCGTCTGCGCACCTCCCCAGAGCCCAGCTATATCCCGACCCCAAAGGCTAGCAAGACACCGGCCATCCGTGCTCATGGTCTTATCATCATCAATTTCCTCGGTGTATTCATCATACACGGCCAAAAAGTCCTTCAACGCGATGTTTCTCCGGAAAATAAACCCGCCTATTTGATCCAGCGCAAGCGGGAGACCTCCCAGCCTGGTGCAAACATTCTCCGCGTCCTTCTGGTGTAATTTCGACTCGCTATCGAGGTCCAGGATTTTGAGAAGCATTCTCGACGCAGTATCGACATCAAAGGGATGCAGCCGGTGTCCGCGCGAGGTTAGACTAAAGGCAATTGCTGGATTTCGGCCAGTGACGAGTATAGACCCACGCATAGCCGATGGCCAAAAGTCGCTGAGGAGATGCACATCGTTGGCATCGTCATAAACAAGCAACCAGCGGCTTTCTTGCCCGCATATTCGGATTAGCGTTTGCGTAGACTACCCGTATTGCGGGCTCTATTTATAGAAACACACCTGTTGACGAAAGCCAGGTATGCACATTTGATACAAGCTCTTCATCATCTTTCGTGGTGCCTGGTCTGTTCAAGCCTAGCAATGTCGCGACTGTCTGAAAACTCTCCTGGAGCACTCTTCGACTGCAGGCCGAGATCCAGAATATCAAATCGAATTTGTCGCGGGATGCATTGGCATACCTCAGGGCAACCTGAGTCTTGCCGACGCCACTCATGCCATACAGAGCAAAGAATTGGAGGGAGTTGTTGTGGGCATCAGGTGACAGTCGAGAGGTGATCTCGGCGAGGGTTTCTTCGCGGCCATATAGACGGGGAGCTTCTATGAGCGGAATATGGTAAATGGTCCTGGGATGTCTATCAACACATTGAATGCGTAAGCTTGAGATCAAGTCCGCAATCTGGTCATCGTCTGGCGTGCGGAGTCGCATTTTCCGTCCAACTCGAGCTCGTACGGGATGATGTGGTTATTTTGCAGCCTAACCACGGAAGGGGCTTGATATTGAAGGCCTTTGGGGTGGTTGAAATAGCAAGGCATCGGCCTTTTCCATCTTATGGCCGGTGACTCGATGACGGACGATGTAAGCATCAGATTCTCAACAAAGAAGCGAAAAACAAGTCGAGCCCGGTCAAAGAGCGTGAGGCAACTGATTGGGTCAAGTCGGTTTTTCGTCCCCCTACTATATGCCACCACGGGCTCGGATCTATAAAGTAAACCGAAGACGTATATAGTTGAAGGGCGCCTAGTCAGTCAACGAAGTAACTACTAGGTAGTTACTAAGTGTTCCTCCTAGTTAGGATTGTATCCTTATATTAGACCGTGACAATTATCAAATAACCGAGATAGTTAATTAGGTAGGTCTTTGTTAGAGAATAACTACTTGTACAGGGTAGAAAGCCTGTCGACTAGGTGGGAAGATAAAACGTCAAGTAAGGAAGATAAAACACTATTTCTTACTATCATAGATCCTTCTATAATCCTTAATTTATATACAGGCTTCCTTATTTTCCTATATAACTAAAATAAAGGCGATAGATCATATTACAATATACGGTCTAAGGTAACCTATATATAATAGAGGTAAGAAAAGGTTACCGGAAAGAGAGGTTCACGAATCCCTAATAGAAGGGTACCGAACCCTTAGGGCTTTGTAGGTTATATATCTATATTAAGGAGAAGTAGGGCTATTATAACGAAGCCTGACTAGTAAGGTGTTAAACTAATACCTAAGGCCTTGAGTTAGGAATAGCCTTATATCATAGTATTATATAATATACATAATATAATTCGTAAGATCAGGGAAGCTTAATAACTACCACAGCGCCTAATAATAAGACCCTAGGTTAAAACACCGCTTAGAAAAACACGTGTGCTCTCTATTAGAGATACTAATCGGTCTATTACTAAGAGAAACGAGAAGGAAGCAGAGGCAGGGCAGAGGGAGGGTAGGGAAGCAGTGGAAGAAAGCGTATAGAATATCACCACCACCAGATCCTACACAGAATCAAGATACAGCACTAGAAAGAGCGGAGGAAGCACACTAGGGTAGTATTTTTTTATTTATAGATACTACTAGAGTACTTCGCTAGATAGTAGAAATATAAAAAATTAGCAGTCTATGTGTGGTTAAGTAGCGCACCCACAACCCAGAAGGACTAGGCGGGGGCGGTTTAAGGCACTAATATATCAAGTAACACATAGATACAGCGTTAGCACCTGGAGTGGGGTGGGTATAGCCCGGACATAAGACGATAGGCGCACGAACTTCCGGATTCGGGTATTCAGGATCTTATAGGACTCGGAGCTAAATACGTAGGCAGCCTTAAATAATAGTCAGGGCAGCGATAAGGGTAGTTGCGATAACGAAGAAGCTAGGAAGAAGTAGTAGTAGGGGTAGGGGCGGAGCTCTAGAATATATAGACTAATATTATATAATATTATAATATAAGGCTATTCCTAACTCAAGGCCTTAGGTAATACTTCGATACCTTACTAGTTAGGCTTCGTTATAATAGCCCTACTTCTCCTTAATATAGATATATAACCTACAAGGCCCTAAGGGTTTAGTACCTTTCTATCAGGGATTTATAAACCTCTCTTTCTGGTAACCTTTTCTTATCTCTATTATATATAGGTTACCTTAGACCGTATCATGTAATATGATCTATCGCCTTTATTTTAGTTATATAGGAAAGTAAGGAAGCCTGTATATAAATTAAGGATTATAGAAGGATCTATGATAGTAAGAAATAGTGTTTTATCTTCCTTACTTAACGTTTTATCTTCCCACCTAGTCGATAGGCTTTCTACCCTGTATAAGTAGTTATTCTCTAACAATTTGCTATCTAGACATTTTCTATCACAATCTTGTTGTAATGAAATAGGCGATCATGATTTCGTCGTTACTGTAATGTAAGATCTTCTTATGAATATCTAGTAATCTTTTTTTGATTCTTCTCTAGATCCTATATAGATCTAGAGAGCGATTAGCCGATACTAGAAGAAGATATAGTAGTATATAGTAGTAGCGAAGGTGTTGAATATAGTAGATCAGGTGCTTTGAGATCTTGGTAATCTTAGATATTGTAGTGGAAAATAGCTGACGATGGGTGATCTCTGATTGGAGGATATAAGGCACTGATAGTATTGGACTGGAAAATGTTACACCCCTATCTTTCTATTCCAGGTATGTTATTGATCCACGCCTTTGGCCTACTATTGTAGTGGGGAAATGGCCTACTAGGGAGATCTTTGATTGGAGGATATCTTTCCAGTACACAGTCCTTACAGGATATAGCTTCATATCTCCAATAGGGAGAGAATCAACTCTAACACTCTCTTCGCTTCATCTGCTTCTGCTTCCTGTTAGGAAGGCTTCCTCCATCGTGGTGTGTGGTGGTTTGTTGACTGGTTCGCTGAGCTATCTCATCCTGCCTGCATTCTCAGGCTTGCCGCTGAGCGCCCTGGTTCAGTAGGTACAACCGGCATATTGATATTGATTGGGTGATCATCTAGAGTTAGTCCGACAAAGCAGATGGATCGGGATTCGGTTTATGTAAGCTTAATCAACAGGTTTCAAGTTGAACCACCGAGATCCAACCGGAGGCTGTTTTCTACGAAAGGACCGGAAAGAGTGTATTTCTACAGCCTAATCCGGGTGCGGCGCAATGAGTTAAACTTGGACCGATTAAGCCCTGGTCGCCACAAAAAGTGATCGGACTAGACCATGGCTGGATATACTAGTCTCTAAATGGCCCATAGTTGTGACAATGTCAAGCGATGTAAAGGTGATCCTATGGGTTCTGTCTGAGACTAGCTAGGAAGGTGGTGAGGGTCAGGTGACCCCAGCTTAAAGGGTAACAATAGTTAGCTCTTTTTAAGCTGCAAATCATCTTGTTTCGGGTCACAACTAGGTCTGCAGTATACGCTCACTGCTTGGCCGGCCCGCCTTGGCGATAAGTTATGTTCTCGGCTCTTGATTGGAGGGAAAATGGCTTCGGCATGAGAGAATCCCCTACGGTAACCATAACGAAATCAAGATCCGCCACCATCCCCCACCACGCCATGGTCTCCCAGGACATCCGCAGTATGAATCCGACCGATTGGTCAGTCTCATACACGATAGACACCTCCACATGAAGTTGGTATGGGAGGTCCTTGATCGCCTCCTTGAAAAGGGCATACATATCGGTGGGTTGTCCATCTAGGACCAACTTGACGAGAACATTTATCTTGCTCTTCACCGACTGAGGGAGGCTAGGCATAGTGTTGTGCAATCCCAGGCTTTTGTGAATGAGGACAATAGGCGCAGTGCCACTAATCGTGACCAACTGCGGCTGTGGGACGCTCTTGCGCTTGTTCTGGCTCAGATGTTCGAAAAGTGCAGGAATGGAGATTGGTGCATGCTTTAGCGCATGCACCGAGCGGTGAATCCGCTGGGTGAAGGAGATCCCAGAGGCCCGGGCTCTGGTTTCATCGCTTGGCCCGCAGGCCGAGAGTACCTGAATGGTACGGATGGATTGGGAGCGGGTTGCTAGCCCGGAAAAGCAACTGTCCATGATGGTGAGAACATCGAGACCTTTCATATGGTCGCTGTTGTTGTTGAAGATACTGCTGGCGATGGCAGCCCATTCCAGCCTGCTGTTGCCTGACGAGAGAACGAGCTTTCCATCAACGGCCTTGCCGTGGCCAGCGTAATAAAAGACTAGTAGACTGGTCTGTCCAGCGTTATGGTGAGTCTCAACGAACTTGCTGCACGCGTTCAGCAATGGCCCAAGGGGAATCATGGTGTTCTTCCGGACAACATGCTGCTCGACCTGGAAATTGAAGTCATCACCCATCAGTTTGGCCATAGTGGTGACATCGTCGGCTGCTCCAGTGTCGTCACCGGAGAAGCGGCATAGAAATGCAAGCCGTGTTGTATGAACGTTTCCACGCGCCGCGGATACCTTCTGGAGGTCGGCTTTCAAAGTCTGGGTGGTATGGTTGCGTCTGACCCGTGAGGCAGAGGCATGGCTGGCACCAGAACTGCTAGGAGAAGCTGGTGCCTTGGTGGGAGATGAGGGGTTCTTGGAGGCCATGGTGCTGGATGAGGTTGTTGTTCACGGGGGTGGTGGTGCTCGGTGAGGGTGTTGGTGAGGACGATGTTGACGAAGACTGTGATGAAAGTCAAGAAGTTGGGGGAATTCATTCTCTAGAGGAGGCGAACAACAACCATTTCCAATTCGGAATAGTCGGCCATTACAGGTAGCGTTCTCCGTGGTACTAGACTGCGGGAACCAAGCTTTATTTTAAAGTTTACGTCTACCTACTCTATAAATAAAAAGCCGTAGGCTCCTCCTATGCCTTCAAGTAGCATCTTTACACTATTCTCATATATCGTTTGATATTATCTTAATAAGAAGAAAGGCCGAGCGGATCATCTAAAAACTAAAGAGATACATCAATACTAGTAATATTTGAGAGTATACATAGCCATAGCGTTACAATCAATTCATACAATTTCCTAATCTATAGTGCTATATCTATGTAGACATTCTCACTTTCATCATATACTGTGGATATCCTGTGAGGCAGTAACTTAAATAGTCCTCGGCTGTGATTAGTAATTATATAATGATGTTCTAGTCAGGCTCAGTGATCAAATCGGGATGCTCGGATCAGGCTCAGTGATTAATCACTGAGCAGCTCAGGCTGATCAGGGCGTGCTCAATTCGACTCAGTGATCAAAAAGCGGCGAGGGATGAGCACTAGAACGGAAGGGGAAGGCCAAGAGTTGCCAGACATTTTTTGGTATATATGTGAGGATCTGACATAAAGGAAAATCAGAAAGGGTGTAGAGATAGCTCGAATCAATGTACTTACAATAATTCATATCTTTGGCACGGTGACGAGCGCAAGGCTCCGTCAGAATGTATTATTCTGCCCGGGACACCTTGCGCACGGCTAAGCTACTAGGAAATAAACTGAGAAACGACACGGCCCATCACAATTGGTTTGGTTTGCAAGGCCAGCTCCGGTCGGAGACCAATCTACATGGATGGAGGGTTGTTATCACCAAAAGATATTCATTGCAAGTGAGAAATATAGACAAGAAAAGAGCAAAAAAGAGAACCAAGTCACAAAAGAAAAATGGTAAACTCAGAACAAGAAGACCACCCGATCGTATATCCATATCATATAAACAGCGCCAAACAAAACCCCGGGGACACAAGAAAAAAATTTAGCCACCCATTTTTGTGCAAATATATGAATAGAAAAGATTTAACGGAAAAAAGTGACAGAATCCGAGCCAACGAAAATTGGAGATAACGAAAGAAACACCGAGCAAGTTGGGAACCTCGTATCTCTCAGGAGAAAAGTTCAGTTATTGTTACAATGCAGACGCTAAGAGGGAACAATGCAGCGAAGCCATGTGGAGAGGCAAGAGGCGACATTTGTCAGCCAAATGGGGCGTAGGGGGGCTGACAGAGAGTAAACAATACAACTGTCTGCAAGGGGTGGGCTCTGAGTACCCAGAGCGAGAAGAAAAATGGGTCATCAAAGCATGAGGAGTTCATGTTCATTCATGGGGAGGCCAGCAGAGACTGGCGACGCGAGGCTGTGAAGGTGAACGACGACGATTGGGATGGAGGAAACGCGGGCGAGGAAGGACCCGTCATCGGGGGTGTTGATGTGAGGTATGAGACGCCGAAGGTTTGTGAGGTGGCGCTCGAGAGGCCGTCGTGATGCAGATGAGTCTCAGGAGCAGAGGCGCCAACCTCATCACACAAGACTCGCATACCAGGTAGTCCCTTCTTTTGGCGCTTGTGCTCGGGGACATCGACGAGAGGACGTGGGCTAGTGTTCTCAATCTTCGGAGATCGGAACATCTGCTCGTATGACTTGAGCTGAAACTCAAGGGCGCGGTTGCGATCCGCCAGCAGCTCGTTCTCAGACTTAGCGGCTCGGAGCTGCTGCTGGACAGTTTGGTTTTGTTGCTGGAGAGAGGCGACCAGCTGCTGCAATTGCATACACCGAACTTGGGGCTGGAGCTTCTCGGAGAGTTGGGGTGTGACTTGTTCCTGACGGATAAGGTGTACGATGATGGCCAGCATAAAGTCGATGAGGTAGACGGCACCCTGGACAATGTGCTCCTTGGACTGTGGCAGACTCTTGGAAGGGTTCCAACCAGCACGCTCCAGGAAGAAGTCGTGAATACGGCTATCCAGTTCACGGTGGAGCTGGCTAAGGTTCTTGCGGCGGTTGCCCTCTGCGATTCGGTGCTTCTCTCGCTGGTCATCAGGGTCAGGAGAAATGGTGCTCCCCTTACGCTTACGTCCACAGAGCTGCTGAAGGGGGGCTTTCCGGTTGATGTTCTGGGGCGCAATCAAAGCCATGATCTCAGGCTGGGAGAGATCAGTGGGCCATTCTGTGGAGACGGCCTTCTGAGCCGCGAAGGACTCCTGCCACGAGCTCTCGGCCGAGTTGGCTGGAGACGGCGGCGCAGCAATGTTTTCACCGGCCGCAGACCAAGGGGACTTGAACTGAAAGGAGTCCTGGGGGCCGGGGGTGGTCGGAGAATATGCGTCCTTGGCTTGGAAAGGGTTGAAAGGCCCGCGGGGCAATGGCTCCATACGCGGAAGAGGAGGCAGGCGGCGGTCCTCGCCCATATTGGAGGCGGTCATGGTGGTGGTTGATTTCAAAGAGCTAGAGGGTGTTAGACGGGAGTTGTTCGCCAGATAAACAAATCCGGGGTACTCACGGGAGCGAGCAGCGGCGTGGAATGTCGTCAGTCATAGAAGCCATTTCTTCATACATCATGGATTTGGGTCGTGAATAAAATGCGGGATATGTGCAGGGTAAAAAGAAGGGTTGAGGTTGTCGAGCCAATGCCACACAAATCTAGATACGCCACAAAACAAGGTTGGGCCCTTGTTGTCGTCCGTCTCACAAAAACACGAGATATCTCCGCACGGTCGAAGGGATAGCAGGAGATGGGCAGAATAGGTGAAGTCGTCACTGATATCAAACAATGACGATGTATATTCCCGAAAGTGGATCAACAACGAAGGTGCAAGGCAGGTATCAACAAAGAAAGGCACAAGGGGATCGAAGCCCAAATCCACGAGGAGGCGAAGACAATGAGTGAGACACTTTTTTCGTCCCAGGGATACGGGGCTGGGATGCATGTTTATATGTAGACCAGATGATGACGAGGAGGCCCAGGATGGCCCAGGATGACCCAGGCGAGGGGAGAGTGTACTTTTGGTGCCGCGCCATGTATCCAACGATCGAGGAAACCCTGAAGCTCGGGACTCGACCTCTCTCCGGACCCAGGAGGGGGGAACCATGAACGATCATGGCCGATCATCCACAGACATCAAGCGCGGAAGACCGGGATTTCATACAGACAGATACTGTGCATGGTGCATGGTGCATGGCGCCGGCTTCGAGGGACCCACGGTCACGACGGGGAAGTGAAGTTGGACTCCCGGTGTGGGCTCTGGACTCTTGGACTCAAGGCTAGGCGACCCGCCCCGGCGAGAAGCCCCAGGGAGGAACTAGAGAAGTTAGAGAAGTGAGAGGATCCGAGTCGAGGGAGCGTATCTGTCACATCCTGCACGGACGAACTGGGTCCCCAGCTGGGAGACGATGAGCGAATCACAACGCCACGATCGTGCCCGAGAGGCAGGTTCAGGACGGGGATCCACGGCCCTTGATTTGTCACCGAAGTGGTGGGTTGAGCACGATCGACACGGGGAAGAGCGCAGCCTGTACCCTTGCATCAATAGTCCTCCACGTCTCCCAAATCACTCAATCAATTACCGTGGTCTCTCGAGAGTTTGCACGGCCATTCAATGTACCCTGAGAACGGTTGCATCCTTTGTTATTCCTCCAGGGAGGGTTTTCCATGTGGGGTAGAGTTAGAGTGGAACTGTTTACCGCGATAGCGACTTCATACATCCGCCTCGCATGCTAGACTCAATAGGGAACAGTAGACCATTCAATCAAAGAAGACGCAATAAAATCTCTAAAGCACACTAGTCCAACCCATACAGATGGTACCTAGCTACTTCCACTGTCAACGGGCTTTGCGTGCATATTCCCCGTCGTAATAGAGAACCCCAAAAAGGAAAAATGTGAAAAAATATGGAATATATATATATATATTTTAGGAAAGAATGGAATCGATCAAAATACAAACGACCTCCTATTCCTATTCGGATAGGTCATGAAACGCTCGCTGCAACAAAGCCGTCAAGAAGCGTTGCTGGGGATCCCTCGATCGCCTGCATCGATATTCAGGAGAACCTACCGTGGTCGTGCCAGGAACTCATCAAGGGGGATAGTTCTCTAGGGGCGAGCGGGCGATCTTCTCGGTTCATTTCATTGCCACCCTATAATCAAATAGAATGAAGCAAGGACCAGGGAAGTGTCGATGGTGAGACATGCGAGGAGACCATGGTCCATTCACAGGGCCAGCACTACTCCTCGCACTATCTCGGTTCACGCTACAGGCACAATTGGTCAATATCGAGATCATCATTATGAACGGAAATTGGATGCTTCCAGCGTCCACTCGGCAACCAAGGGATCTATTATGGTGGGGGAGAAAGGAGTCGAAGATCCAAAGTGCGGAATAGCAACAACAACAACAACAACAACAACAACAACAACAACAACAACAACAACAACAACAACAGCCATTATGATTGCATCATAAACGGTTTACGAGGCCAGGGTCTAGAGAAAACATTCCAGTTGGTCCAATTCATCTCATTAATCTGCCTTTGTTGGCCAGCAACCCAGCGTAAACGAATCATCAGGGAGAACGACCCACGAACGCGACGGATAAAGAGATCGCTCGAGGAGAACCAGTGATTTGGGACGGGGGGAGACCCAGCGACCAGGATAAGATGCCTGTCAGTCACCAAATCAGGAGCGGAGGATTGATTTGGAATTGAATCAAATGACAGGCGTTGAGGCGTTATCCTTTCGTTAGTTCATAGTCGTTGTGTTTGGGGCGACGAGTCAAGAAACAATAGTCCGGACTGGGGCCGAGCCCTAAGAGCTGCACGTTCCCCCGCCCCTCAAGTCGAATGGCACCTCGGATCCGCCGAAGCTGCTTTGTAGGGCCCTGCACTCTCTGGAGGAATCAGTCAGATTTCTTCCAGGATTTCTGAATTTCCTCGGTTGTTTTTCTTTCTGACCGTGGTGGTGTTTGTGGTGATAAAACTCTGGTGGTCAGCAAGCAACTAGGAAACTATGAGATTTTGTTGTTTATTGCGGACTGCAACACCACGGCTTCCTCTTCGTCTTTCTCCTCTCGAGAAGCTTGCGCCTTCGCTAACAGCACGAGTGGATCTTCTTGAGAACGGGCCTTTCTCGGTATTTTTCTTCATTATAAATATTGATTCGCCCTTCGTTGGGGGGAAGGGGCTTGGGATCGGAGCTGTCAGATTTGGCTGTCCCGTCTCTCGGAGCCAGATGCTCCATTGGACCCACTGGTCCCCACGTTCTTCTCCTTAGGGGTTCCCAACTCGCGTCAGGAATGAGAGCTGGAAGAAAGACGAGAACAAGGGGTCATTCAGAGCCTCGAGGCACTGAATGAAGCCGTGGTTGCATAGCCACGAGTCTGCCGAAATAAGAGGATTGTTCAAGATTGTAACAAAGCTCGCGCGGAAATATGCAGTAACACGTAGCACCACGCTACTGTGCACTTGTCTTTTCCCGTTTTCCCGTTGTGTTCTTCCCTTTGCTTTTTCCTTCAACGTCCTTTCCTCCCTTCTCTCAGCCAACGTCCCACTGTTCCCCATCTTCCCTCGCCAGAGCCTACTTGTGATGCCTACATGCGACCGGGGTTCTTAAGAGAGACCTGCGGCTGCGCCTAAGACCACTGTGCAGCCCACGCGCAGCAACTGGCTGCAGGAGGACTCGAGCGAGGAGCGCAAACCCACCCAGGCACGAACCATTCGAGATCCTCCAAACTCAACTCTTGCTTCCGGTACTTCCCCGGACCCATTACCAGAATCCAACAGAGATCTCCCAGCTTGTTGCCTCCAACCTGATTACTGTTTTGAGTGACGTGCAGCTGCCGCTCCCTCCCTAGGAGATGCTCTCCGGAAAATCCGACAGGCACATTAATGCGACTGGAACGCGATTTGAGTTTCCAGATCACCTTCCAGATCAGAGATCATCACAAGGGGATCTGATTTCCGGGTCCTTGGAAACTTGTCTCTGTTTGGGAAATCTTGGAAATTCCTTCATTTTCTTTCCTTTCTGGAATAGACCGGGCCTTAGTCCATGATTCCAGCGTCATGATTCTTCCGGGATCCAGGTCCGAGTAGGGTCGAGCCCAAGATCGAGAGATCGATCGTATCTGCCTGCTGTTTCAACTCCTCTCCCCTATACTGTGCAGCCCGGCGGAACTTTCCCTGTGGCTTGAAGTGACTCGAATCGTCCGATGGCAAACCTATCACCTCACACAGCATCTCCGGCGGCGGCATTTCGACCCATGCGGCTCGCACTTGCAAGGACCAGCCCTGCTCGCATTGAATTTGCCTCCACGGTCCAGGGGTCCTCTGACAAAGCCTGCACAGCCAATAATTAGTCTCACTGAGCCCTCCTCGCACCAAGTTATTCCCAATAGTAACCCAGTAGTTGACTCAGCGGCGACGACTGAGGACCCGCCCTGCGACCTGTCAAATCTCAACCGTCACAGATGACATGGCGAGGCAGTGTAGTATCAGCCAACTTGACTCCCCATACACGGGGTTACTGCCATACCAAACCGGAACCCGTATCCCTATCTCCTCTATGGTTACCTGGCTCTGAGATCTCAGTATTGTTCTTCGACATTGACCTGCTTGTTCACGCTACGATCGACTCCTCTGCCCCACGCCCTTTGTGGCGGATCTAGATCTGCCAAGAAATGACGAAAAAAGTGTGCGGAAGTACTGTTTCCTGCATTTTGCCCACTGCTGCAAGATCCATCTGCTCGTACTCTGCGTAGGCTGGATTTATGGGGAACCGCCACAGTAGATACTTTGACTACGGTAAGCTACTCATGTATTTGCTATCCACCTTCCCATTCTCCCCTAAGGGCCCCCGCTGTAGGGCGAACTGGACCCATTACGTGGGCCCCGCGATCGGGTTCTTCATGGAAGATTCGATCTGCCCTCAATTGATTTTTTTTTACCCTCCAGGCCCAGTTTTGATGAACAGCGCTGCTCCTCATCCTTCTTCTTTGGCGCTTCCCCTCTTTACAGTAGATGCAGACTGCTCCTGTGCGTGCTGGCCAGCCCCCGCTATGGAAATAGTATCCGCCTCCACTATATCCCAATCGAGTGGCAAGGGTGGATACAGGCTCGTGGCTCGTGCTACGTTCGACGGGATGCATGGGTCGGAAACGATGTGTATGTATGTTGGTTTGAGCCATTAGTGGGAGACTCAAAGGGCTATCGTCATGGCTACCTTCTATTGCCTCCGTTCAAAGTAGCGTTCCATTGTCCGAGCCGTCACTGCCAAAACTTAAATACTTTATGATGAAGCCGATATATAATGTGATGTGCACAATAATTGTAAGACTATACATAATATCGATTGGTGCGATCGCAGCAAGGACCAGAGGAGCCAGAATAGGGCTTGTCTATCGTGTGGATCGCCCTCGACCATGACAGATTCCGGGCCATGCCTGACGGTCGAAAGTACGTGCATCAGTTCCGATAAAAAGAAACGAGCAATATACCTCCGTGCCTCTCTGTACGAAGTATGCAGGTCCCCTCTTTCGGGGACATGCGATCCAGTTCCAACGCAGGCCCTCCTCGAGAATTAAAATGGGAAAAAAGGGAAAAAAAAAAAAAGAAAAGAAAAGAAAAGAAAAAGGAAACTCCTCAGTGCCAACCGCACTTGGAATTCGCCGACTGGCTCTGGCCACCACCGGAATCGCGGATACTGCAAGGACCACAGGTACCATACAGATCTAGTAGCGCCTGAACGCGTAGTCGAGTCTATTCCAGGAGTTCCTGCTCGGAACTCAAATTCACCGCATCTGACACGTCTTGCTCAGATCAGATCAGGACTCCCCGAGACACTCGCAGCCCGTGGAGTTCGCCTTCGATCATGCTAAGTGCGCTGGAACCGGTTCCTACATGCTGCACAGTGCGAGATCGATGTGCGCTTTCACACAATACCTCCTGCTAGTTCCCTTGGTTCTTTTTGGGAGGTAAGCCCAGGGGTTGGTTTCCCCAGTACCTGGATCTCGAGTTGCCTCCAATGCAAGGCGAATGTACCTCCTACATCCGCGGGGGCCACTATCTGTGCGTTCGGCCTCGCCTTCACTCAGGTACCCCTTCATACATATGCATCGGGACCTTAGGGCCAGTCCCGGAGCACTCAGAATCTCAAATCGAAGCCCCCCTTCCCCCCAAGCAAAAGGTACACGGGGTACACGGGGATCCATGAAGACATGAAGCGGGAAACCCTTGCCACGGTCATCAGTTCCTCGATGAATTTGATCCGTGAGGGAATTTTATTTCGTACTTGGTGCCGAAGATGAGGATGGTGGGTTTGCCAACGCATCTTTTCCTCTTCACTCCACCTTGTAGTGGTTCCCTTGGCCCTGGCCTAGTCTCCTGCTCAACCAAAAGCCCTGCACGAAAGGATTTTGGGTAATCCATTGGCCCATACGTCTTGTCTTTCTGTTTTGACTCTTCCCCGGCAGAGTGTCATCCGTCCCAAGTCTGCTGCGACTAGAGTTGCCATCACATCTGGATGTCGTCAAACCCCCGCGAGAGGGTCATTCGTGCCTTGCTTGGCGACCCTCAGATTCGCTTTTCCCTAGGAGATCGATGACCCATGCAAAGGTTTTGGCATCGATCTCGATCATGCCCCGCCAATCACTCTGGGCTCGGTGATGTTCGGCTCCCAAGGTTGACGAAAGTCGAGCCCGTCAAAGTTTAATTACTTTCCCGCGCGCGGACGCAGAGAGACAGGAACCAAATTGAGTTGGTCTTCTCTCAATATTTGAGTCTAATAAACGGCTCAGTTCGGACTGAATAATGGGAACTGCTCGTATTCACGGCTCAGGGATTTGGGGGAGCGACAGGGCCCTCTAGCTCGCGATCGAGCAAAGTGGACGGATCGTGCCTAGAACGCCTAGAACGCCTAGTGCGAACAGAATGACATGGATAACGCCCCGGCGTCATGGACCTTGGGACGAAAGAAGTGTCGATCTGTCACGGACGGCTCCTTGTCTCTGGGCCCTCGGCTAACCGTGGTATACTACGCTGGACGGAGTACTATACTAGACTTTTTCCTCCATCCTTCAGATCCTTGCTAGGATCAACATCCTGGGCCACTAGACTCCGCCTTCGCTACGATCATAATTATCAGTTGAAGTGGACTTTTGCTCTCGTGCAGAGTCTAGAGCCACGTACGTAGGATGCTGGAGTCGAAGATCTCATGCACAGGCCCCTGTAACCCCCCCGATCACCCTCCACCAGCATCTTGGACGGGTTCCTAGGTTTTAATTTTCTTCTATTCCTACTTCTAATGCAAGATCGGATCAAAAGATCATGAAGTCATTACGAACCATGCACTCTACCCTCCCGACGATACCATCACCCACCGATTCTCCCACATCCCCAGCCCCCCTTCCCCTCCCGAACCGCAGATCCCGACTATCTACTCAGCCCTTCCCAGTCCTTCAATTCTGATTGGCCTATCATGGCTGAAACTATGCGCGTCTATGCAAACCTTCGACTCCATCTTTCTTCTTCCCAGTCCACTGGCCATGGATATGCTCCCTCTTTCACTTGCCATTGCGAGCCATCCGTTCATCCCAGAGAAAAGGCAACCTTCCCCAGCCTAGCTGTCAACACTTATCTATCCCCGGCATCAAGTGTCAAATCCAGCTGCCTAAATCCCTCTCTCCGATCCTTCTCCCGATCAGGCGGCCCCCAACCCCTAATACTTCCCCCTCTCCCCCATCTGATCCTCGAATCAGACCAGGCGTGGGATGACAGACTAAAAGACCTAAAAGACCCTAGCGACCCGGCACAGTGGATTCGACACATCCACCGGGCCCGCCGCCAGCGTGGGCCTCGACGTTCGTCGCTGCAAGACACCCATACTTGAGACGCACATGGCCAGAAACGAAACGTCGAAAGCGGGGGGCCTATACATCTCTTCTTTCTTTTCTTTTCTTTTCTTTTCTTTTTTTTTTCTCCTTCGTCTCACTAGCATTCGTCCCTTTCTTGTCTCACTCAACCGTGCTATCCCGAAGAAGAGAAAAAAAAAGAAAAGAAGAGAAAAGAAAACCCGTCGTCAGTCTCCCACGTCACTGACTCCAATTCACCAGCCCGCGCTAGAAAAACCCAACCTCCGGCCCCAGATCTAGGACGTCTCCGATCCTTGATCTCCCCGGCCACCCGTGTATGGTCGGAGAAGAATCTCGCAAGGTTTGAGCCCTGTCTCGTTCCTGCTGCTGCTGTTGCTCCCCCCCCCACCCTTCGTTCCGCGATGTGCCCCATATAGCGTTCCCTCGGACGCTGTAACTAGATCCCGTAGTGCTGGATTCCGGGTAAGATCATGCCATTGTACCCCCCCTCTCCACTCCTCTCTCCTCGTACTTTGTGTAAGGATCCCGAGAACGAGCGCTAGTCTCCTGTTCTCGGGGTCTACGGGCTAGATGCAGCTACAATCCGGGATCCCCGTTCTTCGCGGGGCGGCATGTCAGGATCTGTACGGTGTGGTGAGGGTGGAGTAGAGTAGAGTTTTCTCATACTCTCATTCCTTTTTTTTGAGGCGGCATGAGTGAGCACGCTCAGCTCGGAGATTTTTTTTTTTTTTTTGAGGGGGGCTTTCTTTTCTTTTTTGTGTGCAATGGCTTGACACATGGCGCGGTTTTGTTTCATCGGTAGTTGGAGAGAGGAGAGTGGAGCAGAAGCCATGGGAACGAGGAACGAGGAGATGTATAGAGAGGTGTACGTAGAACCATAACCATAGCGAATCTTACTTATCGTACGGATCTTTGATCTTTGGCTACTCCTGTGTTTCTGGGAGAGAGGGTAATTGAGTGGGCTTACACGGCTCTAGGCTGCTTCTGGATAGCCATGTATGCTGGCTCTCTCTCTCTGGATCGTGAGCGGGGAGGACGATCCTGGTCTCGTTCTCGGGGTTTGCTTTTCCGACCAGGGGTTTCCGGTTACCTGGATGGATTGCATGCGACCTGTGGGATTCATTTCGAAAGAGGGGAATGTTTTAGTCTATGTATCGTCCTTTTGTACCGGTGAGATGAGCTGGACGTGGCAGGGAGATATATATGTGTAGATATCAAAGAGCCGGAAAGATCTTGCCGTTTGTGTACAAGGTTGAAATCACACCGCAGTTGAGATAACAGGATAGAAAAAAAATTTGCGAAGAAAAAAAGTACCTCAGAGCCTTCTCAATGCAAGGTGACAATTATATGTGCAGGTTTTGAGACCAAATGATATTAAATTGATTTGGCATAAACAGTAAGAGCGCCTAAGGGTGCAAGCTTTGTCAACCTTATGCTACACCTGCTGTCCACGATATATAATGCACTTTACTACGTATGCATACAATTTAACACCGACCCTTTCATACGTTTTTCTGATATCAATGTGACTCCAATAAAATAGATCAAATAAGACCTCTCAAGTTAGAACAAGCTGCACATTAACAGAAGTCACTCGGCAAACACGCTTGTATTACTACTTGCAGGGCCTAGCCAACTATACATACGTAGGACTTATCCATACGGATTGCTATGAGAGAGGCCAATTTTGGGGACATGGCGCAGAACACAATGATCACGTTCTCCAAGCACCGACTTCCCATCAATCAGGACAGTCATTAAACGAGAAGATGAAATGCAAACACAGAAAAGTTCACAGAAAGACAGAAAGAATGTAGATGCAGAGGGTCAGGGGAGAATACTGGACCCTGACATGAACAGATACAGATTATGTATGGATTACTGATACAGAAAAGAAAAAGGGGATTCTACTTGGAAACACCGAGAGACCATGGCGAAGGAGCTTACAAACTTGCCAAACCGAATACATTAGAAAACGGCGTACGCTTGGGTAAAACACATATCGAGACAAGAACGAAACAAGAACGGAGGGCGAGTAAGGAAATAGAAATAAGAACTCCTTTCCGATGGAACGGTGACGAGGGGTTGTCTTTCGAGGACAGAATCCAAATTGCGAATTTTCCTCATAAAGACGGAATTATTATCATGAGAACTGCAGTAAGGCGAAAAATGAAACGTTGCTTGGTGAAACTTTGCATCTACAATCTTCCCGACAAAACAAAGAAACACACATCCTTTCCCTTCAAACCAATACAAGAGATGCTTTACAGAAGCTGGGCCAGGCCGTAGAACAGGGCAGCAAGGCCAGCAACGGGAAGGGCAGCACCGTTGGCAACAGCGGCACCGGAGCTGGTGGAAGAGGAGCTGCTGGAGGAGCCGGAGGTGGTACCAGACTTGCCGTTGGCGGTGGTGGGGTCGCTGGTGTTGGCAGCGCACTTGTAGGTACCCTTGATGACGTTGTCTTCTTGCATCTTCTTGAAGGTGCTGCAGCTGAAGTTTCCGTCGGTGGACTGGAGGTTGAAGCCACCCTCAACATCCTCGAGGGAATCCATATCAACACTGGGGACGAATCAGTAACTGCCACCTGAAATTTCAACAGCCAAGGGGGAGAATGCAATCAAAACTTACGTGTTGAACTTGCCACTGAAATCAATGGCACCAGTAACAGTCTCCAGGTTGGGAACCTCGATGGTACGGAGCTTGTCGTTGCGAGAGATGGTGAATCCACCGTCGACCTTGGTCAGCTTGTCCATGGTGATGTTCTTAAGCTCGCTGTTGCCGGTGAAAACCAGGTCACCAGTGGTAGTGAGGTTAGGGGCATAGAAAGTGGTGAACTGAGTGCTCCAGAAGCCGAGCTGGCCGGTCAACTTCTCCAGGGAGGGGATAGAGACACTGGAGATGTTGGTGAAGGTCATGTTGGTACCGGTGCCGAGGTTGGGGAATGCAACCTCCAGCGAGTCGTAGTTACCGGAGAAGTTGATCAGATCGGTGGCGTTCTTCAGGTCATTGACGTTGATGGTCTTGAGATCACGGTTGTTCTGGATCTGGAACTGGTTGACGCTGGTCAGAGAAACCTCCAGGCTAGTGAGACCAGTGTTGGCGATGGACACATCGTTGACATCGGTGATGGTGGTGAAGTCGATGGTCTGCAGCTTGGGGAGAGCCTCCCAGTCGATGGAGCCGATGGTGGTCAGCTCGGAGAAGGAGAGCTGGGTCAGACGGGTGAGACCGTTGAGGTAGAACTTCTTGCCGATGGACTCCAGGGAGGAGGCAGTGATATCGGTGACGTTCTCACCACCAGTGCAGGTCAGGGTACCGGTGATCTTCTCGACACCAGAGATCGAGAGGGAGCCAGAGAAGGATTCGTCGATGGTAATGTCACCGCTGATCTTGGTGCAGGTGGCGATGCCATCGGCATCGGACTGGGAGGAGATGGTGGTGTCACCGCCTGCAGGAAGGGAAAACGCGTGTTAGCTGATATGATCCTCTCATCACTCACAGCATGAAGTTCTTCGTGTTGCCGTGATATGCGGCATTTGGGGATGTTCTATAGCCGTCGGGGTCGGGTTACTCACACTCAGCAGCGAAGGCGAGCTGGGTGGCTGCCAGCGCAGGCAGGATGTACTTGATGTAAGCCATTTGGAAGGTTTTTTTTACTGATCGCACACGTCGTTGTTAGCCACTTCCGTCCGCCAAGGCTGGCAATGGAGAAGAGAAATCGTGGGAAGTGGACCAGGCAAGCAGGCAGCAGGACTGTCTCGTTGCGCGTCCAGGGGGAGCGTCGGAAATTGAGGATCACATACCGAGCAGAGGGAATAGAAATTAGAAAGAAGAGGGAGAACGAGTGGAAGAAATGGCGCCTCAAGCAAAGGACGTGGGCTCAGCAGGCTCAACGAAAGGGAAAGAACGAATGGACGGGGTTGAGTGGGAGAAGGAAGAATTAAGAAGTTCGGGGAGAGGAAAGGAGGCGTCGGTGGAGATTTCCAAGTTTCCCAGCGATGCTCGAATGTTTGGCGTGTTTTGGGTATGTAAGCGTCAGTGTCTGTATTCGGCGTATGAGTGTATGGGCGTATGGGTGTATTGGGATCTGGGTAACGCTGGGTAATGCTGGGTAAGGTCTCTGGAGGTATTATTCGGGGGAGAGAGGGGCCTGGGTTCTCGTTTCGTACTGCAGAAATCGAGTTTAGAGGGAAACACCGGGCATAGATGGAATGATGGATATATATGAATCAAAAGGACAACAGAGAATATCTCGCTAATTTATGATTTATGGGAATGAATACTCATTGCCTCCGCAAACACAGAGTACACTGAGTACAACATAGTACCGAATCCGGCGCTGCCCTTTGGGGGGGGAGGACGATGGGCGAGGACGATGTTCCGAGCGGTAAGAGGTATTTCGCGGGTCACGCTGGTTTCAACCCAAATTCCCTGCTTTTGCGTCGGTTTAGTGCTGTTTCCGTAACACTTCGCCAATGGCCGATTCGCCCGTGCGGCGCCCCCTTTCTCCATTTTGTGTTTCCCCCTCTTGAAGTGGATCCCGTCCTCGTCTCCTTCCACACGTGTCGTCCGTTTTGAATGACTCGTCCATGGAACAAGCCATGATGGAAAATTTTTCTGATTGGGGGAATCAATGGTTAGGTTAATTATAGACCTGATATTTACTTCCAACAATACTTCCCAATACTGGTGATGATTTTTTTGGCTCCCGAGAACTTATCGACCATCAAATATACTGCACGCTGATATTACTGCTCTGTAATTTACGCTCCCACAGCCTCGACCTCGGTGGCACGGGACCCCGTACCTTTTGTATTGACATTGATACCATCCGGTCCGACTGGCCGCGACGTGCTCCAGATAGAGACCCCGTCTGTCTATACATGTCGGTACACTAGGTCCTGGCCACTAAATTTTAGGCGCAGCTCTCCAGTGCAGACGATTGCCACCATGCATAGATAGTTTGTACCACCCATGCTGCAATGTACATACTATTCTCTGTCTTCCGTACTCTTCATAGTATTGATTCGTTACCCGAAACAGTCCATCCCCACGGTGCTCATCACTGGTGCTACTTTGTTCTCTCCTCCCCATCTTCCACGCCCCAGGCATATATACCGTAGCTAGAGTAGCTATTATGATACCCCCAGAGAATAGCATGAACCCAGAGAAAATCAATTCTGGTCCCAACGAATCATAACTGATGACGGAAGATCGGTGTAGCATTATCAAAACTCCGTGGCTCTAGAACCCTATTTTACAATGGCTTTATCCTCGTAATACGACAGTATACAGTACAGGATATCCAATCTTCAATGCTACGCATGTACAGCGGATACATCTATCAATGTACTCCGTACACCTATCCTGGTTCTGCTTCCTAATGATCATACTAAATCATGATGATGATGATGATGGCCAAAACAGTATGAGGCACTGCACAGAACGCTATACAAACAATTATACATTTAGTGGATCTCAATACTGCACAAACAATGATGATGAGCTATCCATGAGGCTAGTTATACTAGTTCTCAAACTTTGAAATTAATCAAGCAGACTCGTAATTAATCATCACTGGTATAACAACAACAACAACCCCTTGTACCTGACGCGGGATTCAGAGTTGCCGGGACGATTCTTCTCCAATAATGGCCGCGCCACGCTATCTCTTGTCTATCACCAGTTGTCATCCTTGCCCCCAAACTTGAGAAGCTTCCCCCCCCAATCAAGAAAACTCATGCACTTAAGCCAGGCCTTGTCTCTATCCCAAAGCTGATCGGGATCCCGCTCTCTATTTCCCACGTCTCATTTCCCCTTTCTTTCCTCCGGTCGCATGCGCCCTTCTGCCTATCGCGGCCTGTGGATTTCGATCCAGTTGCACCTTGCTCTTGGAGATGATCTAAATTTGCAGGAATTCAAGCCTTTTCATGGACCCGCCGCCCCCTGCCGCTCTGGTCGACAGCCCCGGTATGTCCGACCTCTGATTGGCACGCTGGAATGATTCGCCCTGGATTAACGGGCAATCCTCGCGTTCTGACGAGTCGACCGTTCCATCTGAGATACTGACAACCCCGCGTCTCAGGCGCCCCTCGCTCATCTCAGACCATTGAAGCTCACTGGGTGCGAATTAGTTACTGGAAACCGACCTGACGCCATATCGCATATAGCCGCCCGCGAGATATATCCCCTGAGCAACAATGCCGGCTAACAGAAACAAATAGTTTGTTATTTATTATCATTTTGCCCCATCTGAGTTTCTGCCGCCGGAATCTAAACCCGATAGCGTCGTCCCAGTGGCAAAATGCGATCGTCACAGTGCACTAAATGCAGCGACAGCTCAGTGGCAGGGGCTTTTCCCCCCCGCCCCCTATTGTTTTTCTATGTTTCGACAATGAAGATCCAATCGACTCGCGTCCGCCACTGAAAGTGCAGTACGTTGTAGATAAGTACCCAACATGTCAGAGCGAGACCAAAATGGTCCCAGTCGCCCGATGGAATAAGCCGACCGAATCAAATGTTGGCTACGGACCATTGGGAAATTAGAGGGAAATTGGAATCGGGTCCACGATTCCCATTCTGGAAACTCAGTAATTATTGAGCTCAGATCCGCTCGGGAGCTCCTGTCATTCGAGTACTTGCGATGATCGCCTGTCTGGAGCTTCATGGACCTACGATCTGCGCAGCCTTGGCTATATACAGTACGTTTTGCGTACGCAAGCACTTTAGATGACTAGTCAGGTATCCCGAGAACCATCAGTTTGAATTTAGATGCCGATAACGATACAATATTTCCGCCATACTGATGGTCGCCTGAGGGCTCCATGGCTCTCTCGAGTCTTTGGATGCTTGGCTTCCACGGCAGACGCATGACCAACAACACCTTGTCTCAGTGTGCCTGTTCATACTTCACACTGACCTCTCCTTCAAGAGCTGTGGTCACATCGCGCATTTCCAACGTTACCGTTAGCCCATGACGACCGTACCATACCGGTACCGATGTTTCAGATCGCTGGACGGAGCACGTCGGCTCCGTCTGGCTCCATCTGGCCTCGTCCATCACACTTCGTTCTAGCATTACTCCACTGCATCGCTTATTCTGCTACATAGCAAGGAAACCTACTGCAGGATCAATCAAAATTGTCCTTGCTGGATTCTATGCTCCATCATCATATGTGTTCGCTGACTAACCAGGTGATGGCCGCGTCGTCGCTGGCCAAGCAACCACAATAAACTAACTAATCTCCGTAGCGGTTCCCCAAGAGGGCGATCTATCTCACAACTTTGTACGCAGTGAGTGCAGAGCTGCACTACTGTTGTTGTTTACACCTTTATTTTTAAATTAAAAAATAAAAAAGGTAATTGTATCTATGTATGTATCAAACGCCTTGTTTTTTTTTAGATGCGAGTGGCTCTCGGAACGCCACAGAATCTGGGTACCGCGCGGCCTGCAAACCCAAGCGTCTACTCTACGGAGTCGACCGTTCTAGTTTAAACCGCCGCATGGCATTTGACTTCGCATTCCACAATTGCCAGTCGGGCCTGGATGTTCTTTTTTTGACCCTGCGGAATGTATATATGTGCGGAGAGAAAACAAGGGCGCAATTGGGAACGTGAATAAGGGGGAGGCTGGCAACATTCTCAGGGAGCACGAGACCACGGCCAACTACTGTGCGTTGACTCGGGGGCCATCCAACAGGTTGGCCCGATCACAGCTCCATTTTTTCTCGGGGCGGTTTGGAATGGAATTCTGTATTTTCTCGATTCTGGATCAGGCCAACACAAGAATTTCAAGACGAAGCTTTTTCTCTGTGTGACTTTGATATCAGCCGTGCTGGTCCTACCGGGCAGTATGTTATGTGCAGCACATCTCCCATGTTAAAAGCTTGGAACCCGTATCGTCTCGACCATGATCTTCCCAATCCATACATGGAACGCCTGCTATCACTGGATAACCGGCAATAAAATGCCTGGTCAATTGGCTTAGCGACCCACTCCTGCATGAATTTTTTTTTCTCGGGGTACGGAGTGCCTGCGAACCTAGCGAGCTCTTTGACTTGGCAGTGGCCGCTGACGCAAGCCTGCCAGACCAAGTCCCGAGCTTTGCTTCTTTTGTATGCATGCTCAAAGGACCGCACCTTTTTGGGATCAAGTTTCTTCCGGTCGCGTGGGGATTTGGTTTCTTGTTTTCTATCAATTGTCCGGATGTTGACTTTCGAAAACACGCCCAGTGTATGAATGGCTACCATGGTTGTGAATGAATCTTGGTGGTGTGCTCCTCAAGTTCCTTGGTACGGATAGATAGCGGAGTAGATTTGAGCCAATAGCGCTGAACACCAATCCATGAATCCAATACTCGGGTGTGGTCGAATCACAAATCAGAGATCATCTTAGCAGATATCTTTCTTGGGTAAATTGGCCCAGAACTGAAAGTGGTTTGGTTGAACGGCTATAAACACTTTTCCCGATCGATGATGCTTACTACTGTTTCCCAGTCGTCGGAACTCGTTGGTGATTGGCCTGGTTGATTTCGTTGGACCAGGTTCTAACGAAGTGCACAAAAGCTATTTCCTAAACGTAATGCATTATACTCTTTGTCTCTAATGAGAAACCAAGGTGAGTGCTGGCTTTGTCCATCGGAATGGAAATCTAAGTTTGCTGAACCTGACCTCAGCGTGTAGGCTACTGGGGGACAGTATTGCAGTTCTTTCTAATTACACACTGAACATTTACCGACCCTATATGAATCACCCAAAATCCACGTACCTCGAATTTTGATAGTTGATGAGATCATTCTAATATCATGTACAAGGAGATTTCTCATTCGCTCATCACTGGCTGAATCCTACTTCGTGCAACCGATATAACATCTGTGGACCGTAGAGCACTAAGTTCAAGTTCAACAGATCAGGTACCTGAAGACGGGCTAACAGATGAGCAAGCAGTCTTCTTGACTGCATGCAAGACGACAGTTCTTGGATTTCAGATTGGATTAAGAGACGGGAGTCTTCTGTCGGCTTGATACGTAATCAACTGTGACTTTTCCAAAAGGGTGCCCCTCCAAGACCCTCAAATGGATCCCACGAGCCACTTTTGTTAACAAAAAATTAATAAGTCAATAAAGAAATAAATAGGTATTAAAATTAACGGGCCATTGTTTGCGTTGTTCTTGTTGTTTTTGAAAAATATACTTAGCTATATGTACTAGTGTTTATCCTCAGCATATGACATTGACTCACGGAAGAAAACAAATGTCGTGACCTGAAGACGCAATGAATATATGCGTATAATTGAGGAATTTCATGTTCATGATCTACGAAGAAGCAGTTTTTTTTTTTTTTTTTTTTTTTTTCAGATGAAGACTGTTGGTGTATTTATCAATATTGGAATATTAGAGATATCATGATATTCTCGCATACGTTTAGTTCTAGGCGGAATTTAAGCTACAGTGTTGTTGAGGCTATGTAAGAATCTTGAAGAAAATAAGGAGCACAAAATACTTCAGGACAAGCAGCTGATCCTTTGCGATATATATTTGCTGCCAGAGGTGAAATGATAGGTCTTGAGATCCCCTCGGCCGATATGGATATAATACATATATAAGCCAAACGAGGTAGCAGCCCAAGACTCGACTCCAGCCTTGGATCAATTGGAAGAAACATACTGGTTTGATTCTCACTGAGAATTTCCAATGTCAAACAGTCCAATCAGATTAAAGATAATGATTCTGGGGTCAATTTCATATATCCGAGGCGTTGAGATTCATGAATGGGGCCGGTCCGTATATAATACCGTCAAATGGTTCAACATTTACCAATAGATATACCAATAGAGATAGACTAATAGAGTAGAATTATGATGAATATTAGGCGGCTCCAGTTTCAAAAATATGAAGCCATTGAACAATTTCTTACTGGTCACTTTGGAGCCGCAGTGCTTGGCATGGGTGCAAGCGTGGACTTCGGGCCCACCCCTGGAACTCCGCATGCTAACAGCGATGCGACTCCGCTGAACTCGAAGCCACTCCATTTGATCGAGACCGGCGAATCACAGAGTCCCCGAAATAATCCAACCAAGAATGTCGTTACGCCGCTCAGCACGACTGGGTGCTCTCCCAACTCTCCCAACTATCAAGGCACCCTTGCAGAATACGGTGCCCAAAACGACCAGAGTGCAGAACAGCGCCGTCGCAAAGCCTCGCAAGGCGTCTTCTACCCAAGCAACAGCCCCCAAAGTCCCAAAGAAGCAAAAGAAAGAGCCCCAAATGTCATACTGGTCTCCAGAGCCTCCGACCCTAGGGCTATCGGCGCAAGGACCGGACGACAACCCCCCACCAACAACGTCACCAACAGGCATCTTACACCTCCGCTCGACCGGCCTGTTGACCCTCATCGAACAAACGCAACTCTCCTTACTCCACATGGCTCATCAGTCGTTGCATATCCTGGGAGAGTCGAGGATGCCTCGCCCTCGAAGACAGGATTACCTCGCCCGGCCGCCACAACAGGGACTTTGCTGGAAAAAGCAACTGCTCACTTGATTGCGACGGACCCTCGCCTCAAGCCCGTGATAGAGCGACATCCCTGCCCACTTTTTTCTCCTGCGGGCTTAGCAGAGCAGATTGATCCATTCAACAGCCTGGCTAGCAGCATTATCGGACAACAAGTCTCTGGCGCCGCGGCCAAATCCATTCGGAACAAGTTTCTGGCTTTGTTCAACTTAACAAGTGGAGAAGACGGTGCTTCATTGCCACACTCACGATTCCCAATGCCTGAAGATGTCGCTAGATGTGATATTGCGACGCTGCGGACTGCGGGTCTGTCTCAGCGCAAAGCAGAGTATATACAAGGGCTGGCGGAGAAGTTTGCAAACGGAGAACTGAGTGCACAGATGCTAGCACGTGCTAGCGATGAGGAACTGGTCGAGAAGCTTATAGCTGTTCGTGGACTAGGTAAATGGTCCGTTGAGATGTTTGCTTGCTTCGCTCTCAAGCGGATTGATGTTTTCTCCACTGGAGATTTAGGTGTGCAGTAAGTTTTCCTTTGCTTGTCATTTTGGAGCTATCGAAGCCCACCTCTCTTTCTCCCCGGGGCCGTAAAGCCTTGAGCAATATTGAATGCTGGTACTTTTTTGATCTGCTACTAACAAATTCTACAAGACGAGGCTGCGCCGCTTTCGTAGGCAAAGATGTGAGTAAACTCAAAGGAAAGGGCGGTGGTAAATTCAAGTATATGCCCGAGAAAGATATGCTGGAATTGGCCTCGAAATTCGCGCCGTATAGGTATGGATATCTCCCATTGCTTGCTGCTCTTCCGAGAGAGAACATGTTGCTGAGAATATCTTGATAGGACTCTTTTCATGTGGTATATGTGGCGAATTGAGGATGTTGACATAGCTGTTCTTTCTGGGTGAATGACTCTAAAGGCATTCAATTAGACCATTCTCCGAATCATGTCATGAAATAGCTGTTCAGCATTGGGTCATTATATGTCGCTTGTCCTGACAATAGATGGTTTTTTAGTTGATTGAGTCAAAGACGACCTGTTGAAACAGCGTATCGCCCTTTTATTCTAACTAGTATTTACCTGTGTCTAGGCATGTGACTACGTGAAGCAACAGACTAAACCGAAGCCTACCTCTCAGTTGGAGACCGCAACAGGACAGCCTTTCGGTAGCCAGTGGTATGGCTTCAGATAAAAATCGCATATATGGAATGTTCAAGGAGCAAAAGGTAGTGTCGGGTATCAAGGCAGAACGAAAAAAATCGATTTGTACAGTATCAGTACACACAGTGGATTAACCAAACACCCCCTTCAGCGGTAGGCGCATTCATCGCCAAATAAACCCGACGTCTATATCATGCAGACAACCCTATCATCCTTAATTCCATCGGCTTTTCGTAGTCAATTGCAGCAGGGGCACAAGTTTTCGACGAAAGCGTTTACTTGCGGACGACGAGGTTGTCGAGGTCTGCACGCTCCTTGTTCTCCTTCTCGATCTCGCGGATGATCGGGCTCAGGTACTCAACATCCTAAAAAGATGATACGGTCAGGATTGGTTTTGTTTGAAGGGTATGTATGAATCAAGGTCACCCGGGTTTCGATGTGACAAATCCTCGCAACAGGATTGGCCGATACGGTTGGAAATGCGGGGAGGGCGAATTTTGAAACAGGAAGAACTTACCTCCTCGGGCTTGGTCTGCTCAGCAGGGGGAAGGAGGGTGTGGGAGATGGAGCACTGCAATTGAGATATTCATTAACTCGATTCTAGTTGGGAATGAGGAGGGGGTGTCGTCGGACGAACCTGGAAAGCCCGGCGGATACGGAAGACGCGGTCGTAGGCCTCCTTGGCAGGCAGGCGCTTGATGGCCTTCTGGACGGTCTCGCTCTCCTCGGGGATTAGGTCGTCGAACCTAGAGAGTGGTTAGCGCCTGTAATGGAACAAATATGCCCGCAGGGGAAACCCGGAAGGACCGCGATGAGCGAATGCGACATGGGGACAATGACAATCGTGCGAGACGATGTTGCTCTAGAATCACTCGGATGATTCAAATGCCTCCCAAGTATTTCATCGCTCGCGGTGGGAAGGCATTGGCGGCATAGGAGGGAGAGGGCGAGAATTACTTCAGTCCTAGACGTCTGTAGCCGGCGGCATCAGTGTACCACTGAGCGAGCGGAGTCATCCAGCGCTTGAGCCATGGGCGCTTGACAATGTAGTTGGCGATCGAAGGAGCAGACATTTTGGATCCCGAATATCCAATGGACTTGAGGAAGAGGTGGACGGGGAGGGAAGTTGGAAAGGGCGGTCCGGCTGAACACGAGATGACCCGATGTTGCGAGGTTGTGCAAAACGGAGCTTGCAGCGCTAGTCCAAGAACGGAACTTTTATGCCTAAGGCTTAAATATATTACACGTGACATTTCCGGTTCCTGCCTCAGGCCCACAGGGAGGAATGCCAATCGGTGACTCCACCTCGCACCACTTTCAATTCCCCATATCATAATCAACCTCGTTTTCTCCTTCTCGAACCCTGCTCTGCATCATTGGAATATGGGGCTGACTGATTCTCGCGGCGTTATCTAATCCCTGTTGCGACAGGGGAGCTTGTCCGGAAACACCCCACTCCGCCCGTTGTCCGTGCTGCAAGATCATAGGGCATCGCATTCACCCCAGTCCGGTTCGGTAACCATCGGCTTCCAGAAAACTCTCCTCCCTCAACCTCCCTCATCTTCGCCTTACATTTCTTCTTCAACCGACGGTTTTGACTGCTCTCTTTTTATCCGACCATATTTCCTGCGGCTGTCAATATCGACTTCTTGGGTTCCGGATCGAGCACCCGATATGCTCGGATCCGGGAGCCCTCGGTGATCAAGACGGATAGACAAGCGTGAGTGCCTGCTATTCCCACGATGCGCTCCGACGGCCAAAGCAGCTCCACGGCTGCTACCACATCCACAGAGCAACCGCAGAGCTTTCATGTAGATAATGTCTCCCCATCCGCCCCCCACGTGCCTATTACCGATGCGTCGCCGAGTTCCGATCTTGTCACTCGTTTGGAGATCCTGTCAACCAAAATTCCGAACTTCTACATCGCTCCCTTCTGTGGTGCGAGTGCAGGCGTTGCTTCTGGTATTGTGACTTGCCCCCTCGATGTTATCAAAACCAAGCTGCAGGCCCAAGGCGGCTTTGCCCGACGGGGAGGACAGCCGGTGGATTCGAAAGCGCTATATCGAGGAATGCTGGGAACTGGAAGAGTGATCTTCCGAAACGATGGTATTCGCGGCCTATATCAAGGTCTTGGTCCGATGTTGATGGGGTATCTCCCCACTTGGGCGGTTTACCTTGCTGTGTACGACAGATCCCGGGAATACTTCTATGAGCAGACAGGTTGGTAATCCCTTGCTTTCATTTGGACAAAGGTGATTGAGTCATACTAAATTAAACTACAGACAGCTGGTGGTTGTCCCGTGGCTATGCTTCTGTTACGGCTGGCGCTTGCTCCACGATCGTGACCAATCCTATTTGGGTCATCAAGACAAGACTAATGTCGCAGAGTCTTAAGCAAAATAATGAAGGAGTCCGCGCCCCATGGCAGTATTCCGGCACATGGGATGCTGCCCGAAAGATGTATCAGATTGAAGGCATTCGCTCCTTCTATTCCGGCCTGACGCCCGCTCTTCTGGGGTTGACCCATGTCGCTATCCAATTTCCTCTTTACGAATACCTCAAGATGGCCTTCACCGGCTACGGCATTGGAGAACATCCCGATACTGGTAGCTCCCACTGGATTGGTATCACCTTTGCCACTTTCCTCAGCAAGATCGTGGCTAGCACTGTCACATACCCCCACGAGGTGCTACGCACCCGACTACAAACACAGCAACGCACAATCCCGGCGTCGTCGCCGGAGGAAATTTCTTTCCGTGGAGGATTAAATCATCCGCATGACCGCGGGCGACCACCCATGGTCTCATCATCGGATGGAATGCCCAATCGCCCCCGTTACAACGGCATGATCCGCACGTGCCAGACAATCCTCCGAGAGGAGGGCTGGCGTGCGTTCTATTCCGGCATCGGCACCAACCTATTCCGGGCTGTCCCGGCTGCCATGACTACAATGCTTACTTATGAGTATCTGCGGAAGCTTATTCACAGCTACCAGCATGAAGGCGAGATAAAGCTGCGCTTGGCAGAAAGTCAGGATGCAGAAGCGTCTGGCATGATCTGACAACCATGACCTGTCGGAACAGATTAGACACACTTGACTTTCGTTTCCAGCCCCACCCAACCCCTACTTTGCACTTAAGTACCGTGCATAACCATCTGAGTTTCCTCTCAACTCCTCTCTTTCCTCCTCGACTTGTATAGACTTGGAACCGTGACCAGTACTGTCCAGCTGATGCGCTTTAGCGAATGGGTCTTCCTATGCCCTTTGCATTTCCAAAAATATTGCTTTTGGTCCTCGAATTTTCGGTATAGATGGCAGTCTTGGTGGGAGGCTCTTACATGTGAAGTCTCCGCGGCCTATACCTTGATCACATGCCAGGGGTTCTTCATGTATTTACTTTTGTACTCCGTACATCGGAAGATCTCTGTGATTTCTAAGCGTTTTTTTTTCATTCAACTATTCCATTTCGCATGGCTGCCGCATTTCTGATACTGTACATACATCACCAGTTCGCCCGTTTTGCACTATTTATTCTCCCCATAAATCAGTCTATGCCAATTTAGTTCATTCTGAAATCGCCTGCAGGTGAAAACTCCACCGTTCTACCAAATTGCCTTGTGATAATGGTCGTATGCCTCAATAACTTCAGGCTTGGTAGCCCCTTTTGTATCGAGCAGTTGCGAGGTGACTCAGAGGAGAAAAGATTGCGAGTGACTCCTAAGATTATACCAGTTCTCCAAACACTGACATTTGACAATACGGAGAAGTAAAGTCCACAAGTAGCTGATGGACATTGGCATGCTATTATGTTGTTCCACGCGCGGCCCACCGAGGCTCCTCCAGGGTAATAAAAGATTTCGTTAGTAGCTACTGAATCACTTTTTTCAACAATGGCCTCATACTCCGAGGTTTAAAGCTGAAATGTAGATTTTAGTGTTGAAAATGGTAGATGCAAGATAGCTGAAGGGTAAAGCAGCCCTGATGGGAAAATCGACAGGACTAGCTTATGGATGAGCGAGGTTTTAGCTATACCATGACCTCTATTGCGGTGATTTGTCTCATTCCGTAAGCTCAGAAGTTTTGCATGTTCATGATTTTATCCTAAATAATATGACTGTGATATGTGCCTCACTAACATCGATTATCTACGGTCTCTTAATGGAGATATTGGCTGTATTCCCAATTTATTGTATGTGAGGAGCCACCCTGGGTCTCACTGCCCGGCCGAGTGGAGTCTTGCCAAACAAGATAAACAAAGATAGCTAGTCATGTGACTGTGTGTGTTAAGCACAAATTTCTTCCCTTCCCGTTTCCTTTCCTTTTACACAGTTCCTTCCAACTCCAAACTCGTGAGAATCTTAATGACTGAATCTCATATGGTACCTTCGGTTGCTATTGGATCTAATTGATAACACTGATGACTTCAGTGTAGAATATTTCCCTTCTGGACGGTCGGAAAGTCACCATTAATTAATATCGCCCACAGATACCATTTCACACAGAACGGATTGAACACTTTTCCACGTTTGTTCACTGTTCAGCCTGTAGAAATCCCCAACGGAGCATACAAAGCATCTCTGTGGCTCGTCTTGTTTTGAACTCTTCCTTTACCTCTTGCTCATCCTCGCAGCATCTCTGGTCCCTGGACCGCTTCACTTCGTGATTCATATGATGATCCTTTCTTTGAATATTGAACCAGGCTGTTATACACTTGAACTCCTGGGTATGATCATTCATACACTGAAAATTCTGATTGATGATGAAGTTGAAGCGCTTTTCCCTCTTACCATACTACTTCAATTTTCCCTATATTCTGCTGGTCTTAGAATGTCTATATATTAAGGACAGTGAAATCGATCTGTCTTTATTGCTTGATGTTGTCTTTATATGCTGTGCATCCATCAAGAATATGGAATATCAACCTGAACTTTTTATTGAGTTTAAAATCACCTATCTGACTTCCTTCCTTTCTCACCCTCAGACCGACTCTCCTCAAGGGCCCGCTGGATCCATAACGAATTCCTATCTTCTGATAATCCTCGTTGGTGAGAGCTCGGATGTCCTGCTGGCTGTCCCTGTGCCTCACGTCTTGCAGTGTGGATAGAGCTGAAACAGTAGGAGCAGAGAATTACAGCCATTGTGAAGGCCGCGATAGGAGCATTGATGGACTTGATAGCGGTCAGTCTATGGAATAATATTTTATGTGATTATATACGTATACACAGCCAGAGGCTTGGCAACGGTAGATCACAATGGCTGCTGTTTCTTCCACAATGGGAGATAAAAATTCGACTTACCCCTGAGGACCGACCTAGGGTCCTCGGATTTGGTTTATTGTTTTGTGGCATTGTATTTGATCTTTGAAACTATATCAAAGAAGCACAACCGTGAGCCTTCATCTCCAGGGATAAGAAAAGTTGAAATTCTGATACCTTGGGATCGTTGTTAAGTGTTCAATATGTTCTCCCGAGGTGCTGATGCGGCCTTCGATGCGGCCTTCGATAACTCGAAAGGCCCTCGCATAAAATACTTGGGTCGGAAAAGCAGAGTCCATAGATACTGGGAGGCTACGGAAAGTGCGGTCCCATCGTTTGAGGATGAGGTCGAAAGTAGCATCAGATTGGAAACTGGTGCCAACATTTTCAGGCCTGAATAGGGTTTGTCATCAAGTTAATCGGATTCGGACTGCCCCTGCTACTCAAAGTGTTCAAGAACATGCTACGAATATCGCAGACAAAATATCAAACTTCTGGACTGTGTAGCAGTCTCGGCCTAATAAACTACGTGTTACATGATCTTAGAGTAAAGATTCCATAGAAATTCGCACGTGGGTTTTACTCTTTCATAGCGTGTGCTAGACCTATGATCACAGTCCCACTGTTCACAAAAAAACGAGGTATGCGCTAGTCTCTAGTCGCAGATCAAGATGAGGACTACAATGATGCATGGCATGACTTTGAACTCGATAACAGTGACATTACACTGGATCGACAGTAATTTGTTTGCTTTGTTAAATTAGATCGCTGGTGCAGACGCGACCGGCAAAACCAACGACATTTTATCCCGTTCTCCTGCACGATCTCGGACTCTCGACAAGCATCCCGGTCATTTGATCGGATGTCGGCCTTAGTGCCGGGGTATTCGTCTATGAAGCTATCGGAGCTTAACGGAATTTGCCGAATGAGTTCGTTAGTCCCTTATCCCCGAGTCTTCCCTCGGTCCGGAGGTATGGGCGTCCATGAGAATATCATTCTTGGCCGTGATAAGGAGGATCCTTCGAGTTCTTTTCGGTGTATTATGTGAGACTAACCCAGCCATTATATCATTTTGTGCCGGGAGCGTTCATCACTGCCTTAGAGGTGATTCTCCACCATTTGTTATTATCGCGTTATAATTGGCCCACGGCCATCCTTCGGGAAACAAGAATCTCGCAAGATTCCACCGCGGAGCCACCGCGGGCAACATCACTGGTTACGGAGACTTGCCACTGGACTCTTTTGTATTCTGATATCACCGATTGTTACCCCTCTCTAGCAAAGACCGAGTTGAATGTCCTTCAGACAAAATAAACCCCACAGATCACTGGCACGAACCGGGAACAGGGTGCTGAGTCAGCTCCGATGGCCGGCGGTTCCGACGTCGCAGTTCCCCAACGGGCCTAGGCGCTTATGTAAGAATCAGATTATTTAGCAATGAATTCATCATCTCCTCTTTTCCGTATCAGATCTGTTTTCGCCATCCACCACCACCTCACTATCTTACCCCTCTCATCACTTTGAAAGCGTCAGATACATTCAGATACCCAAAACTTTCACCATGTTCAAGCGTCTCGTCACCGTCGCCCCCCGCGTCGGCGCTGTGGCGCCCCGTACCTTCGCACCCCTCTCCGGCTTGCAGTCCATCCAGCCCGTTCAACGCCTTGCCCCTGCTCCTGCTCAGCGGAGAGGCTACCATGAGAAAGTTCTTGACCACTACAACAACCCACGGAACGTTGGATCTTTCAAGAAGGGCGATCAGGATGTCGGTACCGGCCTGGTCGGTGCTCCCGCTTGCGGCGATGTCATGAAGCTCCAGATCCGCGTGAACAAGGACTCCGGTCGTATCGATGACGTTGTTTTCAAGACTTTCGGCTGTGGCAGTGCTATCGCTTCGTCAAGCTATCTCACTGAGCTTGTCCGCGGTATGACCCTGGATGAGGCTGGCAAGATCAAGAACACCGATGTGGCCAAGGAGCTGTGTCTGCCCCCTGTTAAGCGTATGTTTTTCTGGACTTTCTATGTGATGTTGAACCGACATGCTGACCTTGTTCTCACAGTTCATTGCTCCATGCTCGCCGAGGATGCCATCAAGTCCGCCATCTCCGACTACTACACCAAGAACCCCAAGACCCAAGCAACCAACCTGTCCGGCACCGGCGCGTCTATCCCCAACGTCAAGGTTGAGATTGACCAGGCTGCGACCGGCAGCCCTGCTGCCCTCTAAATTCATATCTCACAAGAAAAGATATAATTTCGGGCTAGCCTTCGAAATTCAACATTCATTTACGAGTTTTAGTCATCCTGAGAACGTTGTCACTGCGCACAATCGTTTGATCGAGGTCGTTTTTTATTCAATGAGCATCCGGAATGCAGAGCTGAAGGATGAGATTGGTGTTGATTCATCAGGCCGCTGAGAATGATTTACTCGCCCTGGGATGATATTGGAGGATCCAAACAAATTTGCCACATTTGTTTGCTGTACAGATTTTTTCCTTTTAGTTCTCTCGTGTTGTTCACTTTTTTTTTCTTTTTTTCTGTGATGGCGCCTCGGTCTGGGATCCTTGATCTACTTTCTGTTCTTAAAAAGCGTGGTGCCGCGATAGTTTCTAATCAAAGGATGAAACCAGAATGCCCGAAGTGTTCGTAAGCTTGTATATTTTATAGAAGCTTTTGATGAAAACAAATGAGATCGGCGCAGTAAATGAAATCATCTATATCGTTTAATAGTCTATCACCAAATCTATCTGTACATACTGCCCGGCTCGTATTTGAAACAGTAGCAGACGAAGAAAAGGCTATAATAACAAAAAGCCCTTACCATTGAGATTCGCCTGGGTCTCAAGGGCTGGGAAGAAGAGAAAAACTTTGAAACACCGTCGCTTATGCACAGATAGACCAGTCAAGATAATCCGTACCCTAAAACCAAATCGAAAAAGACCGAGGGATATTTACAAACACAATACATTTTCACGACGCGTGAAGGCTACAAGCTTAGCCTGTTCGTAGACCAAACCGGCTCTTTAGCGACAGCACGGTCTCATAGATGGACAACTTCACCTCGACACGCAGGAACCCGGCCCAAGCCGAGAGAAACCGGAAAAAGTTCGAGTAGTGGAAGATACCACCGGACTCTCTAATGCATTCCATATGTTCCTGAAAGACGGTACGGGTGGCGTATCGTGCAAGGATCAGGAATGTGCGCATCGGGCCTTGGCGAGTGTGGAGGTTTTCATCTAGACTGCGAGCTGTTGAGTTGTTAGAATAATCATGAAACAAGGCAACAAAAATGTCAAGTGGAACATACTGAGATCGTTCGTTTTGAGGATCAGCAAAATAATTCGGGGAACCTGGCCAAGCAACTCGACCAACTGCTGCAACATGCCCTCGCCCAAAGCACCAGAAATCTCCTGTTTTTCCTCCGCAGTGCGCGCAGAGACAACATTCTTCTTGGTCAATACGCTGTAGTCACGGCCGGTGATGGCACTGGCGAAAAGGGGGAACTGCTCGTCAGTCACGCCAGCCACCCTATACGCGTACTCGCGCATGCGGGGGACATCGGCATCAATGACGGCGAGCCAAAGTTTGGCGTAGTTGCGGCGCAGGTCGCGGTCAATGTTGCGGTAAAGGCCGTGGTCGTATAAGATAATATCGAAGTTCGGGTGTTGACGGCTGGGGTTGGGACGAATGGCAATGTTGCCACCATGCGGATCACAGTGAAGCGGAGCGTCATCGCCGAAGATCATCTCATTAAAAATATGCGCAAAGGCAGCAGAGACTTCGTCGCGGTCGATGTTGTTTGCGTCCAGAAATTCAAGGTCGTCAGGGCGTCGACCCGCGATGAACTCCATGACGAGAATGCGCTTTTGGGACCACATGACTCCAGGATAGTTAGCAAATCATATTATTATTTATGATCCAGAAGAGGTTTTTTTACCTTCAGGAATCACCAATGGAGCATCGGAGTGCTTCTTGAAGTACTCGCTTGCAAGGGTGGCATTCTGAGCCTCCATACGGAAGTCCAACTCTATGGGAAGAGACAGGTCCATTTCCCTAGATAACCATTCCAGATCGTATTCCGGGAAAAAGCGCTTGAGCATGGAGAAAGTAAAGCGAGTCAAAGCAAGATCCAACGGAACCCACTCGGCTAAAGCAGGGTGCTGGACCTTAACGGCGACCTTTTGGCCGGTTTCCTTCAATGTGGCAATGTGCACCTGCGCCAACGAAGCGGCACCGGTAGGAAGTGGCTCGAAAGAGCTGAAAAGTTCATCGATGGTCTGGCCAGTATCGCTGACGAACATCTCGGCAATCGACTCGATTGACGAAACAGGGCATTTGTCTTGGAGCGGAACGAAAGTTGTGGTCCATTCAACAGGGAGTAGATAACCCATGCTGCTGAGGTGTTGTCCAAGCTTGATGAAAATTGATCCATTCTTCTCTAATACACGCAGCGTGCGCTCTGCACAGCGTTTGTGGCATGCACGGATGAGGGCATCACGATCTTCGGGAGTGGAGGCTTCTTGCTTGAGGGTGACACGATAACTATTGTAAATCCACTAATTAGTATTTCGCGATAGAAAACAAATACATTGGGGTTCAAGGGACATCCTATGCCGACTCACTCATTTATACAGACGGCGAGAGTACCGACAACGCGACCGCTTCTCTTCGCCGCTCCATAGACGTGCTTCACATTGTCAGAGAATGCCAATGCACCCACAGCAAGTGCGCCCAAGACGATGAGATATTTAATTGCTCTCCGCGACAACGGCTTTGAGCTAATCTTTCTTCCCGTCTCGTGAATTGACTGGCTTTGAGGTTCAGTGGAAAGAAGTGGCGAGGTACTCGTGGAGTAGTACCGGTTTCGAGAGGCAATAATCAAGCTGGTTTCAGCCTGCTGGCGACTCCATGACTGATTATTGTATCTGCACGAAGTAAGTGACGTGCGCAGTTGTGATTTTCTAGCGTGTTGGAATGCGGCGCCGGAGGTCGAGGCTATGGATGTTTGTCCGATAACCGTGGCGGGCTTGACCAAGGCCCGCAGCGGCACGCGGAGTGCTGCGCTCATGCCGACCAGCTGCGATCCTGAAGCAAGGAAGTTTAACACGGACCCGAGATTGAATGCAAAAGAGCCTAGCTCATTTCATGGCCTGGCAATTGCGGGATCGTCTGTTGACCAGGGAGATTTTTCAGGGCGGTGCTGGCCGCCGCCAATCGGCTGGTGTCACCCGATCTTGGGCCGTACGCACGTGATTCCGAGAATGTATATCAGCACGTCACTTGGAACCGTATGTGCTACGCGGTTGATTGGATTGTGCAAAGAATCATCGTGTCAAGTTACATTGTTTGATAATTTAAATGGCAAGATTATGGATCCATATTGGAAACGAAATATTTCTGAGGCTTTATTTCCCATGGGCAGATCGAAACCGATAAGAGAATCAAGGCCAATGACCATCAGTATTCATGATTAGATGCTGTTGCGTCCCATTCGCATAATACTTTATCTTTTGTTTGTAAGGCTTATTATATAAACTTACAGGAGAATTTTTTCTTATTTACCTTAGTAGAAAGTGTCGAGAAGGAAGACTGCATAATACGGGAGAGACCCACATATCCCCATGTGCGTCAGGCTATTATAGGGATACTCGATTCCCTACATATTTTGTATGGTATCCCGGGTAGACTCGGAATACAGCGCCGTAACACGCTAGACAGCGAGGCAGGGGATATTCAACATTTCCCCGCCCACACACTTAGATAGTTCAGTTCACTCAGTAATCGCCATATTGAGCACCATCTTCCATTGGGACCCGCCTTTCCTAGCCTATACCGTATCCTAATATATTGACAGAAAGTCCCATTGAAAGTAATTTGAAAAGGATCCTGGCTAGGGTAAAGGAGGGCTTCTCCACAGTGTAACCTGCGAGCTCTCTGGGCATAACGCCAGGTAAAATAAGCGGAGAGAAGCAAGTGCCGTTCGACAGCGAGTGTTTCTAGATGTTTGAAGTTGTATTAACTCGGAATTTCAGCAATATAATCTGCCTCCAGCGCTGCCAAGATATTATTTTTCGTTTCGGTTAACTATCTTTATATGGATTTATCTACTATTCATGGTAGGAAGGCTGTCGACTAAGTAGGAAGTATAAGAGTACTACTTGTCAGCGTCGTAGGCTGTCAGTTAGGTAAGGAATCTACAATGAATAAGGTATGAGATACTAGTGGGTCCTGTATTGAACAGACTGAATCTTGGAAAGATTCAGAGGATAGAATCTCGGATCTTAGACTAAATACACCAGATTCGCTTAGGAATCACACCAGAAATGTGACAGGTCGCGCAGGGTAAGAGGGGTAGGATACCGAGACCATCCCTAGTCGCATGTAAGACGGAATCCCTTGGAGTTCTTTACCATGAATAACCGATATTTGCCTTCGGTAGGCGTCGTAGTTATTAGAAAAAAGCGGGTTTCTAGCTATCGTAGGCCTGGTTGTGGGAGGTATTTCAAAGCTGGGGTCGTGGAGTATAGAGTATAGAAAATCGAGGGTATATAGATTTGGAGGGAGTTTGTGGGAGCTGGGTTTAACCATGAGCCGGGTTGAGCGGGGCCGAGTCGCTCCAACTTGACGTTCCCCGCTGCATCAGTCAAATTTAAAGTCATTAGTTACCAGGACTACCGTGATGGTGGAGGATCAACTAGTTGGTGTGTGGGGCATGGTACGCCCGCATGTGCCCAAACTGAGATATTCCGAAATGTTTGTTAAAATAAAATAGCAACCCTTTTTCTCGTTTCCAACTTGATCGGTTTTAATTTCCTCTCCCCACTATCAGGATATTATTCTGCTTACTTTGACCGCGTTTCTGATCTATACAACTCCACAAGCTTCAATGTGGGACCTAGGTCTCACTCGCTTTCTCAAACGGCTTCAATACAGCAGATCGCCCCCATCAGCAACGACAGATTCAGCGGATTGATTTTCAGCTCTTCATGCCCGTTGTCACCGTTAATCAATGGCCAAAGGGATACACAGAACAAAAGCATATTGTATAAGATATCTCATCTCTCTATGTCATCTTTTTGCCTCGTTGCCTCGATCATTTTCTCTCTCTTAAGCTATCATCACAAATGATCGGATTATGAATATGTGCGGCGGTGGTCAGCTCTAAGTTTGTCTCTCCTCCTTGGGGGTCAGCCTTCTCACAACTGACGACATCAATAGGCCCAGCACTTTAGCCTGTCGACTTTGAATGGGTGACATTAAGTGATAAATTCCAGCATGATGAGTATAGCGGCTACCCCATCGCTACGTCAGAGAAAGAATGGAAGCATTATGGGATTGTGCGTGTAAACACCCGGAATATCTATCCAATTGATGAGACAAAGCTTATTTGAGAAGTTGGTGCTTTCACTATGCCCTTAGAATTGCTTGCAGGACTGAACAAATCTTCATTGACGAGGGATTTCAGGTCAGTAGGCTCAGGGCCAGATGCAGGTGTTGGTGGTCTTCTAAAGGGGGCGCATCAAATTCATTGCCTGGTGAGTCGCCGTAAGGTGGATCTTGAGAGAGCCGCCCTAATAGTGAGTCCGGCAAAATCTCTTAAGGTAGGTTATCTATCGAGACTACTGCGACTATAGCGAACTTCTCTCTTTGAGTGGCGGAGAAAAGACTTGTCGGCATCATGTAGACCACTGTATTGAGACGTTGAGAATAGTTTTTGCATGTCAGAGTGATGTGACCCATATTATTTAGTAAGAGCAGGGAATCGCCGCAAAAGTGTCGAAACTACTCGAAGCTGGTCAACTGGGTGAATTCGTATTCAGTCTTTGATACTGTGGAAAGGTAGTTTCAGTTAGTGTAAGGGCTTTGGACTAGGTTATAATAAAATATCATTCATGACAAAGGATGAGCGATCGCTTTTGGTTAGCTTTAAGGCTGGAATCTCAAAGTTGTTATTTTGGCATCTTCAACCACTCTTAGATCACAAAAATAGATACCAAGAGACCAGGCAACAGGATTCTGAGTTTTGAGGGGTTAATTAGACCAGCACGTGTTCGACCTAAGGTAGCGTGAAATCTACTTACTAAAAACACCCTAACTTGGAATCCATTCCATAGCTCCTCATAGAATTACGAAATTTCAACACGAGAATAATGACCTTGAACGTCCTCACAACCAACGCAATTGAACTACAGCAACTACTCAAACAGGAAAAATTTACGAGCGCTCAAATTGTGGCAGAGTATCTAGCACAAATCGATTGCTATGAGCCCGTCCTCAATGCCTTGATCTCACCAGCTCCGCGAGATCATGTCCTCGAAATCGCTAAAACTCGGGATGAAGAGCGCCGTAATGAAAAAATTCGGAGCCCGTTCCATGGAGTTCCAATTATCTTGAAAGATAATTTCATGACAGCGTCTAATCTCGGCATGAGTACAACAGCTGGGTCATATGTGTTTGATGGCGCTAAGGTGCTAAAAAACGGAGCTATTACTCAACGATTGATTGATGCTGGTTTAATTATCTTGGGAAAAGCCAATATGACTGTTAGTAGATATTGGATTTCTTGGTTTTCTAGGAGTTGACTAAATTTATTATTATCCTAGGAGTTTGCTGGTATGAAGATGACTATGATGATGCCGGGTTAGTCTGCTTATGGAGGTCAGACTTTATCACCATATGTTGGGAAAATAGATGATAATGAGACAATTCTGGGACATTCTGTGAGTAATTTGTAGATAGAATTGAGGATTTCTTTTATTCTACTAATACTCAATAGGCGCCTGGGGGATCATCTACTGGTTCTGCGGTCGCCGCAGCCGCTGGGTTTAATCCTCTTAGTATGGCGACTGAAACTATAGGTTCTATAGTTACTCCGTCAATACGTGCGGGTCTATATGCACTTAAGCCTACAATCGGTACCCAAGATACTACTGGGTTATATACCATGACGGAGTTCTTTGATAGTCCAGGTCCTATGGCAAAATCAGCAGCTGACGTGCGCGTTCTTTCCGAGACTCTGCTCGGTCGTCTCTTTGAAAAATCCCATTCGTGGGAAGGTCTTTCGATAGGCTTCCTAGACCCTAAGCTTTGGAATATGTTGGCAGAGTTTTGTAAACAGTTTGAGGGCACCGCAGAGCAAATGGTTCGTCGATATTATCTCATCAAAAAATTTGGACTCCAACTGTTCGGACTCTAATAGTTGATTCTAGGTAGACGAGTACGAAGAGATGGTTGCTAATCTACGAAGCGAACGCTATTCTCTAAGATACCCAGTTTACTGCAAGGATCCCTCGGTCCTACCGGCTACAATACTACCAATCGCATGTATGTAGGTTGGAGTGGTCTTAGAGGAAGTTGGGATAGCTAACCGTTTCTAGAGTGAGACTTTGGGAATATCTGTATTCCTAAATTCATTCGCTTGTTTCATGAATGCTCTGTTACAAGCCTTGCAGACATTATCAAGTTTAATAAAGAAAACAGCGAAAAGGCTCTTCCAGCTCGTAGGTAAACAGATATTGTGTAATCCTACTATCAAGAAGTAACTAATATAATACAACATTTACCGAGCAAAATGATATGAAAGGAGCAATGAATGCCATTGAACGAAAGACAGAAATAGAAAACTAAAGCAGGATCTTCGTGCCACCGCGAGAGAAATTCTAGATGACGTTTTCAACAAGGAAAGGATCAACATTCTTGCAGCACCTGGTGACTCTTCTTTGTGTGTCCATGCTGCTGCTGCAGGTAATAACATAACTACCACTTCAATCTATCTTCCTGACTATTGCTAATAGTATCAGGATATCCTATCGCCACAGTTCCCATAGGGCAACTTCGCTATAAGAGCCGGCCGTTCGGTCTATGTCTAGTAGCGAGGGCAGACAAGGAGGAGACTCTCTTACAATTCATGGAAGAGTACGAAAAGATAGCTCAGCCTCGACCTGTTCCAAGATTCTGACACAATAAGTGTATTATAATTTAGAGTGATGATAATTTATAAGATGAATAAGATCTTGGGGTATAAGAAAGACCGTAAACTGGTTTTAGAAGAAAAGCGAGCTGGAACGAACATGAGAGGGCTGTATTGAGGAAAATGATGAAGCTGTGAAAAGGACTAATACTAGGCTATACTAGACTGCAAGCAAGTCTCTCAATAGTCTAACTAGAAATCTTGTGAGGGGGTTCGTCGAATGGCTGTTGATCTTCGAAAGATGATTCGAGGAAACCGAACCCGCCTAATAGGGTAATAGGCAACATGTTGAATCTGTGCGTGGCACACCCACAACGCGGAAGCGGGGTGGATGGGCGGAGACACTGCTATCTCCTCGCTCCTCTCTTCCTTTCGTTAATGTCAGTCACCAGCTTGTAGCACAGCGGCTTCCTGCTTACTCTTATTAGTCCACATAACATGGCTCCAAGAATTTCGCCTTCAAAGCTTAATCTCATTCATGGTATTATAGACAGCGACTTTTCCATTATATCTGAAATGACTGAACAGGCTAAACAAGCCGAATTTGGAAGCATATACGTACCACAACGCCGAGAAGGACGAAAAGGAACTTTAAAATCTCTGACGATCGAATAAAGCCCTCTGCAATCACCTATCTGAGAAACCCGGCATTTCTGATGAAGAGATTGTTGTATTCCTATAGGATAAGTTTTAGGCCCTATTTACACCTCTACAAGAAGAGCCCCTATCACAGAAGATTGATCGTGGAGACATGCTAAAGAGCAAAATGCTAAATTCAGAGACAATTACTGTACGATAGCTATAAACTCTAGTATATTCCTGAAATGTAAGTTCAACTCTACTCAGGCTCCGCATTTTCTTCCCAAACATAAGATAAATACCCTAATTCTACCCTAGTATGATCCGAGTAGGTTCATGGTTTAGAGAGTAAAATGATTACCTATCCACGAAGGGAGGTATGCCAATGACGCATCTTCATCTCCATCCCTCAAATTCAGGCGAACAACTTTGCCAAAAAAATTCCAATGACGCCCGCGGTTGGCGTCCTCTTCGGCATACTCAAAAGTTGTGTTATTGCGAGGTCCTTATGGCCCGGTTAAACGGGTGGATTGAGCCTTATACACAGAGATAGACTCCTATAGGTTTGATGATCTCAAGCGCCGGGGAATGTGACTCTGACCCGTGTTACTATGCTGGAAAATGGAAAGTAGTCTCCTACTGGCCACAAATGCATTTTTTCAGTAGCCAGGCGTGCTGGACCTCGCCGTAAATTCTTCTTAGCCTAAAATCTGCGGTGATTGACGCAAAATTAAAAGATATGACCAGGATATTGAGATTCCGAGCTACAACCCTAAATTCCTCAACATCTTCCTAACCTCATTAACGGTGATAAGACACCACGGCATCCCCACCCCCGCACATATATTCCACGCTGGCCCTGCATCCGGCGCAGGGGGCATCTCATGCCACCGCTTCTGGCGGTCCTCGAAATCCGCAAGGAAGGACCAAAAACATCGTTCTCGAGCCCCATGAACTCCAAATATCTCGGCTTTCACTGTGCCCCGCATAAACGCCTTCCACTCCTCCGGTGTCATTTCTATTTGAAATGATGCCGTGGCATTGCTATTATTGTAATTAATATCTGGTGCTGAAGCGAAGACTGGGCTCATCATTTCAATCTGTTTTTGTTCACTGGCACGCAAAGCACGTTGGTCCTCGACCTCAAGGCCATGCAGGATGCGCGAATAGCATTCTGCGATACATAGACATAGAGCGCCGAGAATTGAGACATTCTGAATCGCGGTGAGGTACCGCTGCGGGCAGTGCGGGCAGACTAGGGTGTCCCGTGCCGATTGTAAACATTCGCGTAAAGCAACCATGTCACCGAGGATGATGAGGTGCTGAAATGACCGGAGGCGCTCTAGGAGGAGGTATAGTATCGAGAGGCGGGCACATGGTTCAGGAGCTGGATTATGTGAGATGCTGCGTGCGTTGCTTGGCTGGTCATTGATACTAAGCAACTTAACGGCTCGTCCTGCTTCTGCACGATGGTGGAATGCATTCCTACTTTATACACTCCCCTGTGTCCAATAACGATGGAGCGGCTAAAACAACAGGCTCGGAGCGGAGCGAATTCTCAAGCAAAGAACCCGTGGGGTTCAAAGTCGGAACTGGAGCAGAGGCAGCATTAAGTCCGGGCGCCTGGTGCGCAGGAAAAGTACGATCAGCAGCCCGTACAGAGGGCTGAGGTTTTACAATAGGAGGATCTATCCTGGAACGCGATAGCGACCTCTTTGGCCTGCCTAGAGGCATTGCCATTGAGTAGGAACATCGCTGGTTGCTAAGTTGGCATGCTGAACAAGTTGGACGTTCCCTGCTGCAGCGGACTTTTTTAGCTCCTAGGAAAAGGTCAGATTCTGCTAGTACGACATTAAAGTAAGCTAATAGTACTGCAGATCTCACACGATGACCGAACCCGTCGTCCCGTGGCGTCTCTTCTTGTGAATGGGTTCATGGCAATTTTTGGTAGTCGGAACTGATACGGCGTCGGAGATCCGGTAGTCAAAATGTCCCGGTCACGTGAGTCGCCTGTTGGACGACTCTGGGGATGGGTTTGAAATTCCAGAGAACACGAGCAATTGGGATAGCGTGTCTGTGGGGATACACCACAATGTCGCTGTAAGCCTCTTCCCTCGAGACTCTTCTTGTTAGGTAGCCAGAACTTGCTAGACAATCCATGAACCATTTTCCAGAATTCTCCGAAAAGTCTCCGTGTACTACAGGGATTCGGAACCCACCCAATGACGACCAATAGGAGACTTTCAGTTAACCATTTAACTACATAAATAACTTATAATTCGGACATTTAATAACCACAAGGAAGTTTTCGAAGCCATTTCTTAGTTGTGATCTACGGGAGATTGATCCAGACCATATCTTGCCCGACAGGTCCCCAGCTCGCTGCTTCGTTGACGAGTTCATCGTCAACACGACATTGTGCATTGAAAAAGGTGGCGAAAGGCTTCAATACCTACACAATTACTTTGCCCGCAATTTGCTGCACTATGCACTAGGCGATTACCTAGCCCACATTCCACTTGGTCAGCATCGATGAAGTGGCTGGGATGTTGTTCGAGGAATTACAAAATTGGCCTTTAAGCCTTAGAAGGAAGGATTTTGAAGCCTTTCAAAGGCATGTTCTTGTCCGCATGGACCCCTCAATGCTATGAGCGGGAATTCGGGCTTTTCTGCCCAGTTATACCAATCGGAGACTTAGATTGTAGTCCACATACAAACATCAGGGGCTTAAAAAGGCACTAATCCGTCGTTTAGTGTGTTCTCCATTATCTGATTCCATAGTTAAATAACCTGACACACTACTTGACGGCAAAAAATATGACAGCTGAACACATCTCCGACGCCCTGATCATTGGAGGCGGACCCGCAGGTTTGTCCGCCGCGTTGGCTCTAGGACGAGCATGCCGCTCCGCCGTTCTGTTTGACTCGCAGGAATACCGTAACGAGCCAGCTGTAAGAATGCACAATGTTCTCGGCAGCGATGGCCAGAAGCCAGAGGTCTCCGCGCAACTGCGATGGAGCAAATCATGCAGAAATACGGTTCAATCGCGTTTGTCGATACCGAGATCAGCGCGGCGAGCGTCCACACTGACGGCCCGAAATCGATCTTTCAGGTTATTAATCGCAAGGGACTGACTTGGTCGGGGAGCAAGTTGATTATAGCGTCTGGAACGAAGGATATTCTACCAAATATCCCGGGGTATAAGGAGCTCTGGGGCCGGGGAATGTGAGTGATCAATATGCTCGGGATTAAACATGGAATTGACTTGTATATATAGCGTACATTGTCTGTTTTGCGACGGCTATGACAGGAAAGGGGGTCGTGTTGGAATTTTGGGTCTTGAAAATCACGATGACTTGACCACCTTGCTGATGAGCTTCCAGCTTGCGGAAGACGGCGTCACGGTATTCACCAACGGACAGGCCGCACCTAAGGACGTGGAACTACAACAAATCTTCAATACGGCCAGCGCACGCGGAGCCACATTTGATGATCGAGAAATTCAATCATTCACTGAGACCCCGAACGGCGATGAAATTCTTATTCACTTCAAGAATGGGGCCGGGGAAGTTGTTCGAATGATCCTGAGCACCCCGCCATCGGTCAATCGGGCGGAAAACTTGATTTCGAGCTTGAAAATTGAGACTCATTCCCCTACATATGGCCATGTTGTCACTAAAGGAATGTTGGGTGAAACGAGTCTTCAGGGATGCTTTGTCGCCGGTGATACGTCAACCTCAGCGAAAAGGTAGCTGTTGCTATGTCATCTGGTTAGTTCATTTCCCGGTCTAACACAAGGCACGATTAACAGGCTGACTTACTGGCTAGGAACACTTGCTGGTATCGGGGTGGCTATACAGCTTGCGTTTGATGATGCTCTTGAGATAAATCGTCCATCAACAAGCGAGTGACCTAGCGTTATAAATGGCAGAATATGGGTCAGCGCTAAATAGAGTAATAGGGAATCTACCAACTCAGGAATGTTTTAATTGGCGGAGATGATATTGGGTACGGTCGCTACAGATATAGTCTCTGCTTTCTAGACAGATAGAAATCAACCTTTCAACTCTCTTTGATATTTGAATTCCGGTTGCCCTGCTGAGAGTTCCTGCATTGAGTGGTGTTTTGGTGTTTGGTTGAGGATCCTATTGACATCTTCTGCTCTGTCAGATCTGGCTTTGAGCCTCCCTAGCTCAATAGATTTACCTTTCAACGTTCGGGAGCAGTCTAGAATATATCTCTGTATGCAATCGTAGCTTTCCTCCTTCGTGTGCTGAATTTATGAATCTCCTCCAAAGCTCCTGACGTCGTCGAGTGTCATATTGAGGCTCGATAGCTTAAGAATTACACAGTACCCGTAGATAATAGTCCGGGACTACAAGAGAGCTTTCGGCAGGAAGTCACAAAGCACAAAGTCACATCCGACTGAGGTTTCCTCTTCCTTACCACGATCCGTACCCATAAGAAGTTTAGCAAGGGACCTTTACTTTGCTAGCAGAAAATTGAGATCGTAATCCTCACATTGATATCTAAGATATGTTATTAGGGGTTCTAGTTCTATTTTCAGAGTCGTTGAGCCTCCTCCCATATTGCCTTATTCTCTTGAATGAACTCATCAAAAGTCTTAGGCGTCTTCCCCGTCACCTTCCGAATGGCATCTTCATGTAGGAATCTTCCCAAGTCCTCCTTCTTAGTCTCGACATTTACCAGGAAATTCGCGTAGTAATCCGATAGCCCAGCTTTGAGGAAAGCCTGCACTCGCTCATCTGCGGTAAGTTTCACATGTTCAACCCGCCGACCAAGAGCTTGGCTCAGCTTCGCCGCGACCTGTTCATTGAAGCGAAACCGTTAGAAACATATCATAATGAGCAAACACACTGGTACAGAGGAAAGAAACAAAAGCGGACGAGGGAAAGGAGGGATAATAACCTGATCGTAAGTCAACAGCTCCCGGCCAAGCAGTTTATAATCACAGTTATGGGAACGGGGATCTGTGAGGGCACGAAGCGCCACCGCCGCGATATCCTCCGCGCTTACAAAAGGGAATTGCGCGTCCCCGGTGGCGGAATAGATCTTGCCTTCGGTCTTGATGGTCCGGCACGCGGGTCCATCGGTCAGATTCTCCATGAACCAGGTCGGACGCAGCACGCAGTAGTCGACCCCGGTATCCAGGAAATGCTGCCACACGCCCCCAACGCCGGGTGATCCCGGGGATGCTGTGGTTCCTGCCACCAAAACAAATCTCCGGAGACCGTGATTCTGAATGGCATAGTCGATCCATGCTTTCATGGAGATATCCGGGTTCTCCACGATAGGATTCATGATGTAAGCCGCCGTGATGCGGGCATTCTTGAACGGATTCTCATACGTCGAAGGGTCCAGCCAGTCGAACCGGACGACATCAGTGCCGGGAGAGCTGGCTCCGCTTTCTTCTGCACGGCGCGAGGCGATCAATATCGAGATTTGGGCCTCCTGCAGCAGACGTGCCAGACGTCGGGCGGTTTTTCCGGTGCCACCGATCAATAAGATAGCCATGGTTACTGGGATGTTGGTTTTTATAGCAAAATTAGTTCATGATCTTGAACTTTCAGCTTTATACACCTATCTCATTTTAATCTATGTCTGTCATGTTTCCCGCACGATCGGGATGTGGCCCGTCGGAACGTCGATAGATCAGACCACGCACATGGACCATGCATCCTGTAACTAACAGCAATTCTATTGTTAGTTCACTAGAGATGTCGGAATTCGGTTGCCGAAAAAGTCGCTGCCAGCCACCAAGGTAACCAAGCCAGTCGCCTATTCCTAAACGCCGATAAATGCCGGCGATAACGTACATCCGTCTCTTTCCTGGTTGTAGTCAGCCAGTCTAGGATTAAGGTCCGAATCGCACCGTTGGCCTACCTTTAGGTCCACTCCTTTGATTTACAGTATAGTAGATGGTGCCGGACTATCATTATTTCATACAACTTGATAGGTATGATATACATTAGAGCAAGTAAGTCCTTGTCCTCACTTACCCATACTTCAACCCCCCTTTCTCCTTAAAATAATGGATATATCACAGACAGGCGACACCGGCAACATACCGAATCACCTTGCTCAATATTTTCTTAAATAGGGAAATATCCCATCCTTGGTAGCTCACGCCGGGTTTCAACCACCGCTCCCCAGACATGGCTGCAAATCAATTCGATTGGTTGCGAGTTAGTATCTAGCAAGCGCCATCCATGGTGAAAATATGGCTTGCACCCACTGACAGAGGTGACTGTGATTTTGTCTTTGAGATATCCAGAGGCAAACACCAAGGCTGGGGTTTGGCTTGATATACTATTCTCTAAAGCATCTCATGTGCTAAGAGGTGGGGTGGAAACTGTAGCAAGGGGCTTTTGTAGATAGCAATGGGACACCTTGCGAGTTTCCAGGCCATGGTAGACCGATAAAGGGAAACTGCCAATAATCTACAAAAGCACCATTGATCCAGTTTTTTCAAGAGTATCTTATTAGTCAGTATTCATCGGACGGAATTCCATATGACCTGGAAGGTTCCTGGCCGAAACTCAAGGATTCAGTTCTTTTCGGTGACCGGGCGCCGAATATACCCCAAGGTAGAGCAAGAAAGAGATCCGAGCCCCGAATTCTTGGTATTCAGGGCTATGTATGAGCAGTGACTAGATTTGCATGTAGCTGCCGGGTTTCTTCTTAACGGAGCGCCATAAATCCGATGCTGTGTTGACCAGGCAGTGGGAGTACCCGCCACACTTCTTTAAGTCGTCCACGCAATCATTGCGCTAGGAATTTCCGAGCTTCTTGGCCTTTATATGACAAACGACTCTATTTCAGAGTCTCCGCTGAAGGGTTCGGACGTAGAGAGCTCAACATGTCAAAGGTGGGAGGTCTTTATCCCTGGTGGACATTGGGTAGTAGGATTGCTCTAATTATTGGTGGCAGTCTACGCATGCGAGCACAGCTGTTCTCCTGGTGCCTCCATCAGATCTAGAATCGGAAAACCAGCTCGATGAGGTGAAATTTACCAAGGATCATCGGGTTAGTGTTGATCATATTTTGAAAAGAGGGTCATCCGAATTACGATTGATGTGTTTCTTGAGTGTTAGATCATTCTTATACCACAGCCCTCAGACAGCCCTGACGACCCTCTCAACTGGACCTCTTTTAAGAAACATGCCATCTTGCTCTGTGCAGCATTCTCCGGGTTTGCCGCCGACTTCATGGTCTCAGAGAGTGTGGCTTGCATCATACTTCAAGCCGAAGAGTGGAAGATATCATCCGATGGGGCCAACTATCCCAACAATCTTGCCCTTATCATGTTGGGGGTATCTTCCCTCCTCTGGATGCCATTGTTGAACAGCTGGGGTCGCATCCCGGTGCTCTTCTGGAGCACCGTACTGGGCCTGTTGTTCACCCTTGGCTGTGCCCTGACACCGGGAATCTCCACGTATTATCCGCTGCGCGTCCTGCAGGCGTTGAGTCAGGGAACCGGAGCCACGGCCGGCCTGGCATTCATTGATGACTTATTCTTCTTTCACGAACGCGCGCGAAAGATTGGAGTCTGGTACACGATTTTCCTGTGCTCGCCGTTTGTGTCACCGCTCCTCGGCTACTTCATGGTCTCTGGCCTACAAGAATGGCGGCCCGTGTATTGGGTTGTCTTCGCTGTTTACAGCCTCGTCTTAGCCTCAATCGTTGTCTTCGGGGATGAAACATACTGGAATCGCCGCTCATTTGAACCTGCTGCTCGGCAAGAACAACAAGAGCAGCAGCAGCAGCAGCAGCAGCCCATACGCAAGCCGGGGTGGAGAAGTCGACTTTCCCGCGTTGTGGGTCTCTGGCAGCTCGAGATCCATCATCATCAAGATCGTCATCTGGGCTATTTCTACAGTGTGCTCGGATCCTACGGCAGACTTTTTGGGGTCTTGATCTCCAAACCGTTGATCCCGATTACGCTCATCACGTACAGTGTGATCTTCATGTGGGGCATCGGGATAAATCAGACCTCGGCCCTCCTTCTGGAGACATCCATCTCCGAAGGCGGGTACGGGATGAGTTCCCGGGCCATCGGCTTCATGTACTTCACGCCGATCGTCGCCGTCTTCCTTGGGGAGGCCATCGGCCATAAACTCAACGACGCGATCGCCAGCCTCTACGTGAACCGGCACCGGGGGCTCTTCACGCCCGAGGCAAGACTGTGGACCGCGTACCTCGGGGCAGCGCTCATGGTCCCCGGCCTGATCCTGGTAGGGTACACGCTGCAACGGCATCTCCACTGGGTGGGCATCGTGTTCGGCTGGGGGATGTATCAGTGCGGGACGATGTTGGTCTCCGTTGCCGTGGTGGCCTATCTCTTGGACTGTTACCCCAACGCATCGGTGGAGATCTCTACGTGGGCCAATTTCGGGCGATGTCTGACGGGGTTCTCGATAGGGTATTTTCAGCAAGCGTGGGGCCGGAGGGATGGATACGCCGTTTCCTTCGGGGTTCAAGCGGCGATTGTTGGGGCTGCTTTTGGGGTTATTTGGGGGATTCAAATATTTGGGGCTAGGGTTCGTTAAATGCTTTACCGGTTTGTAGTTGCCCATCTGTATTACTCTTTTCGTGGAGGAAACGATGGTGTTTAAAGAATTTGATAAAAGGCAGGTTCCAGGATCTTGGTTAGTGTTATGACCAGTCGTCGTCCATTTCCGTCTGTCTCCAGTAGATCTCAATTCTCCTTATCCTATAACAGGAGTACATATTTGAGACAAGTAGATATATATTCTTCGATCAGGTATTCAGAACTTGCAAACAAACAGGCAGGCGGTTGATTCACATAGCCAGAGTTATCTTAACTCTATCTGAATTTATTGTTCATAATCTTTTGTGCCGGCCCCTATTTAACCAACTCTATCCACATCCCAACCCTCCAATCTCTGGAAGTTGCTCTCTCCCAGAGATTCGAGCAGGCCAAAAATATTTCATGATCCTAAATCTTCACAACCGGACTGCTGCTCCTCCTTCTCCTGATCATCTACAGTCCCCGCAGCACGCATCAAGTAAAACACCAACAGATTCATCTGAAAGAATGCACAGGCCATGCCCACCCAAAAGGTCAACGCCCCATTCCACGCTAGCACCCCTGAATGCACACAGTGTACGCCGAGTGCCGGGTATAGCCCGATCGTGAGCCCGGTCGTGGTGTAGGCCAACCACCGGGGAAAGAGGGGTTTCGGCCGGCGATCCGACAGGATGGCCCAGGAGATGGCGAGATCCTGGGCGATGAAGGGGGGCCAGGCCATGGTGAAGGTGAGCCAGGACAAGTCGCTCAGCAACTGCGTCAGCACGGGGTCCCGGTCGAGCCGGTAGACGGTCGCCGCGAACAGGAAGGACGGGCACATCATGGAGATCACGCAGAGGCTGCCACCGGCGATCTGCGTATAGAGTACAATCGGGTTGACCCCCGGGATGCGCGCCAGCTGCCGATTTACGCCGGCGACGAAGATGGGCCAGAACACGGCGGTTAGACTCATCAGGGCGCTAGCCCCGCGGAGTCCCGTTTCGTGCTTTCGGTAGTGATTCACCAGGTTCTCGGGCGAGGTCGAGGGGCTAAGCGGGGGGAAGTTGAGGGACGCAGGCAAGAAGAGGAAGAAGAGCGTCTGCGCGAAGGGCCCGCAGAAGATCGTGAATTTGTTGAACCGTACCTCGGAAGCTCGGTAGCGTTGAGAAGGAGGGTGTTGATGATCATGCCCTGGAGCAGTGGCGGAGGAGATCATCATCATCTCACCACCAGAAAGTGGAGGGTTTCGAGAGCTGACACTCTGTGCTTGATGCAGCGCAGATTTGTTATTTGGGTTGGCCATGGTTGCCAGCACGGGAGATTGAGGTAGCGCTTGTATGTCTGATGGCAAGTAAGAACAGAATGTAGGCAGCTCATGAGATGAGGTATGGACGAGAAAAATCACCTATCCAAAAACCCTCCGGACTATAAATGGTTGGTTTACACCAAGGATTCATGCTATAATTTTGAATCCTTGAGTAAACTCCCTATATGGAATAGTCAGAGCCTGGGCGTCCGGAGTTTTCGGACATTCGTTATTCGGATCTTTTCGATTATACAGCGAAGCTCCTTGTATTATAATATTTCGGCTTCCGAGTTCCGAGGGGGCAATTGAAAAGGGGGATAGGATTGAGCTATGCAAATTGACAAGAAGCTGTTGTTCTACGGAGAGCGAATCAGAAATGGAACGTGATATTTGAAGTCTATATATCCCATATCCTCTCTAAGACATGAATTCAAACGAGGCATCTGCTCTAGTTGTTAGGAGCTTATCTACTAAGTCATCTGCCCTGTTAGCGCATATCTTGCAATATCGTCATCAAGCTAGAATGCGCTGCATGAACTTACTCATAGTTTGCGAATCCCTGAGTATATGATCGAGCTCAGGCATACAATGATCAAAAGTTTGATCAATCGATAGTCCAGCGGATTCTAAAGCAAGACTTTTATCTCCAAATCCGTGATCCGGAAATATACTCTCTATCCGCGATGGAGGGAGACTCGAGCCCAATTCTTGCATGGGGCTGTCATAGTCCGTATTTCTTCCTCTGCACTGAAGCTCAGATCTTTGGGGGTATGTATCAATATTGACCACTTTCACAACCATTCGGAATATGTATGCCAGCTTCTGTATCCGATTGTTGGCCTTTGTCTTCATAGCATGTTCCTCGAAGCAGAAGCAAACATGTTTTAAGATGCTCAAGTCTTCCGTCTGGACATTATCTGGAGGGCCAACGGGCCAGATGATGTTACCAGCCAGTTTAAAGAAAGCAAAAGGAGGGAACGCTTCTATCAGGTCATAGGCTCTTATGTGATGGGTTTGGCTCGACGGTGTTGAAAGCGATGAGTGGTGGTTGCGCGCGTCATAATCCTTGCTCCATAAAGGCATACCTTGGCGTTTGCAATAAGATGAAAGAAGGTGGTGAAAACGTATCTCTGTCGCTTGGTGACCAACGCTGATGGCTGTCAAGAGCACCAGGCAACATGCCCGGGCATGCTCGGTTGTCTGACACATATCTTGCACATTCGTGCTCCTGCCGAGAGCAATCAATAGAGTCGACAAAAAGCGCATTAATGTTATCAAATCGGCCGAGCTCTTCGTGTCATTATTCAGAAGCTTGTTGCCGGAAGTAAATTTGTTCAGCTTGTGCATCACCTCTGGCAATAGCCGCTTATGGACTGAAGGATCTATATTGGAGAGATTGTAGACTTCCTCTTGCAGACGGGCTAGCTGGATAGTGCAGGCCCAGGGAGTCCAACTAAATTCTTCACAGCTTAAAACATTACAGTCAAAGCTAGGGGAGCCAACAGACCGATCCCCGGAGAAGTGCAAAGTCCTTGTCTTGCACATACAAGGAGCGGAACACTTTCAACCGTTCCTGAATTTCCGGATCTTGATCGCCGTCTTGCTGCGGATACGAAGAGACATGGTGCAGACCCATGGTTTTGGCCAGAACGCAAGCCTGTGAAAGCATGGTCTCCGCAAATCCTAGAGGAAAGTGCTGACGAGCTGCGACACTCTATTTGGAGAAGACAGAATTGAGTGATGATATCCGTGGCAGAGTGGCAAGAGCTGATAATAGGAATAATCAGTCACTTACCAAGAGAATCAGAACCTGTATATTGATCAATCTTGGCACCAGAACGTTTTGAGTTTTGTTCAGCCACTGCTGCACCATGGAGTGGTATGAAAGCAAGAATTCAGGTGCAATCAGTGGGTGGCTGCTAGGACTGAGGAGGTCTGGTCCTAGAGAAAGGAGGACGATTGTTTGAAAGCAGACTGCCCACGACTCATCGGAGCTGTCCAGAGATTCTTCTCGCCCGTACAGATCTTCCAAGGCCAGGAGATAACTGGACTTGACAAATATATCGGTGATGTGATCCGCATTCTGGAAGAAATGTTCTTGAAACCACAGAACAAACTGTTTTGGAGGAAGTTGAATAAGGCTCTGGTCGGATTGGCTGAGAAATGGAGCGTCCAAGGTCTGCACGTTAATGCACAAGTCATGTAGTAACTCCTGCAAAGAGTCAACATGAACCGAATTGTTGTATTTACTTTCATGCGAGAAGACTAGCTCTCGAAACCACTCGCAGAGTACCAAGAGGGAATCTGGTCCTTGATCCCCGCCAATTGAAGTGGACCTTCTGCGAAATGTGGTTGGAATCAGGTTGAGATTACTTTTATCGTCGTCATTATTATCATCATGGTCTTCTTCATCCATGGAAGGAGCACTTGAGCTCTCGTTGCTGCCAGACACACTCTTAATGCTTTGTCCAGAGGGTTGAGTCAGGCGTGAGATATCTTCTTCAATCTTGATCAGACGGTCTTGAATGCTTGCAATACTATCGGATCTGTGTACGAGTCAAACAGAAGACCCTGTCCAAGGGGTCCACATATCGTTAGTCGCAACTCTAGTTCATCTTGCCCTGTCTAGATATCCTGGCCCCAAGATTTGGCACCAACTCACATTAGTTTCATATGATTCACTCTCTTCCCTGCAACTGTATACTCGCATTTGGCCTGATCCCGCTTGCAATTGGCGCATTTTCCTGGTTCGCGTCCACATCGGACTTTTCTTTCGCGGCAGCGAGCGCAGGCGATCCCGGACTGTTGCTGAGTTTAAGGGAATAAAAGTCAAAGTCTGTTGTCTACGATCATTCTTCGGGACTTCGCTTCACAAACCTTTTCAACGGTCGCGGTCATGATTGAAGGGCCACACTGCCCTAATTCTGCTCTCGCGGGGAAAAGAGAAGTCGTACGCCAATTAAAGAAGACTGACTTAAGAAACCCTGGATTTACTATGAGAGGCCCAGCTCTTTTCTATTAACTATATGTTGTTACCCACTAAGCATGAAATCATATAGTAAGTCAGCGAACTTTCCCTCAGTCTCAAAGATTTCCTCGAGATTCCTTGGCACACGGGCCATCCAGTAACACTGAACGATGGCAAGGCCGAAGGAATAGTACCCCTGCCCAATTACTTGATATCGGCAAGCGAAGCACAATCACGTTCAATTGACCAGAAATCATAGAACCGAAAGATGGTAAAGCCGAAGGAATAATATCCCTGCCCGATTACTTGATATCGGCAAGCGAAGCACAATCACGTTCGATGGACCAGAAATCGTACTCGTGAAGATAATTGTGATAATTTGGGACCCCAAATTGTGGTGGAGCCGAATCTCAACCCGAAACCGATTGGAAGATCAAGCAATCCGTATCGAAGTTGCTTGACTTGGATTCTGCAGCCAAGAATCGATTGGCAAGCCACATTACGTGGCACGGGAATCTTTCGGGCCATTTGGGAGGTGTTAGATGATTGTATGGCCATCTGATAATCTCAAATTGCAGTATAGGGAGAGAGAGAGAGAAAGAGAGAGAATAGGTCGACTTTCTTTCTTTTCTGTATGTAATTACGAGACTCCGAGACAACCCTTTCAAGTCACTCTCGATTATCCTATGGAACCTCCAAGACATGGAGGATTTGGTTCTATTTACACATCAACTATGGACCAACTCTGCAGATGTGTACTTCATATATCCTCTACGTGTCATTTATTTTATCAAAAATCAATCAATTGTATATTCCTGATGATTCCGGCAGTCATTCGCGACAAAGTTCACTAGTTCGAACGCTCTTAGCTGGCTCTGACAGTATCGTTGGGGGCTAAACTTCCCGTCCTCGGATGATCGACACACCCGCTATACATGGACTCAGCGCCACACTCACGATTACTTCCAATTGTATCTCTGCATGCAGTCACTAGCTAACTGATTCAATTTCCTTTCTCTTGGCCATTCTCTTGGCAATTCTCTTCATCTTCATCCAATAGTCATCTATACAGTAGTCTCCTTTTCTATATACATGCTGTAGTGGGGGATCCAGTGACATTGTTTTGACTTGGTCGCCTCTGCTTTACGGTTTGTTTGTCTGGTTTGCCCTTGGGGATTTGGGCAGAAATCATGTACTTTAGATCAAGGACGGAGAAGGAAGGAGAATAAGCATACACGGACGAACAACCACGAAATGGACGAAGTAGTCGAATGGACGCGTTCTTTATGAAGCTTTTCCTTTCATTTTTCTAGCTCTTCCAGCGGAGCAGGACGTTTTCTTGTTTCTTCTGCTGAGACAACTGGATCTGTTGGTAGGGCGCCTGGCGGCAGATTGATTTCATCTCGCCTCTCTCCTTCTTTGACAGCAGCTTCACTGTTGGAGGTTTTTGTTTTGGTTCTGTATACATACTCTCTTTCGTGCCTCGACCTATCCGTGCCGACCGGACCGCCTTGAGCTTTCCCACTCTAATACATATATTGATCAAACGCAGGCAAACTACCTCCCAGAGTCCGTAATAGCTGCCGAATCCAAGGATTTTGACGTAGAATGAGAGGAGCGAGCGATCATGAGCAGACTGAGAATGACACCCACGCCCGCAAATCCCACGCCCGTCCACAGGGCGGCGCGGTAGCCATGAAGCAATTGATCCTGTTCCTCGCTTCTATGTGCGACATACAACTGCACGGTGGCCCCGACCCCGAGACCCAGGGAGATACTGTAGTTGACTATGGTAGCTACAAGAGACGCGCCCATGCCTTGCTGCTCACTCTTCATCGTGTTGGAAATAAGCACCGTAGCGGTCGGGAACGACGTCTCCATACCCCACGGGATGATTAGCATCCCGACGAAAAGCTGCGCCCAATATGTCTGCTCCACTGGGGTCGTAGCGAGGAGAACGGTCCCAATCATGAAGCAGGTCAGGGAAAATGTCATGATCCAGGAGACGGGGATGCGGTGAAGCAGCGCCCCGACCACGACAGAGGCGAGTAGTCCGACTATTGCCAGCGGTGACATGCACGCGGCGAGCAGAATCGGGGATGTGCCTCGGAGCACCAGAAAGAACTCGGAGATATAGAAGACCCAGATCCCAAAACAAGCCCATCCACATGCGATGCAAGAGACCACGAGCGGAACATTGCCTGTGAAGGCTGTAAAGGGGATCAGAGGCACCTTGGCAAACCAACGTTCAATCACGAAGAAGACCGCGGCAAAGATTAAGCCCAGGGCGAGAGTGACGGCTATATAGGGCTGTTTCCAGCCCACTGAGGACCCTTGATTCCACGCGAAATTGATCAGCACCAAGGCGGCCACGCCAGAGACTGATCCCCACACATCGAGCTGTTCAATCTTTTCCTGCAGAGATTTGTTCATATTGTTGCTCTGGTCGGGACTTTTGGGCAGGCGGGGAATGGCGAAGATGCCCACCACGACTAGAACCGCTTGGATGATTCCCGTGCTCCAAAACGCCCATGGCCACCAAGCCAAGTTGAAGAGTCCGGCGACGAGATATCCACCCACGCCTCCTAGAGGGGAACTAGCGCCAAACAGGGCAAATGCCATATTCTTCTGAATCCCCGCGCGGCATGAGACGCCCAAGATAGCCAGGGCGTTGGGGAGGAGGACTGCAGGGCCGATTCCTTGGAGCGTCCGAGCGATGATAAACATAGTGCCTGAACTGGCGTAAACACTCAAACCGGAGATGACCGACCAGAGGGAGAACCAGACCATGCCACCGAGGAAGAGTGGTTTGTAGCCAAAGCAATCGCCCATGCGACCTGCCACGAGGACAAAGGTTCCCGCCGTAAGGCTGTATCCTGCCACCAGCCAGGGGAACTGATCCGAATTCATTCCAAAGGCATCCCCGATGAGCTGCATCACCCCCAGAGTCTGTCCCAGCCCGGACATGTTCAAAAACTGAGCGCTGCAGATAATAGCGATGAAGGCGATGTGTTGCCTAGTGGACAAGCCATCGACGACTGATGGACCTTCCATAGAGAGAAGCGAAGGTTCCTCATCATCCTTGGAAGGGGATAACGTGAATGATTTCTCATTATTGCCACCCGGTAATGATTCAATTGGCACGTTTATTGCGTCGTCCAGTTGGTCGGTGGTGGTCGCGCCAGTTTCGCTTCGCGGCATGATGAAACAGATCGATCGAGAGTACTTTATGTCTGGTCGCGCTCAAAGCCAACAAATTTCCATATTGACGGAATCGCACACAAGAGTACCAAGAAAACTCGAATTATATACGTAAATATAGGTATGGTGACGACTTGATCGCGGTATGCAGTTGTTAACATGAAGAAGACGGGGCTCGGGAACCGAATTACGAAGTAAAAAGGGTTGGACAAAGAATATACCCTATACTGATATTTTCCTTTTCGGCAGACAAGGCGCCAAGAAGCTGGACTACGCGTACAGCAGGGATCAAGCGAGAACGATCAAAGGCATACCTAGGCTTAATTCCATTGCAGAGTACTAACACCGTCTTTAACTCCGATTGAGCCCCCTCCTCACTCTTCACTCCACCACTCGAAGCACTCCAGGGTGGATCTCCTCTAGAATTGCGCCCAATTCCTCCCATACCCTTTTCTGCACCTGAAATCCTTCAGCACTGATCACGAATGGAGACAGCGCTTCATTGGCCAATTTACCGTCCGACAGGTACCCTCCGTGACTCTCTGGCCCATCAGCAGCAGCCGCCACCAGACTTCGGCTGCCCACCTCTGTAGACCGAGCGAACACGAGCTTCAGGAACCACAGATCCCAGCCTGAGTCCCGAGCCAGAGCTGAGTGGCACAGCCCTGGATTCAGCATGTTGAGGATCAGTCCGGATTGAGCCAGACGAGGCGCCAGCTCCCGCACCACCAGCACTTCCAACAACTTCGAAGTGCCGTAGCGTTCGGCCATGTTGGTCTGGGCGGGATCATCTAGGGCGGCGAAGATATTCTTTGTTCGCGACTCGGCAAAGCTGGTCCAGCCATGTACCTCGCTGGTGACAATACTCAGATGGGGCTTCGCCGTAGGGAAAGCTTTGCCGGTCTGTAGTAGCTTCGGGATCAGTAGAAGAGCTAAGAGTACAGTGCTGATCACGTTGACGGTGATATGACTCTCGTGGTTCTCCACTAATCGGAAGGAAGGGGTCGCGATCGCAGCATTTTCTACCACCACATCTAGTCGGTCGAGCTTCGAAGCTTGAGCTCCGAAGCTCTTGACCGACGCATACGATGCAAGATCTAACGCCCATACTTCACACACGTTTGGCCTCCCCTCGCTGGCCTCGATTGACCGCTTGGCCGCATTCCCAGCTTGAATGTTGCGAACAGCCAGGATAACCTTGGACGCTTTGAGCCGGACAAAGTGACGAGCGGCCTCGTACCCTAATCCGACATTGGATCCGGTCACAATGATTGTTTGACCCGCGAAGGACTGGGCTGGGTAAGGAGGGCGGATAAATAATTGAGAATAGTACCAGCCCATGGCAAACTCACGTAGATTGAAGCAAGGAGGACGGATGGGTGGTCTGTCTGAGTAGTAGACGTGAGTGAGAAGCGTGTTTTATCCCGTAATGCGTACGCCATCTTTCTCATGTAATCCCAATTTCCTCCTCGGGCCTTCGGCCTTTGATTCCCGAGTTCCTTTTGGTCCCGATTGTCTCTTATCTCTGTTCTTCGTCATTCTTCTCCGAGAAAACACAGCAAGCATTAATGCAGGTTCGGCGCCGAGATAGCGAACTATATGCTCGGCACCCGATCTCTTAGAACTGGTAGGCCACAGTCCATGAGTATGTCTATGACGCTGGCATAACATGTTTGCCGAGGCCGATAGGGACCAGGTCCAGCTGGTCTATACAATCACGCTCCGTGGCATCTTAAAAACGAGCAGTGAGACTCGCATCGATATGAAGAGGAGACCATTGCCCGTTTCTTTTTTTGATGCCAAGAATACAATGACCACCACCTCTCTCTGAATCATGATTGCTCCGCTCCCTCCAATCCAATCGACCCAGAAGGTGGCCTTGTTTGGGCCTCAATTCCTCTATCTCCGCAACGGGGACTCCTACGAACAACTCAGACGCGCCATTACCCAAGATGCCACCTATCAATGGGTTATTCAGACTGTGTCGGAGATGCCAGAAACCTGGCAAACCATCTCTCAACGAGTTCCGGCCGTTCAGAGCCTATCTGGGAGGAAAATGATCCAAAAGTTTGCTGTCTGGCTTGAAACCGGTCACCTCGATGCTGCCATATCACCAATGCCAAACCTTCTTCTCACGCCTATGGTGGTGATGAGCCAAATCTGTCAGTACCTCCGTTATAACGCGTCGATAGCATCCGGCGCAGGACCTGCCGTCGACTTGGACCGCACGCCTGTCACCCAGACTATCGGTCTATGTATTGGCCTGTTGAGCGCACTGGCAGTGGCTAGCGCTTCTGATGAGACGGAAATCCGAATTCAGGGCGCCAAGGCAGTGCGACTGGCGATGTTGATCGGGGCCATTGTCGACGCTTACGAAGAATGTCTGGAGCCGGAAATGTCTGCCGTCTCCTTCTCGACAGCTTACGCATCCCCAAATCCAAATACCGAAGAGGTTTTGAAAATTATTGAACAAGTACCAGAGGTCTGTTTACCAGAATCAGAGCGCGATCTAGCTGAGGTGTTTGGCTAACGTGCACCGCTTCTAGGCATATGTTTCGGTGGTCTACGACCTAAATAGGCTCACTGTGACGACTTCCCAGGAGAATGCCTCCTCGCTGAGTCAACAGCTATCCGCAGCAGGGGTCAAGGTCACTAGGATTGGGCTGCAAGGGCGCTTTCACTCCCGAGTCTATGAGTCCCTGTTGAGCGATGTTATTCAATTCTGTGATTCGGAGCCCAAATTCCAGCTTGCTGATGCCTCAGCCCTGGTCCTACGTACAAGGTCCAATTCGGGTCCAAAGCCCATCACCAGCGGAAAGCTACATCAAATTGCGTTGAAATCCATTCTGGTTGACCCGTCGTGTTGGTATGATACTTGCTCATCGCTACTGTCGACATCTGGCTTGGGCTCCTCGTCGGACCTAAGCATCGTCTCATTTGGGACTCATCCCAGTATGCCACCAAGCTTGATGCAGGAGTTGAGCAACGTGGTCACCCACTATGATAATATTGGGAGCTCGATGGGTCCGGGGCCCCGTCATTTTGAACATGATATTGCGGTGGTGGGGATGGCCATCAAGACTCCCGGTGCGGACGATGTGAATGAATTCTGGGAGCTGCTTCGTCGAGGCGAGTCTCAGCATCAACGGGTACCTCATGAGCGTCTTAGCTTCGAGACCCCCTGGCGAGAGGGGGATTCCAAGCAAGAGTGGTTCGGCAACTTTATCGACGACCCAGAGGCTTTCGATCACAAATTCTTCAAGAAGAGCCCCCGCGAATCCGCCTCGATGGACCCACAGCAAAGATTGTTATTGCAAGTGGCATATCAAGCTGCGCAACAAGCGGGCTATTTCCGTACCGACATATATGGCAGCAAAGACATGGACCAGAAACGAGTGGGATGCTTTGTCGGCGTCAGCAATGTCGACTACCAGGACAATATTGCGTGCCATCCCGCCAATGCATACTCGGCGACCGGGACACTGATGAGCTTCGTGGCAGGCAAGATCAGCCATTATTTTGGCTGGACAGGGCCCGCGATGAGTATCGATACCGCGTGCTCAGGGTCGGCCGTTGCCATTCACCAGGCTTGCAAGGCCCTTCTAGCGGATGAGTGCACTGCGGCCTTGGCCGGCGGTGTTAATATCATGACAGGCCCTTTATGGTTCCAAAACCTTGCAGGAGCGTCATTTCTCAGCACAACGGGGCAATGCAAACCTTTTGATGCTAGTGGAGATGGCTACTGTCGAGGCGAAGCCAGCGGCGCAGTGTTCCTGAAGAGATTATCTAGGGCTCAGGCCGACGGAGACAACATCCTCGGTGTGATTGCAGGATCAGCTGTGTTTCAAAACCAAAATGAAACGCCCATCACTGTGCCTAACTCCGCGTCACTTTCAGATCTCTTCCTCTCCGTGACCAGGCGAGCACACGTTGAACCGGGTCAGATCACGGTGGTCGAAGCCCATGGCACTGGAACGGCAGTTGGGGACCCGGCGGAGTACAGCAGCATTCGCCAGGTCTTTGGGGGAGCGGTTCGAAGGAATCTTCTTTCCCTGGGCTCAGTCAAGGGTCTAGTGGGCCACGCTGAATGTGCATCGGGAATGGTGGCCCTCATCAAGATCTTACTGATGCTTCATCATGGGGAAATCCCGCCGCAAGCTAGTTTTCATAGCATGAGACCATCTTTGAACGCAGCGCAGTCGGATATGATCAACATCTCCACCACGCTAAAGCCATGGGATTCATCATTCAAAGCCGCGCTCATCAACAATTATGGCGCATCTGGATCTAATGCTTCCATGGTAATCACGCAGGCTCCCGCCAGTCCCTCATCAAACCGGGAAAAATTGGGAGGAAATGATTGCAAATATCCTTTTTCAATATGTGCCTTGGATGATCGCAGCGTTCGAGCATATGCGGTGCAATTGTTGAGTTATGTACAGGGTGGTACACGGAATCTCTCGTTGGCCGATGTGGCATTCAACCTGTCCCGTCAATCTAACTTGTCTCTACCATGCACCTACTCCTTTGCTGCCAATTCTCTCTCGGATCTTTCTAAAAGTCTCACGGAAATAGCCCGCCAAAGCTCTGAGCTCTCACCACCGTCCATCGTGGTCTCTACCACAGCCGCCCCGTCACGGTTGCCCATTATCCTCTGTTTCGGTGGCCAGGTTTTCAAGTTCATAGGGCTAGACCGAAAGGTATACGAAGAAATAGCCCTTTTACGTTCGTACTTGGACCGGTGTGATGGCATCTGTCAAGATCTCGGACTTCCAAGCATCTATCCAGGAATTTTCCAGCAATCACCCATCGATGATATAGTGGCCCTGCACATTTCTTTATTCTCCCTACAGTATTCTTGCGCTAAGTGCTGGATTGATTGTGGAATTCCAGTACAAGGTGTGGTTGGTCACAGCTTTGGCGAATATAGTGCATTGACTATCGCCGGGGTGATGAGCCTTCGCGATGCTTTGGTTGTCATCTCGGCGCGAGCGCGCGTTATTGATAACTCCTGGTCCACAGAGAAGGGGGCCATGGCGGCTGTTGAAGGTGATCTTGAGGTTGTCCAGCAGTTGTTGGTTCACGCCAGCAAGGTTAACCCACAAGACCATGTACCAACGATTGCGTGTTTCAACGGGGACAGATCTTTTACAGTAGCAGGCTCATCCAAGTCCATTGATGCCGTCGTGGAGACTCATGCAAGAGATCCAATATTCGCCAAGTCAATGAGAATCAAGAGACTGAATGTGACTCACGCCTTCCATTCCATGCTCGTGGATCCCCTGAAGGATGAACTAGAGAAATGTGCCCAGTCTATCGTTTTCCATCCGCCAACAATTCCGGTTGAGAGAGCGACTGAGCATGAGTGTAGTGATTTCCTAACCCCCCGGTTCGTCGCAGATCATCTCAGAAATCCTGTTTATTTTAACCATGCCGTTCAACGCATTACCCGGCGACATCCATCGGCAGTATGGCTCGAGGCCGGTTCAATGTCCACCATTACAGCCATGGCCAATCGGGCCCAGGGGATGTCTTCTTCGAAGCATATCTTCCAATCTATCAACATCACAGGTGCCGCTAATGCTTGGCCGAATCTCGTACAGGCAACTATCGATCTCAGAAAGAACGGAGTGATGGCAACATTCTGGGCACATCATTCGTGCCAAGCGTCAAGCTACTCTCCCCTACTACTGCCACCGTATCAGTTTGAGAAAGCCAAACATTGGCTCGAACTCAAGAAACCCGAGCAGCTTTCTCTAGGGTCATCATTATCCCAAGGTCTTCGGGAGAACATCACGCCAAAGGAACTCTGGAGCTTCGTGGGGTATCAAGATCCTTCTCTAAAGACACTGGCCCGCTTCCGGATCAATACCGAGACGGAAAAGTTTCGAAAGTTTGTCTCGGGCCATACAGTGGCGCATTCGGCTCCGCTATGTCCCAGCACCTTGCAGCTTGATATGGCAATTGAGTGTATTCTGTATCTCTGTCCAGAACTTCTCCCATCAAATATGCAGCCGGAGCTCCAGGGATTGGAGAACCATGCTCCACTCTGCATTGATATCTCGCGGCAGGTCTGGCTTGACATCCAGCGACGAAGCGATGACGAGGGAATGGTCTGGGACTGGAAGCTGGTAAGTAACAGTGCAGTATTAGCATCATCAGCAAGCGACGAAATTACAAACCTCCATGCCTCCGGTACAATTTTGTTTCGGTCTCGCGACGACGTGCATCTTCAAACCGAGTTCGAACGTTATGAGCGTCTCGTTGGGTACAACCGCTGCCAAAGTCTACTCCACTGCCCGGATGATGTTGACGATGCAATTGTCGGGCGGCGCAATATCTACAAGACCTTTGCCCATGTGGTGGATTATGGGGAGATATACCAAGGCGTCTGCAAAGTGGTCGGCAAGGGGAAGGAGTCTGCCGGCCGTGTGGTCAAGCAGTATACCGGGGAAACTTGGTTGGATACGCCGCTGTGCGATTCGTTCTGCCAGGTGGCAGGAGTATACGTCAACTGCATGACGAACCACCCCGATGCAGAAGTCTGTATCTCGAATAAGATTGAGCGGTTGATCCGCTCCCCAAGGCTTGATCTGAGTGAATCTCGACCAGACGAGTATCATATCATTGCTGTTCATCATCAGCCGTCACCGAAGCTATATTCGAGTGATGTCTTCATCTTTGATCCCCGTTCGGGTGCATTGATGGAGGTCATACTGGGAATACAGTATCAGAAGGTCAACAGATTCGCCTTGGGCAAAGTTCTTGCTAGACTTACTCCGGGCTTTAAACAAAAAGAACCGGTTGTGGATATCAAATCCATTGCGACAGAAGAGGAATCAACTCCTCCTTACACCACCTCCAGGGAGAAGGAGACAGTACAAAAGTCTCCCGGAAATGAAGGCCTCAATTCCACAGCACCGGGCAATTTGCATGGCAAGATTCGCAATTTAATCGCCCAGGTTTGCGGTCGGGACCTTCATGAAATACAGGATTCAGCCAGCCTAGCTGATCTAGGAATTGATTCTCTCATGGGGATGGAATTGGCCCGAGATATTGAAAATGCATTCAAATGCACTTTGAACGCTGGAGATCTTATTACACTGACCGACATTAAGAGTCTGCTCGATTGCATTGACGCCGCGTTGGGTGGTGCTGGTGGCGCTGCTAGGACAGAATCTTCCACATCTTCATCATCATCATCATCATCAACATCTTCCTCTTCTGCAACTTCTTCGCCTACTGGAGTCATGACACCGTGTTTATCCGCCTCATCGAAAATCGATCAGCAGTGCGATGATAAAGATGCTTCCACTCGGTATGCTGCTCACAGCCAAGAAACTATTGATGCATATGTTCTAAAATATACCCAAGGGTTTCTCCCACCACCGTCTCTAGCCAGTAAAGGTGTTCCAGTCAGATCACCACCCGGAACGACTGGTCACTGTGTCCTTTTGACTGGTGCTACGGGGAGTCTTGGATCTCACCTTGCCGCACATCTTACCAAGCTATCCAACGTTCAGACGGTCATTTGCCTCAATCGACCTGGACGACTCGTGGTGGCGGCACCCATGGACCGGCAGGAGGAGGCGTTCACATCCCGAGGAATCTCACTCGACCTAACAGCATTGTCCAAGGTACGGGTTCTCGAGGCCGATATCACCAAGCCGCGGTTGGGGCTATCGGATCGCGAGTATGAGGAGTTGGTCTCCACCGTCTCCCACATCGTCCATAACGCTTGGCCCATGACGATCACCCGCCCAGTGAAAGGGTTTGAGCCCCAGTTCCAGACTCTCCGGAACCTCATCGACCTGGCGCATGATATCGTAGTCTGTCGTGCACAACTGCTTCAGCCTTCCCTGGTGGTTGGCTTCCAATTCATCTCCTCGATCGCTACCGTGGGACTCCATCCCATTTGGACCGGGAACCCTACCGTGCCCGAGGCCCCCATGACGGTCGATTCTGTTCTGGAGTCCGGCTATGGAGAGGCAAAGCTCGTCTGTGAGACCATGCTCCAGAAAACCCTGCAGCAATACCCCGAGTGCTTCCGAGCAATGGTGATGCGCATTGGGCAGATCGCGGGCTCGAAGAAGAGTGGATATTGGAATCCTGTGGAACACTTTTCCTTCCTGATCAAGTCTTCGGTTACATTGAAAGTTTTTCCGGATCTTCAAGGCGTGCGTATCTGCTTCTTTTCCCCCATCTACTACTTCTTTGCATATGAATCTGCACCCCTTTAATCCATTTGGAAAATCGAACAAATACTAATCTCTTAAACAGAACCTCTCTTGGCTCCCAGTCGATGAGGTAGCCACCACCATAGCCGATCTATTGTTGCTACATTCTTCATTTTCATCTTCCGAGACAAATTCAACACCGGCTCTATACCCTTTAATCTACCACATCGAGAATCCGACTCGCCAGCCATGGCCCGAAATGATCCGTATCATAGCCAGAGCCGCGCTCGATTCCGCCACCACTAGCCCAGAGATTGTCCCCTTCGATCAATGGCTTCAGAGGGTGCGGACGGCGAGCAGCGACATCGACAATGAGAACCCCGCGCGGAAGATCCTCGAGTTCTTCGACGAGCATTTCCTCCGCATGGCCTGTGGCGGTCTCATCATGGATACCACATGTAGTCGATCGGATTCCCCGACGCTGGCACATGCGAAGGCGATCGATGCGTCACTTGTTGAGAAGTATGTGGTTTCTTGGAAGCAGATGGGGTTCTTACCATGATATATTATGGTAGCTCAGGAGCCATGCAGGAGAGGACCCCGCCAAACCCCACGAAACAACATTCACTTCTGGGACTCAGGCCTTGGCAGTGGGGCCCAGACAGATTTTGCAAGTGTAAATTGGTGAAGCTGGGTTTGCACTCCTCTGTAGTACTTTTTGTCAATACAGGAGGAAGCCGTATAAGCTAGTAAAAGATGGGATCCGATGGGAATCAATGATCAACTACGATGATGTCTGACTATTGAACTGGGGGAAGCTCAAGGCCAGCTCTGACAGAGCAGAAGATGTCAATAGGATCGTCAACCAAACACCAAAACACCACATACCACCACTCAATGCAGGACCTCTCAGTAGGGGAACCGGAATTCAAATTCCAAAGAGGGTTGAAAGGTTGATTTCTATCTGTCTAGAAAGCAGAGACTATATCTGTAGCGACCGTACCCAATCTCATTCCAACCAATCAGAGCATTCCTGAGTTGGTAGATTCCCCATTACAATGCTTAAATCCAATCCTGGAATATCAAATGGAATATTATTGCAGAAATTGTAGAAAGAACACTTCCGTGTCTGTGGTATCCAGCTATTATGAGACTCTGAGTGCGTCATGCTCTTAATGAGAGCACGAAACTCAGAGCCTACTTACGATGTCTTGTGATGGAAGCTAAGGACGAAAAAATTGCAGCATACTTTTTGGTTGACGAATTCTCCATTCTCATTAAGAAGCCTAAGTAATGTTCCCGACACAGACAGAAGAAGGAAGTGAGCCCGTAGAGACGATTCAAACGTAGCAAGAGAGTCGCCGCCTCGTTAACGTATTTCTCTATGAGTGCCTTGCACCGTTGGCCCCTCTTTACTTCAGAAAAGCCTCATTTGCTGCCGTACTGTAGATGTGGATTATCTGTATGTACTAGCTAGAAAAATGGTGGGTATTCTCCAATTCCAAAGTATTGATGCTCTCTTCTCGATGTAACAAAAGTTTCGCAACAGCAAGTGAGCTAAAGTCAGCAGCCCAATGAAGACCACTTCGTCAGTGCATATCCCGCGAATCCATAATTGTCTTAGGTTGGAGGAGGTATCGTAACCGGCCACCTTAGTTCCCCTGAAAACATTCGTCGTTCCAACGTTACTCCTCTAGTAATGTCTTCAAAACATTAGCAGGTGTTTGTTTTGGAGCAGCAAGCTCCAGAATCTCTTTGCTTGTTGTAGAAGTTGAGCATTTCCCTTCCCACGCTGTCTTGGGGGCACGTTTGATTGAGTAGATGACATTCTTAGATTGCTTGGTTGTCGCATATTGGTACTCATACAGCATGTCAATGAAAGAAACGTCCTGGTAACTAATATCTTTGACGGGCACACCGATGTGTTGCTCTATCATGTTGACAATCTGCTTTCCAGTTATATCCTCGGGTCCATTTAAAACGTACTTGGCCTTGTTGTGCCTAGCAGTGTCATCTTGAGAGAGGAGATGAGCTGCAATAACACCAATCTCGTCGGGGTCAATGATCCCGACAGGTGAATCCTCTGACAGCAACAGCCGAAGGGTGTCTTGCTCTCCAGTCTTGCGGTATTTCTTAATCAACTCCGCCGCAGGGGACATAATGAGTGGCGAGAACACATTCGGCTGCAGAGATGTCCATTGCAAGCCACTAAACTCAGGTGAGCCGAGAAGAGCCTCGATAGCCCAGTGCTGGCGTGCATAGTACGCAGGGCAATCCGGGCGCACATTTGCAGCCGTAGTCGAGATTCGCACGACATACTTGACGCCAGCGCCGAGGGCGTTGAGATAGAAGGTTGACTCCTCCGCAAATTGGTTGGGCTCGTTGTGGGATGCAATGAAGGCCCTAGTAATGTCGTGCTCACGGAGCCAGTCGGCGGTAATCTCAACCCAGTTCTGCTCGATCACTTCAACTCCAGGTAGTTTGGCAAGCTCGTGTGCCACTGGGCTACTCGAGGAGCGAGTGAGAGCAATGATACGACTCCCGGTCAAAGTATTGCTTGACCGAATCAACTCTGGCAACGTCCGAGCTACAGCCCGGCCTGTGTTGCCAGTAGCGCCGACGATCAGGATAGACGGAGTCATGGTTTGGAGATGTGAGAGATATGATTCACGCTGAGATATGGGCTAGATACCTGAGACTTTGCAAGGTACTTATACCCATATTTTGCTTTAACCTGCATATTAATAACATTTAAAGATAATTAATAAGGGAGGTAGAAGTGCAACTCATGATTCGCAGAGATTCTGCTGTGGGGCAATTTACCGGCCCTCCGACCGGCCGCCCACTGGTAACCCACCGAAGAAAATACGACGTCTCACGAATGACTTTACCGGTCCGAAGATCCTTCACTGGCCTTGACTGTGGTAGAATCGTCGTCCTGGTACGACACTCCACTTACTGGTTGACCGCCTCTGCGCAGTTCCCGTACGCAAAACGCCTTGAAATTTGTCAAGGCAAACGAGGTGGTGGGATGCCGGCGGGTTGCCGGTAGGAGGGTAAAAGGTCTCTTTGCGACCCGTCCGCCTACGCAAAGTTCAGCGAAGCTTACTCTTTATTTTGTTTTCCAGGCCAATCCGGCAGGCTGACAGCACAATATATATCGATGGAATCGTTCGGCAGGGAAATTGAATGTCTTCAGAGTCCATCGGGCCCTGTTGCATACGACGCGTTTCGGTGTCAATTTCCTGGCTGCAATGCCACATACCAGCGTAGAGAGCATCTAAGCCGCCACGAAAGGTCGAAACACATCAAGAAACAGGCTATTATTTGTTCTAGATGTGGTCATGTATTTCAACGAAGGTATTCACGTCCTTGCATTCACCGTCATACAGCGCCACCCCTCACATTAGAACGTTCAATTTAGTGATACCCTTCGACGTCATATTCAGAGGCAGCACCATATAAACGAGCCTCTAAATCGCGCCCGCCAGGCTTGTGCGGGTTGCCATGCGGTCAAGACTCGGTGCGAAGGGGGCGCTCCATGCCGGGAGTGCGTTCGTCGCAACATTAAATGTTCTTTCCAAAACTCTACTAGTATTGCAGCAGAGCAACAAATACGATCATCGACCCAAACTCCGTCACCCTTAGAATCCGATCAGGCGCGTTTAAGTCATTGGGAGAAGAGAAAACAGTATATTGATTGTTATTTTGAGATATTCCATCCGCGTTGGCCCTTCATGCACAGAGGCACGTTCAATTTGGGCCAAGAACCTCCATTACTTCTACAGTCAATGATAGCTATAGGCATGTGGATAACCGGAGAACAGTCGGCGCAATCTGCGGCAGTAGAGCTGTCTGGTAAACTTGACTTTTCAATTCGAGATCAAACGGTATTTCACATCACCGAGCTATAATGTATCTGATTTACTAATGTGTAAAGCATAGGAGAAATGGAATGCCTCAGAAGTGGAGGGTGTCTCCAGCGCCTGCCCTTGGCCAATGGCCACTTACCAGGCTATCTTACTACATCTTATTCTTTCTGTTATCATGAAGGCTAACAGTGTGATCAACCTCGACCTCAGAGCTTCTATCTCCCCTGCCGATTTAGGATTACTCAAATCGCTTGTTGAGAGCTGTCGAAGATTAGGAATGTTCTTTTATCCAAACATGCTCTCCAAGTACAAAGATACTGATCTACCTTCGTTTGTCTGGGTTGGTGTTGAGGAAGTCAAACGTTTCAGTATAGCACTTTATAGGTTTTGTGCGAAAGTGCGCAGCTTTAGTTCGGAGGACAGGCCTCTACTGCATGCGAGTGAACTCCGATTCCCTCTTCCAAGCAATGATGCCTTGTGGAATTCTGCTGGAAGACATGAATGGGAAGCAAATGCGAAAGAGGAGAATTCTGTTTCCTTTAACGATGACCTCCAGGCAAGGTGGATCTCGAAGTATACAGATATAATAGACGTTCTTGATTTCTGAATATCAATCTTATGATCGTCATAGACTGGGCGCTGGTGGGTCCTCTCTAGTTTGAACTTAGTGTCCCTAAAAGCCTTTGCTCTGTCTTTGAACCCTACAAGGCAGCGCTATTCAGTCATCAAGTTTTCCCGCTTGTTGGATTTGATAATACCTTATGAAGTGGGAACACGTTCGACTCGGGCCGTTTCCCACAGTGCTGGAGAAGCTGCTCGATATAATTTTTAAATGTAGACGCGTCAGTTGAACCCTGGAACACCGGAGACAAAACGATGTCGTCTTGCGCTTACGCAGGCAATATGTGATAACGCTGATCACGATGAAATTTCGACACTTGGACCGGTGCGGTACCAAGTGGCGACCAACCCGTTCGCCGGAAGCCTATCCTTTTATCACATCTAGATTCATCAACATTAGACAAGGCAACAAGACTTCAAGTCTGAGATAAAATGACAGTATTCAGCCCGAAGGTCAAGGTTGCCTTCTCGAGCCTTGGCCCGAGCAGTCTATTTTGACCAGCCTTTGGAATTAAGGGCGCAACTGATGCTCAATTTCGTTGCTCGAAGGTCAAATTCGTCCCGTAGAAAAATCGCCATCTTGTCCAGATATAAGAGAAGGTTTTCGATCAAATAGTCGCGCAAAGGCTCAAGCATGACTAGAGTGATACCAGGGGGTCGTCACCCGTAAATTGGCTGCCCTCTGACGCTGCCAGACATTCTAAGATTGAGAGAGATTCTCAAGATGTGCTTTTATTGCAATCAGCGGCCAGTGCTGTCTCAGCTATAGACAGTTCGCCACTGCGGATCATGTCATAAAAGTAGCTTGTGCTTGAAAGGAACTAGGTTTAGAGCCATCTTGAGTAGGGCCACTCGTGATCGATTGTTAGTGTATGCCTTCCCGAGGAAAGTTGTTTTTTGAGGTACAGTAGGGAGGCGCGAGATAAGATGAATATATCAAGAGGGAAGATGCTACTAATACAGAGATGACCTATATATTCCGCTATAAGTCCGAGGATTATAGAAATACTCGATATCCTACACGTTTTGATATTATATACCAGGTACACTTTGAATACAGCGTTGTAACGCGCTAGATAGCGAGGTAGGAGATATTCAACATTCCCTGCCTACATACTGTAATGGGGAATCTGCCAACAAAGGGATGCTCTGATTGGTGGAGATGATATTGAGTACGGTCGCTACAGATATAGTCTCTGCATGCTAGGCAGAGGGAAAATGAACTCCTCATCTCCCCATCTCTTTTGATATTCGACTTCCGGTTCCCCTACTGAGAGGTCCTGCATTCCGTGGTGGTGTGTGGTGTTTTTCGTAGCTGATTTGACGATCCTATCCGCACCATCTGCTTTGTCAGGTCTGGCGGTGGGCTTCCCTGGTTCACTATCTAGAACTAATCTAAATAGGGGTAATAACTGAAATATTTAATACTAAGCTAGTTAACTTAGTCACTACTAAGCCCCTATTTAACTAATCGAGAGCTCTACTATGCCAGCTAAACTAGTACCGTCGACCGAGAGCTTAGCAACTCTAACGGATAGCCCCGACGATCCTTACCTAAGGATAACTTAGGAACATTTTAACGAATTCTAGAAACCTTAGAGACAATATAACACTACCTTTCCCTCCTACACTATCCTCGCTCTCTACTTCACTTATATACTTCCCCTACTTAATCGTCCTTATGCTTCATGTCCTTGCTCAGTGGGACGCTGCCACGTTACGAAGGGGCCTAATGCTACCGCATGATTATATCATCCCCTTTTCATAACAGCTTGTCATATCTCTCTCGTAATAAATGGAACATCATCTTTGCCACTACTTAGCTTCCTGCTTGCGCCAGTCATCCGCTATTGATCTCAGGAAATGGGATATTGGCTTGTTTAACATATTTTCAAGCTCTCTGGCACAGGCGCCAATTCTCCATCCTTGGTCATATGAATCACCTTCAACGTATCTCCTTCCATAGAGACATTTAATCGTTCCCCGTAATCCTCCCTTAATAACAAGCTGGCATGAAAATTACATTTTGGGTCCTGGCATAGGAGCCAGTACTTCCACCAAACCTGACTGATACATGTAGCTAGGTCATTACCCCCACTTTCGACGATTTTACAGATATGTTGGACCCAGCGAAATTTCTTCCAGCTTCTCAGATGTGTATAGGGCTTGAGAACAGGCCAAAGATTGACTGTGATCTTGAGCACCCCATATGAGCCTAGCCTGTTTTGTAGCCAGTATGGTATGGCGCGGCAGATGTTATCTGCGTATGTTTCTGACATCTTGAGTTCGCTATAAGCTTCGAAATCGGTTGGGGATTTGTTAAAGAAGTCATTCGGGACGTTATCTCGAGCATGTCGTAGTACACGGATTTGAGAATGATAAATCATTATCTGGAGAAGAACCATCGCTTTCCAGAAAAATACATGCAGCTCTGCATGTCGAAGTGACTGAAAGGTGTAAAAATGGCTGAAAACTTCATCCGAGGATGGCAATGGACGGCCCATGTTTTTCAATTTTCCGGTAGGATAGCAAATGGGCGGACCACCGATACTATCCAGATTCCGAGAATACCATTCTAGAGTCTTCGCTCTATGCATGCGGCATCGTCGAACCAGATTTTCACACAAGGCTCTGTCACTTTTTCCAGATGAATCGATGTAATCGGCGGTAGCAAGAAGGGTTGTAATTTCGACGTAGACCTCGAAAAGCTCATCAAAAGCGGCATCATCATTGTGTTTCTTCAAGTAGTCGAAATCGTATCCGGATCCTTTGAACAGTAATGGGGCATACATCTTATTTATGACTTAGTTTGGAATCCAAGAAAAGGAGTACCAAGGTCGAAACTTTGCAGAACTTACCAGGCCTTGTTTCTGAAGCTTATAGACACACTTCATACCGGAATTTGCCTTTGTGTCATCAAAGTTCTTGAGTATTAGATTATGACCTTCCATATGAGCCGCGATCGCTTCACGGCCACTGGGGCAATGGAATGTCTGAAGACTGTCAGGTTCTCTTTCTCGTGCAACAGAGAGTCCGTTACTTTAGAAAGCTTACCTCAATTGCTTTGAAAATGACACTGGTATATACCATGTCCTCGGTAACAGCAGACTGGCACACTCGGTTTGACATGCAACGAATCGCAGTGTTGTATAATTGCATACCCTTCTGCAATAGTTGATCGTCTTTATTCGTGGAACCAAAATAGAAACAAGATATCGCGGAAAACGCAGTCTCTAGCATCTTGCTCTTAGAAGGGAGAGTGATGAACCTGGACACCAGTTGGAACCACAGGTCGACCTCCTGAATGGCATTGATATCTAGACGCATGGGATAGTAAGAATCCAAGAATGACGCGTAGAGCTGTATCCGTATTTGCGAATACGCCTGCATATTATGCGGTAATTTCTGGGCCCGATTGGCCGGTTCAATCTCGGTGCTTCTGCCCATCGCCACCTTCCTTGGATGCTGAGTATCAGCGTAATGGGCGAAAACAACCAAGTCATTGTCGGGATATCCCGGACAGATAATGTTACGTTTAACACAATGTGCACATCTCGGCCTCTGAAGGTCGCACTGCAATCCAGTCCATTTATCAGCAAGAGGGTCAATATTGACGTCCCTCGAGTCCGACATTACTGACTTTGACCCTGCGCCTTTTACAAGCTGCGCACCCTTACTCTTCCACGGTTTTCCTCCCATTTCGTCCTGCTTATGCTGGAAATTGGGGTGCCTTTCAAGTTTGGCGTAGTTAGAGGAGACAGGGCGACATCGTGGGGGTGATCCTCAATTTAAGCATTTGGGCTGGCGCATCCCTTTTTGGCCCCCAAAGCAGGCGAGTGCAGATCATCCAATCAACCAACGCCTGACGAATAGACTTCGCAAGAAACCAAGGAGACGGGATCCATTGCACGGGCCTTTAGTCATAAGTTCGGAGCAGACGCCATTTCACTTGGACCATGGCTGCATTATTCAACGACATTCTACGGCAAGAAACCGGAGTTGACCGTGAGATATCATTGAACGGAGAGAACTAACATAGAAGAATACATGAAAATTTTTGATCTGAAAACGCGCCCAAAAAACCACCAAGAACAAAAGACTGTGACATAGGAAATGGGGGAAAACCATCAATCTCGTAATATAGGTACATAAATCACACACAAACGCAGTGCGAGGGGTAGGAGAGACTTGGGGGGTGGGAGGGGAAGAGGAACATGAAAATCGTGGGGATGGAAGGGAACAAAAAAAGCACTCTTTCAGCCCTGGCACATCAGGCAGGCCTCCTTGTTCTCGATGCTGCATTGGAGCACCTTGTCGGAGAAGATATCGCCATCAGACTTGCCCTCGGTCTCACCCTCGGCACCCTCGGAGAGAGCAGTAGCGCCATTAGCCTCGGCGGCCGGGGCGGGAGCGGCAGCGATGGGCTCAACCAGAGTACGGGGGCTCTCAAGGCGAGGAGAGCCATTGGTAGAGGCAGCCTCTGGCTCAGCACCGTTGGAACGGGGCACAGCTGAGTAGGTAGAGGAAGCGGCGCCGACGGCACGCTTCTTGTACGAGGGGTTCGCGCGAGCGACGTTGGTGTCCTCAACCTTGAGCTGCTCCTGGTCGACGGTGAACTGGATGGGCGCAGAGGCAGCCATGGTACGCAGGTAGTACATGCCGGTCTTCAGACCCATCTTCCAGCCAGCGAAGTGCATGGAAGTGATCTTGCCCATGGTGGGCTCCTTCATGTGAATGTTGAGCGACTGGGACTGATCGATGTAGGCACCACGATCAGCGGCCATCTGCAGGATGGACCGCTGGGAGATCTCCCACACGGTCTTGTACAGTGCCTTGATGTCGGCCGGGATGTTGGGGATGTTCTGGACGGAGCCACCGTCGGCGATGATGCGGTTCTTCATGTTGTCGGACCACAAGCCCAGGTCGACCAGGTCCTTCAGCAGCCACGGGTTGACAACCTGGAACTCACCAGCCAGGACACGGCGGGAGTAGATGTTGGAGGTGTAAGGCTCAAAACATTCGTTGAAGCCCAGGATCTGGCTGGTACTGGCGGTCGGCATGGGAGCAACCAGCAGACTGTTGCGCACGCCGTTCTCAGCAATCTTAGCCTTCAGAGCAGACCAGTCCCAGAGGTCGGTGGGAGTGCGGTCCCACATGTCATACTGCAGGATGCCTTGGGAGACAGGGGAGCCCTCGTAGGTCTCATAGGTACCGAGCTCCTTGGCCAGCTGCGAGGAGGCAGTCAGAGCACCGTGGTAGATGGTCTCAAAGATCTGGATGTTCAGCTGCTTAGCCTCCGGAGAGTCGAAGGGCAGGCGCAGAGCCAGGAAGGCATCGGCTAGACCGTTAACACCAAGGGCAATAGGACGGTGACGGAAGTTGCTCTTGCGGGCCTCGGGGACAGGGTAGTAGTTGATGTCAATGATCTTGTTCAGGTTGCGCACCAGAACTTGGACGACCTCGTGCAGCTTGCCGAAGTCATACTCGCCACGAGCAGCGTCGACGAAGGTGGGGAGAGCAAGCGAAGCCAGGTTGCAGACAGCAACCTCATCGGGGGCACTGTACTCAATGATCTCGGTGCACAGGTTGGAGCTGCGGATGGTGCCCAGGTTCTTCTGGTTGCTCTTCTTGTTGCAAGCATCCTTGTACAGCATGAAGGGGTTGCCGGTCTCAGTCTGGGCCTCAAGAATAGCATACCAGAGCTTCTGAGCCTTGATGGTCTTGCGGCCACGGCCCTCCTTCTCGTAACGCTCGTAGAGAGCATCAAACTCATCGCCGTAAACATCAGCCAGGCCGGGAGCCTCATTGGGGCAGAAGAGAGTCCAGTCGCCGTTAGCCTCGACACGCTTCATGAAGAGATCGGGGGTCCACAGAGCGTAGAACAGGTCACGAGCACGGACTTCCTCTTTGCCGTGGTTCTTGCGAAGATCGAGGAACTCGAAAACATCGGCGTGCCAAGGCTCAAGGTAGATGGCGAAAGCACCAGGGCGCTTGTTACCACCCTGGTCCACGTAACGGGCGGTGTTGTTGTACACACGCAACATAGGAACAATACCGTTGGAAGAACCGTTAGTCCCGCCGATGTAGGAGCCAGTGGCCCGAATGCGGTGAACGTTCAAACCAATGCCACCGGCAGTCTTGGAAATCATGGCACAGGTCTTCAGGGTATCATAAATGCCCTCAATGCTGTCCTCCTTCATGTCAACCAGGAAGCAGGAAGCTAACTGGGGCTGAGGGGTACCAGCGTTGAACAAAGTTGGGGAAGCATGGGTGAAGTATTTCTGGGACATCAAGTGGTAGGTCTCAATAGCCTTTTCAATGTCCTCACCATGGATACCCACAGCAACACGCATCAGCAGGTGCTGAGGACGCTCGGCCACCTTGCCGCTGATCCGCAGCAAATATGAACGCTCCAAGGTCTTGAAACCAAAGTAGTTGTAGTTGAAGTCACGGTCATAGACGATAGCCGAGTTAAGCTCATCGGCATGCTTCATGACAATCTCGTAAATATCCTTCGAGATCATTGGTGCGGGCTTGTTGTTCTTGGGGTTGACATAGTGGTAGAGGTCAGAGATAACCATAGAGAATTGCTTCTTAGTTTGCTTATGGAGGTTGGAAACGGCGATACGAGCGGCCAGGATGGCATAGTCGGGGTGTGTGACGGTCATGTACGCCGCAGTCTCGGCAGCCTGTGGAGCGCGTTGAGCAATTAGCAATTTCCTCGGCATATTTGGACGGCGAGAAGTTCCACTTACCAAGTTGTCCAGCTCAATAGTGTTCACGCCCTGGTAGACACCGGAGATAACCTTCTGGGTGATAGCAGCAGCATCAACGTGCTCCGGGTCGAGGCCGTAACAGAGCCTCGAAACACGGGCCGTGATCTTGTCGAACTGCACGCGTTCTTTGCGTCCATCTGCAAGATAGTCGTGTCAATGACGTGTCTGAGGTTGGTGGCGAGGCCACCAGACTTGTTCTAATGTAAGAGAACGCGTCTGCCCCGCGACTCATGCCAAAGGGCTGCAGCTAGGAATTTGGACGAAGCTTACCTCTCTTGTAAACGAACATCTTGAAAAATGTGGAGGGGAGGAAGATGCGAAGATTAGAACAGAAGGGTATAGAGAACAGAAACGAATAATTAGACTTGAGGAGGGGAGAGGGAAGTTTGGGGGGGGAGAAAAGTAGGGAGTAGAGGGTAGAGAGGTGGGATGGGAAGGAGAGAAGAGGACCGGAGGGGCGAGGATATTTGATGTCGCCGGGGCAGACGCGTTTTTGCTCGTGAATTTTCGCGTTTGGCCTGATTCGGCTCCCTTTGCTTACCGCGCTGAGTAATATGGGATCGCGTTCGTCACCTTATCACGTGGCCACGCGCCGACGAGGCCGCATGGTATCGGCAGCCGCAATGCCGGGCGGAGCCCAACATTCCGGGCTCAGACAACCAGATGTCATTCGAACTACATCTATAGGGCATGGGCGCTGCCATTCGGGGTACCCTGATCGGCGTACTGCGTGCATTGTAAATCACCAAGCCTCCTTACTGCGCGACAGCCCCGGCAACCCAACAGCGGAAGATACACTAACTCCAAGTCCAGTAACTTTAGTCAATAAAGGGATACAGGGATGGGCCACTGGGTTGATGAATGAGATATTATAAACTAAAAACACCAAAGCAATTCATTTTGCCTTTCTACCATGACAATCGGTGTGAGACTCAGATACAGCAGGTGGAACAAAACAGAACAATGTGCAGCAAGGTATTTGATTTGCCCCCATATATCAGCATCCTCGAGATAAGATAGTGATAGATGAGGACAGATCAAACAGAGCATATCCAAGCCAATTATCTATCGGTACATCCGGGGGCAGATTGCGAGACTCTTTGCCGAGGAGATTACTCTCACAGCAGAGCAGCGGCACCGAGGAACACCGCAGCGAGCAAGGCCGAGTCCTGCAGCTGAAGGCCAACGGCAGCGTTAGTAGTGGCAGTAGGGGCGCCGCCGGAGCTAGAGCCCGAAGCGCTGCCAGAGGCGGCGCCCGATGTCGATGTGCCAGAACCAGTCGCCTGGGCACCAGAGGTTGCGGTAACGAAGCCAGAGCTGGAGGCAGTAGCGGTGCCGGAGGCGGTGGAGTTGGAAATCGAGGAGATATCTACGAAGATGGTAAGCCCAGGATGTACAGAGAATAGCTAGAGCTGAGGTAGGGGAGGGGTCTGGCAAGCTTCATGCTTAGAGTGAGATCGGTTATCGGAGATCCTTACCAACGTTGTGGCCGTTCGAGTTGCAGGTGTTGGCAAAGAACTTCAGGGCAGACTGGCTCTTGTCACCACACTTGTTCGAGATCTGAGATTCAAGCTTTTTCGCATCGGAACCGCACAGCGTAGACAGGTCGGCGGGGTTGGAGGAGTCGCTTGAGATTGTCAGTAATGGGAACTGTGTTCGCGATCGCGGTCGGGGTCCGGGGGTTAAACGGCATATGCTTGTGTTGTTCTTGTACACGTGTGCTTGTAATACTTACCCGATGACAGAGAGCAGGCAGGCCGGAGTCTGACCGGCAGAGACAATGTTGGCGAGGGCCACGAAGGCCAGGGCGAGAGTGGACTTGAAGAGCATGATGAAGATCGAGGTGAATGGGCGTTGGAACGATTGAAACAAGATCGCACAGCGAATCTGGATGAGAATGGCGAGGATGGATGAATTGGGGTGAGAGTAAGGATCGTTGGGATTTTGCTAAAGAGCGACTAAGTCTGGCAATGGAAAAAGGAGGGTGTGCAAAGTAGAAGACAAAGAGTGACGAAGGAAAGATTCCAGCGGCCCTCGAAGCGGAACCGTCTCAGGGTGGGAAACACCAACAACGGGAACCCTCAGGGTCTGTGAGGGTCTGAGGGGCCAGGGCCGTTCGGGGATGGTACGGGCTGGTACTGCCAGGTACCCTCAACATGAGCCTAATATAAAGAAGATACTTTACGGTGGCCGTATGTTACCTTACAGCTCGTATTATACTTCTCCATGTCCATGTCCCGATCAGGTCTAGCTCCAGGGACCCTGAGCTTCGGGCCCCAGACTGGCTTATGTCACCCACCACCGGGACGGGTGCATGTGTAATGGCCGCTTGTATGACTCTTCCCCGTGACCAGATTGCTCAAACACGCCTGGTCAGGGCTCTCAGTTGGTCGGTTGTATTTTTGTATTGAGTGGTATTAGCGGCGGCGGATGGAACAGGTCATGTGTCGTCACGGCCTCATGGCCTCCGACCCTAGAAGAGGATTAGCCAGGGTGAAAAATATCCCGGGATCAGATCTATTTTTAACCCTCGAAGAAACCATCTTTTGGAACCCTGGATAGATCAGGGTTACCGGAGCATGGGGCGACCTAATGAACTTAAATTACTCTTGATGAGGACCATTGAGAGGCAGTAGTCTACGTGCAATTGATTTTGCAATTGGGATTTGGAAGTGCCATATCGAGTACACCTATCCCTAAAAAGTATACCATACTATGCCAAGTAGACAGTCACAACCGGGCAGACAAGCAGAGTGCTATGAAAAATGCCATGCCAAATGCAATTCGTGGAATCTGTCCATTGAAATTTGATATCCAAGTTGCATCGCCATCAAAGCAGTGCAACCGTAAGCTCTGTTGCGCCGAGACAATGCTCCTTCCGTTCTATCATTATACCACAACAGACCCCAGCCTCAAGTGATATCACTCCATTTACAGTCGTTCCCAGGCCGGATCATAGATGCTCGATACGACTTCCTGGACCGGCAAGCGAAAGTCCACAATCTCCTTCCCATTAACCAAATCATTCTTCCTCGCCCGCCAATCTGCCTCCGTTTCGTCCTTCGCAATCCCGGCCTGCACATGTCGCCGGATTAATCTCTTTCTCGCAACCTCGAAGTCCACCTCCACAAACCACAACTCGTCCATCAGTCTCGCCGCCTCGTTCCACGGCGCCTTGTTTAAACTGAGGTAATTCCCCTCGAAGAAGATCACCCGACAGGTCGGCGGAATCGGTATATCGTCGTCCACGGGGTCCTTGACTGCGTGGTCGAAGCTCGGCGCGTAGATCATGGGAGAGTGAGGCGTGAGTGGCTTTCGGAGGTCTTGCACGAGGGCTAGGAATTTTTGTCCATCGAAAGTGAAAGCAGCACCGCGCCGGGCGAAGGCGATCGGCGGGTCGGGCATGGCTGATAGCTGAGCGCGGGTGAGATGGTAACCATCCATGGGGAGGGCGGTGGCAATGGGATGGGAGACAGGGTTCTCGGAGGCGTAGATGTCGTTAATGCGTTTGGACATCATGTTGGCGAGCTCGGTCTTGCCAGAGCCTGGGATGCCACTGACGGCGATCATTAATCGGGCGTCATCCGGGGTGGAGCAGTAGGTTGCTGCAACAAAGTCAGTAGGAAAGCAGCAACATGTAATTCTCCGCAGCCATATAGTGAAATGAAGAAGATGAGGTTTATAGTGCTTGAGGCCGGTTGCCAACGCCTGAAGGAAGGCAACTTACCCCAGGTCTTTTGGACTAGACGATCCACCTGCTCGTTCATTATGGGCTTTATATTTAGGGAATCGGTGGTACCACACCGAAGCCCAGGATTCTTATCAGGGAGAGACACTATGGCTGAAAGATTGCGAGTTGCGGGCAACGCCGAATGGATCTTCAGGTGAGGCTTCGTCGCGTGCTGCGTTGATGTGATCTTCTCAAAGCCGAGGTCTGCGGGTTTTGCGGGAAAGGCGGGTACAATTGGGGGTATGGGCTCTGCGTAACGTCGTGATATGCGAAGAGAGTATATTTCTGTAACTCAGAATGTGTGGAAAAGGGGAGAGGTTTATGAGAGAAGATGCGACGAACTGCGCGCGCGATAACGGGGTTGGCGGGGCTCTCCATGACTGATTCCGGTGGGGACTGCAGTGCTCCGAGACCATTGAGCATACGTCACAAAATAATTGGTTGGCCCCGCCGACGGGGAAAAAGAGAAACACCAGGATCCAATTCTTCAATGTGCTCCTTCCTCGAGAACATAGTTCGTTAAGCTTAAATAAAGCCAGTGGCGTGCGGAATGCGCAGCCTGTAAGCTTACAGGGTGCAGCGAAAACGTAAAATCATTCGCTTGGCAAGTCATTACATTGCAAGTGTGCGTTTTTATTGAACTCAAAAGGTCTCTCGATCATTTCGAGCATCAGATATCAATACATAAAGATGAAGCTGTCCGCAGATAAGGACCTTGTTCGACCGCGAAGAAGAAATAACAGATTTTCGACCGATGCCGCCTCGACTAAGTGACGAAAATTGGGAGGAAACATCGTATAAATCAGGAGAAATCAAGCTCATATGATCGATCCATGAAGTATCATCGGTTCACCAACGCCCAAAGCATAAACAAAGTCCGTAGATTAAACGCCTATAAAAATGGAACATGTTCCAGAGATCACCAAAAGAAAATGAAGAAAAAAACGCCGTCATTATAAGGAAGCAGGGCATAGATGGAGATAGAGGATAGAGTGCACCGGTATTAATTCACTCAGTACGCTCATTTTCATTGGCATCAGCGCTGGCACTGAGGCCTCGGCCAATAGTGCGTGACAGACCAGCGCCGGCCCACCAATGATCGGGAATGTCGTCTCGTCGCGCGAGTCGGTCAAGGATGGCCTGCATCTGTTGAAGATCCGAGTCGCTCGAAGCGTCTGAGAAGGAGAAGGAGATAGTCGGAATGGGCGGATGGCTGCTCATGGTCGAATTAAGGCCGGGCGAGCGGCGGAGTGCGAGAGGAAGGCCGGCTTGGCTCAGCATACGGTGGTAGGTGACAGGAACGTCCTCGTCGTCTGAGGAGGAGAAGTCGCAGGGAGGCAGGTGATCAGGGTACGGGTCGAGGGCTAAGTGGACAGCTCGAGGGAGACCGAGGGAGGAAGGCAAGGTCTGCGAAGAACTTCGGGGGTTCCGGGACGACTCGTTTCGAGAAACATCCGATGCAGAGTTTGCAGAGAATGAAGTATCGGTGGAAGGTAAATTTACATCTGGAGTAATGGTCGACAAGAGAGTTTCCCAGGCATCTGTTGGACGCTCAACGTCCGGGCTCAGGCTGCGCTGACGATCACCAAGACCATCGGTGGCGGGGTCTCGACTTGATTGATGCAGCGCACGTGCAATGCGATAGTCTCTCAGTAGACTGGCGGTGGTGTCAGAGCTAGGCTCAAGGTTGCGCTCTGTGCTGCGCAGACGTGGGAGAGGTGGGAGACGAATGCCTTCCGATGACAGATGGGGAGAAGATGAGGTGTGGTATGAGATCGCCGGGGCAAAATTTGGAGTGAGAGACGGGCTCAGATGAGCGGTGCCAGGGCGGGTTTGAGGGTCAGCTTGGCCAAGTGAATCATTGGCGGTTTGATCACGAATGTTTCTCAAATGGGTGAAACGATTGCGGCTGCGAATACTAGGACGCGTGCCACTGCGGCTCAGTGCCTCCCGCCGGCTCGAGTCAAGGTCTAATCCATCTTCGCTGATTCCCAGGTTCAGAACAGGAGAACGGATACTTAGTTGAGGCTCCGCAATACCGCGCTGGATCTCATCAAGAATCTGCGAATGAAACGAAGAAAGCACGCCACTTCGGCGCGACCGCGAATTCTGATGCTGCGACGGACGAAGAATCGTGGCCTGGCGACGGATAGCGGATCGAGCGGCCGCAGAAGGGTCCTTGTCGAGCGCAGATTTGAATGTATCTGCCTCTGAAGGCTCGCGCCACATCCTGTGTTCTCAAGTTAGTCGACGCGGCGACGAGGTGGCGCATGCGACAAGTTTCAACCAGTATGACGGCAATAGAGGCAAAACTTACGGAATGCCCATTTCGTATGATAGTGAAAATTAAGTAAACGAACGCGAAAAAGGAGAGTGAGTACTTTTATAAACGCGAGTTGACGCGACCCCGGAATCTCGAGTAGTGGGGATGGGGAAGGATGGATTCCGATCGGAAGGGGATTGGGTTTTTCTGGGAAGGGCAAGGGGGGAACGGGAGGTTCGGCAGCCTGAAATGTCAGGTAGAAGTGGCTGGTAGGCACGTGATCTTATCGGATTGTGACTTCACATGCGGCGATCTCCGCTTTACGGCAGCAGCGAGTTTCCGACTGCTCTTGCTGCTCTCACTGCTTCTCCAAGAATGAGCTCCTAACCCCCGGCTTTCTTTTTTACATTGCTCTCCTAATAATGACGATTGTTCCCGCCGATTACAGTAAGATCCGGAGGAATGATTGAGCTAGGGTTGAGCCGCGTCTCGCGTCTCATTCAGACACCACTGCCATGGAAAGCTATTCACATTGCCGGTACTAATGGCAAGGGGTCAATTAGTGCCTACCTTTCGCATATGTTATCCGTTGATGGAGTTCGCTGTGGTCGCTTTACCTCCCCGCACCTGATTGACCGTTGGGACTGCATCACCATCGACGAACGAGTCGTTCAAGAGTCCCTCTTCCGACAGATCGAGTCCCAAATCAAACAACGAGACCATAAGCTAGGCATTGGAGCCTCCGAATTCGAGCTTTTGACTGCAACGGCCTTTGAAATATTCAACCATGAACAAGTTGAAGTCGGTGTGGTGGAGGTGGGCATGGGTGGTCGCTTGGACGCCACCAATATCCTAGACCAGAGTGATGTGCTGGTTTCAGTCATCGCCAAGATTGGTATGGATCACCAGGCGTTCCTCGGTTCTACAATCGAAGAAATCGCACGCGAAAAGGCTGGCATTCTGAAGCCAGGAGTGCCTTGCGTGGTTGATCAGACCAACGAATCTGCAGTGCTGGAAGCAGTATCAAAGCGTGTCGAAGAACTCGGTATTGACGCTCAGTTTGTCTCGCCCGACAGGCTCTGTGACTCTCTCCCCCGCGAACAACTTACCCAGATTTTCCAGAAGCTGGATTCCGAACCCCATCAACGACAGAATATATCCTGTGCAGTATCGGCCTTGCATCTTGCCTTATCCAAAATCCGACCTGGGGCTGGGACGCGTGTCTCTACACTTCTTCCCTCTCTTGCGGATGTTAAATGGCCGGGGCGTCTAGAGCACATCGCCCTTGGGCCTCTTATCGGTCGTCCTGAAGCGGTTCTGTTAGACGGTGCCCACAATCCACAATCTGCCGATGTTTTGGGCAAGTATGTTGATCGCAAACTGCGACCTCGACCAGAAGCAGAACGACCGTCTCATGCGGTGACTTGGGTCATTGCCGCCTCCAGTGGGAAGGACCTTGCTGGTGTCTTTCAGTCGATTATTCGCCCTGGTGACCATGTCGCAACGGCAGAATTTGGCCCTGTTGATGGAATGCCATGGGTAAAATCAACCAATGCCATTGAACTCGCATCTGCTATTCGATCTATACCAGGCATAGGCCAAGTGGAGAGTTTTGAGGGTGATGAACAGTTGCTCGCCGCGATGCAATGGGCGAGCCAGACAGCCCAAGGACAACCACTGGTCATCGCTGGAAGTCTGTACCTGGTTTCTGATGTGCACCGCTTGCTCCGCAATTCTCAATAAACAAAGTGTGTGCGCCTTTCGTTTCCTTTTCCCGAGGATTGGGGTGGGACTCTGTGTTCCCAGTGTACAGATGTCCGTCTAAGTCTGTAAATAATATGCATTTTGGGAAAGGCGGCAGTCTAGTATAGCTCTCAACCTGATTCATCTTCTAAGTTATCTTCACCGTGGGTGCAGATTTGGTCTTCCTAAAAGTCTAGATCTCGTGTAGTGGGCGGCTCTGTAGGGCTGATCGGCGGAAGTCCAGCACAGCCGCTGCAGGTTGCGGCGAGCGGCCGGTGGAGAAGGGAAAGTTCAAAACAACCACGACGTGCACTCCCGACTCCTCTCGGCCTCTCCCCCAGTCCTTGGTCCATCTCTCTGATATTGAGCTGCGCCGCCTCCTCCAATCTTTTTCTTCCTCGAATGCGCTCGGCATAGAGCGAAAGACCGCTCTCAAGGGTGTGGAGCTGAACGGCCCTCCTGTGATGCTCGCTTGGTGAGACTCGACCCCCTCTCCAACAAACACAGGCATACAACGACTTCATCGCCCGCTGTTTGCAGTCTCCGATTGATTCAGATAGACTAACAATCCGTGTCTCTTAGATCCTGCGGACATGAACCCTGAGACCGTTGCCCTCGGCTCCTGCCTTCTTCTCTAGCTTTCACCCCACCCCCGTCTACCTGAAACCGCGCCCTAAGACCGGCGGTCGGATTGAAACGTACACTGGACCTTCGACTGGCCCGGGCCTGCGTCTGCGATGGTTTCTCGCTCGAGCGAAGTAAGTGAGGGGCAGCGCCCCCTCACCCCCTCCAGGGCGTCCGGTACGCCGATTAAGCCGCGATTGGCTCGAGCCGGCACCAGCCCAACAAAGAAAGATGAGAAACCGAAGGAGGATAAAATGGTGAAGTCGTCCGCCAAGGATGTTGCAGAGCTCAAGGACTATGTATGCCCAGAGACTCCTATGTCTGTGTATATGCCGCAAGCGGATGTGAATGCTGACCTCACGGCTGCCCGGTAGCAATTGGGCGACTGCCTGGGCAGAGGAGCCTTCGGATCCGTCTACCGAGCACTGAACTGGAATACCGGAGAGACTGTCGCTGTTAAACAAATAAAACTGGTGGATCTCCCAAAAAGCGAACTACGAGTTATTATGGTACTCCGCCCAATTGATCCCATTTCGTGAACTGCGACTGACGCGGCGCCTTAGCTGGAAATTGATCTCCTGAAAAACCTGGATGTAAGACAACCTGACAGATCCTGCCCGACCGGCGCTAATTAGAGAACAGCATCCCAACATTGTCAAGTACCACGGATTTGTTAAGTCTGCGGAAACTTTAAACATTATCCTGGAGTATGTGCGCGGACATTCGAAACCCGTAATTCAAAGAAATCGGGAAGCTGATATCATCTAGATATTGTGAGAATGGCTCATTACACTCCATCGCAAAGAACTTTGGCCGCTTCCCAGAGAATCTTGTTGGTCTTTACATGTCGCAAGTCCTTCACGGGCTCCTATATCTACATGAACAGGGTGTCATCCATCGTGATATAAAAGGTGCCAACATCTTGACAACAAAGGAAGGGTTAGTTAAATTGGCTGATTTTGGCGTCGCGAGCCGCACAACGGGTTTGAGCGAGTCAAGCGTCGTTGGTACACCATATTGGATGGCCCCCGAAGTTATCGAGCTCTCTGGTGCAACCACCGCCTCCGATATCTGGAGTTTGGGATGTACAGTCATTGAGCTTCTTGAGGGAAAGCCCCCATATCACAACCTACAACCGATGCCTGCATTGTTCCGCATTGTCAATGATGATCATCCTCCACTTCCACAGGGTGCCTCGCCGGTAAAGCTCTATACCCGAATCAGAACATGCTCATTGCCTAACTTCATTCTAGGCTGTCAAAGACTTCTTGATGCAATGCTTTCAAAAAGATCCCAATCTGCGTGTTTCGGCAAGGAAGCTGCTGAAGCATCCCTGGATCGTCAATGCACGCAGATCTGACTCAGTTGTCCCCAAGAAATCTACAGAATATGAAGAGGCTGTCAAAAGTGTACAAGAGTGGAACGAGGCCTTGCGGTCTCCTGGTGCTGGTACCTCGAGAAAGAGTAACAGGTTTGACCCGAATGCTGCGCCCATGCCAGCGGCCCGAAACAGTTCACTGGTAGATACGCTTCCATCTCCAACTTCCATCAAAGCAGCAGATAGATTTCGTTCTCCGGAATCTGCTGAAGATGACAACTGGGATGATGATTTTGCTACTGCTATCTCTCCTAGCGCGCTTCGGCTGCCTCATCTCCGTCCTCATGATAACTTCGGAGGCATGCTTTCCTCGGAGAGGCTCAAAGCATTTGCCTCGCTTGATGGGACTGTTCTGAGAACAGAGGATAGCTTCGAAGACTTTGAAGATATTTCAAGAGGCTCATTACAGCCGGCAGAGAATGACCCTCTCCAGACAATCCGCCCTTATTCGGCCAAGTCGGCCGTGGTCGAACCTTCGAAATCGCAAAGCCCTACCCGCAGGCCGCCCAACAAGACTCCAGTATCTGGGTTGCAAAACGTGCCCATTCTTACACAGAACCCTGTGCCGCCGATGAGACGGCCTCGTCCAGCAGCCCTCTACAAGGAAAATTCTGTAGAAGATTACACGGATCTCATCATGGCAAATGAGGACGTGCTTGACCGAAAACTTGGCGTATATCAGGTATATGATGCTTTCTTTGCATATTGTATTGGCAGGGTGAACCAACTTCTAACGAAAAACAGGATTTTGATGACGATCCTGCTTCGCCTACTCACGATATAGATTACGATGCATTTGAGGAGACCCTTAATGGTCATCATCCTCAGCTGCGCAAGCAACTCTCGGTAAAGCGTGACCGGTCTACCATCGAAATTCAAAAATTTGCCGAAAATGAAACCGATGAAGACTTTTCAGATATCCTTGGGGCCGACCAGGTAGCTCTAGATAAGACAGAGAGTGATGACGGTTCGGACCAAAGTACACTGATGTTAAATTCAAAGTTGTCCAACAATTCGTGGCTGGGTGATCAGGATGACGACGATGATCCATTTGCGCAATTGGAGGAGGGATTTGATGAGATGGACCTGGAGGCCAACATTGCCCGGGATAAATACGCACGTCTACGCAACCAAGTTGAAGGACTTGTTGGGTCTCTAAAGACTTCTCAAGATGAGGAAATCCTTGCCGACATTGCCGAGCAGCTTCTCACTGTCTTCTGCGATCTTCCGGAGACTAAGAACATCATAATTAGTGCCCACGGAATGCTTCCCATTTTGGAAATCCTCGATACATCTCGCCGGCGTGACACTGTCTTCTGTCTGCTTCGAGTTGTCAACGCTATCATCTATAACGACTATGAGATTCAGGAAAACTTATGTTTCGTCGGTGGTATCCCCATTGTTAACGAGTTTGCATCAAAGAAATATCCCCGTGAAATTCGCCTGGAAGCAGCAGCCTTTGTGCAGCAAATGTATCAAACATCGACCCTGACGCTCCAGATGTTTGTCAGTGCTGGCGGTCTAAATGTACTCGTTGAGTTCCTCGAAGATGACTACGAAGACGAGCGCGATCTTGTCTTAATCGGAGTGAACGGAATCTGGAGCGTTTTCGAGCTACAGGTGAGCTTACTAGTGGCGATTGGTTTATATGGGATTTTGATGCTGATAGTATGGCTCTATCAGGGCTCTACGCCAAAAAATGATTTTTGTAGGATTCTGTCACGTAATTCTGTGCTTGATCCTCTCTCTCTTGTTCTCAGTCGGGTCTTAGATGAAGAAGGAGAGCTTGCTGAAATAATTGAGGGCCGTATCGCCAACATTTTCTTCATTTTCTCGCAGGCCGAGAACCATGTCAAGGAAATGGTGGCTGAGCGGACAGTTCTGCATAGTACGAAACTTACCAATTGTCCCCAAACTGCTTCAAGCTTGCGCTAACTTTCTTATACAGGAGTTCTTAAGGAATTGCGACGGATGTCACCAGTCCATCAAGTTACGATGCTCAAGTTTATCAAGAACTTGTCCATGCTGTCTACTACCTTGGACTCTTTGCAAAATTCCAATGCCATTGACGTGCTAACTGAGTTGCTTCGATCAACCATGAGACGTGGCCATTTCAGAGAGGTTTCGAATCAGATTCTCAACACCATCTACAATATGTGTCGTCTGAATAAGACTCGACAGGAGGATGCCGCTCTTAATGGCATTGTGCCGCTACTACAAAAGATCGTCAAGACTGAACGACCATTGAAGGAGTTTGCTCTGCCTATTCTCTGTGATATGGCCCAGTCTGGCAAGGTCGGCCGCCGGGAATTATGGCGCAATAAGGGCCTGCCTTTTTATATATCGCTCCTTGCTGATCCATACTGGCAGGTTACTGCGTTGGATGCTATTTTCACTTGGTTTGTTTTTGTGCCCCGTTAATGCTCTAGAGATTACAAACTAATAAGTTAAAAGGCTTCAGGAAGAAACTGCCAAAGTTGAGGAGCATCTCTTGGAAAATTGCCAGGAGAAAATGTCCTTTACTGATGCCATTGTACGGTGTTTGACCCTTTCAAAAGCTAATTCCTTCGAGAATCTCCTCGAACCTTTGCAAAAATTACTCCGGTTGAGTCCACCGGTAGCATCAACCTTTGCTCGCGCAGACCTCTTTGCTAGACTTGGACAGAAACTCCACCATAACAAAGCCGCGGTTCGACTGAACCTCCTGCGTATCATCTCGAGCATTTGTGATTCCACTGAGCAGCAGGGAGGCCTTCTTGCTGCCTACGGCTTACTGGAAGCCATCAGGGAGCTTGAGAATGATCCGGCTATCCTGGTCAGAGACATGGCTGGCAAGCTGATCCAATCAAGTGAGAAGAGCGACAGCTTCGGCGCGAAGCGCAGGCCAACAAGCCGCAGGAAAAGTACTTCAACCACTCCACCTAATCCATTCTCTAGCTCCACCCCTTCTACCCCCCAGGCGAATCGCACCAGCCAGTCGCGAGGGTTTTTCGAAGGGCGCGAGACTCCCCGTCACCCTCGAAACAACTTGAGTGGATCCTCACTGGCTCTCCGCCCTGGAAGCCGCGATGGCAATGCCTCCTCTCTGAGCTCTGGTCTTAACGGTAGTGCTGCAGCACCTCGATCCCGAATGCGGGGCATGTCTAACAGACTCTCTCATGTTGATCTACTGCCAGACGATAATGGAAAGCCTCCAAGTTCCCTTAGCCGTCGACCTTCTATTATTCCGCGGCGGCGACGTCCCACAATTGCCGATTCTGAATGGACTTGATGGCGCTTCGTGACACTTGATCGTACATGTTCTCTGTTTGTTCTCATGCTTCTTCTAATTCTTTCTTTTCTACTGTTTTAAAAATGGCGTCATACTTTCAATTGGTGGATGGGGATGAAAGGTTATTTTTTTTGTTTGAACAGCTACGAGCTGTTTTCTCTTCCCGGCTATGATGGGCACTGGCTGTTTCACATAGTTCCAGCATAAACTTTTCAATGAAAATAATTATTTTTGCCGTCATGGATTCCAACCAAGATGGTGGAGATGCAGGACATATCTGAAAAATTCATCATTTCTACCCCATCTCCCTTACCAGCTCTCCCCGGTGCTCCGTGCCATGGTAGAGGCTGGGGATTGTGGATACTTGTTCCCCCCACCCCTTTCCCGGTTAACAACAAGACGATAATAAACTTGTGAAAGGTTCTTTCAACGGTATTTAATACATAATAGATATTATTGTGGCGTATCAAACATTAGTCTCGATTATTACGCTTAACATTGGTTTCATATATAATTGGGGTGAGGACCAGTCCCCGGCGCCTTCTCTTCTTCCGTCGGGCGATGGTGCTGATCTGTACCCTCCAACTCGTACACCGCATGGTCTCCATTTAATTCCATCAAAGCATTGGATCCTAGCTCTGGCCGTGGTTCCTCGCACCCGACCATTTCTTGTAGGGGCTTGTGATCGGAACCACTCACTTCCACCGGTCGACCAAGGCCATCGAGCTCTACTGGCTTCTTGCTCATAGCGCCCTTTGTCAAGCCATTCGCGCTGCCTTCGGTATTTATTGAATTTTTTCTTTGCTTCCGTTTGTGGAAGAAATAAAACAATCCAAAGGCGATCAAGGCCAAAGCGCCTGCTGCCACACCAACACCGACGCCCGCTTTAGCTCCAGTGCTCAGGCCATGAGACGAGGTATTTGCAGGTGTAGCCGTCGCAGTACCTGCGCCTGTTGTTGATGTCGATGATGCTGTCGATGCTGTTGAATCTGTTGAAATTGTCGAGGTCGCAGTGGCGGTGTGCGCCTTGACATTCCATCCCATAATCGTGGTTGCGGTAATGGTCATGGCAGTCCCGAAAGTGGTTGTATTGTATGCAGGAAGCGATTTTGTCGTAATCAACTCGTTGTCCAAAAAGACCAACGACGAGGATCTATTTCCAAAGACAGACTGGCACCATCCGGAAAGAGTATTGTCTGTGTTTTGCCGAACAATCCCTTGGTAATTTCTGATATATTACCATTCAATTAGCTTTCTATTTCAATATTGTTATATTTCTCTGACGTTGGATGTCAATGGAAGGACTCACGAAGGGCAGCAGAGCGTCTGAGTGCTGGACCCGTCTTTTACTGTAGTGGCTACCTCACTCCAGCTTCCCGGGCAGGTGAACGGGCCCATCGAATACGTCGTGTATGGGTCGGAATTGCCCGTATACGAGGAAAGGACTGCGGGCGCGAGGCAATCGGACGCAGTACTGGACCCCAAGTATAGTAATAAATTGATATCATAGAATGTGAGAAGCGCACCCTCGCTGATGATCATACTCCCGCAGAATGCCGATGGGGTGAAAGCAGTGGTCATGGGAAGCCATGATGTTGTGGTGTTGCCCGACGTCTGGGGCGCATAGGTGGTGGTCATGCCTCCGTGTCGGAAGATTGGCAATCAACGAAATTGGTCACGTATAGAATCGTTGACGAATAAATCAAGCATTTGTTAAACTGTTTCTCGAATGCTTGGGAGGGTGGAATTGTTTGAACGCGACTCAGATGTGGAAGTTCGACGCAAAACGCCATCATTAGGGGTCCAGAAAAATCACACTAGCGCGCATCCAATGCTTTGCCATTGGATCGTCGACTCGGCCCCCGTTCATGTTCCCTGCAGGTCCATTTTCTAGTGTCGGATCCTTCCAGCTTCCATCCAATCCTCTCCGCTGCAGGGTTATTATAGGGGCAGGATGAAACACAAACAGGCCAATGATAGGCCCGTCTTGAACTCCACTTTAATCGAGGCTAAACTGCAACTGTAAGAAGTCACATGATATTCTCTATACAAGTGATTTTACTCAGGCTACACTTGAATCTACTCGGCGTACAAAAGTGACGATGAACACTGGTAGGTATGGAAAGCATCGAAGAGCCGGCAGGACATTTGCGTGTAATAGGTCAGTACTCTCTATGCTAAATATGTTCGGATCATACGCAAAACTACCTGCTAGCTGTGCTAGCCAGCGTTGAATCTATTCTAAAACGAAGAGATCAGTGGTGATCAGCAGCCTACTGATTGCACTGGGCCTACAACCAAGCGTGTTTTTAAAGTGGTCTGAATGTTTTCAAATAGGGGCATCACCTCAACTAGTGCCAAGTAAATTCATTTGAAACAATATATTTTGCGGTTGAAAAATCGTGTGGTGAAGAAATCGTAGATGAGGTGACCGGCACTGGTGTGACCTGTTTCACTTGTGAAATATGTTATATAGTGAATTTGCCCTTGGTGCCGATCGGTGGAACGAGGAAAGAATTCGAATATACATATATCATACGTCTAGGGGTTTCCCGTACCATTTGTACCTGTGGTACTTATTTTAAAATACAACCTAGATCTCCTACTTCTAAAATAGAAATCCAGGATGCAGAGTGGGAGATTATGATGTAGCGGCTTTTTTTTTGCCTCAGTCAAGCATCGCTGTAGGAATATTGAGTCAAAAGGAAATGTTCATTCGAAGATCATCCGCGCTAGGGCTAACTGGTAACGTTGGCCATCGAGGGGAGGTCACATGACATCAGTCAATCGCCCTCAGGCGCCCAGACTTGTTGCCCCTGACGTCATACTATCGCAGGCTGGCCCCCATTGTTGACTGTTAGTCTTATGTTTCATCACGCGCAAATCGCCGCTCACCGGGCAAGTTATTCATCAAGTCTTGATGCCTTTTGGAGCCCACCACCTAACTTCCTCGACATCGTGCATCATTGATACAGGGACTTCAATCCCGCTATCGTTTCTGATCTTTTTTCGATGCCCAAGTGAAACATCAGAGTGGATTGACTGTCCCAGGACCCCTCCTATAATATCGTTATTCTTTTGACCCCGGTTTTCCTTCCCTTCACGCTATCCTGTGGCCTTGTAACGTCGGGGACCTAGCTTTACCAAGAATTTTACGGCTGAATCTTTATAGTTCGCCGCAAATTGTAGACGTTGAATTTAGACTGCTCACCAGCCAACCTTGAACAAACCAGCGAGCCGTGGACTAACCAGCGAGCCCTGAACTAACCAGCAAGCCCTGAACTAACCAGCGGGCCTTGAGCCAACCAACCAGCCTTGAGCTAACCAACCAGCCTTGGGATAACCAACTAGCCTTGATCTATCTAACTAACGACTCACAAACCTGGCTTTATACCCTCTGATATATCCCACACATAACATTATGGGCCACCAAGAGACCTGCCGATCTTCTGTACAGCGCCAGCGCACCACAAATGACAGCAATAATTTTCATTCATGCCTGTTGGATATTAATTCTGGAACTTATGCCAATGTTCAACTGAGCAAAACTGCTGTCAAGTGCTATAATAATTGTTGGTCATATTATGGACAGAGCTCCTTGTACCTCGTTATCCTCCAGGACATTGATATGAGATAGGATTGGCGTCTGTATCTCTATCTGTTGGGTTATTGATTCCCAAACCTCAAACGAACAACACAAAGAAGAGATCGTCACCTATCAGCTTATATTTTTATTTTGTTATAGGTTTTTTTTTAGAATGAGCGGACCTTGAAAGGCCCCAACGGATGGCACAGCATTCATTTTTTCCAGAAACTGGCAAGATCCCCACCACGCTAAAAAGACAAGGGAAAAGATATAAATATGAGAGTTTCATCCCGACTTTAATTCATTCATAACAGTCATCAACCTTTTCTCTTCATACCAAAGCCAGGTCAATTTCAGCCCAAAATGCAGTTCTATCCCTCCTTTCTGGCCGCTGGCCTCTTCGCTGCCCTCGCTTCCGCTCTGCATCTCGAGATCATCAGCGAAGACGGGGAATGCAAGATTCAAGTAGGCACGCCGGACGCACCGGACTATGGATGCTACGGTACCACAGCGGGATTTGCCCCTGATGTGAACGGCGACTGCTCCCGTATGTTCAAAACCAGACCACCACTTAGAAGAACGCTAATATTTCATACAATCTTTAGAGTTTTCTAGCGGCGCAGATGTTGCAGGCCCCTTGGAAGTCTGTACTGAGTACGCTAGTGTGAAAATCACGGGCAAAACGGCGCTTTTCACCGATACTGGAATTGGAAACCCTGTATCTATACCTTGTGACTTTGATGTTCTAAATGCCGATGAGTCCTGCGACGTATAGTATGGACATTGAATGCGAATAGTGAAGCAGGAGCTGGTCTCCCGGTGCACAGAGGAGACTGAAATAGGGTTCATTTTGGGGGTGTGCTTTTTCAGCTTAAGCTATATAGCAATGCAATTATTATCTGGTTTTCCCCCTATTTCGCTTAACACAAAAAAGTCTATAGCAGGTCACAAGGAAAAGGAAGGCTGATTAAATGAACGATTATCATAATGAGCATTACCAGGCCTTATATTCGAAGATAGATCTTGGTTAAAGAGCTGTGATATTAGAGCTTTGACTCTAGGCACCGTGATCCAGATTAGGGGACTGGCGGCCTCAGTCCAGTGGCTTTAGACACAGACTTACTTTGGACATCCAAGGCTTTACGGGCTATGTCGATATCCATTTTTGTTCAACCTATTATTGTTCTTCACCCGATAGAGAGCCAGAGTCGTGTTACTAACAACCCGTTATGTGAGGTTAGAATGATTCGTCCTGCCTCGAAGGGTAGTTCCGACAAACTGCTCAAAGAATCAGCAAACAAGCAAACCCGGGTGACTCCTGTATGAATCGAGTTCTGGCCCCGTGGGCCCAAATCTCCGATAAAGCCCCTCTCACACCTAGCAGCGTGATTCGGTGTAGATCTCCAAAAAAAGCTTTGAAATCACTTGAGAACACAAATATTTGATCACCCGCATGACAAGTTTAGACGTAAATGCGCTAGAAAGACTATAATATCCACGAATAGCCGGGTTGATATCTAAGGACCCAGATATAGTAGCGCACAGCAGTGTATTCCCTCATAATACAAGTTTTAATAAGTCATATTGAGTACTTATGACACTGGTCTTGAACCAAGACTCAAAAATGAAATAAATGTCGTTCTTCTCAGTCCTCTGCCTGTAGGCTTGGACCAATTTTGAATATGTCACTCACAGTAGATAATAATATAAGGAAGCAAACAATGGCATACGGTGAAATTTCCTTCTACTACTGACGATATAATTTTGCTATTAAGATAGGAGTTGTACTTAGATTAGCTGTCCTAGCCATATAGATGCCGACGTAAGAGTTAAGCTCCAAGATAAAATATAGAAACTACCACGTAAATCTACTTCACGCTAATTTTTTCCTTTCTCAATCTATCTTTCAAGTTTATATCATAGAGAATTCAGTAGTTTCAGCCTTCGCCAGAGTAGATTTTTCCGCAATCATATCACGAACAAAAAGAACGGTGGACTTCGCTAGAGGTGAATACTATCATTCGTCCTGTCACCTACAAAGGTGTCAACGATGAGACTTGTATGTAGGCCATGAAAGTTGCGGTAGAGAATTGAGACAGGCAGTGACACTGTTTCCTTCAAATACTGTTAACTGCCGAAAGTGAGTCGTGAGATAATTCATTCGTCCTAGGACATATGGGCATGAACAGTCTATTTCTGATGGAAGAAGGGCCTTAGTACTCCTAAAATTGTTTAAAAGATAATCAAGGCATTCTAGAACTATTTCATTAGCTTCTATACTATAAATACTGCAATGGAAAAGTGGTCTCGGGCGGGAACTAGTGGTGAGTTAGAAAGATGTGACCTATAAGGCTGCCCTGCTGTCTATAGCAACTCAGACACTACTATCCCTAGTTATTCTCTCTTTTTCTTCCGCAATATCTAGAGGACTTTCTGGTTCGCAGATAACGGGCGTCTCTGATGCCAGTTCCATACTTATCACATCAGAACAATCCGATCGGGTACAGCATCGCAATTGTCGGCCCGGCTCCAAACGGATCCCGCTTCCCCATCCGGCGACGAGACAACCCTGGCCAAGAAAAAGTTAAATGGACAAAAGGAAGAACGGCTTTAGAAAATGAAGGAGGGTCCCTTTTCCATCTCCCCGCCATTCGACGCTTGACAAACCGGACAAACGCCGAGGTAGCGTCATCCCGACTGTACTCGTCTCCATGAAGCAAGTGTGCCGTGGAATGTGGCAACCCGTGAGATCCCGAGTTGCCACGAGGGGGCTTGGCTCATTTTAAGTTCACTTCTTTGCTTGGAACTTCGCTCAAAATTCCTTCGCATTTCCATTTCCGGCGACTGGGGGCCGGCAAACTCTTTCACGAGGAACCCTTGATGGGTGTGCCAACTGTAGCTCTTCTGCAAAGCCACTGTTTCTTTCGCCCGCTCGACTCTGTACTCGATGGGGAATATGATTATATCCTTGATGCCATTCCGATATTATGATTTTGGTCACAAAAGTTTAAGTAGATTACTATTAGTCTGGGTTGTATTTGAGATTGATTTGAAAAACTAATTTACAAATTTTGTGTAATTCTGCAAGAATATTTCGAAAGGCTAATGGAAAATCTTGATATATGTCTTGTGGTTTCAACATAAGCCAATCACTGGGGGCCTTTTGAAATGATATTGAAAGAGTGCTGCCAAAAGGCATAAGGAAGAGGGCCAGACATATGAACAAGTGTCAAAAGGAAAGGAGTGTTGTGTAGAAAAGGATTAACAATCGAGAACCAACGCAACATAAAAGCTGATACTGAACAAACCCATGATTAGAATTGATGGTTTCAAGATCTCGATGTGAATATTACGTACGGTCTATAAGTTGTATTCTATTACTTCAAGTCGGGTGCTAGCGTGTTTGGCTTGGCGCGGAAGTGGGTAGCATACCAATGGCAATGCGATAATGTATGCGCGCATTCTTCATGGTCGCAAGATCCTGGCTCCCGGTGCGATCTAACATTCTGACAGGTGTCTCCCAGATTTCCGAGGTTGAAGAATGGCGGGTCAGATTGATATTTACAGACTAACAATCGGGAGAGTGCACTACATAGCAGGACAAATCATCTCCGAGCGCTCTTGCTGTCGCGCAAACCTTTGTAACGTGCTCCAACAGCGAGGCCGACTCACATAGCAAGGTATGGCGTGCATGAGTATGTCGTGCGGGATCCGACGTACAACTTTCGCTACGATGTCGGCAAATCCGACCGTGGTTGTCTGTTCTGCTTCCGGGGTGATCGTCGGTGGAGTGGAATAGTAGCGACCAGACGGTGACGAAGAGTGTAAGATGGAGGCCAGCCCAGATTCTCGGATGGGCCCATCCCAGGCTTGTGCGATCATTGGTAGGGCAAGGGCCCCCCTCTTCCCATCTTCTCAAGCCCCCGGCAGGTCTAGAATGTGATGGGTGGAGATCGGACTTGTTTCATCTGCCAGCCACCGATCGAGGAACATGTTAGCCCCTCCCGCTATGAACAGAGTGAACAGAGGATTCGGCGGGGATCTGTATTAATTTTTTTTGACGACTTGACCACAGCAGGAGGCATATAGTTGCTGGGAGTAGGGAATTTCTTGTTATGATCCCCTCTGTGAGGCATTGGGACAATTCAGCGAGGATAATACTGCAGGCCAACGCTGACTGAGGCCAGGCCTCGTTGGGCAAAATAATAGGCCTTGGTCAACAGGAAGCCAAGATCTGGTCCAAAAAAAATGATACCTGTGTCCTCTATTCAGAAAGCGACAACGTTGTTCGCACAGAGAAGATAACCCAGGCCCCGTACTTCCAGACAGGACTGGGGTGCGGGAAGACCGGACAGGACAGGGGGTCTGAAACCCGCGATTGCCCCCCCTCCTCGGAAGTTCGATATATCTGTCAACCGGCCCAGTAAGATCTCAGCTCGGTTGTCTTACAGTACCATTATTCGGTCTGATTGATACACCACCAATTGAGAAGCACCATGGAGACCCGCCGCGACACAACGTTGAGAGGGACTACAGCTTCCTGCAGTTTGGATATGTCGCATAGGGCGCGAGGTTTGCAAAAGCGACTGATAAAAGTGGACCTGTTGTGTAGGGACCAACATCCGCTGGTGCGGAGTTCTGTGCGTCTGCGTCTGGGATCGAGGAGTGACATAAATCATCTCCGTACTTTGGTTCATCGATGCGCCGGAAATGGCATTTTTCAAGAGAACGAGTCTTTTTGGGGGTTTCGGTGGAGTAAGAGAGTTGCCACTGCTGCCAGGTACCCAGGGGGTGCAAACCGCCAGGGATCCGAAGCCACTAAGCCACCTCTTCGATCTGGACGTATCATGATTGGATCCTCGTTGGGCCCTCAGGGACAGCGGCTGATTCAGCCGCCGGATCTTGCTGCTCACTGGGCCCAGTAGTGGTGGTACCTGCCCCTGCGCCAGTGCGTTGGCACAATTCTGCTGTCCCCAATCAGCGAACCCGATGGGCCATGGGCTCCGGAGGCTCCGGATTCCCGTGCCTGATGATCGTTCTGGTTACTCCGACTATTCACAGGGGATTCCAGGCCAATATGCTCAGGGCGAGGATAACAAAGACGAGGTTGCGAGCCCGGAAATGTGGCTGATACGAAGACCATGGGTTCGTGAACGTGGTGGATCCACTTCCTTCGAGTTTCCTGAATTGGAGCACTGGATGGAGTTGGTGGTGGGTGGTGAAAGAGTGGAAACGAAAAGAAGTGGAGCCAGGGCCCTCGAGTGTTTGCCCGGGGTCCCGTGTTCTGGGCGCCTGTATAAAACCCTCCTCTCCTTTCGCTCACTCCTGCTCGCTCCTCTGCCAACGCCCCCCGACGGTCTCTTACTTTCGTCTGTTCACGCTCGACTCCTTTGAGTGTCTTTCAGTCCTTCCTTACTGCTGTGCAGTCATTACATCCTTCTTTTGATCAGCACCCAATACTCGCCCAGGCGACTATCCTCGAAAAAAACCACTTTTCAACCAATATACGCAGAAGATCGTCACTGAACTACAAAAATGGCCCCGATCACTAAAACCCTCGCCGTTGCTGGCGCCCTCTTTGCCGTCACTGGCCTTGCTGCTCCCGTCGAGAAGCGCGCCGTCGTGTGGGAGACTGTCACCGATATTGTCTGGGAGACCGTCGATATTACTACCACCATCTACCCCGGCCAGCCCACCGCCACCGCTACCGTCGTCGCCGTGACCACCTCTGCCGAGACCGTTCCCTCTTCTCCCGCTGTAGTCCAGGAGTCTCAGCAGCCGGAGAGTTCCTCCTCGGCCCCCGTCGAGACCCCTGCGGTCGTCGCTCCTACAACCACTGCGGCTCCTGTCGTTGAGCAGCCCGCTTCCGAGACCACCTCGACCTCGTCTGCTACCTCCACTACTTCGGCATCCTCCAGCTCCAGCTCCAGCTCCTCCAGCTCCTCCGGCTCTTCCGGCTACAGCGGCACCTGCGATGAGAGCTCCCCTTGCACCGGAGCCCTGACCTGGTATGACACGGCTACCAGTATGAGTTCCCCCAGTGCCTGTGGAACTGCCAATGACGGCAGCTCGGAGAACGTTCTTGCCCTGCCCTCCAGCATGATGCCTGGAACCAACCCTCCTGCACTCTGCGGCAAGACCGTCACAATCACGTACAATGGTGTTACCGCAAGTGGAACTGTCGTCGACAAGTGTCCGAGCTGCGTTGACAACCATGTTGACTTGTCCGAAGCCTTCTTCAAAGCCTTCGCCGGCACTGGCGCGGGCAATCTGGCAGGTGCTGAGTGGTACATCAACTAGGATGCTGTCGCGTCGACCGCCGGCGTTCTGGGGTTTCTGGGCTATACGATGTTTAAAAGGAAACCGGATATTCTCTGGTAGATTGGATCCAAGCGCTCCTTGAAACATATGAAAACCTCCTGAGTCTCGATGACTCGTTCGGGCTTGCTTTTTTTTATCTTTCTTTCCTCGCTGGTATTGACTTTTCTTCCGAGGTTATTACCAGTTGAGGCCCTTTATCTTCTCTTCTTCCATTCTCTTATGAAAACCCCATTTGTTAACATTGCGCGCCCCTAGTGGTGTTGCGCTATTTTCCCAAATTATCTTTTCTGTTGATAGAATTATGCCCCTCTCTCTTCGGAGTCTTGTGACAATACTACCTGTGATGGATCATTTATCTGCAATCTTTCTGTATATTCCTCTTGTGCGTGATGAGGATGACTCCACGAGAAGAATGCTTCCATCTGATGATTTATACGATGACCATGTCTATGACCACGATGAGATTTCTGGTTTGGCGCAGAATCAAATTTTTTTTTTGGAATTTGATCGTGTCATTGCGCAGAGTACATCAAGCCTCTATCTTAGAATTGAAGTTCTCGAATTATGATATGATTTTTGAATCAATTTCGTTCTTTTGAAATCTTGCATCAGACACTCCTGATTAGTGAACCATACACTGGGCATTTTGATTAACTTAAGACAGGTGATCGTCTGTGCTGTGAGACTGACCTTGCCCAGCCTCGCCTCGGTCGTACAGCTGTCCATGCCCGCAAAAAGGGGATATAGCAGGAGACGAGAACTGGCGAACTGCCAAAATCAACGCTGACAAGATTTGGTCTGGTTCTCATGGCCTAGAAGTTGCTAGTGTATAGATCTTCATCTTTGGTGCCTAACGTCCAGCTCCGAGCACAGCCTCTGGGAATTGCATCACTAACTCCCTAGGCCCCAAGCCACACGCAGCCCCCTGATTTTGAACTGACAGGTAGCACCGGCCTCGGCCTGCGCCGGGTTGGTTCAGGTAGTCCGAAATGTGGGCGAGCCTGACTTGTCATAATGGGTCGTCTCGCATTCTACCTGCCGAGAACAGAGGCTGGTCGAAGTTCGACCCGTTAATGATGATCCCCGTACTCAGCATTGCTCTCCTGTTTCATAGTCCCGGGGGTTTGGCTTTAGGATACACTAGATCAAAAGAAGGTGTAACTATAGCTGAAGCTACTAGATACTGCGACCGGAATACTATTATTATAGTGTTAATTCGTAGTCGTGGGGCTTGTGATGATCTTCACCGCTAATGCTCGACGTGTGCGTCAGCTAGGATGTTGATCTATTCCTTCGCCTAATTTCAGGTGGATAGGGGAAAAATTATACAATCAAACCAAATAACTTAGGGATTTTGTCATAGGTCTCATTCATCTCGAATACGATCTTCTTTGCATTGACTTTCTGTTACCTCGCTCTGCTACTCTTTTTAGCCTCAAGTCAACACCGTAGACATAGCACTATCGAACCCCATCAGTAGCTTTTTGAGATTTGAGACAGGCAGTATTGAATTCTATACCTAAAACTTTATTTCTAGACAGCAAGGGAATTCTTGGAGGGCACATCTCATGGTTCAGGTTTGCAATGTCACTAAAACTGATACAATTGTGTTATTTGAAGATAACACACCTCCTTCAAACCAAGTTGTTATAATTTGTCTTCAGGTCACGGACAAGTGACAAGATAAATTATCCTCTATAAAGCTTCATACCTATTATGTGTCCTCAAATATTTTACCTAAGCATCATCAAAAACCACGTTATTGCGCAAGGTACCAATGATATCAATCGACACGTCCATCTGTGTCCCGGGAACGAGATACTTGGGAGGGCTCAAACCCGCTCCAACGCCTAAAGTTATTTCTAGGATTAGCTCAATCCAGCTTGTCCGAAAGCCAGTCTTCCCAGGAACAGTGTTCGGAAATGTTTGGCATAGAACACAAAGCAATGCATGAAAAGACTAAGGCCAGGAAGTGTACTAACCACCGGGGGTTCCCGTCATAATCACACTGCCCTTCTGCAGCGTTGTACCCTGTGAGAGATACGATACCAGGTACGCACAGTCGAACAAAAGATCCGACACACCTTCCTCCTGACGCACCTCCCCGTCCACAACCGTCCGCAGCCGCAACGCTTTCGGGTCCGCAATCTCGCTGCCCGCTACCAAGCACGGGCCCAGCGGCGCATATGTATCGAAGCCCTTCGAAAACCCCCATTGTGGGACGCGGCCTGCAAAGGCTGGATCACGCTGCAGCTTGCGCGAGGAGATGTCGTTGCCTACTGTGTAGGCGGCGATGTAGGTGAGGGCTTCGGACTCTGGGACGTTCTTGGCGTCTCTGCCGAGGATCAGACACTATTATATTAGGACAGTCAATGTCAGTTCATGATGATGATGATGCCTGAGCCTGATATGACTGGATGAGTGTCGTCTGGGGCTGTGCTTTTCTCTCACCAGTTCGCCCTCGTAATCTGCCTGGTCGTCTTGCGCGATCTTAGGGATCACGACTGGTGCACCGTGATCGTGGATTGTAGTGGTTGGCTTGAAGAAAATGAAAGGGAAAGGCGGCGGCGTACGCCCTGCTTCCTTGACTGTATAATATGTTAGATATGGGAAAACTTATGGAATGGTATTTTGATATGATAGCGCAATATCCCGTACGGGTGTTATATAGAGAACATGGTTATACTCTGCGAATCTGCCCGGATTGCCCGTGGCTCAAGCCACAAAAGCTCGTGCTCGTATCCGGGCCAGGAGCGTATTTGATAGATCGAAATTGAACTGCAAAAAAGAGGCAAACTTACTGTGCTTCGCATAGTTCAGACCCACGCATCGCAGAATAGGCACGTCGCTCTGGGCCAGCGGACCCAGAATGGTCTTCACAGTCACGACTTCATCTGTCACCTGGGTCTTGCCTGTTGTGTCATATATATCCTCGCCTTGAATAACTCGTGCCTGGAGCTTGTCGGCTTCCGTGATAAGCCCCAGATCTGTGGTGGGAGTGGGAAGGATGGGCTCTCCGCGCAGTGTGCGGCCATCTGTAGCGATGAAGCGAATGAGACGTTTCCAAGGGAGAGGCATTTTGGATCGAGAGACCTGTCGGTGAGCAATCACCCTGAAAAACGAACTGACAGCAAGAAAAAAAAATAAAAAAAGTCCTACGTTATAATACGAACGTGCTGGGGTTTAATGAGGGGTATATGTATCTAGCTTGGATGGTGTCGATGGAGGGGTTCTGCTGGTCGGGGATAGATCGGGAGGGCCGGGACCCCGGATTGCGCGATTCTGTGGATCGAATAGTTGATTCTCGAGTCGGCAAAAATGGATTCAATTGAGTTCATTAACAGTCGCTATATGAGGTACTCACTTGCACCTGGTTAGGGCTAGAAACTCCGTCAAATGTGTACATACTATTACTATATACATTTTCATCTGCATTCAGTTCTATGTCTTCCTATATCTCTCGTCTAAAGATTACTTCGATCATGTGATACTTCCTCCCACGCTCGATCAATCTCCAACTCTGCATCATAAAAATAAGTCCACATCTGTGTCGCGGGGTCACTCCACTGATTAGGACTGTGACTGAAAGGCTCGCCCCGCGTCTCGGGTTCCATGGCCTTGTCCCGGGCACGCTGGAGCGGCCCGTCAGCAAAGTGCCACAGCTTTCCATTGAGCAGGCTCGCTTCCTGCATCTTGCCCGCCCGGTCGATGCGCACGCGTTCGAAGATGCTCAGCGCTCGTGGAATGGCGGAGATGGTGGTAATCTTGGACAGAGACCGCGCTAGCGCGACACCGTCTTCGACGGCCATTGCTGCGCCTGAGGATGGTTAGTTAGATGGTGCAGATCGAATGGGAATTTCTTCCATTTGGGCGGTTCTGATTACCTTGTGACATATATGGTAGCATGGCGTGTGCCGCGTCACCGAGGATCACTACTCGGCCGGTCGTCCACTGTTGTAAGGGAGTCCCGCTGACCAGTGGCCATTTGATGGTTTTATCGATCATGCCAATAATCCTTTTCAGCCTAGGAGAGTCAGGAGGTGATCAATGTGATGGGTTCTTTGTACCGACTGTGCATCCCATCCCGAGAACTGGCGCTTCATGTCGGATAAAGCTGTTGTCTGATCCCATGTCGACGGGTCGGTGTCGTCCGGGTGCGAAAGCACCATGTTGAATGACTTGCCGGCACCAATGGTGTAGGTCATGACATGCCTTTGGTCACCAATCCTGATGAAAATAAGCACCATGTACGAAATTGCGAGAGAAGACTGGGACATACCAAATGTTGAGGCTGGGTCTTTCGAGTAGCCATGATACCTCAGGATCTGCTTGCATCTTCGCAACGTCAACAGTGGCTCGGTAGGCCGCAAAGCCTGTTTTTTGTAAGGTTTCACAGCCTGATCGATCTACTAGGCTTCGTGCGATTGACTTGACCCCTGTAATCATTTATTAGAAATTGCTTCACACGCTGTCACAGCGGACTGGAACGAATAGTATCACACCGTCTGCGGCCACTATCAAATCTGCCGAGGCAAATGTGCCATCCTCAAGGGTCAGAATTGGTCCCTGGGGATCATAATTGACCACACGAGATGCAAGCTTGACCGTAACACCGAGCTCTAGTGCTCGTTGGTGTAGAGCAGCATGGAAGTTCGCCCGGTGGATGACATAGTAAGGCGCGCCGAACAATTCCCGGAAGTTGGGCATGAGCTTGGTGAGCCCAATCACCTTTCCTGACTCCCAGCGTCGAAACGAAATTGTTTCAGGCTCTGTCACATACTTTTCCAAGTACGGATCAAGACCGAGTCTGCTTAGAAGACGGGCGGAGTTGGAAGGTATTTGGATGCCAGCGCCAACCTATCAGGCCTTAGTTATTATATTGAATAGAGAGAGAGAGAGAGAGGAGAAAGAGAGAGAAAGATGAAATAGATAAACGGGATAAATTTGAAATACCTCTCCAAGTTCTTGTGCCTGCTCGTAGATCGTGATAGTGTGCCCTGATCTTGCGAGCGCAATCGCAGTTGCCAGTCCGCCCAAACCGGCCCCGACGACGATGACCTTCAAGCGCAGAGCCGCCGACTGAGTTTGTGAAGAGAATGCAGTGGGTGAGTTCACAAAGGCAAGGCAGTTACTTGGGTAAGTGGGCATCTGTCGAATTTTCTTAATTTTGACTGTACCGGATTATCGGGCTCTATACAAAACTGACCTTCAGAGAACAAGACGGCGGAGGCGCATCGGGGTCTTGACCGTTTGATGGCATTTTCTGATAATTCCTATTTGATTATGGAAGAGAAAGAAGGAATATTGATTGTGATTCGACAACTCCTCTTGTTTTCAGACAGCTTATAACCCCATATTTCCCCGCTGCTTCCGACCGACGCGCGGGGATGCGTTCCCGGTGTAACCCCGGCGCCTATGAGGAGCAGGCTTCATTAGAATTGACGTCTGGATATAATATTGGGGTGCTTTCTCTACCCATAATAGTACAATTCTAATTGGAGATTTGTCGATTTCAGTAGAGGCAAAGCTTTCCGGACCATATTTCTCATTTTTCACCATGTCGTTAACAGAACAAATCGCCACTACGGTGGTAGACTCAGAGGAGAAGCTACTCGCTGATTTGGAGGCGAGCAAGACTCTCCCTCTATGGAAACAGATGGCAAGACTGAATCCTCCAGCACCAAATCCGACCACCATCCCCAATGTATGGAAGTACAAGGCCATCCGTCCCAACCTAGAGCGCGCCGGCAAGCTGGTCCCTGAATCCCAAGCCGAACGCCGGGTCCTGATGTTGATTAACCCCGCTCGAGGTGAGCTTATCCACCATCTGAAACTGCCAAGTACCCAACTGAACACCCGTTCAAGATGCCCCTTATACGACGGACACGCTGTATGCGGGTCTGCAGCTGGTGATGCCAAATGAGACGGCGCGCGCTCACCGGCATACCGCGTTTGCGATGCGCTTCATCATCGAGGGCACCGGCGGCTTCACCGCTGTTCATGGCCGCCGCATCAAGATGCAGCGTGGCGATGTGATCCTGACTCCGACCTGGAACTACCACGACCACGGCAAGGACGGGTCGGGTCCCATGGTCTGGCTGGATGGGCTGGACCTGCCCAATTTCCGGCACTTCCCTGTGCACTTTGTCGAGCACTACAATCAGCCGCGGTACCCAGCCGATGATGTTGATAGTACCACATCGCCCCTGGTGTACCCCTGGGCCGAGATGAAGGCTCGTCTGGATGCCATGTCGGGGCCATGGGCTACGAGTCGCTATCTCAAAGCGGATGGACGGGAAGGTAAGAAGAGCACCCTTACCAAACCCTTCGGCCCCTGACCGTTTGGCCCGTGGTCACATGGAATCCTAGCAGCTAATTAATATATCCAGTGAGCCGTGTGCTTGGGGGTTGCGCAGAGCACATTGCGGCCGGGGCGGCCTCGCCGTCCCGTCGCGAGACCACCTCGTCAGTCTACCATGTCATTACGGGCCATGGACGCTCTGTCATCGGTGACCAAGAGTATGTGTGGGAGCAAGGTGATACATTCTGCATCCCCTCGTGGTACAAGTACCAGCATTTTGCGGCAAACGGGGCCGAGGTGTATCTGTACCGATTTGACGATCGGCCCATGTTGGATGCCTTGGGTTTCTATCGGTCAGAGCAAATGGATGTTGAGACACTGGTGTCGGACTAGAAACCTAGAAAGCCACAAAGCAGAACGATCTGGACTTTGCCGATCGAGATGCTGTCCATCTTTTTCTTCTTGTCGACCTTGGATATTTGGGACCCGCAACATGGGCGTGGGACTTCGTATTTGATCACGGAATATAATTACAGGAGGGCCATCGTGTCACTGCGTGCAATGCCAATCAAATTATCGGATAGGATACTCCGTCGTCACAGGGTCACACTCTGTTCTTCATGTCGATAGCGTGCCCCCGAATCCTTTCTGTTTCTAGGGCTTTCCTTTGATCGCCCCACTGCACCAACGCGCAAGCAAATCGCACAGGGCAGGTTAAAACTGCGCCCGGTACTCCGCATTGTATTTGTGCTACGCCTCACGTCATCGGTAGGGGAAAAAAAGGGAGTAAATGAATATGGAAAAAGAAATCAAAGAGAAATTTAGCGCCCCGGTTACATGCCACTGCAATCAGCAATGTACATAGATGTGAGAGGGAATTTGTGACTGGAAATGCATACGCGCGCGATCTTCGCGAGATGGTTGAAGTACCAAGACTTTGGGGCCCGCTAGAGGGCATACAGTAAAGACTAGTGTGAGACGGTCTACTCGGATACCACCAACCGACTGACCTAGTGCGTCACCCACCACACTCAACCATTTTTGGGGGCTAGGAATTGGGCCGGGGATAATCGATGGGTCTGGACTTTGATAGAAGTTTTGGTATAGGTCTCAGTCCGGGTCTCAGGTGGAAAACCTCGGTCTCGGGGGACAGTATATAGGGAGGAGGGGGGGGGAGCGAAATAGGGGATCAGAGACGGGAAGACGATGGCTGAACTGGGGTCCTTGTGGAAGTGCCAGCCGTCGCGTGGAATGGCCAGTGGACGTCTCACCTGGACGAGCAGGGTCGAAAGGCAGGGCAATCCGCAGGGTCAAACGAGGGCCCCGACCAGAAAGGGTGGGCTCCACCGACAAACCGCCACCCATCAGATTTGGCATACCGATCGAGAGGAACGGCACATTTTGATTAGTATATTTCTTATTATTCCATTTTTCCAACTGTTCAATATGACCTGGGGGCAATTGAGCAATTTGCGGGTGATGAGTAGGAAATATGAGAATAAGAAAATAAAATGGGCCATTTCGAGGCGTCGCTGAGCAGCGATTGGTCCATTGGGATTCCACGCGGTCTATTACATTCTGTTTATTGTCTATGGATCTATATTTCGTAGATACGGTGGACCCGATCTGATATACAGCGTATGTGAGACCAATGGATAGTTGCAAGAGTCGACCGCAAACAATGCCTTTTCTGGCGTCCCAATGAGTTCCTCGAGTGGTCAACCTGCTGGATAGAGTATAGAATAGAATCCGAGGGTATATTGGGGGGGGAAACCCGTCATCACCGCGATTCCGCCACCGGAGATCCCCATTGGCGGCCGTGGGAGCTGAGGGCTGAGCGAAGATCAAGGCTCGCGGCCCAATGACACGACCCCGCGAGGCCACCGCGCGGTGTTCGGTGGGTCTCGAACGCAAGGTCGCGCCCCTCGACCACTGAGCCCCGGCGTGAGCCCTGAACAATGGGGCCTGGTGCCCAGAACGGGGGGACCTGAAACTAGCGAAGAGAACCCCCGCTCGGCGCCCACCGGCGCCCATCTTTCCCCTCAGGGCCAACTCTCGGGCCCTGTTCCGCCGCCAGGGGATGTTGAGTGTGTTTCAGCCTCTGCAACGCAAGGTGCATGCTGGCCAGCCATTGGATCGTCATACAATCCTCCCCGTTCGTTGCTGAGAAGGGTAACTCTTCTGTACGTTAATTACCCGATGAGCTTGGTGTGTCTCCACCATCGTACAGGGGAAGTGGAGTGAAAGAAGAACGAGTAGAAAAAAAACTCCCCTGGTCCAAAGTGACGGGATGGAGGGCATTGGGCCGGTGCATGTACATATAGACCCTTCGTCCGCTCTCTTGATTCTCTTTGTTTCTTTCGAGCAAGCAAGTCTTCTCTTCACTCTCTTTTTTCGTGCTGGGCACTCCTTTCTTCAGCAACGATGTTCACCCTTCCATTCGTATGTGATCTCTCTCGGATATTGACAATGGAGTCGTATCCTTCCTGTCCTCGAGAACCTCAAACTGACCGATCTCGCTAGCTTTTGGCTGCTGGCAGTCTCCCCCTCATTTCTGGGGCTCCAGTCGCATCCTCTCTCTTCAGCTCGTCTGTCGATACAGTGGCGTCCAAACATTCCCTCAGTGGACGCAGTACCAACACTTATGCTGCCGTTTTTGGCGGTGACGGTTTAGTTTCCGATGGGTGGCCCAGCATCTCTGAATGGATCTCGGACTTTGAAACCATGTATGTGGTTCTCCCCCAAATGGAGCTCATGTGAAGATTGAAGATTGAAGGTCTGACTGAAATGCCAGGTTCGAGAGCAATAAGGACGTTATGAGCTCCAGCTGCTCGCAGTGGAGTGTTGAGAACCCTACCGAGGAGGAGATGGGTTATATCAAGAGCTCCATCAAGTCCGTGGCCGAGTCCACCAGTGTCGATGCTCGTTTCATTTTGGCCATCGTGATGCAAGAAAGCAACGGCTGTGTCCGTGTCCCGACCACCGACAACGGCGTGACCAATCCGGGTCTCATGCAATCCCACGATGGTACTGGTACCTGCAACTCGGGCAGTGAGGTCTCCACTCCTTGCATCGAGTCCGAGATCAAGCAAATGATTCAGGATGGCGCTGGCGGGACCTCCGCCGGTGCTGGCCTCCAGCAGTGCTTGGCTCAGTATGGCACCGATGCTACCGCCTACTACAAGGCCGCTCGCTGCTACAATTCCGGCTCGGTTGACTCCAGTGGAAACCTCGGCGCTGGTGGTGCCACGCACTGCTACGTCTCGGACGTCGCCAACCGTCTCCTGGGCTGGTCCGAAGGCACCAGTAGCTGTGACCCGGATACTATCGGTAGCCTCACTGGTTCTTCGTGGACCGGCAGCTCTTCCTCTGGCAGCTCCGGCAGCTCCTCAGGAACTGCCTCCACTGCAACCTCTACTGCCACCAGCACCTCCAGCACCGCTGCTGAGCCTACGGATACCTTCACGCCCACCACCACGCCTAGCGTGCCTGTTCAGACTGGTGGTTCGGAGCCCGTCACCATTGTTCCAACCCCAACCGTCACCGCAACTCCTACGGCCACGGCCACCCCGTCCGCGTCGGCCTCGGGGGCTCCCTTGTACCCCTATGCCACTTCGTCTTGCGAGCAGTACTACACTGTTGTTAAGGGCGACTACTGCCGCAAGGTCGAGGTGCAATACGGCATCACTGCGTCCCAACTCCAAGGCTGGAATCCGGGTTTGGACGACGCCTGCACAAATCTCTGGAAGGGATACCAGTATTGTGTTAAGGCGTAAACCTTCCTTTTCTTTTTCTCTTTCTTGTCTGGGCCGACATCTCTTGTCGAGCCTCCCTTTTCTTTCTTGTTCATTCTTTCTCGAGGCAGTGCCCATCTTGAGATCTAGAGTGTGAAGCTCCACCTCTATTTATCTCCTTACTACAAAACAAAAAGAGATGTCTCAGTAGAAGACAGTTGCGCACCGCATATGGCAGGGATTAGGAGACGGATGTCCGGACGAATAGTTCGGCTGGGCCGGCCTATTCATTCTCATCGACTCCCCTTGTCCTTGCCATTATGCCCGCCGATACGAATTCACGATCCCTGTTCTTGATACCGCTGCTATCCGCAGACCGGCAAATACAATTTTTCACTTTTTTCCCCCTGTAACTCTCTCGTATCTTCTCCATTCGTAATGTAGACATACGCCTCCTCCTAAGTAATCCGTGGCGTATCGCCAAAAGTCAGCCAATTTGTAGATCTCGCGAATCTTCTTCCCTTGTGTTCTTTCGTAAGGGCTAAGTTCCTAATTTTCTGTGTGCATTCCCCACCTTTACCCCTCCACGTCATGCCATACAATGACACCACTCGTGTACACATCGAATCAGGGTCCCCCGTTTCGCGAGCTTGCATGATCTTCCCGGGTGAGTATGACTGCTTCCGCCGCCGTGATGCACATACATCTGCAGGATTCCTGCCAGTGGGAAGGCAGAAGAATGCGCCGGCCGGGGGAGGGGGGGGGCCGGGAACAGGCCTGGCGCCTAGTCGCCGCGTCCTATTCGTGTACATGGCGCATGGCTCTCATGCAGAATAAAGCACTAGAATCGGCTGATGTGGGTGGGGAAGGGTTCGGTGTATGCAGTGGTCCTATCAGGTCTTATAACAGAAACATTGTTTTCGATTTATGCTGATTCGCTAGTGTTGGAATTGAGTGTAGAAAGCCTTGAAGTTTGCTTTGAGGTGCAGGTTTCAGGTTTAGTGAATATGAGGGGAATTGGGGGGGGGGGCCCATTTTGGAGATCGCTTTTACATGTTTTGTATCATGGCTTCCTTGGCTTGTATAGAGAAGGGGGGTGAAATAGATGGAAAACAGATTTGTGACTTTGTTGTCTGCCTCCACGGGCTATTGGAACTGATGCGCTGAGGTTACGCGGGCTTCCGATTAAATCTGATAACTTTTAACTTGATTAACTCTATAGTCCGCCCGCACTTGGAACCCCGCGAGACTGTATGCTACGTCCTGGATACGTTATCGATATGATGATATCCTTCCATCTATCAACAATCCAGGGTTCCAAGGATATTCAACCAACAATAATCCAGAACCTCGGGTCAACCACCGGCGTGACGGAACTCCACAATTTCTCTCGTTCCGCCCGTGCCCCGGCTTCCCAATGTCTATCTCCGACCGTTCCCCGCCCGCTCTAATCGCATGAACTTGATCGCCCGCGCCAACCCCGGCCTCCCCGGCCTGCCAGAAGCACGATAAACGAAATCAATGGCCCCATCCGAATCGCCTGATCATGATACTGCCCAAGCACCCCCATCCAAGCGGCGTCGCGTGGCGGTCGCCTGCGATGCATGCCGCACCCGTAAGTCCCGCTGCGACGGCACCCGGCCCCGGTGTTCGCTGTGCCGGGATCTGGGCTTTGAGTGTGTCTATACGCCGCCAACGACGGCAACCAATGTCATTGTACAGAAAGACTACTTGCACGGCCTAGAGGACCGGGTGAAGAGGCTGGAAGAGTCGGTTTTGGGGGTTCGCGATGAGATTAGTGGACTGACCGGCCGGGTGGACCGCATGCAGAGCGGCAAAGTAGATGGAAGCCCTGAGGAGGAAGTACATGCGCAGCGAGTGGTCTCGGTGCCAGACTTGATCGGGACGGAGGACTCGGTGGATGCGATGGGCGCGATGACGTTCGCAGAAGAAGAGGATTCGGGGTTCTTCGGTATAGTTTCTTTTGGACTAGCACGCTGGTCTGGATGGGAGACCGATCCGTGGCTAATTGACGATCGATTAGGTCCCTCATCAAATATCGCATTCTTGAGACATCTCTCTGGAGCAGTTGTTCAGCAGGGATATCTCCTGTCACCTGGGGCCGCAGAGGGAGGCTTCGTGAGCGCTTCACGGCCACCGTCGGTACCACCCCAGATGGCCGGCCATGATAAACGCCCGAAAGTCAATATTTTTGCATTGCCGCATCAGTCAGAGACGATAGCGCGGATCTATCGCTATTTCTCTAATACGGGACTTCTTTTCCCGTATATCTACCCGCCAATCTTCCTGGAGACGTATCATCAGATGGTGCGGGAGAACTTCACCAAAGTGCGAAAGACATGGCTGGGCCTGTTGAATATGGTGCTGGCCATGTCGACTATCACTGCCGTGCCAGGTGGCGCGAAGGCAGATATGCGAATTGCAGAATCTGATGTCTTCTACCAGCGGGGTCTAGGCTTATGCAGTAGTGAGATCCTGCGCGGAACAACGCTAGAAGTTGGTAGGTTGGATAACCCATAGTGGGCTCTGAGTTCCACGTCACTTCATATGTAATACCCATCCACTAATTCAGTCCTAGTCCAATTTTTGCTCTTGATGGGACAGTATCTCCAGGGAACACAGAAATCTGTCCAGGCTTGGACAGTCCACGGACTAGCAGTCAAAGCTGCACTCCAGCTTGGACTGCATTCCCAAAACGCATCTAAGGCCTTCTCGGCCCTCGAGCAAGAAACTCGCAAACGAACTTGGTACGGGTGCGTTGTACTCGATAGGTAAGCTAGTAGCGAAAGTCTCGGCACAACGATACCAGATGCTGACTCATTAGAACCCTGAGTATGACATTCGGAAGACCGAGTTCGATTCCAGACAGCTATGTGAAGCTTGAGCTACCCTCTAAACGAGATTTTGAAAAGTCATCTGCATTCATCGATGACGAGACCTCTTATCTCAGTGTTGCCTTTTTCAACTCGACCATGTATGTTGTAGCCCCAAACTACTCTCCATTTGTATTAACAGCCATCCCTCCCAAGAACGCTATATAAACAGTTATGGAACGTACTAGACCTTTTATACGGCCAAAATATTGGCTGCGGGTCCCCCCTATCCGTCACCGAAACAGTCGCTCACATCTTCAGCATGGAGCAGAACCTCTTCTCATGGGAGCGCTCGCTGGTTCAATCCCTCCAGCTCGTGTCCACCGCCACCCTTGACGAAATGCCTCCTGAGCAGCTCTCATCAAACTTCCAGTATTTCTCCTGGAAATTCCGTGTCATCCTTACCCTGCGCTACCTCAACCTGCGCGTCCTCCTCCACCGCCCTGTCCTCGTCAAGTTCATAGCTGCCAGCAGGACACCCAACCGCGACCCGCAGGACCTAAAACTGCTCCAGCAGATCGGCCAGAACAGCATGACCATCTGTACCGAGTCGGCAATGCAAATCATCGACATTGTTCACCGCGTCGTGTCAGAGCCGGGCTGGAAACAGAGCCTGCTCGGCGCTTGGTGGTTCTCGCTATACTACAGTACGTCTACGTCTCCCCCTCGCCCTTCTGACCGTCCCTGGCCGTGACTGGGCTTTTCAATCTGTGTTCTACTCCATCGTCGCTAACGCTCCACGCACCTCGCCAGCATTCAACGCCGCGCTCGTCGTCATCGGCGCCATCTGGGTCAACCGCGACGCAAGTCTGAGCGACGGCCCCATGCCCGCGCACGCGATAGAATCCCAGCAATACCCCAGCCGTGCAGTGACTGCGCTCTCCAAGCTCGACGACGGAAACCGCATGATCGACCGCTGCAGGTACTATCTGGAGCAGTTCACCAAGATCCTCGTCGACCCTGGTACGTTGTCTCCCCTCCTCCCTCCCGCCCCGGGGGGAAGGGACCGAGGAACCCGAGCTAATTCATGCCCATTAGAGAGAAACCCCGGCGGTTCAGACTCGGGCTCGGACGTGGCCGGTCCCGTGCTTGTCGGGTCCCGGGGTTCCCTGCCGGCCGCAGACTTCGGGCTATCACCGTTCGGGATGGAGCTAGGCGAGTTCATGATGGACGATGACCTTGTGGCGATGCTTGAGAAACAGGCGCTATTGCCCGCCGATCCCGGGACAACTTATGACTTGTGAGATGGGGAGAAATGGAGAGGGGATGGATGTCTATCATGCTCTCAATCAAATGGACCCGACTCGTTCGCGTCATTGTTTGTATATGTACCTGTACATACCGAAATTTTAGGCCTTAGTCATAATCGTCATTGGAAGCCCTTTGACGGACGAAGGGCGAATATTTAAATACTTGTAGAGAGTGGAGCCCCAGAGAAGCGTCTTAATGCAATGGAACATACTGTGAATTCTTCCTCTTTTCAACTAAAATGAACACTGAATGCTGTTCTTCTATCGCCCATGCAGGTATATAATATACTACTATACTTGGCTTATACATCCTCCCCCATCCCTCTCATCCCGCCTCTGCCCGTATAACCAGTCCCTCACTATCTCTCCGAGGGAGCCTCGCTCCGCGCCTCGTGCGCCCGCCGCGCAATCTTGGCCAACAGTGGCGCCATGCCGGCGTGGTTACATTCCGGCTGGAAGCGTGTCGTTGGGACGCCGTCTCGCTTGGAGAAGCTGAAGCCCGGCGTCGGCACGACACAGTTGTACTGCGCGTCTGCGGCACGCAGGGCACATATCTCCTGCGAGACGCAGGTATCAGTGCACGCGGGCACGTTGAAGCCGCGCGTGCGGCGGGCCCAGAAGGCCTGGAACACGGCGTCATCTTGCTGCATGGCGACGGTGACGTTGTGCCAGAAGCCTGGGGTAAGCTCGGCAGCAGGGTCAGTTACTGGCGGGGTGAGCGCGGCCCCATAGGACGCTTTGGCGGAGTAGTAGGGGGTCCAGGCGGGGGAAGTTTGAAAGGCTGGATCTGTGATGTTGGCGATGTACTGGGTGAAGTCGAGGACGGCGAAAGTGACAGGGTCGATGTCGTAGACGCGGAAAGAGGGCGGGCCGGAGGTGGGCGTCATGGAGGGCGCGACGTAGCCCATGGCGGTTGCAGAGTCCCAGCTACGGGCACTATAGTTGGCGTAGGCTATTTGGAACTCGTCGGTGTGGGTATGGCCGAAGAAGAGAGCAGCGATAGTGGCGTCATAGCGCTGTACGATCTGGTCGAAATAGTGCGAGTGGTCACGGAAATGGTCGGCGTTGCCAGGGGGAATATGAGAGATGAGCCAGACACGTTGACCAGCAGTCTCGGCAGCTTGAAGTTCTTCAATTAGCCAAGTGAGTTGGCTGTCTGGGTCGTATTCCATGGGCTCGGTATAGGCGAAGAAATTGTACTTGTAGTAGAAGATACTATTGTAAGAGATAATGCGTAGCTTGCTGCCTGGGTGGATAGCGGAGTAGGAGCCATATTCATTAGCATTTTGCACCGATGGAATCCCAGTCAATGCCATCCAGTCGGCTGCCAGGGCATCGTAGGCCCATTGGGGATTGTATTCGCTGGGGATGTTGTCGGATGGGAAGAGGTTCAGAGGTGCCGCATCATGATTGCCCAGGGCTGCATAGACTTGGCCAAGATGAGACTCCATTGCGCCGTAGGTTGCATTCAAGTCCTGAAGGACTTCCGACTTGTTGACAAGCCAAACATCATGCGCTACCACGTCGCCCGTGTAGATAGAGAACGCTGGGTTGAGGTCGGCGATGGCAGTCATCATACTCTCCTGCAGCCGGTGTGGAGGATCACATTTGGGATTCCCAAACGGCCCACATGGCGAGGAGGTCTTGCCAGGAGCATCGTCTTCGCTGTAGACTCGGCAGCAGATTGGCTTCGAACAGTCATAGTTGGAACCGGTTTCATATGAAAGGTCCACGTGCGTGTCACTAAAGTGGACCACTTTAATGGCGGGCTGCCCGCTGGGTGGAGGTCGATGGGTTGGCGGTTTAGACGTTGGGAATGACAATGTGTAGGGGCGCACATCAGGATAGTTGCAGAGACCGACCAGGCTTGCACAGAAGGTCTTCGCCGTGTGAGAGCCGAGCTTCAAATTCTGAAGGGAGTAATACACCGCCGGGCCCTCATTGGCGATGACGCCAGCACAGACATCTGAATCTTCCGCCTACATATTGTAGTTAGAACATGTGGGTATCTGTGATGAGAGGTTGCAGGTGAAACGATCCCAAGTGGAAGGCTCAGAGTACTTACACCGCTGATATCGCAGACGCCGGTCAAAACATCCACCATGAACGATTCGCCAAAGCCGGCGACTAGTTGAAGGCCGCCTAGGAGAACCTGGCAAACCCCTCACATTAGCCTCGTTAACTGATGTTCCTCGAGTGGTTGAGCGCATGCATGACGGCATACCTGGCAGCTGGCACAGTCCACGGCTTCTTTGAAGTCATCCCAGATCGTGGAGATCCAGCTATCGGCAGAGTTCGCGACAACCCCGCGCAAGGATGTCTGTAAGGCGAGCGCAGTCACAAGGGGCACCGATTTCATCTCGACGGTGGCTTTCTTTCAGCAGAGGGTTCTGTGCTTCGCCCTGTGCGAACCCAGAAGGGCAAGGGAGGATGAGAAAACAGAGTGGGCGGAATGCGATGGAAGGATGGTAGGAGCTCAGACAGTTGCCATGTCTTTATACTCTCCATTTCGAGACCGGCACCAAAACCTGCCCCGGGGATATCTGCACGTATATTTGCGCTGCAAGACGATCCTACCTTCCGCTGAGGGTCAGAATGCGTTCCTGCAGCTGCACAGAGTAATCCAGGAAATAAGCGAAGAGGGATCTTCAGAACTTTGTGCTTGAACCCCTCAGCGATGGATATCAAGCGTCGAGGCGTCTGGAACGCTACAGCGATCCACTCTTGCATATTATTCGAGCATACGGCAGTTCACGCAGGTCTCCTGCCTATGGATCAACTCCATCGACCGCCAGTTCGCCCTCGTGTCGGGATTTAGTGGTGGCCGATTAGGGGCAGCGAGAAAGCAGAGGGGCAGCAGACGTCACCCAAGCTATGCAGCCAAGCAGCTAACGGGCGGTGCTGCACTCCGGGAGCATAAAGCGAAGATGATCTCGGGGACTGATTATTTACCGTGAAGAGCGAGAGGATCTTGGCGGAGATCGACTGTCACCTCGGCCGCCTCAAGTTGGGCCATCACATGGCTCGATTGCAAGGCAGTGAACGGCCTGGAGACTCGGGACACGGTGAACCTCAATTCTCGTCGGTCTTTTGGGGATCAAATTGACCTATTTCGGGCTTCATGCAGGAGGGGCGGTTCATTGGGAGCCTCCTGATAAGATGAGATCTTTTCCCTACCCCCTGAGCTGCCAAGCCCAGTCCTGCACGTCAGAGGGAGCAGGTGGAACTGAGCGTGTGAAATGGAATACATGCGATTGGGGGAGTCTATTTGATATATCGATCGTGCTGTGTACACCTCTCTACCTCTACATCTCAACATGACCACATGGAGATGGAGACGTATCAGGGACGAGAGTGGAGATCTGGGAATGATGGCGGGTTTTCCGACCACAGCAACGAGGTCCAGGGAATTAGAAGGGATGGCTGAATGCCGCGACTACAGATTCTTCACGAACAGCTTTCCGGTCTACAGAACCCCCCCCGGGTAGTGGAAGGGAGCCTCGCATGGCTACATTGGTTGTCATCGCAAGCAGTCTGTTCTAGAGTTGAGGCATCTCTTGGACGGACCCCGCATGGGCGTACAGAGGCAAAGCCCCCCCCCCCCCCCCCCCCCGGGAGAGCATATACGAGCAATCAGCATCCGGTCGTAAAGCGCGAGAGCACCGCAGAGGCCTCTAGGAAATCATCTCTTCTCTTCCCCGCGCTGTTCAAAGGTGGACTGCCAGTCCCCCGCCGATCTCGGGCGGACGGAAGTATCCCGGCCAGTCATGGGCCCGTTGGGACTGGGTCGTTAGGCCCGCTCCTCTGGGGGAGGGTTGCGGTTACCCCAGGAATCTCCGCGACCCAGGGATAGTCGATTTTTGAGGGGCTGCACGATTGGATCGCGCTAGGATGGTCCACCAATGGGCTTCTGGGACGGGGTCGAGGGAGGGGTTCAAGCCTCCGAACCCAAGCTAGCATGAACAAGAGGCGACTGGGAACTCCGGAAGCTCCTGGGCGGACCATTCGTCCATTGCATGCTCAAGGGTAAGGGGGCGGGCTCGGCAGGGGGAGGTTCAGACAGTCGAAAGAGAGCGAATCAAGGGATATCAAGCAGCTCCAGAGCTGTTCACCGGCGGGAGGAAAAAGAGAGAGAGAGAGAGAAGAGAGAGAGAGAGAGAAGAGAGAGAGAGAGAGAGAGCAAGAGAGCAAGAGCGCAAGAGAGCAAAGACGGAGCGCGAAAGCGCAGACCAGCGGTGAACGTCACCGTCGAGTCCACAATAAGCGCGCTTCTACCCCGTCTACCTTCGCCCCTTCAATTGCCCGTCGCGTTCAAATGACTCCGGGGCTCTTGACCTCGGGGATCTGGCCATAGACTTAGAATCGTCCGAAACAGGATGCTGCTGTCGTCTCTCTCGTAAAAACAAAGACCAGCAATCAAAAAGAAAAAGAAAAAGAGGGACATGGTTGGTAGAGGCGCCCGGTCGCGGCGGCGGGGGAAGCCAGGAATGACTCGATCCTCAATTCGCCAACACTCCACCTCGTCTTTCCCCCTCCCCAACTTTTCCCAAATCCCCCTTCCCAATCTTTCTCTTCTCCTGTTCCAACAAGCTCAGCAATTTCAACTGTCTCTTCAACCTCCCTGTCGGCCCCTGCCCTCCTATCCTCAGCCCGGCTGCCTCGCTACTGTGCGCTCTCCGAAACCAAGCGGGTCCCCACTCCCCGGGCTTACCCCGGATTCGTCGGTGCGAAGGACAAAAAACCGCAAAGCCCAGTCTGCCTCACCCCCAAGACCATGGAGTCCTGGCTGGACTCACAGTTCTTTTTCGTCCTCCGCCGTCCCCAATGCATTGATGAGCCTGGAACTCCATTCTCTCTCGCTATATTGAGCAGTTTACGATCGTGCGCCGTCCGCCACCCACGCGGTGCGCGCGCCAGCAGCCGTGATGGCGAGCCGCCAACCCGCCACGTTGGGGGTCTCAATCTCCTTCTTCGTGATCGCCAGTGTCTTCGTCGCTCTTCGGTTTATCTCGCGCGTCTTCGTCGTGCGCAGGGTCGGGTTACACGATTATTTCATGTTGGTCGCATGGGTAGGTCGGATCTGACGCCGTCCCTGCATGTGTCCGGGGTTGTATTGGGCTAGCCCTTGTTGTGACCCCCGAGGAGCAATCCGCGCATTTTCGCGACTGGCTGGACTATGACTTTCTACTTTACGTTCCTGGCTCGCTAATTCGTATTGCACTAGATCATTGATTTCGGCTTCTCCTTCTCGCTTTTCTATGCGACGAAAAAAGGACTTGGTCTACACTCGTACGACATTCTGCCCGAAAACGAAGAGGCGCTCAACAAAGCGAATTATGTCTTCACCGTCCTCTACGTGAGTGTCTTTCTCTCTGTCTCTCCGCCTCTCTATTCCTCATGAATAGATCTGGACAACATCAGCCCTAGGATGCTCATTTCTCTCACTCCCTAGAATCCAGCACTGATGGCCGTCAAAACATCCATTTTGGTGTTCTACCTGACCTTGACTCGCAACCAAAAGGTCTTTCGATGGGCCAACTATGTTACACTGGCCGTGGTGAATGCCGCTGGCTTCGCACTGACCATGGTCAACGTCTTTCAGTGCCGTCCTGTGTCCGCCGCGTTCCACTCAACAGTCCCTTCCTATGCGAAGTGTACCGACATTGTGACTCTCTACCTGTCCTCCTCTCCCGTCAATATTATCACCGACTTGGCCATTCTTTTCCTTCCTATGCCCATTCTGACGCAGATGCGGCTTCCTAAAAAGCAAAAGGTGATTTTGATAATCACCTTCAGCTTTGGTTTCTTCGTGGCCGTGGTCGATGTCATCCGCATTGCGTTCCTCCAACAAGCCGCCACTTCTCGTCAATTAGCCTTGAAATCGATCCACATACAGAATCTCGGCGGCGCGGATTTCAGCTGTATGGATATACCTTTCTTTCTACTTTTCCTTTGGTGCGATATTTTCATTGGATGTCACGAAGCTAACTACAATGGCTCTGCTCTACAGGGTATGTCTCGCTTTCTTTCATGTGGTCCGCCGTGGAAGTCAACGTCTCGGTGATATGTGCATGCGTCCCAAGTCTGAAACCGCTGGTCGCCCGCCTCGTACCGAAATTGATTCGAGACACCGATGACCCGACTTCCAGCCCTCTCAACAACTACGCCACTGGAGACAGTCCGGTCGCGGTCCCCCAACCCGCCGTGATACCAAATTCCAATGGTCCGTCTCCGGCTTCCTCTCCATCCGACAGCACTGGCAGCAAACCCTCTCAAACCCGAAGCGGCAGTAGCATTGCCCGACGCCAAAGCTCAAATACGCCCATGGGTATTTTAGATTTCCTGGGCCACCCGGGGAATGGCCCTGCGGACACCGAAGCCAACACGCATACCAGCGCGTCCTACCCACCCGATATCACATTCTTCGATTTCGTCAATATGAAGAACCCAGAGAGCATGCTGAAACTGAACAACCGAGAGTCCATCGCGCCGATTGCATTGACTACCCTTCTGTTCTTCTTATGGGGCTTCGCATATGGTTTTCTTGACATACTAAACACCCAGTTCCAGACAATTGTCAAGCTGGACTCGTGGCACTCCCTTGGGCTCCACGGGGCCTACTTTGGCGGGTATGTTGTGGGACCGTTGCTCATTGGGCGGCCAGTCTTGAAGATTTGGGGTTTCAAATCCACGTTCATCACAGGCCTCTGTATCTATGCGTGTGGCACCCTTATCTTTTGGCCGTCTGCCGTATTGACCTCTACTGCGGCGTTCACGCTTTCCAACTTCATTGTTGGCCTTGGTCTTGCCGTCCTGGAGACGGCGGCAAACCCATTCATTGCGCTGTGTGGCCCCCTCGAGAATTCGGAAATTCGACTCAACATCTCGCAAGGCGTACAGGCCATCGGCAGCGTCGTGTCGCCATTGCTAGCCAAAAAGGTCCTGTTCAAAGGTGTGCAGGATGTGGCGTCTTTGGTGGATGTACAATGGGCCTATCTCGGCATTGCTCTGTTTGACGTCCTTCTGGCCGTAGCATTCTATTATCTCCCGATTCCCGAAGCTTCGGATGATGACTTGGAGGAATTGGCAAATCGACGCCGAGAAGATAATATGACCAAGGTCCTCGGGATCCCGGTGGTTTGGCTCACTCTTGCCTTAGGAGTCTGGTCACAATTCTTCTACGTAGCTGGACAAGAAGTCCTTGCCACATCCCTCGAACGCTTCGTCGCTGCGGTTAATCCAAATACCACGCTAGGCGGCTTCGAGTTCTTGACGATCGGCCATAGCGTTTTCGCCATAGGCCGCTTCCTAGCTGCCTTTGCACAATGGTTTCTCAAACCACGCTGGATCCTCATGGTCTCCTACATCGGCATGATTGTCTTCGCCGTGCTCTGCATGAAGACCACCGGCTCGGCTGCGGCAACGATGGCGATGCTGGTCTTTTTATTCGAAAGCGGTGCGTTCAGCATTATCTTTGCCATCTCCCTTCGCGGGACTGCTCGGCATACCAAGACCGCCTCAGTGTTCCTCACTATGGGCATTAGCGGCGGTGTCTTCTTCCCCTTTGCCGAGTACGCGGCCTACTTGACGCACGGTCAGAACTACTCCTACTGTGTTATTGTGGCTCTGTTTGCTGCTGGCGCCATCTTCCCCCTGTACCTCAACCTGGTCCCCGCAGTCAAGAAGCAGGTCGATCCCGTGCCGAATGAGTATCTGCGCCGCCACCGCCGGCGCAGCCGGGCCGCCACTGGGACTATCCACCGCGAGAAGCAGAACCCGGCGATCGGGGGCGTGCTGTCGCGCCGTCGTAGTCTCGTTTCGGACCCAGACTTGCTCCCCGACCTCCCCATGCCCGGCGAGACTCATCCTCAGCCCCGGGCACGCAGCATTAAGCAGGCTTCCCAGTCCAGCGCTCACTCCCACGCCCCCTCGCAGTCGTCCCAAAGCTCTGCGTCTAAACGAGTGACCACGATTCATGAACCATGAAATTCGAGGCAGAGAGACCCGTCGCACCCAAAACTTGGGCTTGCCTTCACGACATGAATTAACGACCAACTCTTCTTACCTTTCCCACCTCTCCTCCCCCCCTCCCTCCCTCCCTCCCTCCCTCCCTTCCTTCCTTTTCCTATGCGCAGAGATGTAAATTCTTTGCTTCTAGCTCCGTGATGCATAACGCTTTCTCTTTCTTCCCTAAATCTCTCATCCTCATCCCGTGATCACTCCCCGCGATACCCAGCTCTATCAAAATGCCTCTGCCCGTCTCTTAAAAAATAGCTTACATTTCTGGACGAGATACCCTTGATATCTTTCTATCTTTTGCAATATACCTTGCACGGTTGGGGTGTGGGAGGCGGTAATCTTGTGCCTTGTTCCTTTGCTTCTTCTTCATTTGCATTTCAGCGACGGCGTTGGGTTGGGGTATGTAGGCAACTCTCTTGTCTCTCGCCCTAGTTGGGTTTTTTTTTCTGTCTGTCTGTGTCTGTGGTTGTGGCTGTGTGTGGCTGTGGATATGTGGCCCAGGGCTCGTTTGTACAGACTTAGTGTTTCGCATGTATCCCACCGAGTCCGAGTCCTCCGTCTCCCCGTCCTAATATATAGTCAAATTGTATAAAACCCTAATTCCCATGGCTTCCTCTGGCTTTCTCTTCCCCATGTCGAACAGCGAGACATCTTCCTCTTCCTCTTCCTCTTCTTCCTCTCTCTCTCTCTCTCGTTATTCGATGAACCACCCACCGGACGCTTGACCCTCCCCTCCCTCCCCTCTCCACACCTTCGACCCGCAATGCGGCCCACGATCCACGGCACCAGACAACACAGGCAGGGGACAAAGGAGGGGTTACCCACGGCGTATTTTCGGCCGCGAGCTGACAGGTTACCGGTGTGTCGCCCGAACCGTCGCATGCAGTTGGCGATCTGTGGAGAGGAGGGAAGCGATTGTAGGGCGGTTCTTTTTTTTTTTTTTTTTTTCTCTCTTTTCTTTTCTTTTCTGCGTGGGCACAAGCAGGGAGTGGTTTCTGGGTCGGGGTTTCGAGTGTTTTTACTTATTTTTTATCTTTGGTTCTGTGTATGGATGGAGGATTGTTGGTGGGGGGGGGGGGTTGGGTTATTTTTATGGGCTCTTTTCGGGACTGAGGGGAGGTTTTTTGTATAGGGTTGCGCCCCTGGGGATAGAGGGGGAAGGTCAAGGCACATAAGGTGTATATATATGTAATGTGTATAGAGAGAATGAAGATAGGGAGTGCGGCTCAGGGGGGTTCTGCAGGATTGCGATCGAAATGACGATCGGATCTGGTGGCACCGTGGCGTAGCCAAGGCGTTGTCTGTGTCTTTGGGGGAGGAAGGCCCCGAGGTCCGAGGTGGTTCAGGGGCACAGTGGCGATTGGGAGAAAGAGAGAAAGAGTAGGAAAACGAGAGAAAGGGGGAGAGGAGAGCATCCGAGATGCGCAGATATGGGGGAATAGCTTCGAGTTAGGGGGTTGTCGAGGATTTGTATACTCCGCCCTGCTGGATGCGGAGATATACTTCCGTGTCCCGCGGTCGCCGATCCGTGCGATTACCTCCAGAGACACCGAGCTAGACCGATTAGACGCCGGCGATCGCCCAATTATATGCCCTATCGGCATTCCTTTCGTTCAGGGGGGGGGGGGGGGGGGGGGACGATCTCGGAGAATTTCTGACGATTCAGGGGACTGGCTTAGCGGCCAGGCTAGGAGTCTAAGTGGTCGCAAGACTCTAAGAGTCTCAGAGGGCCCCAGTTCAGCCACGCCACATCTCCAATTCCCCCACGACCTCTTCTGAGAACATGAAAGCGCATTGTTTAGCGTTGAGGCAAAACCTTACGAACTGGTCCCAGGCACACACTCGAAAGGCTAATTGATTGGCCTTGGGGATTCCATCGGGAAGGTTTGGGGGCTAAAGGCTTAGGTGTGCAAGTTTCCCTCTCTCCCTCCCTCTCTCTCTCTTTTGGGACAGGATTTCTTGTCATTTTTCCGGCGAAGATTAGCTAGTGCGACTTGGGGCAGTGAAAGCATCCTGGCGTCCTCCCTGGGCAAGTATATTCCATTACTGTACAGTGTTGCGGTATAGCGTGCGGTACAGTGTGCGCTGGACGGGGTCAACGAGGTGCATAAGGTTCGGAGACAGTTTATGCAGGTCTGGAGCGAGTGACGTTCAGTTCCGGTGTTCAAGTTGCGAACTACTTCATGGTCTCGATTGTCTCGGAATATTGATGTACTACGGGCTTTCCTCAGGGCAAGTGGTGAGGGAACCCGACCCCGACCCGGACCGCGATGCAGTGCACACCACTTCTATTCAGGGACGGGATGAACGGAAACGGGTCGTGGACCGAAAGACTGCCCGTCCATCTCGACCCAATGGAAAGGGAAATAGACCGGGAGGGAGAGACAGAAAGAGAAAGAGACTGAGAAAGTGGGTGGTCCTTGGATTGGGTCAATTCGATCTGATCCACAGCGGAACAGCGCAAACTAGTGGGGGTTCGCCCAACGGTGGCCCCCCCTTTCATGGTTCCCAACGCTCTTTTTTCCCTTCTTCGCTGCTTCTTGATCATTGTTGCTTTTGCCTTGTTCTTGATTGGTGGTCTAATGGAGTTAACTAGGGAGCAAACGGGAGCCCGTAGCGAGGGGCCAAAAAGTAAACACGAAACAAAAAAAGGAAAACCTATATAGAACGGCAGACATGGGAACAGAACCGCAAGGCATCTAGCACGGTCCGCTCGCTGGCCAGAGTGGATTGCCTGCTTGAATTCGACCCTCCTTTTTGCTATACTCCACTCCGACGCCAACCACAGCTGAAAGAGAGAAAAACTCCCGGCCGAAATGACGTCCTCGACCAAATAGGGCCTCTTCATTTGTTTCTGTGTCTCTGTGGTTCCCAAGCCTTGCCTTTCCCCCTCGGGTCCCCCCCCCCCCCCCTCTTCCGACCCGAACAGGATCCGACGGGTGTGGTGCCTTGTAATTGAGCGTACCCGTATCGTAATTTTGGCCTTGGTTCTCCCTTTTTTTCCTTCCTGCGATCCCTTTTTTAAGGTCCAATTGGCTATGGCATGTCGGTGGGGGTGGAAACTTAGGGACCGGTGATCACAGCCGCTCTGTTAGGGGAGGAACTGTTGGGCTGAGGATGTACACGGGAATAGATTGTCCATGGATTTCGGTTTCGGTTCTTTCTTTGAGTAGATTAAGAGATATAGAGATGCATATGTATAGAAATAGATAAAGATATATCCTATCTTTATCTATAGATGACCACCAAAATCTAGTTCTTGGAAACAGGAAAAAAAAAAAAAAAAAGTCCGGCCATTCGTCCGGCCAACAGAAATGCACCAGGGGGGTAACAGGGCCAGTGCGCCGAGAACTCTCCGACTCGGCGAAGGGGGAATAAGCCTCATTAAAAATGCGAGGGGGAATTGCGTATCGGAATGACGAGAAAGGGAGAAGACGATCGCTAGACCAATGGGCTCGAAAGACACAATGGACGCCATGTCGCCGGCCCGATGTATGATAATGCTCCGGACAAGACACAAGAGAAAGAGGAGACTGGAGGAACGAGCGGGAACGAAGGAGGAAGAGATGAAAGAGAAGGGGAAAAAAAATAAGGGGTAAAATGGATCAAGACATGTCATAGAAAGGAAGAAGAGGCCTCACGCTCAGCCGCGAGCACTGCGTGGTCGCGAGTTCTGCGAAGACGAGTCGTGCAGGATATCTGGGGCCCGCGGCCCAACCATCCAGTCCTCCATGGCCAGCCACTCACTCCAGCTGCGCTCAGCGGCCTCGATCTCGGCGTCGAGCGGGCCCTGCAGCGGGCGCAAGAAGGGAATGGTCTCCAAGGGGGACATGTCGTAGTCCTTCTTCACGGACGCCCAACCACCGCTCTTGGCGGCAAATAGATAGTTGCGTCGTTCCTGCTCGTGCAACGATCCGACGCCGCTGCCCCAGTCGTCGCCGAAAAATCCATGCAAAACGCCGGGGAAATCCATGCCGGTGGCGACGAGGCGGCGGATGTACGGGATCAATGAGACGGCGGGCGGTCCGGGGGTGTTGGGCCGGCCGAGGCGGCGGGGGTGGGAGTCGTATTGAAGACCGGGTTGGGTTGCCGTTGGAAGGGAAGTTGGATATTCAAGAATGCCGATAGGGCCTGAACCGGGACACTGTGCTGTGCATGGTCCAGAAAATAACGCTGGCAGCTCTGATAGCGCGGATACCATTCGAAGATGTCGAAATTGTCTTCTGTTCGACCAGGCGAGGCGCCGACCAGGCCGATCATCGTGGCCGGGTCGAAATGTTGTGAATTCATGCGGGATGAAGTCGACAATCGGCGGGGCGGTTCTACCGGCGGTCTGTATACAATCCCAGTCTTAGCTCGGACATTCTGAATTTGACCTGTTGGGAAGAGAGAGAAGGAAGACTCTGGTCTGCAGTTCCCTTTTGCAGCGCCTCCTCGTGTTGGAGAAGGAGGGGGGGGGGGGTTGCTCAGCGGGGCTGTTCGGGGACTGAATTGGCCCCAACGGAAGCATTCCAGATTCGCGCGCACGAGGGCCAGGGAGAACGAGGGAGATAGCAAGAGGGGGAGAGCGAGGTAGAGAGCGAGGTAGAGGTAGAGGGAGAGAGAGCGAGAGAGAGAGAGATGTGGGAGGTTAGGAAAGGCGCATGACTCTCATTCCGGCTGGGCAGTGGCAGAGGGGACACGGGGAATGGTTACTTGTTCGAAAAAAGATCCCTACCTCGACGGACCAGGAGAGACACTCGGCGCCGGGAGGAAGGGGCAGTTGGGGAAGGGGGAGCAGAGCGGAAAAGATCTCTGATGGCCCCCAGTCCTCGACCGGGTTGGGGCTTGTTCATGGACATCGGTCAGGGCCATCAAGGGAGCTGGACGAGGGGGAGGAACAGTTGGGCAGGTGTTGGTCCCATTGAGGGGAAAGACGATCCGTTATGAGATGAAAGAACAGCAGACATACATTGCGACGAAGAGCCGGGGAGGAGGAGGCAGAGGCAGAGGAGGAGGAGGAGGCGGAGGGAAGAGGAAGATGGACGAAGGCGAGGATGGAGGAAGAGCAGAAGGAAAGTTTATTCTGGAACGTTCATAGAAGAACAAGGAGGAAAGAAATCGTGCGGAGAGTGGATGCCAATCGTCGACGGAGTATTTAGTATTTTTGGTTTGGAATCGGATCCATCAGAACGGGTCTATCCGGTCAGGCCAATCAGGCCAACGAAGCCCATCGTCCCTCAGATCTCACGGTCGACGGAGAGCCGGAGAGTGGATACGGGATCGATCTAGACGAGGACACACCCAGTCGTCCATCTCGTTCGGCGTGATTGGAGGCTCGGGATGACGGGATGCGTCTTCGAAAAGGTGCATCGTTGATGAATTATGGTCCTCGGCACTCCGCAGGTGGTGATGCTGTTGTTCATCTTTTTTTTTTCCTTTTAAAAGTTTGTGTCTCTCCCTCGCTCACTTTGTGTATGTGTGTGCGTGTCTGTCTGTCTCTCCTCTTTGGGTTCTTCCCGTCGTCAATATATAGTGTGCGAGATACGACCCGGATACAGAGCAATTGATCTATAACTCGACGAGATCAAGTTCCAAATATCTCCATACGGTGCATAACCCTTCTGCACTGGTCACCAAAGGGACCCCTGTGCTTTCGATTCCCACGGTTCACGGGTCCTCCAGACCCGCCGCGGACTCTACAAACTAGGGTATCGTCCCCGAGCCTCCTTCACATGGGTCCGATTCGGCTAATAGATACAGGCCCATTCGGATCCATGGGTACGGAGAGATACGCGACACAGGAATACACGGTGATACACGGTACCCTCTGTACCTAATCGTCGATAATTGTGAATTGCGGATTCCTGGCTCTCTTGCTCCGTTTCGGGCTCGCGTCTGCCCCAGTGACTTGGGATCCTCATAGTCCAAAAGCCAAGGCTGGGCGCCCTTGCGGGTAACGCTGCATATAGTAAGAGAGTTAAGAGAGATCTCAATCGGCCCGTTCGCCACTCTCATTGGCCCGCCGAATCGAGACGGCGTCGATTCTAATAACCATCCTTTACCCACCGTCTCCTTTTCTCTGCCATGGTGGCGGCCAATCCATCGCCATTTGGATTTGACTTCCCCCCCCCCCTCTTCTTCTTCTTTTTTTTTTTTTTTTAAAAATCCTCTCTGTTGTTTTCTAGGGCCATGCAGATCGGATACACTACCGAGACAGACTAGAAAGAAAGGGAAAAGAAAAAGGGGGGGAGGGACTACGCTGGGAACCGGGGCGTACTTGCTGGGCGATGCGCCTATCGACGACCTCTGAGGGTTGCTTGCTGCAAGGTGTCTAGTCATGATTGGAATTCATCGTCCACGAGGACACCTGCTGGTGCATGAATACTGCTCACATTTCATACCCCATAGCTCATGGTCCATCACTTATAGCTTCCTGCGCATCGACGACTTAGGATGCAGCATAGCGATGCCGTCACCCATCCCAGACGACTGGTCAGATACCGGCACTCCTTCCCCACTTCATATATAGATTCACCATGTGCCCTTTCCTGCACATCAATATCATTATTCTGCAGGCCTCGATAGTGGCTGACGAATCCACTGTCAGGAACAGAGCGTTCATATACGCGCTCAGCTGTCATCTCACCATCTATCTCACTCCTTTAGTCCGGTTAACTCTTGGTGCCTGCTCTTCCTACCCAACCCCCCTGACTGGTAAAGGGGCCGGATAGGTTGGGTCCAGGGGTCCAGGGGTATGGAGTCGACAGAGACCCAAACCTATGCTGGATACCGACCTTCGAAGCCGGCGGCGTACATGCTAACCCATCTCCATAGGCAAGCTCATCCACTTTCCTGTTTCCCCCCAATTCAGCCCGATGAATTGTGCGATGGTGGCGCTACATGCCGAATGGACCCGAGCATGACCTCGTCGAACGGGCCAAAAGGATCGATCCTGCACGGATCGAGTTGGTCGATGCGGAATATATTAAAACAAAACCAGATCCACAAATTCACCACAGGAAACCGAATCCAGCAAGGCACGGACAGCCGAATGGCCGGGGTTATTCCGCCGAACCAGTTGCCTTTCTGCTTTCTTTTCCCCGCCCCTTTCTACATACTTGTTGATAAACTATGTACACGTGTACCCACCTCAAAATACAGTTATCAATAGGCCTTGTTTCCCCGATCATGTCTTCAAGCTCCGGCGTTATGCGTAGCGTAAATAGGGAGAAAAAAAAAGAGAGATAGAGAGAGAGACGCGGAGACGAGAGAGAAAGAGGCACACGATCTCAGATGGATCTCGCAGCGAACGCAGGGGCCACCCGTCGAGCTGTGAGCCTTGCCCCCTGATAGCGGAGCCCTCAAGCTACGGCCCAATCGTAATAGTTCCCAGACGAGCAAGTGACAGAGCCGATCACGGATCCCGGAGCATGGATCACCAAGCCCGTCCAGTACTAGGAAGGGAGTGGTGGACGCGATCCACAATAATTACGAATGGATTGGTGCTGGATCGAAGCCCCCTCGATGCCCAATGGGCCTGTTTGAAATTTAGTACGGAATGCGGAGGCGTGGGATGGGGGAGAGAAAAACCACAGCTCTCGACTACGTGGGCTCCATTCGTAGTAGTAGCAGGAACAATACGGAATACGGAGTAGTTCACGGGAATTGAAGCATTCCCCTTTTCTGGAGTCGATATGCTGCGGGTCCCGCCAGCTGCACGAAATCCTCGGAGGCGGGCCAGAAACCAGGGGGTAAATTCAAAGAGCAGATCGGGATTAGAGAGTTGTCAACACTCCAGTACCGAGCACAGGGGAAACTGCCGATTGCCAGGTTGGGGGTTGATTCTTTGAGGTCGGGGACTAGAGCTCTCAACTGCTATTCCGGGCAACGATTGCCTGGGGACTGTTCAACCTGACGCAGGAAACCCTGTTCCTGGCTGTTCCCCCTTTCGATCTTTCAATCTTTCAATTCCCCCGAGGATCCACTAGCGATTCCCGTATGACAGGTTGGGTCTATGGGGTTGACCCTGTCTTGGGGGAGTCCTCGTCATACACTAGCATCTGACAAGACTGAGACATGCTCATCGAACGAAGAGATTTCGACTCAAAATAGACGGTCAGCTTAGAATGATATTCGGAATTGCGATTGGTTAATTCTGTAATCGCCATCGCAAAACCGTCCTGTTCTCCCCCACCCCCCTTTTTTTTTGTCTCTCTCTCTCTCTCTGTCTCTAATTTTCCGGGATTACCTCTCCCGGCACAGCCGCACCAAGTGTCGACCTACGGCCATATTCCTCTCAGGCGTGATCTGCGGAATCAAAATTCGTCGTCCGCAAAGTGCTCTGCACTGCTCCTGCGGCTGCTGTTCCAGGATATGCATGAGGGCCACTTGAAATCGGTGGTCGATCCTTTGGCGCCGGAAGCCCAAGCTCTATTCCTGCTTTTCTGAAATTAAAGCCTTCGGCGAACCATGGGCCGAGGCGGCTTGTTCTCAACAACGCCTCTCAATATCTCACTCCAAAAAAAATACATATCTCTTGGCTTTCGGCTTTCATCGGGGGGAAAGGGGGGCGGGGGCCAGATTGAAGCCCAATGGCTGGCGACCGGGGCTTGTATCGAGGTGGTGGACTTTGTCTTCGAACACGAGCACCGTAGATGTTGAAATCCTTGGCGCTGGAGTCCAATCGACAATGCTTTGTTCCCAATAGGGCCTCTGACTGTTCACTTGTTGGAGACCGTCATGCTTATTTTCCTCGGCTCCCGCGCTCCTGCCCGATGGCCGAAGACATTTAAATGTTAGCCTTTTTCATTGTTTTTTTCCCCGAACTTTTTGAGAGGGGAGGGAAGAAGAGAGATCTATTGGTTCGCCGTCACTGAAAATAGATCCATGATGGCCACGACGATGAATGATATCGGCTCTGCTAAGACTCACAGACTTGGATTTTATCGCGCAGAACCCTTTGATCCATTGCCAACACATCTAGAGGGTTGGTCTGCACCAGGATTCGGCATGGTTCGCATGAAATCCATTCTTATGCACCTCCTCGATCACCTCGTGCTGTTGGGTGGTGAAGCTCGTTCTTTGTTTTCCGTACTCCGCACTGGGAGGATGCATGTTGCATCAGTAGCTCAGTAGCGGGCGCATCAAGTCAAGGCGATTCCAAATCCTGGTCCATTCCCGCCCCCAATGACCCGTCCCGGGCCGAAAAGAAAAATTGATCTATCGACTTTGCAGACCGCTGCGAACAAATGCCGGCGCAGCGCACCGCCACTTTCTAAACCCCCGAGGTGAAGACGGCGATGATCGCCCGTAGCAGTGCCCGTCGTAAAGCGTAGCACATGATACTTGTCAGTTTGCCACTGACGCCATGAAGGAAAGCAAAGGGCCACTGGCACGATGAGGCAAACGTGCAGGCAGCACGGAGTATGGACGTCGCGATCCCGCACTCGGCCGGGAGACCGCGATACATCCCGTAGATGACGATCTCGAGTAACAGTAATGTGTCATGGAGGCGACGTCGGGTATTTTCGATTTGGCTTGATAGGAAAACAGAGAGGGATTGAATGACGTCCTATTATTATTCACAGGGTCTTGGAAGGGGGGGGTCTCCATTGCGGAGTCCGCCGATGCCCATGCGAGTCTTCCCCGCAAGCGCGATGGGGTCAGGTAGGACTCGTGGAATGGGCTAATCCTCTGTAAGGGAAGTGGGGGTAGGAGGCGATCCGGTGGATTTGCGGGTATGTTTATTCTGGTTGGATTAGACTGCTTGTCTTATTTTCATGTTTCTAAATTTCGTCTTGCTGGAATCCGGGGTTGAAGTGAGTGGGACGGGCGGGGACAGGGATCGGTTCCTGGCGGGTGGAACGTTCCACCGATTGTTCTGTGGATGCGCGAGAGTTGTTTGATCGGATTAAGGGCATGAATATACTAGATAGAATTTTGGAGCCAGGTTTTGGAGGTTTCACGGATTTCGTGTGGTCTCTGAATTTGTGGTGCCGTTTGAATCCATCCTCTGGCATCTACAAAGAGCGGCGTCCTTCGTATAGCAGCAGGTGAGTCCATGGCATGCAACTGGAGCCGGATAATTAAGCATGGTGCTATTAAGAGAAGCGCAAATAACTAGAGACATCTTGCCAGTGACAGGTCATTACCGAGGACATAGGCCATCATGATTGCTGGCTAGTTTTGATCAATCAACAGCCTTGGATTGAACTTGAAGTTCTATACACATTGGCAAGGAAAGATGCGCCAGAATATTATTAGCTCCACAAACTAGGCACAGGTAGGCTGCCTTGGATAGAAATAAGGTGGTGGCTGTCTTTAAAAGCTCGAGAAGTGAAAGTGAAACTTTTCCCTTAGATAATGGTGGCTCCGAAACTACTATATAAATTCTCTCCTCTCTTATACACCCACCGGGGGTGGGGACTTCTCCTCGCGTCCACCGCAAATTTGACACACCAAATGTACAAATCAGTGATCCTAAAACTGATGAGATAGCCCGCATGCGCATACACCATGCAACTAACGAGGTTAGTTAGAGGAACTAGCTTTTCTGAGAATGAGCAAAGGAGGGGGGAGGAGGCGCTAGAAGCTTAGGCGGCGGGGTGTCTCCATGTGAATGTAGTGCTTTTTTTTTTATTGTATGAACACTGACCCATAGGCCGAGAAGGGTAATAGCAAGCATATCTGGACAGTGCGTCGGGGGTATTTCCGTTGTTGTAGTTTCCATCAAGAATGATGTGGGTGGGTAGGGAAGGTTCTTCATGGGCGCGGGGGAGGGGGAGTTATAGCGACTACTATTTTAGAGCGAACTCGGCAGAGGCAATGATTTGGTCATTTTATTCGTCCTTCATTTTCTCGCCGTTGAATGGAATGCCATCAGGATTGCCAAAGAGGGCAGGACGAGTTGATTATGGTGTGTGTGTGCGAGTGTTGTGGTTTACGTGAACTCAAATGTCAAGATCTATGGGAGACCGAGTCTGATTTTGAGACTTGCTCGTGCAGCTCACCTGCACGGTCGATCATGCGCCGTAGTGACAAGGAAGAAGTGGTAGATCGGCGGCCTTGGGCTGCAGCTGGACGCCGGTACCGCCGATTTAATCTCAAGTCCAAATCCATATACCTTGGGCGATAATCGGGGCGCTGAATGTATAGTGTTGTATAGGATCAGGATCACTCGCGGGCAAACGCATCAGTCGGCTGGCTAGGATCCCGGTCTTCAGGGCCCTTGGCATCACACGACATAGTTTGGGGGCAATTTCGATCTGAACATTGTTATTGGTGGCGCTCCTAAGCGCAGCGTCGGAAGCGCCATTGACGAGGCCAGCCGTGGTGGCGCCCTGTCAGGGGTAGGAGACCAGGGTGATATTGACTACAGACCAGGAATGTTTTGAAGATTGCATAAATCGGGCGAGTCTACAAGGTATAGGATGGAATCCGGGTATTCTATATGGTCTGTCGTCTGTATCGTGGTTGGGATCTTGTCCATTGTCGGGTCTCGGGCCAGCCGAAGTTTAGCCATGTTCGAATTACCCCTCTACCCCTCCACCCCTCCAAACTACCATAAGACCCCGGTGGCGGGGAGGGAAAGAGGGGTAATTCCGCGGTGCCGAGTACGGGGCCCGGTGAAGCAAAGGCACGAAAAGACACGGGTTGGGAAGGACTCGCAATTTGCTTGTGCCTTCTGCCTTCGATGAGAGGGCCTGATAAAGCAGAACGGACCAGTGGCAAGCATCATCCGCGTTTTTGTGAGTCAAGCGGATTGAAAAATTCAATCGGGCGATCAGATAAGGTGGTGGAGCCGCCGGAAGTCACCACGCCCAGTGGCCACTCACGTCGAGTCGTCAATGGGTGGTTAAGCGCTAACGGACTGGCGGACGTGGATACTCCGGCCCTATGCTTCAGGCTGTCCTCGTTCGAGGCTACCACCTACTCAAACAAGCCAAGGCCCTGCATTCTTCCGGTGCCAAAGTCACTCGAATCCTCAGAAGGTGCAGATTCTCCGTTTGCGGGAGAGGGGCACGTGACTCCGGTTTGCCGGCTCGTCGCTTAAGTAACATCGTTATGTAATCGCGGTCGCTTCAAGTCACGAGCGCCGAGTCTGTTCACTCTATTCGCATGTCGCGCCGCTGCAATGCAATTGAGGACATCATACGATCAATCTTCTGCCCTCCCGCTCTGCCTCCCGCTCTCTCCGCATTTGCTGATCCGCGCACAGAACATGGAGCGCGCAATGCGAGGTTAATGTCCCAGGTTACATTAGCGCGGGTTGGACCAAGTACTTCGGAGAGGACCGATCCGATGGGACCAGGACGCCGACTCGCCCAACCAACGAGGAGCAGGACCATATTGATGCACACCCGACCACGAAATTGACACGGAACGAACAGGCTGGGCAGATCCTGGATCCGGGACCAGGACAGGGCCTTCAGTGCGGTGCCAGTGGTGGCCGTCCGAGAATCTGTGGACCACTAATGGGCGCTGTGTACCAACCCGCGTAGCCGCCACCACAGATAAGCAATCTGTGACCTTAAAGGATAACCAAATCCAGCGTGGGCCCCGAACTTCGGACGTTCTTCCCACGGAAACCATTGGCCTCCTCACGGCGACACGGTTGCCTCCCCTCGTCCGCTTGTCTCCCAGGGAAGAATGGTCCCTGGAGCAGACGGCCAGCGGGCGGGCTGATCAACTCCCGTTTTCTTTTCCCCGTCCACGTTGTCCGGACACTCACGTCCGACTCCGGCTTTGCGTCCTCCCCGCCCCTCCCCCCCCCCATCTCCGGCACATAAGGTTGTGTCTATATATTCGGTAGAACCCTCGCCTGCTTCTCTTCTCTTCTTCTTACTCTTCTCCATCCTGAGAATCCCTGGGCCATCCTTCCTCTTCAACCCACCTTTCACCTTCGATCTATACCCCCGTGATCGCCAAGCCGATCATCCTGAAAGTACTACACAAGGAAAGGAAGACAAAACGCCGAAATGACTGCCCAGAACCTCCCCTCCGAGCCTGAGTTCGAGCAGGCCTACAAGGGTATGTTTGATCCTTTTTTTTTGCCTTTACTACTACTCCCCAGCCCCTCAATGCCTTATCTTTTACCCCTCCAAAAGAATTGAACTACCCCTCGGGAGTTAATCTTTTTTCCATCGGCATTCTCGGCAAGTGGTTCTTCGGGAAGTGGCTCAGCTAATCATCCCGAACTACAGAGCTCGCTTCCACCCTGGAGAACTCCACCCTGTTCCAGAAGAAGCCTGAGTACCGCAAGGCCCTCCAGGTCGTCTCCGTCCCCGAGCGCATCGTCCAGTTCCGTGTTGTCTGGGAGGATGACAAGGGTCAGGTAAGCTACTTGATTCCCCAGTCTTGAGTTTCTTTTAAAAAGGAAACCTCAATTAATCATTATCTCCTCGCAGGTCCAAATCAACCGCGGTTTCCGTGTTCAGTTCAACTCCGCCCTCGGCCCCTACAAGGGTGGTCTCCGTTTCCACCCCTCGGTCAACCTTTCCATTCTGAAGTTCCTCGGCTTCGAGCAGATCTTCAAGAATGCCCTGACCGGTCTCAACATGGGCGGTGGCAAGGGTGGCTCCGACTTCGACCCCAAGGGCAAGTCTGACAACGAGATCCGCCGCTTCTGTGTCTCCTTCATGACTGAGCTGTGCAAGCACATTGGCGCCGACACTGACGTCCCCGCTGGTGACATCGGTGTCACTGGCCGTGAGGTCGGCTTCATGTTCGGCCAGTACAAGAAGATCCGCAACCAGTGGGAGGGTGTCCTCACCGGCAAGGGTGGCAGCTGGGGTGGTTCTCTCATTCGTCCCGAGGCCACCGGCTACGGTGTCGTCTACTACGTCGAGCACATGATCAAGCACGCCTCCGGCGGCAAGGAGTCCTTCGCTGGCAAGCGCGTCGCCATCTCCGGCTCCGGTAACGTTGCCCAGTACGCCGCCCTGAAGGTCATCGAGCTTGGCGGTTCCGTCATCTCCCTGTCCGACTCCCAGGGTGCCCTCGTCCTCAACGGCGAGGAGGGCTCTTTCACCCCCGAGGAGATCAACCAGATCGCCGCCATCAAGGTTGAGCGCAAGCAGATCTCCGAGCTGGCCTCCACCGCTGCCTTCGCCTCCAAGTTCAAGTACATCCCCGGTGCCCGCCCCTGGACCAACATCACCGGCCGCATCGATGTTGCCCTTCCCTCCGCCACCCAGAACGAGGTTTCCGGCGACGAGGCCAAGGCCCTGATCGCCGCTGGCTGCAAGTTCATCGCTGAGGGCTCCAACATGGGCTCCACCCAGGAGGCCATTGATGTCTTCGAGGCCCACCGTGAGGCCAACGCCGGCGCCGCCGCCATCTGGTACGCCCCCGGCAAGGCCGCTAACGCTGGTGGTGTCGCCGTCTCCGGTCTCGAGATGGCTCAGAACTCCGCCCGCGTCAGCTGGACCTCCGAGGAGGTTGACAGCCGCCTCAAGGGTATCATGGAGGACTGCTTCAAGAACGGTCTCCGCACTGCTGAGGAGTACGTCACTCCCGCCGCCGGTGTCCTTCCTTCCCTGGTCGCTGGTAGCAACATCGCTGGTTTCACCAAGGTTGCTGAGGCCATGAAGGACCACGGTGACTGGTGGTAAATCAGTCGCTCTCACCCAAATAATATTTCTTGATGGAATACGGGTCGTGGGCCCGGTGAACTAGCTCTTCCGAGAGCTGGCGCCGTTTATGCATTTCCTTTTAAAACTTTTTTTTCATGTCGAGCGGGTATATAGAGGCGCTGGTCTTTTGCTTCTGTCTTTTTCTATCTTGTTGCATTTGAGATGATATTCCCACTTGAGCATCGCTACTTTGGTCTGCTTTCGGGTTTGTCGTGATGATAATGAAATTGAATGATGATTCCAAGAAAAATTATCTGCTTCTCCCTTCATAAAGTAATTACTGTAAGAATCAAACCCAGAATCAATAATATCATGAGAATCTACATAAATCCAGGATCCGTTTTCATTGAGGATTCAAACCTCATGTTAGATTTCGCCATACTTATCGATCGAAAAGGCATTCATTCATTAACTTCCATTCAGCTCCAATTCCCAGCGGCCTTGTTATTGCAAGTTCCGCTGTGGAGCTAGAGTTAAGCTACAGGAGACTTGACATGTATGTTGAAATTGTCAGACCTCTCGCTCCTGCTCGGACGGTCTGGGCTCAGGCAGTTTGTGCTCCGTAGCGTAGGCCTCCGCGGCGCGTCGCTCGGCCACAGTAACATATTTCTTGAATTGCCGAGTAGGCACCCGATTCATGAACAGCTCATCCAACTCCTCATAGGTGCGCATGCGAGTTTCGGGAACACAGAAGTAGGCACCAAGGATGAAAAAGACCATGAATCCTCCAAACACGAAGCCAATCTTGGCCTTCAGATTGCCGTAGCCGGGGTTGAAGATGTAGGGAGCGACAAATGACCACATCGTGTTTACGGCGTTGGAGACGATCAGTGAGATGGCGAGGGTTTTGGTTCGCAAGATAGAGGTTGGCACTTCGCCGGCGATTGCGTAGACATTTGACCCAACGCCGATGTTAAAGAAAAAGTTATACATTGTATAAAAGCCGACAGCGGCGGTCACGCCTATGGTCTTATTAGTAGATGCTTGGAACAAAATGTCGGAGACGGCCTACATACCGGGAGTACTAGTTACTGATCCTGAGATACCCATGCAAAGCAATAGGATAGTCAAGCTGATACAGCCCCATAGGAACATCGGGCGTCGACCAAAAAAGTCACCGATCAGGAAAGAGCAGGTCGCGCCAGAGATAGACAAGATCTGGGCGCCGATCTGAAGAAGGAAAGACTGGCGGTCTCCGATACCAAGATATTGATACATCAGAGAGCCGTAGTTTTGAACGAATCCCAGGCCAGCCATCGGCTCTGCCAGGAACACAAGAATAGCAATCAAAGTTCGTCGAAGATTAGTGCCGCGGAAACACTCGATATACGTTGATTCCTGCTTCGATTCGGCTTCCTCCAGAGTAAGCTTGATTCGCTCCAGATGGCCGTCCGCATCGCTAGGCTCGGAGTAAAGACGACCAAGCACCTTGCGTGCAGCCTCAATTTTGCCCTTCCGGACAAGATAGATTGGTGACTCTGGCATGAAGAGTTGCCCGATGAAGCCAATGACAGCGAATCCCCATTGAGCGCATATAAGCGCCTTCCACGACCAATCGTTGTCCCATTGCGAGGTATAATACGTCATAATTGCGGAGATGAAGGGTCCAATGCACTGTGAGAGGTTACAGAAACCGATCACAGATGCACGGATCGCGAGCGGCGAAATGTCAGCAACATAAGCCGTGCAAAGGTTAAGGAAGACACCAATCGCCACAAAGTTCATCATCTTGCCTCCGAAGAACATTCCAATTGATGTAGTAGCGAACTCCACGCCGACAGAAGCGATGTTAATGGCGCAGGCAGTGATCAGGATCGGCTTGGTACCGAAGATATCAGCCAGATATGACGAGACCCAAGCACCGAGAATAGCAGCAGCATTTCCACCGCCGCTGAGAGCCGACTGCCACTTTGTCTCGATGAAATAGCTCCCATCCGCATCAACCTTGCCGAAACGGCGCTTGAATTCCGCAATACTGATCACCGAGCCTGCGGACTGATTTTCAAAGCCACGCACGATAAGAGTCCATAGCATGAGACCGATCCAGGACAGAAGCCAAGGGTCCTTGTTGAGCGTTTGCCAGTAGGAACGATTGTGCTCCTGCTGCTGGATGGCACGACCATGGATTTCATTGGCATTTGGCACTCTTGTAGTGTTCTCTTCCCAATTTTCGCCGATTTGGCCTTCGTTGGTCTTCTCCATTATGGAAGCCGGCAGAGAAGTCGCTGGCCGCTGATTTCAAAAAGACAAACTTGCCTGCCGTCTTCAGCGAGAGGGGAAGCTATCTTTTTTAAAGTGCTGATCATGCCCGCGTTTCTCGTTCGGATATCCCGAACCGATGGCTGAGATTCCGGGGTAGTGAACAGTGCGGGGTCTCCACGCTCGCACCATCAATATGCGAGGTAAGACAGGACTCGGTCCATTAATGACCGAAGTATGCCAGAATTGACATTGATTGGCCCCAGCGCCTGGCGATTTTGTCTCTTGGCTCCCTTGAAATGATTAAGTATGTAAGGCGTAAAGCCACGGGGAGGAAATGGGCTGATCGGTACGTGGCCCTCGATCCCGGGCCGTAAATTGCTTCCGAGAAGACCTGAATACGGATTGTGGCCATTAGCAATCACAAGCGGCAGTTCCAACAACAGATACGAGGTCGGCTTGACGTGATCGTGGAAGCCGTGCGTACGCGTTCGGTATTTCTGGGCGGCGAGCAGAACTGAATGATGGCATTTCCAGTCAAACTAAATGCCGGTCAAACTAAATGCCGGTCACCACGGTTTCTCATATTTCATTTGAAAAAAAACCCCCTGGATTCCGGAGCAAGTGGTGTTTTGAGGAAACTCGATAGACAACGCTAAGAAAGAAAGGTCTTCTGTATTGATGCGACTCACAGTCGGGCAAAAACAAGCGTTAGGCCCCAAAATATTGTACCACTATGGGTAGCAATTGCTGGACTATCTGGACCGTCCTTTTCCAGTTTCCACAACTTATAGTGTACAGGAGGGCGAGGGTTGGTCAACTATAAGCCCACGAAATGGAATGCTGTCTCAGCTGAGCCTCGTACATGGAAATCAAAGGCTCTTCTCTCTTTTTTTCCCTCTTGAACATAGTCTTCTGTTGCAGCAATATTGAAGGTGGTAAAGTGTTTGATTTCTTTCTACTGGGGCCTTTAGCGGCCTAGTGTTCCAGGCTTCCTGTTCTAATGTCCAGTGAGCCACCACTCCTCCCTTGAACCTGAGCATCTCAATGGATACATTCCTGTCTGTCTTATTTCGCTGTCCATGAAACCACGATCGGGAGGCCAACAAGAGATCGTGCTTTCTTCGTCTTTTCTCGGGAACCCCCACGTGACCAGGGCCAATCTCTGTGTGCACGTGACTATCACCAAACAAGGCCGTTCCCTTCTCCGCCCAATCGGGGATCAAGTCGGACCATTCACAGGCGCCAAAATGGGCAGAATCATCTCATGATCAAGCAGCCAGTTATATATCACCAGTAGATCCGATCTGGGCGTGGTGTGCTCAGCAAGATCTCAATGCTGCCAGACATGGCATCTTCCGAACAGTGGAGGACCTTCCTCCATCGATGTTTGGCGCATCGCGTAGACGTCGACGAATTCAAAGACCTGTTCAAATTGATGCTGTCCCGCGCTCCTGTCAACGAAAGCGAACTGCTTGACCTGCTGCTCGAAGCTCGCGCCGCATCTAACGTGACCTGGGATCCCTTGCTGCCGGTCTATCTTGACGGGCTATGTAAGACGGGCCAGGTCAAGGCGTCGGCCGCGCTGGCTTGTCTCTTGAAGCATTCATCCATCCGCCCGAAGTCGGAAGCCCTAAAGGGCAAGGTCTCGACACTCATGACCGATATCAAAGTCATTCAAGATGTTATGCTTTCAATATCCGCCGGGGTCATCCCAACATCGATCGACGAGGTGGCCGACCTTTATGCAGCAACTGTTGAATGGATTATGGCCGTGGTTGCGTGGCATAATGCCAACCTTGACGTGTCGCAGCAAACGGGAGGTTTTTTTAGCTCTCCTGATGCTGTGTCTTTGTTCGAGTCTCTTGGCATTCTGCTCGCTGCACTGTCGGGCACGGCGAAGGGCCTGGAGATGCTGTCCAGTGATCTTCATCAAGGTATGTACAACTGACAGAACCATATGGTGAAAATAGAGACTAAAAAGGCTTTGGTGTATTCTCAGGCCTGAAAACCAAACTAGGCCAGGCTCTTTCATCCTACCTGCCCCTGTGTGTTGATGTATCCTTACCTCTGCGGCACCGACTTGACACTTTGCAGAAGGAGTTCAATCTATATGGGCAGCAACCCTCAAAGTCGTCGAACCACCCGGCAATCGACGGCATGAATGTCAATGCGCTTCAGTTCGAATCTGGAGTGATGGATGGCCCGGTTATCAATACTAGAGCTGGCCTCTATGTATATATCAATTCCATGGTTAGATCATATTCCGCATGCTTTTTGGGGACAGATACTGATTTTTGCTACAGCTTGTGGGGCGTCCATTGGTCGACGATTCTATATTACTAAACTATCTCACCAACCGCTACGAGGTAAGCCTTTTTATCTCGTTGTGCCCTTCCCTTGGTCCCGTTCTAGATTCTCGTGGGAGCAAACATCTCATGCTTTGATGTATAGGGCCACCAAGAAGTTCTCGTGGAGGAAATCATCACAGCAGCCTTTGATGTCTTGTCCAATGGTGTCTATCGCAATGAATCCAGCCGAACAATGTTTCTCTTTCGATCTTTTTTAGTCAACAAGCTTCCGGCCTTCTTCGCCGCGATGACAGCAGCATCCATGATGCCAATCCAGGTGGAGCTATGTGTTAGCCAAGCACTCAGCCGTCTTGACCCGAATGCTTTCCCCTCTTTCTCTCAGGTGTTCTCCATGCAAGGAAGTAGCGTTCTTTCAGATGCCCGCCAGGAGTTCTTGTTCGCGTGTGCGTCTCATCGGCTGATCCAGGAATCAAGCATCGAGCGGCTTCTAGGAGAAAATCCTATGCAGACCCTGCCCGGGGGTGGCCCTTATCAGAAGGATGATCTTGTGTCCCAGATCAACAATAATCCTGAACGCGCAGAGCAATTGATCGGCGAGATTGAATCGATGGAGGGTAATGCGGGCGCTATCGTTGGCGCGATCACAGATGTTTGTCCCAAAGCCCCTCCCAATTCCTTACTGCGTCTCTAACTTGATGACTAGGTCATTTTCAATCTTTGTAATCAAAAAGAAACTATGACCCTGAAAAATATTTGTAACTCCCTCTCGCGACGCCCGCAGACCCTGGACGTCATCCTTCTTTTCCGAACCACAAAGCAGGTTCTACAGCCTCTTTGTGCTCTTCTTGATTCTTGGCATTGGGATGAAGACCAAAGCGAGAACCAGCCTGTGTATGATGAGTTTGGCAGCATCCTACTCTTGGTTCTCGCTTTCAAATACCGCTATGACCTGAGCCCCTCCGACCTTGGTATCTCGAGTAACGGGTCATTCTTGCTAAAGTTATTGGATCGAGGCTCATGCAATCAGAAACTCAATGAGCTGAGCGAGAAGCAGAACAAGGACCTTGGTGCATGGATTGCGGCATTATTCATCGCAGAGGGGATCAATGAGGAAACCATGTCCTCTTGCAGTCCCCAGGATTTTTATATGCTTGTTGCAACATTGTTCGACCAGAGCGTCGGGGCATGCGAGTCTGGGAAATTGGATTTCGAAACCTTGAAGGGTGGTTTTGAATGTGAGAGAATCTGCCGGTCTATATGGACATTGCTCATTATACTAACCTTACTGTAGATCTCCTCGAGCCCTTCTTACTGCCGTCCCTAGTCGTCGCACTGACCTGGCTCGGTAATCATATCTGGGAATCAGAAACAGACCCTACGATTCCCTTGAAGACACTATATTCCTTAGTCAAGCCCAGCTCAATCTCCGGCGAAGCACAGGCTATCCATCAGACTGTACTCAACATTACTGCACGCCCTCTGGAGGAGCAACTCAAAGACGTTCGAACCAGACACCAATCCCGCTCGGACATCAAACCCATACTCGATGCCATCGATCCATACCTTGCCTTCCGGCGCGTCGGCAGCTGCCACCGCTCTGAACTCGACAATTGGACTACCCAGACGGCCGGCGGTCTGTCCGGTAGCATTCGCAATACCCTACAGTCGCTCGTGCTCTGGAGCACTAACTCCGAAATTTCCTTGCAGCCGCAAGCCTACACGCACCGACAAATTCTAGCAGGAGTGCGCATTCTCGGTGCTGCGCGCGTCCTGGACGTCCTGCTCGACGAGTTGAAACAGCAGACGGAGGCCGGCAGCGGTGACCTGGCCCTTGACATTGTAGCGACGATGGTATGTGCCCCGATGGCGGAGTCGTTCGCGGTTGACCAGAACATCTGCCACCCGGTCGACTCTACCAAAGAGGCATTGCCTCGCTGCTCCATACTCTCCCTGCGCGACGCCCTGGCCCTGCGGCACGAGAACGTTCCCAAGGTCTCGGAGCAGGACCCCCTGCGTGCGGAGGTCATCGTCCGCCTCTGGCGACGAGTCAGCATTCTCGCCGCTCCGCCGTCGCAAGTCTCCAATATCGACGTCAGCAACATAATCCAGAATATGGATCTCGGCGTCGACGGCCAGGACCGGATGGACTTAGAACCGACGGCGGGTGGAGTCGGCGACGAAGATCCAGATAATATCAACCAGATGTTGGACAAGGCTGCCGCTGCGGCCGCAGCTGGCATGGATAGCAGTGTTGGTGTGGACGTGGGGCAGGACATGGGGCTTGGTGCAGAGGGTGGTGGCATGGATGCTATCGACGATGTGCTCAACGCGGCGGATATGGCCGTGGGGAATCCGGAGTTCTTGGACTTGGACATGGAAGGAATGTTTTGAGTAGCACGGCTCTGCACTGGTTTATATAGATAGACAAATATCGACCTATTGAATTCTGACTTCTTATTCCTGTAGGACAAAATCGAGTAGTCACGACCTGGCATAATATGGACATCTCAATATCTTTCCGTTCTATTCCCATTCTAGGGGCACTCAAGCTGCGTGCTGTGAAGCCCTACGGTGCCTCTATGAAACCCCCAGTTCTCCCGATCGCTTCACGACTTGAGCCGTAACCTTTTGTGCATTATCATATTCCATGCGCAAGACCCAATATGCGTGTTTAACCAATGAAATTGGTTCTATCGCGAAAGTCAGTGATAATCCGCTATCCCGATTGCCGTATGGAGATACACATACAAATATGCAGCTCACTTTCAACTTTGGATGCGAGCTTTGGGATCCCAGAGTGCGGGTACATTATCTCTAGCAAGTCCATGGGCTTGGGAATGAGTCCACGACGCGCCTCAGTCGAAATGGGGGCTGCTGCGACAACAGAAGAGAGGAAAATTGAAGCGATAATGGCAGTCAGCTTCATTGTGTCTTCGATGCAATCTACTACGAGGCGTGTGTTAGTCTGATGCGAAATCAAGCCTGCTTAGGAGTCCTGTCCTGTCGTGGAAGTCTTTACAAATGCTTTGAAAAGAGCTTTACCTTCGATTATATTGGAATGACGTGGCTTTCACAGAGTCAAAAATACTCTAAACAAGAGGTGCTAGGTGGATAAGGCGCTGTGCAAGTTAAATGACCGTTGTAAGCAGATCTCAGACTTCTTAGCCCCGAAGGTTTTCTCGCGAAGGCCCACACTAGGGGCTTGATGACTATTCATTCCACTGGTATGAAGGCTTCCAAAAACACTACTGGCATTCGCAAGTGCGACGCGTCGCGAAACTTACCACCCCAGGGAGGGATGAGGTTCCAGCGATCCCTTGGAACGACCATAGCGTAGGGTTTAAATCTAACGCTGGGACCGAAGGTTTGAGTATCCATACTTTGTCTTGCTAGAAATTTATTTATCTTTCTCTCTATGAATAACACCTTCGGTCTCATCCTGTTTGGAAGAGTTGCTGCCTGGGCTGTACTTTTGCGCGGTGTCGCCAGACGCGGTGGACGCAAGGGGTAGATGACAGGTTCAAGAGCCACAAAAGATGCACAGACTGCCAAAGTTACTCTCTTTGATAGACATATCATATCTCTTCTTTCTTTTGACGTAATTAAGTGAGGAATATAAGGCCTGACTTTGATATAGGATTTTATTGAAGCCGGTTGCCATGGAGTTACTACATAGATACAGCTGTACGACAAGAAACTACATACCATGCCCTTACCTAGTAATTCACCGAATTTCCAACCATGCATACATCAATTGTCAGCGAGAAAGTTCGCATCGATTGAATCCAGATAGTTGACAAAAGGGAAAATTGCAATATACTGAGCTCGATGTCTATGTATCGCTCGATGTCTAAAATACATAGATTAGCCAATTCGCCCCAGAATATATATATTTATTTTCCTGTCCACGGAATCCAGCATGCAAAGGACCCTATTTTCCATAACCATCGCTACTATGCCAAGTATCTACTGCATAAATATTCATTCTGGAAGCACCAAAGCTGTAGAATATCCACTGGTCATAACTTCAAACCTGATGTCGGTGCATGTTCAAGTGACCGGGAGGGCTTTTTATATCCATATCCATTGTCTATGCATAGATGTACTAATCAAATCCACATTGAAGGTGCCCTACATATAGGAACAAAGACATAGAAAATAAAATGCCCATTGTATGGAGGATTGTCTCTAGGTTTCAATCCTATAGATAATATATTGATACTGCTAGGAAACAGCCAAATTTACAATGATGAAGAACCAATAATCTCTAATCCAACGTCTGGACTCCCTTTCGATCCATTGCCATCTGTGACAGCAACTACAGCGCACCTCAAAAAAATCTGACATCTAAAAATTTATACAATCAATATGGGCGGATCCCATGTCCACATATCTGAGAAAGGTCTTGGGGGTAAGATACCCTGAAAGATACGGGAGAGAATCGCCAAGAACGGCTCATGACTGTCGTGCTCAGGGCAACAGTTTTGAACGTCATGACGTTCAGGCCAACAATCTCTTGCTATTATCTACCTCGTGCACGAATATGGCATTGAGGTGTCCCGCTATCCCACCCGGGGGCCGTACCAACAGCACAAATGGGGCTCACCTTCCCGAACAGGACTGTCCCGACCCATCCGCAACCCAGGGCATAACATCATAGGCCCTGGACTGAACATTGGCGAGGAAAATATGTCCCGCGCTTCTTTTGTGTATGCGTGCCCAGTGATTTAGATTGGGCGGCAAGAAAGGAGAAAGAACAGATCGCCGGATGTGAGCGATAAGTCTGCTCGAATCCGAGAGTGCGCACTAGGTCGCGCAGCGCGACACCTAATAGTTGCTTTTCGTTGCTTTCTTTTTTGGCCTTTGCTTGTCGTTTTCTAGACTATTTCGTCCCGTTTCCCGATGAGATGGAACCTCCGTCCTTGGTGAGTCTCCATTTGACATGTAGCTGAACTCAATCATTTCCGCCGGGGGCGCCAGAAAAATTTGGGTGGCTTGTGAGGGCTTTCTCCGTCCCACATCGTGAGTCCAGTCTGCACGAGGGTGGACACCACATGCGTCCCGTTCGCCAGGGTGCGATGTGCATGGTTTGACAGCGACGAGACAGCTCGATAGCTCACGCGGGCTTTTGACTACGCGGTGAGGATGGGTGAAACGACCGTAGAAGGAAGTGTGAGTGCGCTCGAGCACGAGCTCGTGCGCATCGCTGCAGGAACACGGGTGATGGACATCTGCACTCTCTTTTTACGCTTTGGTTCTCAGAGAAGCGGGAGTAGCCTTCTGGTGATCGTTTCCTGGCCATCAGAGTGGCTGCCCTGAAATCTCATCACGAACCTCAGCACACAGCACGCGCCTTCGGCTGGCGGCGAGAAGCTGATCGGCTCGGGAACATTCCCGATCGAGAAATCTTGGTCCTTTTGGTTCGTGGAGAGTGATGGGTGTGGTGAGGGGGCGGGATCATATCCCCGGCCTGAAGAGGTCGGCTTTTAAACCCGTGAAGGGACTTGTCCGGGGAATTCTGTCAGCCTGTGCGCAGGTTCTTGCTACTCCGTGATTCCAAATCGCAGGGGATGAAGCGCACTCGTTCTTCATGCTTCCCCTCTAATCATTTGCCTACCTCCCCTTCTTCATGCGGCAGAAGCTGGGATGCCCATCACATCCAATGCACAGCCGGTGAGTGTCAGAGAAAAACACCCGATCTGTCGGCCAAGAAAAGATCAACAGTGCAAAGTGGAGGAGCGAACACGTTCGGCTAGTCATCATAGGGGGGGGGGGACAGTACAGCCCGCCCCGCCACCATCTTTCGTCGATGCCGTCGCCCCACTACTACGAACTCTTGGGTCGCGAAGTCATCGAGCACCCACTGGTGGCTTGTGGTGGTTGCTCGAACAACAGGGTTGGGGGTGGTGGGGTGGAGGAAGGAAAAGGGTTCGGACGGGTCGAGGGCAGGTTCTGGGAGGGTTTGGCAGCGCAACACGGGACAAAGAGGGTTCCCCCAGCCTAACGAGGAGGGCGTATGTTTGCATTCGTTTACGCTGAGAGCTGCCGAGTGTTTTTATTTAGTGTCCTACTCCGTACACAGGATCGTAAGGCAGACAGCTCCGAGGGTTTGGTTCATACCCACTGCACTTACGCAGGCCAAAGGTAGATCGAATTGCCACTCAGCTTGGGCCAGGCCAGCAGTGGCGACAGAGATCCTCAGAAGGAGTAGTTGTGGCTCTCGTATTGTATCCCAAGTAGGCAAATAGGGAATCAAGAGCAGTATACCACGTCCCCAAGACAGAGTCAATAGTTAATAGTCAATAGTCCATCTGGTTCCGAGGAACGGCAGAACACAGCAATACAGTAATACAGTACACCGTACATGAGTACCGCTCAATACACTCCGACACCCATACACCCCATACATCCACTGCGACTGGGACAGAATGTCAGACGTATGATACCGTACAGATATTCACGTGCCAGGCTCCCTCCACTTTCGCATCCAGTATCCTTTCAATACTTGGTCGATATTCCTCAATATTCCCCAATATTCGTGCCGATATCATTCAGTACCCCATAGATAGTCGTCATCGCTCGAATGGGGCGAATGATTTTCTCTCAGCCGACGCAACCGTCCCTGGGCATCACGTTGTCGGCCAAACCCATGGACACGAGCGGCGATCACCCTGTGTTCAACGTCTCGTCTCGTGTGATGGTACGCCATGCCACCCATCACTTAAGAACTGGCGGCAGACGAGTTGTACGAATCTCCGCGGTGATGCTTGTCCTGTGATAAGAAGCAAGAGGCCCAAAACCAAGGCCTATCATGTCGTTGTTTTCCATCCCGTCCCATGGACCGTGCCGCGGAAAAAGGGTGGAGAGGGGTGTTACCCGTTGCCCAGGAATTGAATTATCGATCCTCATCCGTTCGTCAGGATTGATCTTCGACTTGCGTCACTGATATGACGGCAGAAGATTTCGACATATTTGCTATTTTGCTATTGAACATCGTGTATCCGCCTTTCCCAGTCACACGGGGGTTTCGCCATTTCAGTCGACTTCACGGCGTCAGGCTATCTTGGGCTTTCCTTCTAGCGTGCTTTTTAGGGGGGGGCGCAATTCCCATCAGTTTGGTTTGCTCTAGTTCCTAGTCTTCGTCTCCATCTCGCGCCCCCCCCACAGCTCATCGAGCCCGTCTCAGGGGTACGACAGGGAAGGATCTGTACGTTCTGCATCGTTTGGCGAACACGTGCTCGAAGGGGCGAAAGGAAGACATGGGTCCGTCTAGGTTTAGCTAGGCCGCTTAGCCTGGTCTCCGGTTGATGAATACCCAGGTGAACGGCGATCATCGAATGATTTCGAGTGTTCTGGACTCGGCCCCTAGAACACGGCACAGCGTTCGCCCC